TTTTTCTCTCTCTTTCAAATAAAAGACAGGGCTCATAACTTGAAGAGAAATTTCTGCATAATCGCCTATATATTATATATATCATTACTATTATAAATTATAAAAGTTCCCAAAAAGTATAATTCGGAGAAACAATTATTACGAAAAATAATTGGGCAAAAACGTTTGACTTTAACATTGCTGATGGCGCCCAAAGACGCACCTTTTTTCGAGATGCGTCGCATGAACGGTGCGATATCCATAGGCGCATCAACATTATGCCCAGAGTCCTGGGCCGTGTCCAAAACAATCACGCAGCAAGCTAACCACCCCTCGAAATACTAAACACCTATATATGCCAACAGCGGGTATTACAAGTCTAATTCTTAGCTCCTATTCGAGTCAAAAATCCTGGTAGTGAGAGGTTCCGGTTATAAATAGCAACGGCACTTTTACCCATATGTTTGTATATTTCCCACAGCTTTATACCCGAAAATGACACAATCTATTCCGGATATAGCAAAAAGCTTAAAAAAGGAAACATTTTGCTGATTATGTGCACACACAAATGAAAACTAGTAGTATGTCATTATGCATGTATGCCTGCGTCAGTGGTTACGAGCTTTCTAGCAAAATAATGTTTTTGGAGTTTCTAACCAACACAGACAAAGAAAAGATGACCCCACTGAGTAGTAAGAGACTTCTTTTATTGTACTACAATAGACCCAACAAAAAAATATTTTTAGTTCTTTCAGCAATTTTTTTTGTAACCTCATCTACAATTGAGATATAATTGAACAATAGGAAAAAGGGTCATAACTGTAACGCACAATAGAAGGTTTTGTTCTCTATTGTGTTTGAAGTTTTGGTGCCGCACGGCAATTGAAAAAAAATGGCAAAAATAGAAAAAGAAATAAGCCCTAGGTTTAATAAACCTTTCAAAATCAGGATTTCATGGCTTTGATCGTTTGGAACAAAGCGAAATTCAGTGAAAAAGTGCTTTCCATCAAGGTGAATGCAGTTTTGCCACTAGCCTACTCAAAGACACATTCATTCAGAAAGAACGTTGTTCAAGTATGGCACTTGTTGTTGGCGATACGTGTCTTTTCCATTTCCAACAAGTCGACCCTAAAGTTCCAGACAATGAAGACATATTCCCTCTTGTCATTTCTCGAAGGACCTCAAGTATTTTGATTTGTTTTTCTATTGTCCATAAGAATTAACAATAGAAAAGCCCTGATGCTTATAAACAATAGAGTTTTCTATAATTGGAAAGACTTTGTCTTTAAACAATAACTGCTATCCCTTCTACCACAAGCCGAAAGTTTAAGACGCTTAAGAGGTCTTTTCATAATTTAATTGCAGCAATGCATATTTGATAACCTAACGAAATATTGCAAATAGCAATTTAAAGTTTGTGTCATTATGCAGGATACCTAATTGTTTCCCTCGCGGAGTTTCGCACTGTTGCAAGGTGATGCCGTAGTGTCACTAATTTCGAGTCCTTTTATTTCTTTAAGAGTTCTTAGTAACTTTAGATGCACAAGTACCAAAATAATTGTCCTCAATATTTCCATTTATTTTTAGTATAATTGCATACAAATGTTTTGAGAGGAAACACTAATGCAAGAGAAAAAGTCCCCTTTTTTATTTCTTTTTCTCTCTCTCTATTGAAAGGGATACAAAAAAATTTTTGCACCAAGATAAAACCTGCACGAGTTCAGATGAAACTTTGATGTTGCATTGCATAATGATACTGAAGTCACATTGCTTGCACTTTATTTACAAGTATGGGTTCAAAAAATAAATCATGTCTAAATCACGGGTAGGGCTGCTTCTAGCTGTGAGAAACTGCGTTCCATGGTATCATAACCATTACAGAAACAAAGACAGAAAAAAAAAATGTTGAGCGTCCATCTCTTTCAACAAAAGCGCGTGCTATTGTTATATTTGCAGTAGCAGCTTATTTCACCGAGATAAATCTCTTGCACCTTTCTTGACAACTTGTCATTGAAAGTTAGAGTAGTATCGAAAAAACCCTCCCATCATCTTAGCTACGGGAACGAGACACGCCATTCAAAATGATACACAATATCAAAAGAAAAAAAGTCATATGATTAATCCATTTCGCTTAACACATAGAAGGGATGTTGACAACAGCCAATAAAGGTTACCGAACAAGCTGACAAAGACTAAACCTTATTTCGCAACGATTGTATGTCCGTGGTTATCTCAGGCGCTGGTGACTTCATTTTGGTTACATATTTTCCTTATCCAGAAATTTCATGTATTGTTTTAATATCATAACCATTGCTTTTTATTCCTTAAACGAAAACAGTGGAAATATTTTTCCATGGGTGTAACCAACGAGCACAGTGTGCTAAACCAGTCCTGGCCTGGTTTTCTTTCCCAGAAGAGGGGCTAAATAAGTAGCACAACTGATGATATACAAAGGTAATGCTCGCTCTCCCGAATCAAAGGGTGTTTATTCTTTTACAATCTGCATCGCGGTAATTGTATTCAAAACCGAATAAAGGGATGAAACCAAGTTGTTCAAATTAATTTGTAAGCCAAGAAGAAGGGATGAGAAACGACTAATTCTGGCAAGTAGAAATGCTATCATTCTTTGTAAATGTTTTGTCAGCTAATACTTTTATAAATTCGTGAAACATTTATTCAAGTTACAGGTTATTCCGTAGCTTTGTTTCGACTTCGTGGGTTGAATTTGCAAGACATCTCCACTGCCGCCACCACCAGAGTGTTTATGCTTGTCTTCAAGACAGTTGGAACTCCGAGGTTATGAGAAGCAACATGCTCCCACCAAAGCTATATGACGTGATGAAATTCGAAATGTTGATTTCGTTGAGCCTAATGCTTTGTACAATCAAACAAATGGAGACATGTCGGAAAAATGATTATGTATAAGGTAAACCATGTACATAAAGTATACTTTTAGAGTAAGTGATTTAAGGACAGAACTGTCGCACAAAGGTCACCAAACGCTGCAATTTTCCTTTTCATGCTTTTGTACATTTTTACCTAATAAAGAATCATGAAACTGTCCGCATAATTGCATTGCCGAAAGATTTCTTGATCACCGGGATAAAGTTCCGAACTCTACTGACTCATAACCATTCCCGTGTTTTCGCACTTCTTTTCAAGCTGTTTCAGAAAAAGTCTACAAAACTTTATTTCTCGAGGAAGACGGCTTAAAGTGTAAGCGATACAATTGATAACACGACTTTCGAACAAACTTTCCACTGAAGGGGCTTCCAAAGCCAAGCCTGAAGTGTGTGCAGTTTTACCTATCCCAGTAGAACAAGCCCCTCAACCTCCTCTTTGCTTCTGATCTCTTCGCGAAAAATATCGGTATTGAGCCATTACCGAATTTGGGTTTTGTGGTTCTAATGCTATGCAGGGTTTCTTTACGATTCAGTTGATTACATAATCTTTTTTTTTTCTCCTCATGGATTCTTTTCTTTTGGTCGACAAACTTTTGAACAACATATTTGTGAGTTAGAAGTGAGGGAATTCAAAACGTTTGGAGAAATGGCATTAGTACTTCGGACTATTTTTATTTGGCAGCATAGCCCCATCACAGGGATTTGAAGAGGTATCACCTTTTAGTAGGGAATCACACTATGCATTACGAGAAATAAAATAGAAGCTGCCAAGAAAAAAAGTCAATAGATTTTGCGATAAGTCTGGTTATCGTCTCACCATCTGTTGTGTCCTTCTACCTGTAACTGGACTGGTAGTAACTACCCTTCGGTCCTTCCCTCTAGGTGTTGCCCAAGAGTGCAATGGCATCCACTTGTTTGGCTTTTTTCGGAGGTCAGACGTAAACCTATACTAATTGTTCCAGCACAAATTACACAGGATTTTGTAACTCAAAATATTGTAGCTCATTCCTTTAGAACCCAGCTTGGATAATTTGTTTTGCTAGCTTTGTTCAACTAAGAGGGACCGATGCACCCTAAAGAAAGCAATACATCACGATCCTTGCTTTGTGTACAATCCGGCTCTCCCCACACTAACAATAACTGATGAAAGTCGTTATGCTACAGATACGAATAAGCAATGACCCGAAAAAGATTCCGAGACTCGCCCTTCTCGGTGATTTTATATCGAACGTTTGAGATCTACAAAGTGCCACAAACTAATAAAGGATAGGTGTATTATTTTTCTTCGCCAAGTAGTACCCTGATTAGTAGGACTGCTTTCTGTGCTAGTTTATCATTACTTTCACTATACTGCTGTTCTGCTCCCAGTGTTAAAATACCATCTTCGCATTTCCAATTACAAAGCAGTAGCAAGTTTAAATTTACAAACGATCATATCTCTCTCTCGTAAATTGAGATGACAAAGACAAAGTAACAAAAATTTTACTATTTGTTTTCGTTCAGAACCCTCCGAAGAATTATTTGGGGAACAATCCCAAGGATTTCCAACCCACCTTCTCAAAGGAATGAGCTGATGTGGTTAGAAGTTTTGTCCCTACAATGTTCAAAGCAAAAACAAACACAGGCCTCATGTTGGTCGTATTAAATTTACGGAATCCCGTACTTTATTAGCTTTGTCCCTCATAATTAGTGACGTCAAAAAAACACAACCTGACAACATATATAAGTGTCACCACAGAATGCCTGAGTAGCTCCCAGCCCACACATGAGCATTATAAAAGTAAACTGCTCGGAATGCTGTTCCTCGGAAGTAGTTCGTTCTCTCTCTGAGAAGACTTCCGGTCCGTGGTATCATGAATGCTGAACTCTTTGAAATCAAAACACTTTTACTTACCCATTCTGGGGATGAAGTGTTATGGTATCTGACCCCAGAGGTGTATAAGAGGGCGGTAAAGGATATTGTCTAAGATTACCAAGGTACTCTAAATGCTTACTTCAACACCATCACGTGATCTCTTACTCTTTGTCACGTGAAAATGGATAAAGCAAATCAGTTGCCGAAGTTTGAAAAAAATAAAGAAAAGAGCTTGTGTCCACCACCTTCCCCACAACTTCATCATGTTTTCAAGGATTTCCAAGAGGTGCATCTCAATTTCAATGAATAGTGAGGTTAAATTGCCATTTGTTCCTTTAGTCAGTGAGACTGGGTTCCCTGGAGCAATTGGAAATACCGCTTTGTTGAGATTGCCTAGAATATCAGACTCGGTTGGAAGAAACATTTACGCCAAAGCAGAGTTTATGAACCCAGGTGGGTCGATCAAAGATAGAGCCGCACTTTATGTAATTAAGGATGCCGAGGAAAAAGGTTTGATAAAACCAGGTGGAACTGTTGTTGAAGGTACTGCAGGAAATACCGGAATTGGTTTAGCCCATGTTTGTCGTGCAAGGGGTTACAATTGTGTCATATACATGCCAAACACCCAGTCCAAAAACAAGATTGAAACTTTGAGATTACTAGGTGCTGAAGTATACCCTGTACCTGCTGTTGCATTCACCGATTCACAAAACTACAACCACCAAGCCAAAAGACACGCCGAAAGTTTGGACAATGCTGTTTGGACTAACCAATTCGACAATGTTGCCAATAGACAGGCACATATTGAAACCACAGGACCAGAAATCTGGGCCCAGTTGGATGGAAAAGTAGATGCATTCACTTGTTCTACTGGAACTGGAGGAACTTTTGCCGGTACATCAAGATACTTGAAAACAATTAGTAATGGCAAGACAAAATGTGTTCTTGCAGATCCTCCAGGATCAGTGCTCTACTCTTATATCAAGTCCAATGGAAAGGAAATGGAGAGAGGAGGCTCCTCTTTCACTGAAGGTATCGGTCAAGGAAGAGTTACCGATAATTTGAAACCAGATATCGAAATCGTCGACGACGCCGTCAAGATCCCCGATGAGGACTCGATTGCCATGCTTTATAGGCTATTGGATGAGGAAGGGTTGTATTTGGGAGGTACTGGAGCATTGAATGTTGTTGCTGCAGTGGAAGTGGCCAAAACTTTACCAGAAGGAAGTAACGTTGTGACTATTTTGGCCGACTCTGCCCACAAATACAGTGATAGAATCTTTTCCAAGACCTGGTTGAAGGAGAAAGGGTTATATGGTGCTATTCCAGACCATTTGAAAAAGTATGCCGTTTTGGATTAGTATGTAGATAATAATAGATAGAGAGACTCTAATGAGGGTAGCTCCTGATAGGTCGTGTAAATGCCAATTAAATTTTTCAATTTTTCTTCTGTTGATCTTTTTTTTTTTCTTTCAAAATTTTTTTACAACCAAATACTACAAATACATTTGCTTTACAGACAGAAACTAGTCACACAACATTCATTTCATCCACAACACCACACTCTCCCAACTTAATCCAAAGACTGTGCTTCTAATATTGTCTGTTTTTATTTACATTACTGCTCCCCCTTCCACCCACGTCACTTCCCCTTTTCCCTCCCTTTTGTGACCTACACAGTAAAATTTTGCATTCCTAGTTTTTTATTTTTTTTTTTTGATCTCGTCATTCTGCATCACTAGGCCAACAAAAACGCATCCCAGTTTGAATTAATACATGGAAGGTCAAATCATTAATGCTATCCAAATAGCCTTGAGCGGGTCATCCGATCAAAAGCTACAACTACAAGCGTACGAATTTCTTAATGAAGTCAAAGCGACTAAAGATGGCTACAATACAGCATTGGATTTGATCTCCAAGTCAACAACATCTGAAATCAACGCCGACCTCAAATTCTTTCTTTATCAAGTGATTGAAGAAAATGTCGAAAACTTGACCCGCGACGAGTGCCATCAACTTTGTCAAGTAGTACTACGCATGTTGTCAGAGTTTGTTGCACACGACATCAAAGACCCGGCTTATTTGAGAAACAAGTTTGCTCAAATACACGCCAAGGTGTTCACGATGGTGTACATAGATATTTACCCCAACTACATTAATGACTTGCTTGAATTGATTCTGTCGGGTAACCAATTGGCCGTGGATTATTATGCAAGAATTCTAAACAATATTCATTCAGAAGTCGGAGACAAGTACATTGCCCGTTCCCAAGCATGGGTCGATAGAAACGTAATGATCAAGGATGCATTGAGGGACAAAAACATGAATGACTTGGTGGCCAGCTGGTTCAAGGTTTTGACGGGAAGTGGAAATTCGGAAGAAATTCTCGACAACACTTTAAACATCATTGGACTGTACGTGGACTGGATGGACATTGCATTGTTTGTTACCCCGCAGTGTATCAACACCATCGTTGGGTATCTCACTCGTAAGCAAGAGAGAAATACTACATGTAATACTTTAATTCAGATACTATCCAAAAAGATGCCACCAGAAGACAAAGTCGAATTAATATCCATTCTCAACTTGACGAATATCATCTCATCAATAGATTTGTCAGGCGACGTTGAATTTGAAGAGCATGTAGCGAAGTTGTCCAACCAAATTGGAGAGGAGTTGTTGTACGTCTTGGGCAATGAGCCTACCTTGATCAATCAAATCAACGAGCATTTATACACGTTATGGCCAATCATTCTCACATTTTTAAGTCATGAATACGATGACGTTTCGCAAAATGTTTTCCCATTTATACAAATGTTCCTTAGCGCATGCAAAAAGAATGCGTCATTATTTTCAATTGAGCTATTATCGACACTTTTGAACAAAATTATTTTAAAAATGAAGTACGATGATGATGACGATGGGGATGATGAAGACGAAGATAGCGAAAGACAATTTACCGAATTTCGAGCCAGGCTAAAACTATTTCAGGACCAGATTGCCGGACTCGCGCCTGATTTGTATATAGAAGCTATTCCTGTTGTTATTAACGAGTCCCTTTTTGAAGGCGGCAAGTCATGGAATAAATTGGAATTGGGATTGTTTGAATTGAGCAACTTTTCTGAAAGTTTAAAGATGAATTTGATCAACGTTCCCAAAAACAAGTTGAATGAGAGCAAACCGTTTATGATTTTCCAGGAGTTTTTGATCAAATTGATTGACTCGTCATTTATACTAGAGGTCAACAATCCACATATCCAATCTAGCTTCTTTGAATTGGTGGTCAAACACTACAGTTTCTTGAATTCCCACGAGAATAGACGTGATTTAGTTCTTCGAATTTTGGAGATCTTCACATCTCCTTTGGGATTATTCAATGATAACGAAAAAGTCAGGTTAAGAAGCTGGTATTTATTTTTCAGATTCATGAAACTCACCAAACCCAAATTGAACAACGAACAATTAATCGAACAAATTGTGTTGAAGTTGAGACCATTACTTGTCATCAAAGCAGAACTTCCAACGAGAGATGAAGACGACGATGTTGTCGAGAACGGAAATTTTAATAATCAGCAATATCTTTTCGAAACTATAGGCTTAATTATATCGCTCGTTCCTCACGAGTACACATCTTTAAAAGTAAAGCTCATTGACTCCGTGTTTCAACCAATTTTTAGTGACTTAGAAAAATGCATCTCAATCCAAGACAAAGAGCCAATCATTGTCCTACAGGCACATCATCTGTTGATGGCTCTCGGAACAATTGTCCGTGGGTATGACTATGAATCTAACCTTAAATACCCTCCTGAAGTTGTGGAAAAAGTAAACAATGCTGCACAAGTGGTGTTGATAACCTTGGAGAACTTTTCCAAATTTGAAACCATAAGAGATGCGTCGAGATTTGCCTTCGCAAGATTTGTTCCTTTATTGAGCAGTGCTGTTATCAGTGGCCATTTAACTAAATTGATCACCATCATCTGGTCATCACCAAACCTAAAAATTAACGAAATTAGTGATTTCATGAGCTTTTTAGGTCAAATTGGACATACTTACAAATCAGACGACAATATTTATCAGTTACTCAATAACTTTTTCACCCCATTGTTTTCAAAAGTTTTCCAAACCTTAGACCAACAAATTACAGAGGATGAGAATTTACGACCCGACATAATCAGAGACAAGAATTTTTTGAAAAAGTCGTTGCTCAATTTTTTGAATTCGATTATTATAAACCACTTGTCGAGTCTATTAGTTACAGAGACCAATAAAAATGAGTTTCCTACTATTGTTTCCAAGTTGTTTGAATATTCGTATGATTTATCCGATACAGGAGCTTCAAAGTTGGCCATTGTGCAACTAATCAATCTTGTCAATGTTTTCGGTGATGGGGGCAAAATCACCGATGACAAGGACTTGTACGGCCAGTCTCTTCCGGCTATTGAAGGTATTGATGAGTTTTTGATGGAAAAAGTTGTCCAACTATCGTTTGAGTTACCATTCCAAAGACAAGAATTTGTACTAGGAGACGCTCAATATAGGTTGATTGCTCAGGATATTGCTATGTTGCTCAAAACATATCAGCAAAAGAAAGGAGAAAGCTTTATCAAATTCTTGGGAACTTATTTAACCAACATGGGATTAAGTCAGGATTTGCTTAATGATTTCTGCTCCAATTTGATTAACTTGGACATAAAAGATTTCAAAAAGTACTTTGTTAGTTTCGTGAATCAAATGAAGGGAAGTAAATAGAAATGGAAGTATATGTGAAGATTCCCAATGGTGTTATTTTGTAGGACAAAGCAATTGGTCTTTGGATGTTGCAAAGTTGACTCGGTAGCGAAGCATCTCTTCCTCTCTCTCATCTCTCGGCATTCTCTTTTTTTTTTTTTTTTTTCACAGAACGAAAAACATATCAACCTTTGTACAAAGCAATACCCACCATTACGATGCCCAAGAACAAGGATGGCGACATAGTAGAAGTACCTCCAAAGGATGAGGAGGAACTAATGTTGGAGAAATTGGTGTTTGGAGACCTTGCCGGCTTGGAAAGCAATTTGAGAAAAGTCGATAACTTGTATGATTTCGATGATGAGGAGGAAGTAGTCGGAGAATTGGATGAAAGTGGAGACGATAGTGACGAATTTGATAACGTGCAAGATGAGGACTTGTTTTTTATTGATGAGGGAGTACATGAAAATGATAGTGATCAAATGGAAGTAGATGCGAGCTCGGGGGAAAGCGATGAGGAAGATTCAGAAGAAGAGATGAGTGAAGAGGAAGACGCCTGGCGGGATAGTGATGATGAGAAATTGAATGTATCTCTTACTTCATCTGATCGTCTCAAGAAATTGAAAAAGACACCAGAGGATGACCTTATAAGCGGAAAAGCCTATATGCTTAGGCTACGGTCACAATTTGAAAAGATATATCCTAGACCGTTGTGGGCCGACCAGGTCGATCAAGAACGAGATGAAAATAGCTCAGATGAAGATATTGTACTCGACGAAGACGAGGGGCAGGACAATGACCAACAAAATGGAAAACAAACTGCTGCGTTGTCGAAACTTTTATCTTCGACCCACCAATTTGTCATTACCAAGCAGTTGAAATTAATATCGCCTACAAGAATTTCAATAACGAGACTAAAAGATGCAAACTATCAAAAGCTATCCAAAGGTGCAGTCCAGGCTATATCTTTCCACCCAACACACCCTATATTACTCACAGGGGGATTTGACAAAACCATAAGACTTTATCAAATTGACGGTAAGACTAACAACTTCATAACATCCTACTATTTGAGAAACTGTCCTATAATGAGCTCGCATTTCTTCCCTCAAGCAGACAGGAATATAATATATGCCGCCGGAAGAAGAAAGTACATGAACAAGATCAATTTGAACACGGGCGAGATTGAGAAAATCAGTCGTATGTACGGCCACGAGCAGGTACAAAAGTCATTTGAGAGCTTCAAAATCAGTCCCCAGGGCTCATTTATCGGATTGATTGGGAATTCGGGGTGGTTCAATTTGGTAAATGGTACAACAGGGCAATGGATCAAGGGGTTCAAAATTGAGGGAACTGTAGTTGATTTTGATTTTGGGTTTGATGAATCGTTTGTCGTGGTTGTCAATTCGGCCGGTGATGTTTGGGAGTTTGAGTTGAAGGGCAAGTTATCTTCGAAATCTGAAACCAGAATCTTGCGTAAATGGTCCGACGATGGTGGTATTGGAATTACTAAAATCAAACTAGGAGGAAGAAATAGCAGTAGATGGTTGGCTATTGGTTCCAACACCGGTGTCGTTAACCTTTATGACCGGGAAAATTTTGACACAAATGCCCAGCCAAAGCCATTCAAGACAGTGGAAAACTTGGTTACATCCATTTCATCTCTTACTTTCAGCCCTGATGGGCAACTTTTAGCAATAGCATCGAGGGGAAAGAGAGACGCATTCAAGTTGATTCACTTGCCATCGGGTTCAGTGTATAGCAATTGGCCAACAAGTGGTACACCTTTGGGAAAAGTCACCAGTGTTGTATTCTCGCCAAATAATGAGATACTAGCTGTGGGTAACGAGGCAGGAAAGGTGACTCTTTGGAGGTTGAATCATTATTAAATACTGTTTATAGAAGAATGAACACTCTGCTACCATTTTGATTAAATCACGCCAATAAAGAAAAAAAAATAATAACGAACAAAAACTTCCCACAAACCACTCTACAAGTCAACCACATCGACAATGCACGGGACACTTAGGATTATGGGTAAAATAGTTGGGGCACCGTATGTTTAGAATCTACTTTAGCCACTCATCCAGTTTACTAACAATATTCTTTTTACAGTAAAGGCCACGATCGTTATAGAGATCCCGTCACTCATCAAATAACGCCGGCTCTATATAGAGTCAGACAACCATTCTTTTGGAGAAATACAATCGGTTTATTTGTTGTGGGCGCTATTCCTTTAGCTGTATATCTTTATACTTTTGAAAAGATGACAGAAGATGATTTTGGTGATATCCCAATCCCTCCAATTAGCGATGAGGAGTTGAAGAAATTGCAGACTGAGTACGAAGGAAAGACATAATGGTATGGGTCTAGAGAAGTTTGCTCGTGTATATAATAGATGTGTGGGTTTAATGCATATGTATATAATTAAAGATGCTATTTAATTTTCAAAAAATTTAGATACTCCTCTTACGGGATACGGAGCCGATCCATTTGTATCATAGGCGTCTAATATCTTATCGACCTCGCCCGAATTTTGCGATTTGGGAGAACCATGTTCAATCTCAAGTTCCGGTACGCTAGGCTGCTCGTAGAGAAACTGGTTGTCATCTTCTTCGACAAACGGATCTTGGGGCGTATACTTACTTGTCTTGTGAGACTCCTCAGTGAAAGATCTCGGAACCGGCTTACGGTTTGGAGCATTTATACTTTGGTAGTCAACAAATGGTTTTGACGAGTTCCAAGGTTCAGTGGTCGTGTTATCTTGCTCTGTAGCAATGTGGTTTCCCGATTCATAGATTAGATCCGTTGAAAGCAAGTCAATTTGAGAATCCACTTGAGCTTGATTATTCCGGTCGTATAAAGTCTCAGCGGTGTATGATCTCGTTGGGAAGCTTGGCATTCTGCCTTGTGACTCATCTTGCAAATCGTCGCCCTCCATTGGTTTATTGTAGGACCGCAGTCTTTGTTTGCAGTAATGTAAATCATTGGCGGTATCAACATGTGGCAATGGTTCAGCTCTTTTGAGGCATTCATACTGCGCTTTTGGTTGCGTGTAGGTCAAAGAGCTTGTACTGCCGGCAACTTGAGGATTCCCAAAGACTCTATTCCTGTTTTTTTCCTGGAGGCTGCCTAGCCTCTTGCTGAAAGGCACATTGCCTCCACCCAAAGTAGAAAACACTTGCTCAGATTGTTGCAATTGGTCAAAGGAAGGTTGTTGGTAAAGCTCCAGTTTCAGGTCATTATATGGTTTTGCCCCATTCGAGCTAAAATTTTGCATGGCGATGCTCTCCTCCGATTCTGATCTTCCATAGTAAACCCTAGTGTATCCTTTGTAGTCGGATGGATATTCGTCTATTTGTGGAAGTTGTGAAATGGCAGCCTCTGAAAGCAATCCCTCCTCTCGTAATTCCTTCTTTGGCCTGTGATGTTTGTTAACAGCGTCAGCGACTGACTTGTTTACCAAGTAACTGCAATAGCTCTTGAAACCGTTGTACCCTTCGTTGCTTAGTGATACCTTTAAGGGAACGTACAGAAGCATTCCGAATAAAAACTTGAAAAAGAAAATGGCGTAGATGAAAACCGACAAACACATAAAGCTCAAAATTATGGATAGACGTAAGTTTGTTTTTGCGATGCTTCTGATGTTGCTTAGTATATCGTTGTTCAAGTCCCCGCCTGTGGCGTAGTATCTTAGGGTGAGAATGTTAATAACTTGTCTAGGCGTGTCAGCGATGAGGATTTGCGGGGCATTCTGTATTTCATAGTAGGTATTGAAGCAACATTGATCAAAAAATTTGCCTTCGTCGATACTGTTCATCAAGCAAAAGCAGGAGTATGACTTTATGGAGTAGATCTTTTTGCATATCGAATTCAAATACACCATTGCTATGTTTTTGGTGCGGTATATATGTATCGCCCAGATCCAACAATAGATTAATAAAACAAATTGAAAGATAATGCAACCGGTAAATATCCACTTAGCTATCGAGTATGCATAAGGTTTGTAGTTATCTGTTGCCCATTTATGAAATACAAGAATATTAAGACATGAGTATATATCAACTGCCAATAATATGAATGCTAGGAAGACGAGTATCCACATGTAAAAGTACCAAAACATGGTGGAGCAGTTGTGGTTGTGGAAGTCATCAACACGAACAACATCAAATGTCGATGTGTTCAAATGATACTTTTTGATGGCCCTCTCCGCATCCAAATGATCCTTGAGCGACTTATCTTGCATTGGGAGAAGCTGTGATGTTAATTGCAACTGGGCTTGTGGTACATTGATAAGAATACGAGTGTCAAAATTACGGTGTTAAAAGATAGACGAGTGTGGGCCGTGTTAAAGTTAAGGTGGTGTGCAATCGTGAAAATCTTCTTACTCGTGTGCGGCTGAAAATTTTAAAGTTAGCGCGTTTTGAAAGGGGCGGAGTAGTGTGTGTGTGTGTGTGTGTGTGTGTATGTGTGTGGCACAAGTTCTTTGAATGGCCAGTTAATCAGTAATAAACTGCTGTGAAAGTGTAAGTGACTCTAAGTTATGTTGGAAGTTTGAAAATGTTAAATTGAAAGGGATTAAAGGGATCTTGGACACTTGAAACATTCTGAAACTGGGCAAAAATATTTCAAACAAACAAGCAAACAAAAACCGTTTTATTGTGTGTAAACAAAAACTTAATTGGTAGCGTTTGGATCGATTCTTGATTCTATTTTTAGTCATGTAAACATACTCTTCCACCGACTGAAGTAAACATCTGAGATTCTGGTTGAAAAGGATTCAAGTGTAGATCTGGAAATGTGGATCTTGTAAAGATTACGATGTGAAGGACAGTTTACATAGTAAGTTTATTGATGTTTTCTTTCCTTCTTCATTTCATTTTTTCGCCAAAACTGTTGCAAAATTTATCTCATAGTGAATAATTAACTATAAGAAAGTTCACAGTTACTATGCAACTATTTAATAAGTACTTAAACACATGAAATACTGCCAGTATGTTTCCATTAGAAAAACATGCTACAAAGAGATATGTCCTTAAAATTGAAAGTACATATGGTAGCACTCATCGCTTTTTTTAATTGTTTCACCCCGTCAAAAAGAGTAAGTTCAAAGAGAAAGAGAAAAGAAAAAAAAAAAAATACATACGCACACAACACAACAAACATTGATGAGAAAAGATTGTTGTCAGATATTTTAGTATATTCTTTTGTCCAAGATCCCATTGTCGATATACCACTTCTCAACTGTCTTACCTCCACTCCCCCCGATTAATTAGAGCGCTTTAATCACCAATGTCAGTAAATACCTCAACGACGGAGTTGATTATTCGCCAGTTGAACCAAGCAAAGGAATTGGGCATCACACACCCAGAAACCTTTGCCAAGGTTTATAAACAAATTTTGCCAATCATAAATAACAATCAATCATATGCCATAAAGCATTGGGGAATTGAACTCATCTACGAGACTTTCATTAAAAATGTCTATCAGATACGAAATACTGACAAAGTAGATCTCGCTATCGATTCTCTTGATACTTTGACTATTCTAATGAACATACCTATAACTATCCAACAACAGCAGCAGCAAGAACAAGACGGCCAAGCAAAGCAAGGTCATGACGTCGAGACTTTTGGACAGTTGATTGATATATCCTTGATTGTTTACAAGTTGGTATTCAAGTACATCAGCGAGAATGACGGATGCAATCTACTTTGGAGTAAATTGACTGAATTAAAGAACTCGTTGGTGAACAAGTTTCAATCTAATTACCCATTGAGTTCGTCAGACAATAGCGAACACGACTTGATGAGAAACATTGTAACCAAGCTTGAACTACTCAAGTTTTTGATGACGGTGATTGATTATCAGTCTAGAACTCTGGTTGTTGGTGAACCTATTGGAAAGGTGGGCTTTTCTTTGAACGATGTGCCACCGGACCATTCGTTGATTATATACAAGAATATGGAATACGAGTCTAGCACACTATTTACCACCTTGGTATTGAGAGTTTTCTACTTGGATATTATAATCCCCCCATTAGTGACGGCTACATTAAATCATTGTATAATCATTTTGAAGAAGAAACCACAATTGGCATCACACTTACTCAAAGCGATTGAGCAGTTTGACAGCAACAACAAGAAGCAATCAAATTACCAGTCAGTCGATCAGTTTAAATTGGCTAGAAAATATGTTGACAGAAATATTAGAATCTTTCTTGGTTATGCTAAAAGAAACTCATTGATTCCTACGAACTTTAAAGCATCACTTGAAAACCAACTCAATACTTTAGCCGAGAGAGGTATCGAATTAAGGAGGAAGCATATCTTTTCCATCGAAGATAGGAACATTAAAAAGAGACCATTTGAAGGTTTCTATAATCCATCAAAAAAGATAAAGACTTTGGATTATAAAAACTTGTATACTCTCAATGATCCGTCTAACAAATTGAATGACTTTGACTTTAGTACTGTTCCGGCACAAACCTGTGCCAGAGTGGTGGTGAATGCATTACAAAAGGCCTCTGTTTCAAGATTGACGAAAGCTTTTGAAATTATTGGCGAGAGGTACAAGAATGCCTTAGTTCAACCTATTCAAGTGAAGAAGGAAAATAGTCCATCAGCTATGCTGTATACCAATGGTGCAGCAGTTGTTACAGTAAAGAAGGAAGAGGGAGAGGAGATTGAGAATGACGAGGATGACCTTGATGACGAGGAAAGAGAGGACCCATCCTTCTCCCTAGCGCCACCAAAAGAGCTATCCTTTAACGAAAAGAAAAATCACATCTCTATAATTGTTGATAACTTCTTCAAGCTTGCGAAAGCTAATAATACAACTAATGGTGTCCACAAGCCAGAGGTTAGGTCCGAGCAATCCGACTCTATCAGTAAAGATTTAACCGATGTTGCCATCAAATCGTTCAACAAAGACACGTGGGTACTTCTTTTAACCAGACTAGCTACACGGGGTATGAGAACGGCAGCTGAAGAGGACGGTGTTGTTGATAAAGTACCTGATGATCAGAATAAAGAGGACATGGGTAATATAATCAGGGATGCTATTTTCAAATATTTTATCGAAAACATACACGAAAGGGTAGATATTGTGATTGAGTGGTTAAACGAAGAGTGGTTTAGTGAACAAACGTTCCAGCAGAACAGAATGAAACTGAAGGAGGGCAAAGACACTAAAGTTTTGGCTTCACTGGCTTCGACACCGGTGTATTCCAAGTGGGCAAATAAGGTGCTCGACTCGATGATTAACTACTTGGAGCCAAATGACAAGCGGATATTCCTCAGATTGCTTAGTGATTTGCCGATGTTGAATGAAGAGATGTTGCTGAAAATCAAGTCACTTTGTTTTGATCCTGCTCGTTCTAGTATTGGATTTTTGGCGTTGCAATTTTTGAGCATGTATCGTCCACCAGTGAAGAGCATTTGTATTAAGATCTTGAAAGAATTGAGTGAAAGCGATCAAGATGATGTCAGAGAAGAAGCCAAGAAGAAATTAAGTAGATTGTAATAAAAGTTGGTTTAATTGTGTATCTTTCTCTGAATTGTATTCTCTCCGCTACCGAATCGCTCGTAATCGACAAAATTGGATAAAATAAATTTAATCTCCAAAAAAGCAACATCAAAAGTCATAGTGAGCAGCAGCAGCAGCAGCAGCAGCAGTATGAGTGGCAGTATATTCAACACAGGAGAGGAAGAAGACCCATGGTCGTCATCAGCCGGATGGAATGATGATAAACCAGTTGTCAAGAGTCCAATCCCTTCACTATCACCGGCACCATACCAATCAACATATCTCACATCTTCTGAATTGCTCAATAAGACGGGAGATCGAAAATCACAATCGATTTCAATGTCAAATGTTCCTACTAGTTACGAAACACTTCGTTCAGAGCTAGTCAACAAGATTTCAACCATTAATGATTTCGAATTTTACGTCTTTGACAAACTAATTGAATTGCAATTTCTCACCAGTTACCAAAAATCAAAATTGTTAGATATAGTATACGACAACAACCTTTTACCAGTAACTTTGGCTCAGAATTTCTATCAAATACTTGGACTAATTGCATTGGAAATTGATGTTCCTGGGTCGGGCGATTTTGTTACTCTACAATTTAAATTAAACAATTTACCTGAGTTGCCCCAAGCATTTCTTGGTTTAATCAAGAGGGAAGAAGATAATGTTATAGATGATCCTTTGATGGCCAACACATCCAGAGCTAACGACGCTGACAATGGTGACGATAACGATGACTGGAACCAGCGGGGAAAAATCGATCCCGTGCTAACTGATCATTCCGACTCTCAACAAATCCTTGGCGAAAGCGCCAATGACGGGGATGAGACTAATCCGCAAGATGCCACGTATATTGAAAAGTATATCGAGGATATAAGGGATGAGTTCAAGCCGTTAATTCTTGACGAAACTCCCGTCAAGATCAAAGAAGTCCCCGAAAAAGAGGGCCTTTTGTTTAAACATATCAATTACATAATCACCCACAATTTAGCATTGGGGCAAGGTGGACTGTCAGGACTGAAGAAGGTTATCAGAAGGTACTCTGATTTTGCATGGTACGTTTCTTTTTTTTTTTTTTTACCCTAAAAGCCTATTGCTATTACACATAGTTTACTAACGATAAATTAGGTTGTTGGAGTACTTGTTACAGAAATACCCATTCAGAGTGATCCCTGGTTTACCGCCAAAGAAATTCACTGGTATGTATAAAACAAACATTAACATGAGTGTGTCACTTGGAAACTTTGAATACTAATTGACTGCAGTAGGAGCTTCTCCCGATTCCCAGTTTTTACAACGGCGCCGCCGCGGATTGCATAGGTTTTTAAATCAATTAGTCAAACACCCCGTGTTTAAGGAGGAACCAATTGTACAATCTTTTCTTTCAGTTCCATCCGACTTGGCCACTTGGAAGAAACAGGCCAAAATTGACTATTCGATTGAGTTCAAGGGTCAAAAGATTCAAACTGATTTTATAAACACCATTTGGCCCGCTATAAGCGAAGAATTCTTAAAGAATTGGGCATCAGCCGAGCAAAACATCCGTGCCTTGATTGAAAAATGGACGAAATTGGTGATCATTGTTGAAAGACATGAAAGAAGACAACAACAAATGAGTTATGATAATCAGAAATTTGTTGAGATTTTAAATCAGTTTAAGAAATTGGACACCACGGTGTACCCACAAGATCAATCATCATCATCATCATCATCATCATCATTATTGCAAAATAATGATATCGAAAGTATAAATTCAGGATTGACTTCGATCGGTGATTATTACAACAAGTCTTCTCAAGTGATTGTCGACGATAGCTACACCATCAATACCAAGACGTTGGAGAAATTGAAAAACTATATGGATTATTTGTATTCATTATTGGAACTATTTGAAAGGAGCAAACGATTATCAGGTAATCAAATAGATATGTTAAACAAACGTATAAAGGAGAATGAAGTTAATTTTAAAAAAATGACGGCTGAAAACACTAATGGCAAAGAAGCCGAGATCAATAAATTGAGACAACTGATAATCAATGATAAGCAGGAGATTTTCCAGCAATTGAATCGCGATTGGTTGATCAAGCAATGCTGCTTCAAGGAGTACGTTATGTTTCAAGAGACTCAATATTTGATTAGCGAAATATGGCTAGAATGGTGTAAAGATAGACACAAGTTGCATGAAAAATTGACAAGCTTGTCGGAAAACTTGAGTACAGAACTCATCAATGACATGCCAATAAGCAGGTGATGCAAAAGTTTTACTTTTTTTTCCATTTTTCAATCAATTCATGAGTCTCCAATGGCTCCAAATTCTCGTCAAAATATTGTCGATCCAAAACTTTGGATATTAGTAGGTCATTTATAGCACTTTTAAATTCAATAGTTTCTTCTTCTTTCCCTTCCTTGCCTTCTTCTTTTCCAAGTCTTGATCTCAACTTGGCTAGTATTCCCCCTACTTCAACTCCCAATCTCGCACCTTTGGGGAACGCATCATCGAAACCTTGTTGTAATTGATCTTCTCTATGAGCAGTTATTCCATCAACGTAACCCTGTTTACGATGCTGTCGTACCACGTCGTTGTACGCTAGCTCTTTGCGTCTATTATCACCCTCTGCGTCGTCGTTATCGTTATCATTATCATCATTATCATCGGCATCACTGGTAGCCCAAATATCATCGGTCTCTTCTTCTTCTTCTTCATGAGATGGTGTGTGTACAGCAGTTGCTTGATTTGACTTGCAAGGACAGGAGTTATTCTCGCTAGTCAGACACGTAGTCATGGTCACTATTTCCAAATGCAACAACAATCGTTAACGAAGAAGCTATCTCCAATTGAAACTAAAGAGACATCGAGTCGTGTAGTTTGTTCAAAGCGAATACTTTTTTCTGTTGTTTTGTCTCTCTGTGTCTTCTGCTATTAGAGAGAGAATTTTATACGAAACTTTTTTGTTGACAATAATACTTTTTTCATCAGCAGACTATCCCCATTCATAGAAACCCATACTTCAACCAACCATTCAAATTTTGATATATGCATATATAGACCAATAACTTCCAAGATTCATAGAAAGTTCATTTGAAACAGTGATAATTTTTTGAACGCGTTGTTACACTCATTTTCGCATCAACAATTTTTTTTCCCTTAAGCACCAGCCATCCATCCATATTATAATTATCACATTCCAAAGAAGCAAACAACAAACCATCGTTTTTAACAACAAGTGCCGGCCACTTTTCCAAACCTAACAATTAATTCAGATTACTTTTTGCCACATTCACATACAACACCATATAGATAAAAGATTACCATGTCGCAAGAAGATATAATAACACAGGTGACGCCCGACTCGGCTCCAAATGCAAATGCAAATTTAGCTGCCACCAACTCCAACACCAAAACCTCCAATGAAGATGTAGATTTCAACTCACTCATTAATTTGAATCTCAGAGGAACTAAATTCACCATCACTAGAGACGAATTGATGAGCTTGCCTGAAAGTATATTACTTTGTCTTTTCCCCAATGGTGTTTTTCTCGATGTCAATGGTCAAATAATTAGCAATTTAACCGAGGAAGATGTGGTGTATGTTAACTTTGACCCAGGATGTTTTCAATATATCATTGACATGTTCCGTAAAGCCCAACGGGATTTGGCAAGTATGCTGCCACAACAGCAGAATTTGCAATTGAGTCCCCAAGTTAGTGGTTCAAGAAGTCAACAAGAGAATATCCTCCAAACAAAACCAGCGATTATCGTGTTGCGAGAGGATTTGGATTTCTATGTGATTCCACCCATTGCAGGGTTGAATAGAGAAGATATGAGACAACTAAAGAAGGGCGTTAGTGTTGAGCTACTCAAGAACAAATTGATCTTTTCAGGACTTGGCTACAAATTTGACGAAAACGACCCGGTATTGATTGGCGAAGATGGATCGGTAATGCAAGATGCAAATGAAAAACAGGACAACAGTAAAGGTTTAGGTGCTGCTGAACAACACCTTTTTGATATGTTGTGCAGCTCGGGCTTTGATACACAGGATAAATGGGGATCAAGGAGTTTGGAACCGGGTAAATGTGTCATTTCATCTTTATCATTAGTAAGATTAAAGACTGAAAAGGACCAAACACCATCGGAAACTCCACCAGACTCCCCTTCATTAACACCAGTAGCATCGCATGCCAGTGCCAATGAAAGATCACGCTCACGTCCTCGATCAAGAATAGCTCAATTGGCGAGCAGTGCATCTAGAGCTGCATCACGATCGCTTTCACTGAAGAGAAACAAAGTTGATCCCAATCAAACAAAGTTGTTGCTATTCTGGAGGAAACCGGCTAGAAAGTGTTGGTGGTCACATGGCTGGATTACAATAAATATTGATGTCGCTGATATTAAAGAATTGGAGGATAGTGATGCAAAATTGAGCGTTAAAGTACATGTAAGAAGAGTGTGGACGTTGGAATTGTCAATCATTACGTGATGTGTTGACTGTGTGTGCTTTAATTGTGTGTGCTTTGCTTGAGATTCCTAAAGTTATACCTTAATAGAGAGAAGGGGTAGATCCATAGCTTACCAAGTGGGGTTGGGGTTTGAAAACTTCGCCAGATAGAGTGTGTTGAAGAAAATGGTGCAAATAGATTCCCTTCTCGTATGTAATTACCATTAAATATAGAACCATAATTGCTAATAAATTTTACAATCGACCAGTTACAGTGTAGGGAAATGATGGTAGTGGCTAGTTAGCGAGGTGTGTGTGAGACTGCCTCTTGTTTCTTTTTATTTTAATAGAACCGGCCATGTAATTGCCAAATGAATGAAAACTTAACAAAACATTACTATAAATAGATTATATAAGGAGTGTCTGTATCAAGTGTCATCCATCCAAAAGTCAAACGAATTGTAAAACTAGAAACATCAAATGAGTATTCTATTTTGCTCTTAGTGTGGGATTAATTCAACTATCAACCCCATTAAAGTTTTCTATAGTTGACTATATATATATACTACATAAACTATATATTTGGAATTGAAGGATTAGAGTTATTATAAAGTCTGTAGGATATTCTCTTCTTTTTCTTCTTCTTGGAATGATGAATTTATTTTTAGATAAGAAGAACAAGAAAAAGAAGAAGAATAAGAAGAACAAGAAGAATAAGAATAAGAAAAAAAAAAGTTATTTCAAAATCCACAGTAACTTTACTAGTAACTTTATCTAAACTGAAATTATACCCTTAGTATAGTTGTTGATACCCATTAATACTACTGATTGAGTACCACAGATTTTTACTCAAACCTAGCCAAACAAAGGTTACTACCATTGCTTTCCAATTGTTATTTCAACAGTAACAAGAAGTGTTTCTCTTCCACCCCACACCATTTAATTTATTCAACCACAAATTAAAAACAGGAGTTAGTCTACACTAGAGCCAAAATTAGCTTTATCTACCAGATTAGCTAATAGATCAGTTGACACTTTACTACGAGATACACAGCGCTGTTTAGAAAACAGCACGATTAAACTTTTACCTATCCTATGGTCATCTTCACATACACGATCTATATATCATTGAACCCATGAGTCGCAATATCACAGAGTTAGAAATAGATCAACCATCGAGGGTCATCGATTTACACTCATCTTTTCACGATGCAGGACATACGTCTACTTTATCTTCATCGTCCTCGTCGTCAATTAATATCGTTGATTCTCAGCATGGCCATGATGTAAAGTCAGTTCTTGACACAAACAGTATTACCAATGAAAGCAGACCTCCTGCAACGAGTACATCATCATTGTCCATACCAAGCTTATCAATTAGTGCTTCAGGTTCTCAAGCACACCCGCAGGTCACACCATTGAAATCTTCTGCTTCTTCCACACAATTTATTTCCTACCCACACAAAGCTTGCAAGAGGTCATCTTCATCATCAAACGATTTATTATATGAAAGGGATAGATTTAGGGCTAGACTCAGGAGCTTCAATTTTTCCCTCCCCAACAACGAGACAGATGTTACAGATACTGGAAGCTTGAGCTCTTGCAGCCATTGCGCATGTCACAACGAACCAGCCTCGCTTGAAGGTGATGTTCATCCTTGTGATGTATGTGATGGGATTGGATTTAAAACAACAAAATTGTCGATGACCCATCCCGAAGAGCAACAAAAATTAATAAGCTATTTCATTTTTGACCATTTATCTTTACACCAGCTCAAAGAAATGTTTCAAACGTATTTCAACTCCATCCTTCCACCCACAAACGTGATGTTCCCATGGCTACATGGGCTACATGAGGACAACTTTGCACAAAGGTCATTTTTCTCACAACAGCAGCAGCAGCAACAACAAAAGTTGGGAGTTACCAATACCAATTTCTTTACCGATTTTAAAACAGCAAAACCTAAAAATTCAGGCTTTTTAATGTGTGTCACTGATGGGTCTGTACCAGTTGAGATCCACAACACGGTTAAGTTGGTCGAGATTTTACAAAAAATCGATATATCCAAATCGGAAATCAGAGATATAGTTGCATTGATTTGGAGAAGTATTGATCATGAAAAGTTTAGCAACCACTTCAGCAACAAAGAGGAAGAGGAGATGATAGATGTACTCACTGCCGACTGTATTAAACTCAATGTTGTGCCATTCTTTTTAAACTTGGACCCCGATAGAGGCATCTCGTTGAGAAATTTCCAAATTCAGGTTGCTAAATTGTCAACGTGCTCGGATTTTGTTGTTTACGGAGCAGACCCTGAGACAATACAGTCAATTGCGAGGGTATTATGGTTGGCGCAGAAGGACGAGGAGCAATCATCGGGGATAAGTGCCCAAGAGAGAAAGGTTTTCATTTTAGATGAACCATTTAGTGATGCGTACGAACAAGTGGGTGAGATAGAGTTGAATGCACCACTACGAAGCTTTTTCCACTCTTCGAAGTTGTCGACTTTGGGTCTCCATTACAAATTAAAGGATCCTTTGCTTCTATGGGATAACAACTTCCAGTTGAGCGAAAAGATAGAAACAACATTAATGTCGACGGCAACTAAAATATGCCAGAATGTATTTGTGGGGAACTTTTGGGATCATCAAATCATGCTTCATTACTTGCAAGAAGATATCTCTGTAAATGCAACAGATCCTGTCAACTCAGTTGATGGATATAGTATGCCAAAAAATTCTTTAATCTCACATATGGGCAAACTGTCGCAAGATTATATAAACTTGCTACCACAACCAAAATTCAACTACAAACTATTCATTCAATGCCACTCAGACGCTTCATTCCCCGATGCGACACAATTGGCAGAATTGTTGTTTCAATACACCATATCGTCTCATGATAGCGAAGAGATCCAAGAAAGCCATCACTTGCTGTTCCCACCTCTGGGGTCAATAGGTATTGGTGACTGCAAACGAGAAAATCTTCGACTGATTGTTAACACTTGCAAATTGATCTACTTGTACTCCTCATCCATGTCTTCAAAGGGGTTAGGGTCATTGATTTATTGTTCGGATGGATATACTGAGTCATCATTGTTGGTGTTTTGCTACATGATGTATGCGCTAAACATCCCATTGGATGAGGCAATGCTCAAGTTGCATCGTGACTTTGGACGCCCTTTTTATATTTTCAATAGTGATGTGGTGATACTTCGCAAGTTGGAGCCATTGTTGAGAAAATATAGTCCCTTGCTGAAACAAGGTGAAACAAACTGGGGTGAAATGGAGGAGATATCATCAGCAGAGATCAATGAAATTTTGTTGGGAGCGCCAAAGAAGAACACAAATTCCAAATTCGGGTATATATTCAATGATGACGAAGATTCGTCTTTAAGTGACGAGAGTTCGTCGTCAGAGTCAAGTGATGAAGAGGATGAGGAAATTGAGGCACGCAAGTTTGCCATTGACTGGGTGAAAGAAGTTGAAGGGTCAATACCATCAAAAGTCCTACCTTATTTGTATCTCGGTTCGTTGAAGCATGCTCTGTGTTTACCGTTGTTGAACAAGTTGGGAATTAAAAAGGTGATTTCTGTAGGTGAGAACTTACCTTGGTTAAATGGGTACAAGTTCCGCAAATACAATGACATTGTTGTTGATGAAGACGATGAAAATATCGAGATAATTAACATCCACCCAAAGAGACACCACCAGCACCACCACCGCCATCTTCATTGGGATACGACCATTGATACCATAATGAAGGTAAATAACTTGGAGGATGATGGAATTGACGAGTTATCAAAACAATTGCCCAAAATTCTCGATTTCATCAATGAAGAATACGTCAAGACTGGTGGGAATACCAAGATATTAGTGCATTGTCGAGTAGGTGTCAGCCGAGGTGCAACTGTAGTTATCGCTGAGATTATGAAACGGTTCCAGGTCAGCTTACCCATGGCTTATCTATATGTGAGAGTGCGGAGACTCAATATTATCATCCAGCCGAATTTACGATTCATGTACGAGTTGTTCAAGTGGGAGCAAGGTCTTAAGCAAAGGAAAATACAGCAAGGTAATGATGACGGAGATAGTGAGAGCAAAGAATCAGCAATAGGACGATACCATGATGGAACTCACTATTTACGAGAAATCGATTGGTTTATTATGTGTCGAGAAATCATGAAATTGAATTTACCATATTTAAGTAATTAAAAAGGACAACTCAAATTTCGAGAACTTTACTTTACTTCAGATGAGTGGCTCCATTAACGTGATACCCATTCCATATGTTTTATGTTTTATTATTTAGTTATTTTAGACAATATAGAAATTACTGTTGTTATCCTGTCCTATTACGATAAATTGGTAGTGTAAACTGGGCACATTTTTTTTCTCTTCCCTCACAGAGAACTATCACCATTTTTTTTCTTTTTTTTCTTCTTCTTAATTACGAAAAGGTGGTGAGTGCATCAAAGAGGAATTATCTTAAAGTCAGTCTTTGCACAATCATCAGTTAAGTTTTGCATCACTTGTGTATACCATTGTGATATTGTTTTGCTTTAGCAGTAGTCAATTACATTGCTGAGAATAGGACGATTTATACAGAAACGTGTTTACACCCCACCCTTAGGCATAGATCACCACCAATGTCATCAAATACATCAAATCCAATCTTTGTGGATCCATCAATTGTCACACTTGAAAAGGACGTATCGAATTTGCTGTCGTCGAATCAAAATAAGCTGCGTCCGGAAAAGGAGAGGAAACAATCTCATTCATCGATACATAACTTGGAGCCAGGGAATGCATTGAGTAGGTTGTTGGACAGTGCGATGGCCCACGCGGCAAAAGAATCTACACCAGAACCGGGAATGGGAGACACTGATCCGATTTTGAAAGAAGAGAATGCTGAGGTCTCGCAATTGGAGGTCCTTTTAAATACGATCCCACCTTCAAAGCAAGGAAAAGAGAATATATACTCGGTTTACCAATTGCTCAAATTGAAATCTGATGTCGATGACGTGCCTCATGTAAAGGATTTGTTGCCTGAAATGTCGTTTTGGAGATTAAAGTCCCAGCGCGAGCCACACCCCAGACATTTGAGTAACAACTTGAACTCAGAGAATGGTGCATACAAGGGTAAAAAGTTTAAAAAGCATCAGAATGAGACGTGGGAAAGAGGCAAGCATTATGGTAATGAAAATACCAAGCCGGATCATTTCACCCGTAGGGGTAGTCGTCATGGATTTGTGAAATCAGAGGAATTGGATTCACTTTCAAGTGAAAAAATATCGCAATTACTAGGCGAGGGACCTGAAGAATTAGAACCTGAATGGGATGATGAAATTCTAGGTGATGGAAAAATTGGTAAATCTGGTGAAGATGATTTAGCTCACATGTCAATGTTGAACATGGGGCAAACGGTGGAGGATTTTGAGAAATGGAAATATCAAATGAAGTTGCAAGAAAAGAGGAAAAAGGGTGAAGTTGTCGACGATGAAATTGAACAGCAACAAATTGCTGACGATGAGAGCGCTGCGAAAAATGCTGGTAACGAAGTTGATAACTTCTTTTCATTTATCAAACCCACTCATAAAGAACCAACAATTGAAGAAGAGGTTGTTACTGCTGCCGTAGAAGAGCCAGCTCAAGTAAATTCTGGATCAAGTAATGCTAATAACCGTTCATCCCGTTTTTCATCGTTTTTCCAACAACCCAGCAGTGCTCCAAAAGCTAGTCAAGTAGGTAAGAGTGCCGAGGAGGGCAAACAAAAGCAGCAAGCTCTGGCCACTATGCCTCCTCCAGGATTTTCCAAGTTTTTCGGCGGACAAAAGAGTGCTCCACAAACACCTCAATATTCTTCGGAACCGTCTTTGTTGAATGCAAATGAGACAAGATTGCCCCAATTAAGGAATGAATCTTCGTCATGGTCATCACCACAAGGTCCATCACGAGCTCAGTTGCAGCAACCACCACAACCAGGGATTTCCGTGGAGCAGCAACAACAACCACCTATGCCACATCAATCTTCGAATGATAGTTTTTTCCTTTCTTTGTTGAAAAAGAAAGAAGGCACTCAACCATCGCCTTCTTCTGCAGCCGCAGCACCTGTAGTTGAACGTCCATCGAATAGTATACCCAATCAGAAGCTATCTAATGTGCCAGGGACAAGTTTGTCTGAAGTAAACGCTCCGCCTGGTGAGTTAAATAGAAAAGCATCTGTTGGTAATGCAGGTGAAGTTCACAATAGGGGTGCTCCTCCTCAGCAGCAGCAGCAACACCACAACCAACAACAACAACAACAGCAACAGCAACAGCAACAGCAACAGCCAGTTAATCCAAATCAATTTCCTCCTGGTTTGATTCCACCAGGCCAATTTCCTCCTTGGATGAGGGGACCACCGCAACAGATGGGCAATTTCCCACAAGGTTTTCAACCACCAATGCCATATAGCCCGCTGCAACAACCCCGTCAACAAGAAGACCAAGGCAAAAATGATAAAGAGGTAAATCCAAGTCAATCACCTCAGCAGCAACAACAACGGCAGCAACCTCGATTTCCATTTCCATCCGGGCAGCCAGGCCAGCAACACCCAGGTAATCGCATGCCAATGCCTCCACCAGGTATGTTTCCTAATGGGTTCATGCCACCTATGCCACCTCCAGGAACCAACTTCCCACCGGGTCAAGGTCCACCACCTGGGTTTCGTCAACCACAAATTCCACCTGAATTTTTGAACAATCCAAATGCTAGATTCATACCACCGCAATACTTAGGAATGCAAGGAGGATCACCGCAAATGCCACCTCCTGGGCTTCAACAACAACCACGCGGAGTGCAACAAGGACTAAACCCACATCAACCGCAACCACAGCAACCGCAACCGCAACAACCAACACCACCACAACAGCAGCAGCAGGAGAAACAATAAATTTCGGCTACAATGAAACGAGGTGATGAGACTACCTTTTTCAAAATACACGTCTTTTATTTTAACTATATAACTTTTGATACTTGTAGAACTAAATTGAGCAATTGGATATGCTCATCAGTACCAAAATTCAACTTTTTATCCGTGTCAAACAAAACCAAAGCAATTTGATTCTTGATTAACGAGTTTATCGAATCATCCATTACTAAAACTTCGTGTAACTGATCAATCAATTGTTGTGCACTCCACCCACTTAATATTATATCATTCACCAAGCCCACCAACTTCTCCTCATCTTTGGACCTGATTGTCTTCACCAACCTATCAATCAAATCATCAGGCAATACACCAGCAGTTTCTCTAATTGATTGTTTAGTAATCAATCCTGCATCTTTATCGTCATTCAGTTGCAAACTCGTGCTCAATTTGGACGCACTTTGTAAATAGGTAATTGCCTTTCTTAAATCACCAGCACTTATTCTCAACACTTCATTCAATATTTCGTCTTCGCCTTGCAGTTTATCCAAGTTTAAATGTTCTTCATTGGCAATATACTTTAGTCTATTCAACGAATTCTCATTGTTTAACAACTTGAATCTGAATTTGGAACATCTTGAAGCCAATGGGTCAATAATCCTAGTGATGTAGTTACACACCAATGCAAATCGAGTGATGTTGGCATACGTTTCCATTGTTCTTCTCAAGGCGCTCTGCGCATCATTGGTCATCGAATCAGCTTCGTCTAAAATGATGATTTTGTAAGGCGGACATGGATAATTTTTCAAATCTTCAGAACTTGGATTACTCACAGTCAATTTGGCAAAATTTTTAATCTTTTGACGTACGATTGAAATACCTCTTTCGTCACTAGCATTCAATTCCAACACTCTAGATTTGTACAAATTTGGACCGTATAGTTGCTTAGCCAATGCTAATATCGTTGACGTTTTACCGGTTCCTGGCGGACCATAAAAGAGCATATGAGGTAAATTGCCGGTAGAAACCTGCTTTTCCAAAACTTTAACAGCATGTTCTTGTGATGCAATGTCATTGAGATTCTTGGGTCTGTATTTCTCAACCCAAGGTGTGTGCTGAAGCTTTTCTTCTTCGTAAGAAGTGGTAGTCATTGTTACTATGGCTCAGCTGCTGCCGCTGCTCAAATGAGAGAGACACGTCTTGGTTAAGATGTTTTTTCATCACTGGACCCCAAACGCGCACCAAATTTCAAAAAAATAAGAAAAAACTGTCACGTGATTAAGGAACTCGCTGTCCATTTTATTGAAGATATGGACAAGGGCCTAATAAGTTGTGTATCGTTATTTGCTTTGATTCAGAGGATATATACTCTTCTATAGAAATCTAATTTCAAAGAGTTGTTGCTAATACTTTCAAGTTTGACAATAACCACAGCGGTTTATCAATTCTCAGTCCTCCTCTTTTTTTTTTTTACTTCTCTTATTATTTTTATTTTTTCTTCTAGCGAACGCTGTAATTATAAGACCACTTGACACACCGCAACAAGACTATTCCAACATGCCATTTCAAGATATCTTGAACAACCTTCGTAATCCAACCAAGCGATTCAACCGCATAAACTTGGGTTTTATATCGCCAACAGTTTTAAGATGGAGGATTACAGATTTGATTCTAATTGCTGTTCTTATTGCGTTGTTCTTTATACTATACGACATCAAACCATTTCATAGACAGTTTTACATCAACGACTTAACCATCTCTCATCCATTTGCCGAGGCCGAGACAGTGGGAAATACGGCGTTGTTTGTATATTCTACATGGATTCCATTAGCTATTATTATTGTGGTGTCGTTGTTACTCACCACTCCACAATACAAGTTATACAACACATATGTGGCCGTTGTAGGCTTGTGCTTGAGTGTGTTGATAACTTCAGTTGTCACCGATGTGCTAAAGAACTGGATTGGTCGTCTCCGTCCTGATTTTTTGGCAAGATGCATACCTGATGCATCAACCCCAATCAACACGTTGGTGTCTATCGATGTATGTACACAGGAAAATTTGGGACTTTTGGAAGATGGATTTAGAACCACACCATCAGGACATTCATCACTAAGCTTTGCTGGCTTGAGCTTTTTGGCATTGTTCTTGCTCGGTCAATTACAAGCACCAAACACTAAGGTCGGAAGTTGGAGGACATTGATTGGTGCCGCCCCATTTTTAATGGCTGCTTATATTGCATTGAGTAGAACTCGCGACTATCGTCACCATTTTGTTGATGTGTTGACTGGTAGTATCTTGGGGTTGGGTATTGGATTCTGGTCATACTTGAGATTATTTCCTTGGATCAGTCACGAGAGAAGTTACGTCAACTTGATAATTATAGAAGAGGAGGATGAAGAGAACAATAGCAAGCTTGACCATGACAATGAAGCTAATTACACTAGATTAACAAATGTATAAATTGAGTCTATAATGTATGCGTTTATATTAGATGTTACATCTTCACATCAAAGTAGTTCTGCCACCGACTTCATTGCTGGCACTCCCGTCAGGCATATTACCATCTCTACTGTCAATGAATTGCGAATAAATTTTTGTCAATTTCGTCTTCTCTGAATGAGAAATGGAGGGTTTCGTCTCTTTTAACGATTCAACAAAGTTGGCATGAGTGATGAGAACTTTAGGCTGCTCGATATGTGTCAGTTTTGAGTTCTGAATCTGGCCATTTGCCAGCTTTTCGTTTTGAACAAATTGCTGTATCTGGTGCAACAATTTGACCCTGTCGGTACTTTTAAGCTTGGCTTGATCACCCACTTTGAAAAATTCAACTGCAGACTCATCAACATCTTGGTCTTGCTCAGCATTGTCTTTGGCTTCCAACTCCTCTAGTCTCACATGAACTGCTTTCAAGTAAGCATTATATCCCAATCCTTGCATATCTGCACCACTGAACCCATTCGTCTTTTCAGCAATCTCTTCTAATTTGACATCATCTCTTAGATCCATCTTGGCAGTTATACTCTTCAATATGTCCAACCTGTCCTCATAGTTGGGCATGTCGCAAATGACACTTTTATCCAACCTACCAGGTCTCAACAACGCACTATCTATCAAATCTGGTCTCGAAGTAGCAGCAAGGACATAGACTCCATCCAAACCCTCAGCACCATCCATTTGTGTCAACATTTGGTTAACAACACGGTCAGTGACTCCAGTAGAGTCGTGTCCTCTCTTTGGCGCTATTGAATCAAACTCATCAAAGAACAAAATACATGGCTTTGCTGCTTGAGCACGTTCAAACAATTCCCTAACACTTTGCTCCGAGGCACCAATATATTTGTTTAAAATTTCAGGACCTTTGATGGAAATAAAGTTCAAACCACATTGTCCAGCTATTGCGCTAGCTAGCAAGGTCTTACCACAACCAGGATATCCATAAAGCAAGATACCGGATCTAAGTCTCAAAGGACAGTTTGCAAATATTGGCGCATACTTTGTTGGCCATTCAAGTGTCTCCAAGAGAATCTTTTTGGCTTCAGTTAGGCCTCCAATATCGGTCCAACTAGTTCCTGATTTCTGAAGCTTAACACCTCGCAAGCTCGATGGTGTGAACCCACTCAAAGCACTATCGATGTGTCCAGTTTCAACAACATTAGTAGTTCCACCATCGTCTCCAACGGTGGGGTTAGATAAACATTGATGGTATACCCTATGACATAGGATCTTCAAATCATTGGGTAAGTAACCTTCGGTCTCACTCACCAAATCCATCAAATCGACGTCCAATTTACACTTTAAATCTTCTGTCAAGTATTTTTCAATAATTTGGAAGCGTAGAGTCTTATCTGGTGCAGTCACATGATGGTAATTTTCAATCAAGTGGGAACCAAGCAAAAGCTTGTTCAAGCTCTCCTTTGAAGTCGAGGAGTAAAGCACTGAAACATTTGAATTGGCCTGGTTATGCAACTTTGACAACTGTGATATAAAATATTCAGTAGTTTGATTTGATTTTGAGGCATCCATATTCTCCATCTCGACATTCATAATTTTATCAACATTGTCAAGAACTAACAATGAAGGTTTATTCCAAGAACACTGCTGTAACCATTTAAAAATGTGGCTTTTTGACAAATTCAGGAACGATTCATTAATGAGGGCTTCACACGACACAAACTTGATAAAGTAACCATGATCTTGACTCAAGATGTCGCTAACTTGTTTGAGGTACAAAGTTTTGCCACTTCCAGAATTTCCGTAAACTAATGTCCCAGTGTTGGCGGAAACAAGAAACGAGCCAACCAAGTCAGCTACAGCCTTTTCAATTCCAATGGGCTTATCTTGCTCTCTGAGAGCAGATTCCTGTTGCAACTCTTGAATAAATGATTGTGGGCGTAGTAATTCATCGCCAATCTCAATCTTGATTGGCTTTTTCCTACTAAGATCGTATGGTTTTACCCACGCGTTGTAGTTGTCATTTTTGCGAAATTTCAAAAGTCCGCCATATGGTAAAGTGCCGGCAATGCTAGGAATTTTGACAAAGTTAGTCACAGTAGTCGTTGAAATCTGAGGATACAATGCTTCGGTCAATTGCTGTGTTAGTTTGGAAGCTTTCGTCTTATTTACCTCCTTCTTCTTGTTGGAATTAATTTCATAGGGGTGGATGACAAACGTGGTGGGACGCTTTGGCAAGCACTTAACGGCAGGTTTCAATACAACGATATCTCCCGTCTGTTTGTATGCGTTCAACGCGATAGCCAAGCTTTTAGACAACCCCACATTGTTGGACATACCTTTATGATTGGCTAGTTCGGCTACTATCCTCTTGTTTTCCTTAATGTCATTTTCATTGGCCAATGCATTTTTCAAATCATTCGGTCCAGGAAGAATAGACACGGCAACATAAGAATCAAAGCCCTCTGGAAGCTCATTTCGATTGGCAAAGACTTTATACCCAGTATCGTCCACATCTTTATACAAGTTGTGTGGTAAACTGATTCCTCTTTTCAATACCAGTGGTGAATTGTTGTAGTCCTCCTTTTTAGTGGCACTCTTCTGACTGCTAACACTCGTGGTCTCTGCAACTTCGCTTTTCTTTCTCACTTTTGGAGCAATGGCAATTTCACAATATGGGGATATCTTAGCATATTTGTGTTCAGTGGACCCTATATCAGTGACAATCAATTTGGCTGATGTAGTGGCGTTTGGGTAAACTACTAAAATCTGATTCAACGCCACGCACCGTGTTTGACTCAACAACTTATCCTCAATGAGCTGGGCATTCAACTCAACAACCTCCCAATCCGAGCTTGTTAAAGGCTCCAAGTTTATATTCGATGCTTCAAAATTTCCCAACTTCAAGTTAATGTATATTGACGCCTTGTCAGGAATGGACAATGATTGGGCAAAAATCGGGTCAATCTCCAAGCTCTGCAAGCTAGACGAGGACATACCTGACCAACCGGCATATGACTTTTTAGAATTCTTTTGTTGGCTCGAAGCGGGTGATGTCACGATTTCTATAATGACATCTTGAACCTGGATATTGGCGGTGAATAACAAGTTGGTCAAGTTGGAAGGCAAGTTTACCAAGTTTGACTTTAATGTTTTGAATGCTATTTTAGCTTTATGATTATCCATGATACGTTAATTTATAGTATAAACAGTTCTGTAAAGTTGTTGAAGTGGGGTGGAAAAAAAAAAGAACTAGAAAAACAGAAAGTTGGTGATTGATTTTTCCGAGTCAGCGTGATAATTTTCATACCGAAAGGTGGGGGGAGAGAACAAACTTTCTGTTTTTGTCCTTTTTCTTCGGCACAAACACCAAAAAGACTGCAACATTGATAGTACTATCTAAGGTATACTACAGATGAATTGATACCCGTCCACCTTGCTGTCACTCAACATCGGAACAATACGAAAGAGAGCTTGGGGAGAGGTGGAGGGATCACTTTAATATAAAACTTTCCTTATATTATGTACAAGATGAGTTTCTGTAAGTCATGTTCTACTCCCTTTTATTGAATTCATTGAATTTCTCCAAGTCATCGTTCTTGCCTTGGCTCTTTTGCAAGTCTTCCCACTTCTTTCTATTCCTTTCCTCCTTATCTTGTTTTGCTTTCTCCATCATTTGCATTGACCTTCTTCTTAGTGAACGACATTGTTCCCAGCCAACCATATTTCCCAAAAAGAACCCACCTACTGACCAATTTAGCGACTTGTTCAAATCTTTTCTAATCAAGAATGTAATGACGCCCAATACACCCATAGCTTGAAACCCTGTAATCATCGCCTCTCTAAAACATGGCATACTGACAAACCTGTCTATCGTGAAATCTGATAGTTGGATCGACTTTGCTGCGTCGGCAAGTGTTGGTTGTGCATTGTTCTTTTGAGGTGGTTTGGATGGAACATCAGTGTCTTCAAACTTTGGTGGCAAATCTTCTAAATATTGTTGCAGTTTAGGCTCTGGTTTATATTCAGTGACCATAGACACCTTAGAAGGAGGTGCGGTGTTATTGTTTCCTCCAAACCAGCCCATGCTTGTGCTATCGTATGGAGAGACGAAGTTCAACACCTCGGTCTTATGGACAAACGAGAATTGTTTTCCACGCATCGCTGCGCTACCACTACTATGACGGAAGGGGATGAGTAAGAGTGGTGCAAACGTGACCTCATTAATTAGATCTTTTACTGTATCTTCTATATATTACCTCAAGTGTATCGTTCGATCATTGCAAAAGAGCCCACCTTGGTATTCTTTTGGATAATTCAACCTGGTTTACTAAAATTCATAATTGTGGGTCTTAACAACTCGCTACAAACAAGATCTTCTGATTCCCTGAGGGGGGGCCTAGTAAGACCTTTAAAGATAGCTAGTATCGTTTCCCATAAAGAACCTCCTACTCTTTAACCACAAATATTGCACTACCCATTCATTTGCACCCCATCTAATTCCCATAGACTATCTTCCTTACCTTCAAACTCATCAATACATTCAATAACAGTTTTAAGGTTGTCCAACACATTACTTATAGACACTCGTATAACTCTATCACTTATTCCTGAGAATTTGCATCGGAGAACATTCTCCTCCACGTCGTAATCAATCTTTAATTCGCTTGTTTTCAACACAGGGTCTGGTCTTAACGAATTTTTGGCTATTGTCGCTTGTCTCGACGTTTGAAAAGGTATGTTTAACGTTAATTCTGGCATGGCAAGCTTGTGAGCTAGTGGTGGTTTAACTTCTAAAGACAAAGAGTTTGATATTTTTTTGCGCACGAAAGATTTGAAAATTTGGCACCATGTACAAAAGTTCAATACAAATTGGTTTTATACACTATATATCTGTACTATTGAGTCAACGCAAGTTTCTGTTGTTCCATCTCTTTATAATGATCTACTTGGTTCTCTATCTCCTCCTTGATCTTTTGTATGTAAACGTCCAAGCGATTCAACTCATCAGTTTCATCTGGCCGTATATACTCCTGGTCTCTCTTGTCTGGATCAGATAGCTCATACGGTATAAGATTTATTGGCTTCCTTGTCAAAATTTCAAACACTTTTTCTGTGGGCTCGTTGAATACCAACTCGTCGTATAAAATAGAGTGGACTTCGCCACTTTCGCGTTGTGGCTGCTGTGGATTATAAGGATGCAATTTCAAAGCATGGAAGATTTGAAAGTTTTTCTCATTGATACCCAAATCCACCCCAGCGTGGAAATGTAGTTTTATGATGATTTCGAATTCACCCCATCCAGTCTCTGTTACTTGATATGGTGGGTGCTCAACTGTACGAATAGGGTTCTCATACGTCTCATGTAGTTTGAAGGTTACTTTTTTTATCAACGGCGTCAAGTCTATATCGCCTAGAACTGGCTTGAAGAATACTGTCCATTCATGTGTATGATCAGGTGGAGTAGTGGGTTTTCTCATTTCTGGAGTGAGCTTGTATGCATGATTGCCATATAGAATAGGCAAGGAAATGGAAACAAACTTGATTCTTTTGGAACTAGCACTCATTATAAACGATGGTGATTTAAAGAACTTTGATGTGTGTTTGGTTTTGATGATTTTATCCCATGCTCTCATTTTTAAAAAGAGGAGGAAATCATGTGGTGCTACCAAATGCATTTGAGCCTTGGGTATGGGTGCAATGAATAGGCAAATAGCCAATGTTCATTTGAAGCAGTGGGTATAAGAATGAATATTTGGTTCTTCCAATAACTTTAACTGCCTATTGAAATACTATTTAACGGCTATGCACGAGATACACATGTATCACGTATTTGCAGTAGACGCGTTTTGAACAGATGGGATAGTCGACTTCTTTTGTCAGACCTAACTTTCCCCCATACTTAGATAGGGGGCAAGTTATATGTAGTGTCGGAAAAAAGCTACATTTAGGTCCTGCTACCTTCAAGCTCACCTACTGCTTATTTATTTCGAAAGTTGTCTCCTTGGTACACATCAATTCTCTCGAAACAGAAAACAAAACACACAAAAACCAAATTGGGAAGAAAGAAAAATAGAAAAGAGTTGGAAGTCAAATATCTCAATCCTCCTTGCAAGAAGGTCATTTTATTGAGCACCGATGCTGACTACATCTATGAAGAGAGCGCGCGATGACGGTTTCATCATCAGCCATGATGTACCAAATGTATGTTTGTTGAAAAAGTACTAGTTAAAGTCACTGATTACTAACGCGTATAGGACAACAAATTGATACCATCACAACAACTAATGACACAAATGATTAGTAACCCACATAAAAAGCGTGCTATGATGACGCAAGCACATAATGAAGAAGAGGATGCAGGGTCATCTGGCCTGGTGTCTGAATCAGAAGGTGAATCAGATGACTCAGATACAGAAGAGTTTCCTGGTGACGACGGAATATCACCAGCCAAAGCAGGAATTATTGAACATTTGAGTTTGAAAAATTTCATGTGTCATGACTCATTCGAATTGAGCTTAGGTCCGCAAATTAACTTCATCATTGGAAGGAATGGATCTGGTAAAAGTGCAATTCTTACGGGAATTTCTGTTGGGTTGGGAGCTAAAGCCAATGACACTAATAGAGGAAGTTCCATAAGGGACTTGATAAAGGATGGTAAACTTACATCGAGGATTATTATCACTTTGAAAAATGAAGGTCCCATGGCGTATAAGCCAGAAGAGTATGGTAAGAAAATCATTATTGAAAGGAAGTTACAAAGAACTGGAAACAACACATACTCAATCAAGTCTGAGCAGGGAAAAACAGTATCGCAAAAGAAATCGGTCTTGGATGAAATTTTGTTCAAGTTCAACATCACTGTGGACAATCCTTTGGCCTTCTTGTCCCAGGATAAGGCGCGAGAATTTTTAACCACAGCCACAGCAAAAACTAAATTTGAGTATTTCATGGCAGGTGCTTACATCACTGATATTTACAATAATCTTGATGAAACGCACAGGAATATACGAGATATTAACAGCAAAAAGGATCAGGCAGAAGAGTATACCGCGAAATGCAAAGCGGAGTACAAAAGAATTGCTAAGATACACAACGCTCACAGAAGAAATGACCAGTTGAGAAATCATGCAATGAAATTGAATGGTAAAATTTACTGGTTTAACGCTCAAAAGTATGAGAAGAAGATTGAGGAATACATTGAAAAGACCTCTGAGGCAGAGTCGGAGGTAGAAAGGAAGACTCAGAGTATACAGGAAATTGAGCAAGAAATTATGCTGGAGCAGCCGCAAGAGAGTGTTATTCGGCAAGAAATGAGAGGGGCTGAAACTAACTTGGAGTCAGTGCAGAGTCGTTATGAAGAGGCAAAGACAGCAAGGTCTCAAATCAAATCACAACTAGATGTTGTTCAAGTAGACATCAAGAAAAATAATCGAGAAATTGACAATTTGAATCAAAATATAAAGTACAATAAAGATAAGCTCAAGACTGAACGAAGAAAAATTGAAGAACAAGAAGGTGGCTCAAAAGAGGAAATTAGAACTAAATTAGCTCAGGCGGATGAAGATTTAGTCAAGAGTGAGGAAAACGTGGCTCTATGTAGACAGAAGATCAAGGACTTACAGTCAAACCCTGACCCCAGAATTGAAGAGTTGACGCTGGCTAAGGAGGCATCGGGCCGCAATTTGAGGGAGCTTCGGTTGAGGCAATCGGAATTGGAAAAGGACCAATTTTCAAGGTATACACCATGGGATGCTCGTAAAATGCAAGGTGTTATGTGTGATATAGAGGGAGTTCAATGGTCGTCTAAACCACTTGGACCCCTTGGTAGCTATATTTCGGTAAAGAAGGAGTTTCAAAATTGGAAACCGTTATTGGATGCGATATTGAGTAAAAGCTTAGATGCTTTTATTGTTCGTAATGAAAGAGATCGATCCCAGTTGGATAGAATTTTACGGAAGCATCATGCGTTCCATAATATTATTGTTCGTAAAACTGAACGTTATCACTATGAAAGTGGTAAAGCTAGAGGTACCACTGTGTTGGATATGCTTAATATTAGCGAAGATGCTGTCTTGTATGCCTTGATCGATAACAGTTCGATTGAAAAATTAATTATTGCAAACTCAGCCGAAGAAGCAAGACGATTATGTTATGAACCAAACGTTTACGGTGTTTTGGCCCAGTTTGGTAACTCGTCGGGAAGTAGAGTAAGTCGTCAAAATGGAGTGCTTAGACTGGATCCTGTTTATTACCTGGGTAAGCTTCCTAGGTTTGGAAGTGAGAATAAGAATGAAGTCTTGGATGAATTAAAGGAGGAGATCAGCAACGAATCAAATAATCAGAACAGTATCGAAAGGGAGTTACGAGGAATCAAGATGAAGATCGATAACGAACGGAATACATTGTATCGTGAACAAAGTGAACTAAAGCGTGAATTGGAAAGTTTAAGACGCAAGAAAGCAATTTATGAGGACAAGATTGACAAGGAGATTGACGAATCAAATGTTTTAAAATTGCAATTGAGAATAGAAGAAGATACTTCGCAAATCAGTCGTCTTGAAGGACTTATTGAATCTCTTGAGGAGACAGCCGAGAGAACTACTGGGAAATATAATGCATGTTCACAGTCAATTAGTGACATTAAGGAAGAAGTCAAGCAAGCAAACGAGAAAATGAGACTATTTGAGAAGAAATTGGTAACTCATCAAGAGTATATCAAGACATTAAGTTCCAAAATTGTTGACATCCAAGGGCACAAACAAGAGCTTGTTTCGTCGATCGAGAGGTGGAAAGGTGTAATTGAACAGGGTAAAGCTAAATTAGAAGAACAATTGGAAACTGCTCAAAGCTTGTGCAACCGTGAAGAAGTCACCATAAACGAAGAAGATACACAAGAAAGTATAGCGCTAGAGTACGCTGACGTGCAACAAGAAATAAAAGAGGCTGAACAAGCTTTAGGCTCGACTTTGGAGGAAGTGTTGAAAGAATTGGAAGTTGCCGAACGGAAACGAAACGAGGCATTAGCAAATGAAAAGGAATTGGATAATATAATTAAGAAACTACGAGAAGAAGTTACGGTGAGAGTAGCATTTTTTGCTACCACGATAAGACATGCTATCGATTTAGCTAAACGATCTTTTGAAGATTCAATGGAGGTTAGAGGTTTCCGGGGATCGTTGAATATGAATTTTAAAGATGGATCATTGGATCTAATGGTAAAAACCAAGAGAGACGACAAGGATCGTACTGTTGAATCATTATCGGGTGGAGAAAAATCATATACTCAAATTGCGCTTTTATTATCTATATGGCAAACTATGAATTCAAGAATCAGAGGATTGGATGAATTTGACGTTTATATGGATTCAGTCAATCGGTCAATCAGTATCAAGTTGCTACTTCATGAGTTGTCAAGGTATCCTAAATCGCAAAATATTTTCATTACACCTCAAGATATTGCTGTTGTTGGTGACTTGAGTGGTGATAATGTACGAATTCATAAAATGTCCGACCCAAGGCGGGACAATTGAAGGTTTATAGAGTTGATGAAGAGATTTAATGTAACATTTTGACTATTATTTACAGGATGCTAATAATTGTAACTCGTCTTTATACAGGTGAGAGGGTGCTATTGTAAATCCTTCTTCATACAGATGAAACGACGTTATTGTGAATCTTTCTTTATACAGGGTTCGTGCTTATCACACGTATGCAGCCACGGGATAATTAACATGGCCTTTGTTCAACAGGCGATAATACTTGAGGATTTCTAGTCGCAACGGATACAACTCTGGTCTATTGTGCGTTGTTTGAAGTAAAGTAATAAATGCCGGACTCTTGCATAATCGTTGACCATATGAAGCCAACGATTTAAGTATGGTAAATGCAATTTTATGTTTATCCAAATCGCACAAGGCGGCTATTACAAAAATATGTAAACTGTAGTGATTTGGTTTCATAAACTGAAGTAACTTATCATATTCATACAATTCCTCTTGCTTGATGTATTCAGTGATGAGATGTTGGAATCGAGGTAAATCTGAAGATGCGATGGGATTTTGAATGATTGCAATGCTGGAGCTAACGAGGTTGTTGCTGGTGGAGCTGTTGCTTATTGGTGATGTATATACGTTATACTGAATAACGGGGTTGTATATCCCACTTTGGCAAATTTGTGCCAACAATTGCTGATGAATATCAAGTGGGTAAGTAGGAATAAAGTCAAATCGGTATTGGTTCAGTTTAATATTGTCTAATCTCCATTGGTTAAAATCAGTAAACTCTTTACGTAATTTGGCCCTTTGTTTTCTTCTGGACGCCACTCTTGATGCAAATGCTAAATTCTGAAACTTTGTCAATGCCATTGTCAAATCCCCCATTTCTGCATATACTTCAACATTTAGTGCAAGCAATGATTGGTATGCATCTTGATTATCCAAATAGGCATAAAATCTTCGAAAATACCGCAAAATTCCTTGCATTCGTTTAGCATCGCCATTATTTGTGAAAATCATTGCCAAGTGAACAAGATTTTGAGGGCTCATAATAAATGGTATTTGATCGTTCTCAGGTACTGCAAAGCTAACTTCATCATAGAACCGATGATTATCAACCAATTCATGAAAAATGAGCATGGCCCCAAGATAATTCGACTCTAAACATACTTTATTAAGGATTATAGTCCACACTTCATTAGATATTTGATAATTTTCATTACTCAAGAGCAAATGTTGTAATGAAATCGCCGCTTGTAAATTATTTTGCTGAAGGAGATTGTAAGTGAATGTAAGGGAGAATTCTGGATCTACTCGTGTATGGTTCTGTACGAGAAATTGAAATACTTTTGGTGTTGGTTCTGTTTCAAGAATGGATTGGAGTTTGGCATTAATCGCGTCAGTGGTGGTGGGCTGATTGCTTAAATATCGATGGAATGCGGTACCTCTCAACGATAGGCGTAAAGGTAGATGTCGTAGGCTAGATCGTATTCTACCTCTTGTGTAAATCATATCCTATAACTTGTTTTATCCTTGTTGGTTAATAATTTCCCATTATCATCTGATATGATTCAAAGGCTTCTACCAAAACTGAAAAAAAAAAAATTTAGAATAAAAAAAAATTTCAATTCTTTACACATACAAACTGCAACAACGACTCTACTACAATGTTCAAAGTGGGACTATCTAGATTCTCTGCTGGTTCCATACTAAGAAACCAAGCTAGGTTATCCGCTAGGTCGCAGCTGTGGAGGTTACAAGCAGGTGTGCCTACATTTGCCTCATCCATACGTTACAACTCATCAAGCAGTAGCGGCAGTACGGCACACGAGATCAAGGATAAACTAGTCTCCTTTGTTGACGAAAACAATGTTGCAGAAACAGTAACAAATTTGCACTCCGATCAAATTGGCTATTTGGAATCGATTGGTTTAGCTCAAGGATGGGGTCCAACCAGCATCATTGAAAAGCTTTTAGAGTTTACTCATGTATACACGGGATTACCATGGTGGGGAACGATTACGGTGCTCACCGTAGTTATTAGAGTTGTATTATTCCCCCTTTACGTTAAAGCTAGTTCTAATGCCACTAGGATGTCGGAAATCAAACCGCAGTTGGACAACGTTATGAAACAGATCAAAGGTGGTGACGTACAAGAACAAATGAAGGGGATGGAGAAAAGACGGAAATTGATGAAGGACCATAATGTCTCAACATTGGCTTCATTGGCACCAGTGGTTCAATTACCATTAGCGTATGGATTTTTCCAAGCCCTTCGAAAAATGGCTAACCATCCAGTCGAGGGTTTCACTGATCAAGGTCTTGCTTGGTTTACCAATTTAAGCGATGTTGATCCATATTTAGGGTTGCAAGCTATCGCAGCAGCAACTATTATCGCTGTGGTGAGAATTGGAGGTGAAACAGGCCAACATGCGATGGCGCAAAGTATGAAACAAGTGATGACCGTCGTGCCAATAATTTCCATCTTTATCACCAAGAATTTCTCAGCTGCTGTTGTTTTATATTTTGCCATCAATTCATTCCTCTCATTGATTCAAAGTTCCATCTTTAAAAGTAACACCTTGCGTCAAATGTTGGGTATGCCTAAGAAATTGACTACTCATGAATTGAATGAAAGTACACAAGGACTGACCAAGTCGTTGAAGGAAATGGTTACTAATTTTGTTGATGAGTCGAAGGAGAGGAGTATCAAAGCGGCCAGAGACGCAAATAAGAGATTGGAAGTGACTCAGCAAAGGAAAAACAGTAATGTTGAGGGATATATTAAAAAGAGGGAGAGAAAGTAAGCCAATTGGGTTTAAGCGTCTGTATATAGTTTTTAATACACACTGTATTACTCTATTGACCTTTGAAAGTGCAGGGGAGAATTGTAATTTTTTGCAACAAAATGGAGCCAAGTATATGCAAATTAAAGTTTCCCTTTTTAATGTGAAAACAAATAACATCATAAGCCTTGGTTTGAAGAGATCGCTTGTATTTAAGCCCAACCAAGAAAAAGAGAGCCGTGATCTGAGATAATATGATTTTAATGAGGAAGAATTACCAAGAGTTGAATATATTTTCTTATTTTCTTGTTTTCTTGTCTGGGAGAACTATAATATCATTTTTAGAGAATAAGGAAAGATGTGACTGTGGCTATATCTGCAGACCCCAGCTAACAAAATACAACATGGACAAACAAGAATGGACAAACTAGACCTGGTCTTTGTCATTTGTGCTTTCGTTCTTCTTCGTCAGTTCAATAATCTTAATGAAGTTTAAAAAGGAGCCATGTATTGTAACTAAACAGTTAGGTTTATTATAAAGTTCTTCCTCATGATGCACCCGGTCCCTACCCCTCAAACCTTGTTGGCTTTTTTGAAGTGCTCAAACTATGCCACGATTTTGCTCCAACTGCTAGGAAACTTTATCTCTGAGGATGATTAGCATGTGCATCTGAATAGAACAGTACACACATTGGTATTGGTAAAGGAGGGCAAAGTAGGCGAAAAGGGTGAACTCCAGTTGGATAACTCCGGCTGCACACCCTTCCCCTTTTTCTGTGCCTCTCACCCTCTCACCCTCTCCTTGTAAGGTATTTGCTTCTGAAGACCAACGTGATTTACGTAATCGAGGCACTGAGTTAGGATAAGATAACTCCGAAATAGAGAAGACACATTTTTCATGTCAATATTGTTACATAATCGTGCATTATGGTGTTGTGGCAGGGTGATGAGGCCTTTCTCCAGCTAGGGGTAAAGACATGATTCCATGTGATTGTGATACATTTTTTAGGTTTTCAGTGATTAACCACCGTGGAAGCTAAGTTTAGGCTAGGAATAGAGAAATAAAGTAGAAAAGTTGATAATCAATCGCGTGTGTATTTCGGAGTTTAGTGGTGGAGATAAAGAAGAGAAGAGATAGAATCACCCACAACAGACAAAAAGGTGCAAAAAAGAAACAAAGTGCGGAGTAATTAACAACAAACGGAGTTTAAACTTTTTGTGTATCATCAACACATATCATTTTGCAAGTGATCTTCTTTTCACATGCAAAGATGAATATGGTATAAAATATATATCTGTACCCTAGATCACCCCAAACATCAACATCAAAGATAGCAACAATCACATCAAACATGACACATATTATCTACTTGATTGTCATTGCTTCATTCGTCATCTACAAACTACTCCACAATTTCCAACTTCGCCAGCGTAGCAAGAAACTAGGATGCAAACCCATCAAGAAAATACCAGCCCGTAACTGGCTAGACTACTTTGGATTAGACGATATTGTCCATCATAAAGAATTGACAGAAAAGGGTCAAACTTTTGAGCGAATAGAACAAGCATTTGAACGAGCCAATGCCAAGACGTTTCAAGGAACAGCAGTGTTTAAATCATTCATCATGACCATTGAACCTGAAAATTTACGCCACATGATGTCACTGGCCCATTTCAATGAATGGAACATTGGACATCGTCCAAAAGCTTTTGGTATTTTGTTGGGCGACGGAATCTTTTCTAGTGAAGGCACACAATGGAAACATTCACGAGTCATGTTGCGTCCTTCATTCACCAAGGAAAATATTAAACAAATTACGAAAATGGAACCTTTTGCTGCTCGCGTTATCGAGTTGGTCAAACTGAAACATGGTGCCTCTATTGATATGCAAGATGTTTTCCAATTTTTCACTATGGATTTCACGACTGATTTACTATTGGGCGAAAGTAGTGATTCATTAAAAGATGCCCTTGGCCAACCATCGCGAACTGGTATTGACCCCGAATTGAAGAAACAATTTAGTGTTGCCTTTGATGTGACTTCCGATTACCTCATGGTGAGAATGATTCTTGGGTCCTTGATGTTCCTAGTCAACCCCAAAAGACTACAAGACGCAATCAAGACCCAACATAAATTTGTCGATTACTATATCGAAAAGGCACTTGCTATGAATAACGAAGAATTGGATGAAAAATCCGATGATGGAACCATTTTCCTTTACCAATTGGCCCGTGAGACTAAAGACCCCATCAACTTGCGTAACCAAATCTTGAGTATCATTCTTGCTGGCCGTAACACCACCAGTGCATTAATGACGTTTTTATTTGCCCAATTGAGCAAAAGACCTGAGCTTTATTCGAAATTACGCGATATCATTCGTCAAGATTTCCCCGATGTTGAATCAATTACATTTGACTCGATTCAAAATTGTGATTACTTGCGTTGGTGCATCAATGAGACGTTGAGATACAACCCCTCGGTGCCATTTGAGTCCAAGACTGCATCGGTCGATACGACGTTGCCTCGTGGTGGTGGAAATGATGAGAAGTCCCCCATTTACGTGCGTAAAAACACGAGAATTCTTTATTCGCTTTGGGTCTCAAATAGAAACGAAGAATATTTTGGTAAAGAGACGGATAAATTCATTCCTGAACGGTGGGAACATTTGCCTCGTAATGGTGGTATTGCATTTATGCCATTCAGCGTTGGGCCCCGAGCTTGTCTTGGTCAATCGTTGGCATTGACTGAGGCGGCATATATGACTATTCGGTTGTTGCAAACTTTTGATTCGTGTGAATCTCATCTTGGTCCGGAACCATTGAGGAAAACGTCATCGGCTACAATGAGGTTAATGGATGGATGCGAAGTTAGCTTTAAGTAAAGTCTGGTGATGTAAGTTTGTCTTTTATTTATTTCGATTTATTTATTTTAAAGTGCATAGGAAATCACTTTATATACGAGTTCAATGAATTGTAAAGTAGAAGTTATAACACTAGTGACTGTCGCAACATAGTTCACTCTATAAAAACATGTAAATAAAAGAGAAATTAATTTAAAGTGCTTTTTATTCCTTTTTCCTCTGCCCCATGTTCCTCCTCCGTTGCTTCTGATTCCACTTCTTCTTCTTCATCTCCTGGTAATGGCTTACCACCAAACACATACAACAACGCATTAGAAGCAGAACAATGCACACTTTGAGCCACATTATGATTATCAAGTTTTTTCTTTCTCGATTTCTTCTTCTTCTTCTCAGCATTACCTTTGAGCTGTCCAGCATCTATTTCTTCTTCATCTTCACCTTCTTCACCATCCGCCAAAGGAATGCCCAACTTCTTGTTCAACTTTCTCATCTCCCTCCTCTCCAACTTCTCCTGCCTCTGCTTCTTCTTCTCCTCCTTTGCCGCCACCTTCTCCTCCTCACTCATCATCAACTTCTTATCAATGCATAAATCCAACTTGTACAAACTCCTAACACCCGGATCCATCAATTTCAAACACAAAAGCAAAGTGTAATAGGCGTCATTGCCAGCATTGTGTAGAAACACATGCGGCAAATCGAGTTTGCGTAACGACTTTCCGAGACTTAGATTTTGCTGTCCATGCGTTATTTTAACAATTTGTAACGTATCCAAAGTGGGTAATTTGGGTGGGAACTGGATGCCTAATGAGGACAACCACTTGATGTCGCCGGATACTTCATGCCCGACTAAATACGTCTGCAACTCATCATCATTATCATCATTATTATTAGAGCCATGCGGCTTGAAGAAATAGTCAAATAGTGACTGAATCAATACAACAGCATCATACATGTTCAAAATCAACGTCGGCTCACCAATGAAATGCAACGCATGATCTACGACAAATTTCCCATTCAACCGATGCATATTCTCCAACACACGAATATGCAATTTCGTGAAATTAGGAACAATGCAATTAGTGCCCTGACGTCTCGGATCATATATGGCAACACCAATTTCAGTAATGGTTCGATTATTCAATTCCCAAGCTTCAATATCGATACTAAATAAAATAGCTTGCCTATTGATGATTTGTCGCATCTGATGGTGGAATTGTTGTCGATGGGTTTTATCAGTTAGTCGAGGATTGGTTTTGATGAAATCTTGATTTATGTATGCGTAATTGTTCATTATGAAATCAATTGATTCATTGGACGTGGTGTGGTGTTGTGGGTAGATAGATAGGGTCGGTTGCAATAATTGTTCGTATAATTGATGTACTTGAGTCAATGCAGTTTGTCGATCTTCACTTTTGATCTGGATATGTGGATGGGAATGAGTAGCTTGTGGTTGTTTACGGGTTTGTTTCCCCCGCAGTTTCTTGCCATCTTTTGTTTCAGGTCGATGATTAGTTTTCTTGCGATTATTATGGCCACGCTGTTTGCCTTGTCCACGAGGAGGTACACCATCTTGAGCTTCGGAACCATTCCTTATAGTACCATTATCAGGTTCCCTATTCTCACCCTCATGAGTTGTTGCACGTTCCACCTCGTTCATCACGGTGGATACAGATTCAATAGTTTGTTCCTAGTATTCTTGCTTTTGTTTCAAGCCAACCTATGCAGAATTTCACTCCGCGGATGGATAATTTTATGTATAACTGAATCAAACGAAGTTTCTTCGTCTAGCGTATACTATCAACTACTGTTGATTGTTGAGTCAAGATCTAAAGATCTAAAATTGTCTCCAACTATATTTTTTTCTTCTCGTCTCTCAGTCTCACACCAATTTGACAACGTGTTCAGGGTTCATTTTAAGTACCAGTTTCTTCTGATCCAACACCAAATTAAGCTCCGTAAATGCAACCCCTTCCCTATATTCACACATTGCCAACCCATTTGTCTCTAAATCTTCGAATCACGGACAATACATTTCTACAAAAAAAAACCCCCCCAAAAAGGTTTTAGAATAAAAGAGGAAAATCAAATCTATTAAACTAAACTAAAAACTAAACAGATCCAAAATTAGGGGGATCTTCATAAAAAAAAACCAACAAAATGCAAACGATATAAACCAAAGGAAAGATAGAACGCGTCATTCTTCTTCAGTTTATATATATATTCAAAAAAAATAATAGTAGGTAAAGTAACATACTCTTTGTTAACAAAAGAGCCATCAAAAATGAATGAATTGAAAATAAAATGAATGTAGAAGCTGGTGTGATTTTGGAAGATACCAAAAACTGCCTTAAATGCTTATGTGTGTTATATATGTGTGGGACTAGATGTAAATGCTTGTTTGAGTGGGTGCGGCAATAGCAGCGACTGGAGGTGAAGGACAAGACGAGGATGAAGATGGAGATGAAGGTCTTAACAATGGACTAGAATGTGAACTAGTTGGTGCACTAGACGTTACACTGGCAGCAGACACATTTGTCGCCGTAGTGTGAGTCGCGGCGGGGGGAGTTCCGGCAAAACAATACTTTTGCAAAATATCAGCATAGGTCATATCTTTGATTCCTCCACCATTGGAGCTAGGTGTACTATCCATAGCTCCTCTACCTTGCTTTTTGTTGTTGTTGTTATTCTCCTTTTGACGTTGTCTATTGGAATACCTTGGTGTTCCATAACTGGTACTAGTTGCCCCCGTATTGCTACTAGCTATATCACTAGCAGAAAAACTCTTTTTCAAACTGGGTCTAAAGGAAAATTCATCATTGGCGAAATTCAAAGCCAAGGTTGATTTATGATTGACTAATTTGGTACAAATCTCTTCATATCCTGATGAATTAATAGATTGCTTATGGTTGTTAAGTGCCAGACCCAGACCCAGGGCCAGTTTCAGTCTCAGTCTTTGTTTTTGCTGAGCACCAGTTTGCGATGCATTATTACCTACTGGTTTCTGAATTTTGCGTTCAATGTTGAACTTGTAATTCTGGTGCATATTGTTACCCCAATATGTTTGTCCATTAGTATTATATTCAAGACACAATTCAATGGTCTTTTCAGTAGTGATGTTAAACAGTTCAAGATCCAACATAAATTTGAATTGATCCAATACCGAGTCAAGGCTTTTTTGATACTTGGTGATGCCGCCAACAATGATGCTCGACGCCCAATTGTCAATTGTCAATTTCAAATTGATTTCCTTGCTAAATGCTATATTCACCACATTTAACCATCCACATAAGTATGTCTTGTTGTTCACCTTCAACAAGTATGCTGAAGTCATCCAAATCTTTTCATTGGAAGAAGAATTTGTCTTACTGGTGGTGGTAGTGGTGGTGGTGTTGGTAGTGATGTTGGTAGATGGGATATTGTGTGATGTCAACCTATACTCCTTAACTTCATCCTTTGGTTTGGAAAAATTGAAATTCCAGTCAAAATTGGTGGTCTTGTTGGTAAATTTACTAAACTCAAAATCTTCAAAAGCAGGAACTGATAAATCAAAGAGCCCATCACTGGCTGTTGCCCCAGTTGATTGTTTACCAAATTTGTAAAAGTAATCCTGCTCTGCTTCACCTTCCTCTGGCGAATCAATGGGTGAACCAGCACTGGATACAGAAGCAGGTGTATCACAGCCATCAAACATACGGACATTGATTAATCTTGATGCAAATCTAACCAGTTTGCGAGGGGAAACAATCCCGCCTAGTTCATTATCACTTGATATATGTGGTGAGGAGACGGAACGTTGGAGTAATCCTGGTAGTTTAAGTGATGATTTAATCAATTCACCTGATTTCTTGCGTAACAATGGTGGTTTAACTGTAAGTGAAGCAGCCAGCTGCAATGTAGATGTGGATGTAGATGCATTTGTAGTTGATGGTGTTTGTGGTGGTGGTGAAGTTACAGCAATGGTGGGATGAACAAGTTTAGCTGGTGGTACATAATAGTTTGGAAGCTTAAACTTTGATTGTGATGCCTGTGGTTGCTGTTGTGACTGTTGCGATTGTTGCAGCAACAGCAGCAATGAGGATGGTGTTGGAGTGCGCAGTATTGGGATAGTAATTGATTCAGACGACGAAGGTGGCAACAATTTAATTGTTGAAGTCGAAGTAGTTGACTTGACAGTATCCAAAGAATCAGTTGATGATGATGCAGATGTTGTTGTAGATGAATTTTGATAAAATGAAGCTACTGGTGAGGAGGAACGTGATGAACATGTGGTTGATGAAGGTGGACTGATGGAGTATGTATGTGATGGATCTATTGTTACAATGGTAGACATGTTATGCTGTTGTGGTTGAGTGTGGTTGTTTTGGGTTGTGGCGTTGGTGTATATGCAGGTGTAGGTGTAGGTGTAGGTGTAGGTGCTGGTGCAGACTGATGAGATGACGCTGCTACTGCTGCTACTGTGACTGCTGCGTGATGCAAAATATGAAGCCCTCTTGGTATGTTTTTTTAAAAAAAAAGACAAAAAATACCGTAAAATCCTGTTGATTATTGCTATTGCTTTGACCACAAATTAAAAAGAAATTTCGATAAGCAAATACAAATAGTGTAAATTGTGATTAGCAGTTGAGCAGATTAGCAGTTCGAAGGTGAGATGAAGACTGCCTAAAAGAACAACAGATGGATCAGATGGGTGGCTGTTTCTTTTGCTTTCGCCCGTTAGTTCAATTTTACTCTGTAAAAATTTTTTGGAAAGAATTTTACTGTGGTTATATATATATATATACATATGTATCTTAGTAATTAAAAATTAAAATTCTTTTGTTCTTTTTCATTAAAAGGAGACCCAAAGTTACACAAACGAAAAAAGTAAAATTTCTTTTTGCTTAGATTTAATTTTAATATATATATATAATATAATATTTGGGTTACACAAAGCCTTTCCACAATGCACAACAAAATTATTATAAACAATAGGAGACGAACGAAAAAGAGAAAAGAGAAGAGGAGGGGGTGTAATATATTTTGTGTGCGCGGGCAAAAGAGAGGCGGTGGATACAAAAAGTACTTTTTTTCTTTGGAGAGAAGTGGGGGGAAGATGAGAAAGAGGGGAGGCTGGGGAAGAAGACTGGGGATGTGAATTGTATGACAGACACGCAAATCATCAAAAGAGTCAACCAGCAACATTTGTACCTTTTGAATCTATTGATATCAAATGAAATGATAACCAGTTTCCTCACACACCAGCCACTTCATAATAACTAAAGTAGACTACTTTCATCAAGAAAAAGAGGAGGTTACTTTTTTGTGTGTATCAAAGTATGTATAATATTATTATTAGTCTAAAGCATGTATTATTATACATATCGTTCTCTGGGTGTATGTGTTTGTGTGTCTGTGTGTCTGTGTAGATAAATAAATCAGTTCATAAATTTACATATGCCAATGGGAGGGTCGGTTGTTAATATATATGTTTAAGTTTAGATGTATGATCTAAAGTATGTGTGCATATTACTACTAACCATGACTGTTAACTTTAATAGTAGTAGTCATGAGTTTTGTTTAGCTGAACTGCAAGCAAGAAGATAAAAAAAAAAGGGGGAACACAGACTGATGCTACTTTGTACATGACATATCTGATATGTGTAACTGAGGTGTATCTGTTAAGAAATAGGTTTGGTATATGTGCTAAATATATATATATATATATATATATATTCCCCTCTCTACTCCCCACTTTTTTTCTTTTTCATCCCCAACAAAAGTTAAGAGTTTGTATACATCTACAAAAAGGGATCACTATGATGAAGTGTGGTTGTGTATATATTTAGTTAGTACTTAGTTTGTTAGTACTAAATACTTTGTTAGCTAGTTTATATATAGATATAATTTTTTTTTGTTGGTTAAAAAGTTGATTAAAATACGTTTGATAAAAGACACACACGGAGGGTGTAAAAAAGAAAAATAATAGAATAGTAATTTTGATATTTTGATACGTTTCAAGTGTCCTATTTCAGATAAGCCAAGATACATACAACATAATACGTATACGTATACGTATATGTAAATTTAGTTTAGTCTAGACTCTTCCCATCCACACTAACTTAGATACATATACAAAGGAAGCACTACCAATCCGAGCACATGACTCAATGTGTCCAATATAAATCATTCGATTGATAGCAATCCTAAAAAATTAACAGAGACAATAGAGTTAGACCATCATCATCTATTTCTTCTATTGTCTAAATACAAACAATAAGAAATTATAAATTAAAATATTTTAAGTACCACCAAGAGATTAACTGAATTCCGAAAACGCAAAATAAAATAAAGTATTGATATAGAGTATGATTTGTATTGTTATTTTAATTGTTTTGTGTGTGTACTTTATAACAATAAAAGCAAGAAATAACAAAGAGAATAAGGTTTTCGGAGATTAACAAAAGGAATTTTATCTACACCGAAATAGGAGATTACACAAAACCGTTCAATACTATAGGAAAAGGAAGGAAAAAAATTTTTTTTTTCCTTCTTTCTGTTCATTCATTTCATTCATTTTTTTGTCTTGGCTTAAACAAAATATGATCTGATAATATTATCTGAAAATACTACCAATGGCTACAAAAGCTATAAACATCTCAGTAAAATTGTTATAATCGCTTGATACATGCCTAAAGTAATGCGTATCTGTATAATCACATCTAACCATCAATAAAAAGATCTACCTACTACATAGTACATACAGAGTTATATTATACGTAACTCAAAGTATTTATTACGCTTTTCAAATTTTTTTCAATCTTCCTTACTAACAAATTAATCTAATCTTCAACACGTTTTCTAATACAACCCAACACAATTTCAATTGGATGTAAGAATCAGCCCTTTCCTGTCACCCTTCATCCCCCATAGCACCCCCACCCCCGCCCCCACCCTCATTCACTGTTAACGGAAGAGAGTCAATCTGTCATCATACAAACAAGCCAGAAAAGACAAACTAAAGCCCACATAAGCCCGCTTTCAATACTTTCCCCACCATAGTCTACTATTGTGTAGTCTTTTGTTGTCAGGTGTAAACCCCATGGCACAGACAAAGATTTTGATGAAACAAAATTGAGAATAAAAGTTCTTAATTGGGTTATATTAAAAAGATTTTAGTTGTTTGTGTAATTTGTAATATCAGGCGGGATAGGCATAGAAGAAAAAATTTTCCCATACAAAATTCTTCAATAACTTGTTTTTCTAGGAGTAGTCTTGTTCATCAAAAGAGTAAGTCTATGAGATTATTGGGTATATTTATGAGTGATAAGAATGAACATAAACATCTGCTTTTGGATTTGTAATGGAAAGATGCTGAAAAAGCAGTTTTTCTTTTGACAAATTTTCAATGATGGACAAAAATATTGCAAATTACGTATAATCATTGTTTACTATCCATAGTGTAAAACTCCGAACCGGTCCAAGGGTGAAAATTTTGCACATAACAACCCTTCAATTGCCAAACCAGATCCCATCAAAAAGTTTATTGCCTAATGGATTAAGAAACAAAAAGAAAATATCAAAGGTCATACGTAATAAAAAAAGTACAGTGCAATACTGGCTGACGTTGTAGCTTCGGGTATTTACACTTTCACAAGACAGCTCTATTCTAGAGGGACCTGTGACTGGGGGAGGGGGAGGGGGTGTAATCTACACTTAGACGAAAGAGAATTGGGTACAAGTTTCATTGGATTGGTTGATATCAATTTTAAATTTAAATTTAAATTTAAATTAAAAAGAAAATTATTACGTGTTTTTGTGTATCTTCAATTAAGCGCGTCATTATCTCTTTCCAATTTCATCCCTTTCACAAAAGAAAAAAGAAAATAAAATAAATTTACAAATTATAAAAAAAAAGAGAATCCCTTTTTGCACAAAACTGTGAAGCCGCAGAAAGAAGAAAGAAGAAAGAAGAAACAACCAGAGAAAAAATACATTACCTTACTTTATTTTACTTCATATGGCATCATAGAAAGAACCCTTTTGTTGACTTAATAGTTTTGTTATTAACATTGACACATTACTTGTACTTATATATGATATATGCATACGCAAGACTTTACTCTGCATACATATATATATATATATATCAGTCATCCAACATTTTGACAAAATGTGACAAAACTAACGTTGAATGATCTTTTTGTCTTTTTTTCGCCCTCTCTTTTTTGTCTTGTTTCAAACCACCTCTTTATCCCTCCCTTCCCCTTATTTACGCCTGCTTATTCTCTTCTTTGGGACCAATGCCGCCTGTAACGCATTCATTCAATCATTCACCTCTAATTCTTCCCCTTTGCATTCTAAAACTACAAACGTTTTTGTTTCAAATGCCCGTCTCTCGCCTTTTTTCAAATTCTTTTATTTTTGTTGGGCTCTTTTTTTCTTTTCTTTTTGTATTTTTTAATTGATTTCTGCAGACAAGAGCGCCTTTCTGTATTATCATTATCAATTCTTTGTATTAAAATCCCCCTGATTATTCATTCTTTTTGAGTTAGAAGAGAAAGTTGCACATAAACAGAAATACAACTGCCATCTAGTATCCAGTTTGACCGTTTCCCTCAGCAACCAGATTGACCTTCACCTTCACAGTGGGTCGATTCAATAATCTCTAACTCTGTATCACTAAGTAGCGAAAGAAGTGGGATTCATGTGTTCACATGTGTGTGAAGAATTAGTTTGCGCAAAAAATTATCAGAACTGCTCAGAATTGGCAATGTCACTAAGAATGCCTAAGAATATTCGAGGCTTGCAAAGTAAACCACACAGAAATAGACACAGTTAGCCAAAAGGATTCATGTAGAAGGAACAGAGAGTGTGTAGTAAGGGAGATGAAAAATAACAATTGGATGATCAGTGGTGTTTGACATTTAAGACTTTAATTGCCCTATTTAGAGATGTATCATATGTAGTTCTACTTCTTGGCACCGTATCTTGACACGGTTTTACCATCCGGGATGCTAAACAAAACAGCAGATTTACCTTCTTCATATGGTACATCAACTCTGTAGTAACCCTTTCTCTCGAATTGAATAATGTCACCAGACTTCAACTTGGCAATGTTCAAATCAGCAAATGCTTTAGTGTGGAACTCAGTCTCGGGAGTGATAAAATCTTCAAAATTATCTTCTTCTTCCAACTTGTCCTTGGTAATTAAATGATCGAAATCAGCCAAGTCAACATTAATCTTGTCTTTGGTGTTAGCTAACCAAGTCAACTTTTTCGAAGTCTTACGGAAGTCACCTTCCAAGTGCAAGTTGGCCTCAACCGATTTGACGACGTCACCCTCCTTGACTACCTTGGATACAATGACGTTACCCCAATCCATGAAAGTGACTTCTTCACCTTCTGTCAAATCAGCATCAGCCTGGTCAATGAGAACTTGATTGGCAAAAATGACTGATTTAGTACCCACATCTGGATTCTTTTTATGTTTTGGCTTGGATTCAGTATATGGCTCTGATGGTCCATTCAACAATTTGACTGGCACTGCATTTTCAGCTTCAACAGCGGTAAACCTTGGAGCAACTGGATCAATAACTTTTTTATTTAATGCCCAAATAACAGACCAATCTAAATTGATAATATTCTTAGATGGACCTTGGGCCATGATAAAGTTTCTCAAACCCTCGACAGTCATTCCTCTTCTTCTTACACCCCTAACAGTTGGAAATCTTGGGTCATCCCAGTTGGAAACATAGTTTTTGTCAACAAACCATTGTAATTTTCTCTTTGACAACAATGTTCTAACAAAATTGACTCTTCCGAAGTCCCAAATTGCAACTGGACGCAAGTTTAAAGCCTTTTGAATCCATTCATACTGTGGGTTACGGTCCCTATATTCATTAGTTCTCAAAGAGTGGGTGACACCTTCGATGGAGTCAACAACAGGGACGCAGAAATCGTAGATTGGGTACATTTTCCATTCAGTACCGGTTCTGTGGTGAGGCGTCAAGTTGCATCTGTAAATAACAGGATCTCTCAAGGCTTTGTTTAAAGCTTTGTAGTCGATCTTGGCTCTTAAACAATTCTTTAAACCCTCTTCAGTACCATTTTTCATCTCCTCGGTAAAGATTCTCAAGTTTTCCTCAACCGATCTATCTCTCCTAGCTGATGCATCACCAACCATTCTTTCCTCTCTCATCTTTTCTGAAGGAGTGTCATCACAGTAAGCTTTTCCGTCCTTGATCAATTTTACTGCTAACTCGTACATGTCCTGGAAATAATCAGATGAATAGGTAATTCTGTCACCCTTGATACCCAACAATTGTAAGTCTTCAATAATAGAGTCTTGAAACTCAACTTTCTCCTTGGTTGGATTGGTATCGTCGAATCTGATGATTAATTTACCCTTGTAGGCATGAGCAAAATATTCATTCAAAATGGCGGCTTTGGCATGTCCAATGTGCAAGTATCCAGATGGTTCTGGTGGGAAACGAGTAACAACTTTACCAACTTCTGCACCGGGCAAGTCAATTTCAAAACTAGCCTTGTGAGTTTCCTTCTTGCCACCGGCTGATGCCTTGGCATTTTTGGCAGCCTTTCTCAACTCATTCAAGGAGTTAGTGAGTAATTCAGCAGACTTGTCGAACCTGCTGTCACTTTGAGCTAAGAAGTTGTACCATCTTGAGACATTAGGGTATGTTTCACTCTTCAACACAGAAGCCATGATAGGGTTTGCACGTAAAACACCCCATAAGGCAATATCAGCCAAAGTAACTTGGTAGCCAATAATGTAAGACCTAAAGTTCAAATGCGCATCGAGCTTCTCCAAGTCAGTGGCTAAATCTTTAAAGTTTTTGGTGTAAAACTTCTCCAATGCTAATTTAGTCCACTCTTGTGACTTTGACTTTTCCAAAAGCACTTGTGAGAATGTTTGCGCTAAATAGTCCAAAGCATCTAATTGGTCAATGAAGGTTTCCCCACCTGGTGTGACTAATTTAATGGCTGCTGTTGGTGTCTTGGAGTCAACGGATTTATCATCAACAAATTCGACAGGAATTGATACATCAATATCACTGGAGTTGATGAAAAATACTGAAATCAAAGTAGGGTATGGGATAGTAGCAGACTTCCCAGCTACGGTTAATTTGAAAGACATGTTTGATGCTGTTGTACCGTTCTGGGATGAAATTTTTTTTTTTTTTCAATTATTATTTTTTGCTTTTTCAAACATGAAGTGTGTGTGTCGCAAATCTCCCAAAAGTCGGAAATACCGAATCTAACCACGTTGTTTACCCAGCATACCCTTGTTAATTCCTGACAACTACAATGTCGAACAATCAACCACGAGCTGGATCACCGCTTCCTGAATTGAATAGGCCAACAGCCAAACGGTCTCCTTCTATTTTGGTTACCGATGCACGGAGTCATCAAGTCAAGGGGGCTAGAGCTCCATTTGCAGGGCACAGTTTCAGAAAGCAACAACAACGCCAACAGCAGCAACACCAGTCGTCGTATAGTTTCGAGCAACAGCAACATCAAAACGCCTTGCTGAAACGATTAGCATTTAGAAATAAATATACCGACATCTCAGTTGACAAGTTGCTAAGCAATTCCAGTGATATCCCATCGGGTCAGAGTAGGTTTCCATCAAAGTTGGGCCCGAGTCGAAACTACGATAATAGTGGCTCATCGTCACCTCCACCACCTCCTATTATAAGCCCTTCTAATCCCGAGTCAAGAAGGAATATTAGAAGCATACCGAAACTATCACAGTCATTACCATCGAGGACGTCAAAAACCTCACAAAAGTTGGTATTGATACCCGATGAGCAAAGGCACGGCGGATCGCCTCCACCAAGCTCAGGCAATGAAGATCGTTTGATACAACCTCTTGATAGTAGTTTGGATATACAGGCACAAATTTCTCGGTCAAGAGCAGAACTAATGCCAAAGGAGAAGCGAGCACAGGAGTTTAGTCGAATGACTGCCTACTTTATTTGCGAAGAATTCAACCTAGCATCTGTTGCCAAATTTTTGAGAAAAAACCACGAGGTAAAGCCAAGGTTATATGATGAAGCGTTGTACGTGCCATATACATTGCCATTGCTACCAGGAACCGATGGGTTACGTGTCAAATCGAATAATTCCATCAAACTACAGGCCAAAAATAAGCATATGGAAAAGATGATTAATAAATCGGAGCAAACTGACCATCTTTATGAATATTATTCTGGAGTGGAAACCCCTGAAGATGCTAACAATTACTCGATGGACCCAGAGTTGGAGAATTTTGATAACAGCAGCCCTTTTGATCCTAGTGAGCCGCAATTTTTTGCTCCTCCATTGGATGAATCAAGAATCAGCGATGATGGAGATAGTGCAGACTCAAGAAGTGCCAAGAGTGACAAAAGCCCCAACAAAAGATCAGTGGAGATCCACAGCTCGCTGTCATCTGTACATAACCTGTCGGATGTTTCTAAGCACCATGCTGAAATGTTTGTTTTAGCATATGGTGTTGTTGTGTTTTGGAACTTTTCCGAAGTTCACGAAAAGAATATTCTTGCTGATTTAGCATTTGCGGAGCAGGAACTTCTCATAAACCCCATCGACGAGCAAGATATTGAGACTGAGGAGTTCCACTTTGAGTATGATAGAGACATACACAGACCTAGGATATATAATGATATGATCACTTTACGATCTAGTGATCATCTAATAAAACTCACAATGTCTCATGCAATAGCTCAGCTGACAAAATTAGGTTTATTTGAGAGCAGAATGGTTAATATCTTGCACCTGATAAGTAAACTCCCCAAGAAGTTGGCATTGACGGGACGATTGGGGTTAAAGCGGAACCAATTATTGAAGAAGTCAGGCAAGTTATTCAAATTGCGCGTCGATGTCAACTTGTCCAGTTCGATATTGGATACTCCCGATTTCTTCTGGTCCTTTGAGCCTGCATTGCATCCTCTATACAACGCTGTAAGGGAGTATTTGGAGATTGACCAGAGAGTCCAGGTGTTGAATGATCGGTGTAAAGTATTTTTGGAGTTTTCCGATATCGTCACTGATAGCATGAACGAGAAGAATACCAACCGAATAACTTGGATGTTGATTATCATTATATTCCTCAGTCTTTTTGTTAGTGTTTTTGAGTTTATATTGGAAGTATTGTAGATCTAATAAAAGTCCTTGGTAAATTTATTTCGCGCCACTTTCAGAACACGAAAAAGTTGTTGCAAACTCATATGCCGTCACTAATGGTTCTACCGTCCATATATTCGAGTCAAGGACTATCTGAAAAAGACTCAAACAAGGTAATTACCTCTGGGAACAACCAAGACAAACGTCCAGTTGAATACACATTGAAAACCATAGATGACAAAGTTCAAGCAGCAGTTGAAAACCAAGATCATGATGAAGACATCGAGATGGTCCCCATGGACAACGAAAAGGAAGTTGATTTGATAACATCATACGTCAGTCAACTGCGAAATGTAAACTACTACGACGATGACGTGGATATGAATATAGAGCAGGCTCCTGATTTTACACTAGTCGGTGGAAATATATCATTCTTGATTATCGATACAAATTTCTGCATTTCCCACCTAACCATTCTCGACGAGCTCGCGAGATTAGCCAACGACTTTGGTATAAAGATCATAATCCCCGTATATGTAATCCAAGAGTTGGACGGATTGAAAAATTCAAATAAGTTGGAGAATGATGATTCAAGTAATGAATCAGTAAAAAACTTTGCCAGATGGGCCAATGACTGGATATATAACCAGCTTGCTAATAGTCTGGGCGTCGTCAAGGGACAAAAATTAAGCCAAAGAATAAATAAGGATTTGACAAAAGATGATGCCATTCTCGATTGTTGTTTATACTTCCAGGAATATTATTCCCAACACCTCATCGTTCTATTATCAAATGATAAAAACCTTTGCACCAAGGCTTTAGCTCATGAGATTTTAACAGTCAGTTTTAGGACAGGTATGGAGGCGAAGTTGATTGGACAAAAGATTATGGAAGAGAGCATGTCGAGGTTTGGGCACCGCGAAGCAAAGTATAAGCCAGTTGCAGGCTCTGGTACTTCATCTATACAACCGGGGTTTATTGCGCCAGAAATTACCCAAGTTGCTAACTTAACGACTACAAACCCAGGGGCTTCTCCTCTGGCTTTGATTTATCGAGAGGTCCAAACGCTACTATTTAGTGTTTTACACCACTGTATGGTGGCAGAATACCAAGAAGATATTGACCTAATACGTGACTATAAAAAGGAAAACGTTGTCAATTTGCTTCAATGTAGCCAATTGTTGATTAGATTTTGGCTTTCCGTATTTCAGCAGTACTTTAAAGCTATGCCAGGAAGATTTGTGCCATTTGAAGAGGTGGGGGAAGGTAGGCGACTGAAGAAAATACCAGTATACGTTGATGAACCAACGACGGAGAATGCAGGGAAATTTGTCGACTTTTGGTCTGCGGTGTTGAAAGTGTTGTATCATGGGATAATGAATGAACAAGAAAACGAAGTATTAGATCTTTTCATAGCTAGATGGAAGGAGTTAGCGTCGCAGGTTTGATTAAAGCTGACCAATTTTCTTGCGTTTTGAAGAGCGCTTTGGTGACAGACTTTGTGATCGCTTGTGACTAGTAGTGGGTGTACCATTGGAAGCTGGCTTGGAAGTCCGGCTAAGTTGAGAGTCAATTGGCTGTTCCAACTCCTGCGATCCTTCTTTTTTTACCGGTAGCGTATTTCTTTCATTGCAGACCCACGTAGTCGCAACTGCTTTTTCAATATCACGCCTAATAACATCTTCTAAACTTTGGTTTTGATATCTTTGCTTCTGAAAACCGGCTTTCACCTCTTGTTCCCACTCTTTCTGGTCAAACGTGGTGATGAATCGAAGCACCTCTTTGTTGTTTTTCTTGTACTGTCTTATTAGTTGTTCGCCATGGGTCTGCTTAAAGTTCAATTCCAAAAACTTTACGTAAGAATCCTTGGCATCCAATACGTGCTTGAATTGGTTTATTTCATACTGTAGGTATGTGTTGTTCACAAACTGTTGACAATTTAGTTTACATAAGAACGTTATTGACATCTCTGGCTCTTGCTTCTTCAATTCAAAGCTCCAGGAAAAGTCCAAATCAAGCTGTGCAATGATGTCACCGCAGTTTTGGAAGGTGATCTTATGAGAAATATTCTTTACCAAAGCTTCCAACATCAAAATCAATTTGTCATTGGTCAACCCGTCGATTCCCAATTCTTTACCAAAGCTTCCAACATCAAAATCAATTTGTCATTGGTCAACCCGTCGATTCCCAATTCCTTACCTTTCTTGGTCAAATCCTGTTCGTTCAATTCTTCCAACCATACCTTCTCAAAGTTGGTCAAGTAAAAGCCACAGATGAGCCGCTTGTAATCATATGAAATTCCATAGATGCAATGACTTGGTTGTAGAAAATCAATTGCCTTAAAGTGCCATTGTGCAGGTAAATCATACATTGAAACGTTTTAGACCAAATGATACAAACCCCTTTTTTTTTTTGGTCTATCCAAGTATGACCAATCAATTGACAATAAGCGACCAGCAGTGGCAACAACTTGTCAATAGGGTAAAACAACAGTACCATCAGAATGATTCAAGTAGGTTCCTTATCTCCTTTGCTGGGGTCCCCGGAGCAGGAAAGACTACATTTGCAGGTCAAATGGCGATTGAGTTGACAAAACAAGTTGCGCCCACCATGGTCCTTTCCCAGGATGGATTTCACTTGTACAGATCGGAGTTGCAATCGATGCCTGATGCTGAAGAGGCAATCAGACGAAGAGGAGCTCCTTTTACGTTCAACTCAAAGGCATTTGTCAAATTGGTGGCGCAATTGAAGAACAAGAATATCACAGTAAAAGCTCCATCATTTGATCATAGGTTAAAAGATCCCGTCGAGAATGATATTGTGATTGACCCAATTGTGGCGATAGTGATTATCGAAGGGAACTATACGTCGCTTAAAGATGAAGGATGGAATGATATCAGTTCCTTTGTTGATGACACTTGGTTCATTTCAACTCCTGAATCAATAGTAAGATCACGGATCATCAAACGCCATTTGGACGCCGGCATTGCTAAAACCGAGCAAGAGGCAATTGAGCGTGCTGATGGTAGTGATTTGCAAAATGCAAGGTACATTGTTGAAAATTCTAAGCTTACCAATGTCCTCATACTCGGTTCATAGAGATTTTTTATAGATCTAAGCTTTTATTAACGTCTATTACTTTGGTTCCACATTGTATTTCATCTTGATACCCATAGCCGAAAGCTCACTGTCCAAGTATTTCAACACAAATGGGATGGCAACAGTGGTTGTATCATCACCTCCCACAAACTTAACACCATGGCCGTCCTCCCAAATATCTGCATCTTCGGCATAACCATCATATTTATCTAATCTAACAGAACACCTTCTACACCTTATACTTGCCATTGATCCAATTCTAGGAACCGAAGTTTGTGTAGTTAGTATTGAGCCACATGATTTACATATCGAAGTTTGTGTGTAATCTGAACAATTCAACAATCTATCTTGCAACAAGAATGCAGTACCGTGACCAATCAACGCATCTCTTTCCATCTCACCAACACGAATACCCCCTGATCTCTTTCTACCTTTGACAGGTTGCATGGTCAACGAGTTAACAGGACCAGTCGATCTAACTTGGAACTTGTCGTTCACCATATGTCTTAATCTTTGATAGTAAACACATCCAATATAAATGTCGCATCTCAATTCCTCACCCGTAGCACCGGAATACATTGGCTCATTACCATGGAAATTGTAACCTGCTTTTAACAATTGCTCTCCAAAGTAATCTGCCGGAGTATCGGACTCACTAAACTTCCAAGGAGTGGCATCTTGCGCAACACCATGCAAGGCACCCGCTTTACCCGCCAACGATTCCACAAACATACCAATTGTCATACGTGATGGGAACGCATGTGGATTGATAATAACATCAGGCTGCATACCGCTTTCACTAAAAGGCATATCTATTTGTGGCCATTTTCTCGAACAAACACCCTTTTGACCGTGTCTGGAGGAGAATTTGTCACCAATTATAGGCTGTCTTGTGATTCTATATTTGATGGTGACTTGCTGACCCTCGTTATCACCCGCATCATCACCGAGTAATTTTACTTCTTCGATATATGCTGGTTCGGACGAGTGATATGTTTTTACTTTGGTCTTTCCGAGGGTGTCATCATAGTAGGCAAGAATTGGGTCACCTTCTTCCACTTTGACCCCGACTAAAGGAAACCCATCATCATCTAGCTTCGTCTTCCATGCCTCTGGCCATTCATCTTCACCAAAGCCAAAATGTTGGGTAATCGGATCACCTCTTCTTCTCGATTGTGATAAGTCAATTTTTTCCACTTTGTAAACAGTACCATATCCAAAACCTCTCTCATCTGCCGACTTGTTGATAATCATCGCATCATCCATATCGTAACCAGTGTAGGAGATGACCGCAACAATTGCATTCATACCATTGGGGAAATTATCCATTCCATAGTCATCATATAAGTTGGCCTTGACTATTGGTGTTTGACCAGTTTGCAAACGATACAATTTGTTATCCGATCTGTGTACCAAAGCAGTACCGGGAGTACCCATTGTCTGCTTACCCATCTGACACTGGTACATATTTCTTGGAGATTGATTAAAGTCGGAGAATGGAGTCAAATTAGCCAAAATGGATAAGATATTGGTTGGTGAGAATTCAACGTGTGAATGAACATTATTTTCAATCTCTTCTGGTGTTACTGCAACGTTCATGTATACTTGTTCGAAAGGACCAACAATATCTTGCTTACCCAAAGGCAAGTACTTTACGGGCCTCATCATTCTAGAATGACCACCAAAGAGGTACAAACCTGGGTATTGACCTTTGGTTGATGGAGGGACATACCCAATTTCCAAATCCAATGGTAATCCATGAGTGCCCTCAATTTTCCAGAACCGCAATGTGTCAGCTACAATCTTACCCTGTTCGTGAGTGGTCCAACCAACAATCTTACCGTCTAATTGTACACAGCATAAATCTGGGCCTGCGGCAAATGCATTGGCTGGCGACACACCTAGCTGAGCCAAGGCAGCAGGAACTTGCGACACATCAGATGCAGTAGTGGAAATAATACATTTATGCGACAAATGATTTAATAACCCACATGGAGATCCATCGGGAGTGTGAACTGGGCACAAAAATCCCCACGATTCAGGTAATAATTTACGAACGGTGGTGGTTTTCAACTCGGCAAAGAACGAACCTCTATGGACCATTCTGAAATGGGAAATAAAACGATGGAAATTAATCTTTTCCGCCACAACAGTATAACCAGAAACTTGTTGTAAATCTAAACCAGATTGTGAAACCAAATTACCAGTTGACAAAAAGTACTGCAATTTTTGACCTATATTTTCATTGATTCTTGAAAATACTCGGGTGATGTACTTGCGATCTGAAAAGTTAACACCAACGCCACGGTTTATATCTGATTGCACTTGAAGTTTGAAATTTTGTAAATATTCATCGATCTTTTCCTTAATAATCATACCATATAAGAATCCTCCCAACAATACTTCCTGATGTTGCGTAGCATCTGGATTATCTGGGGCACAGTCCCCTGCTACCAATGAGTACAACTTACGGATCATAAACAACAACATGCGGAACTTGTCTTCGTTGTTTGGCAAATGAACAAGAACAATACGTCTCAAGACTTCTCTTCCTACTTCAATATCGGACACATCGGGTGTTGCTCCAAAAACCACTCTGAACTTGTCACCCAAATATGCCAATGTCTCCTGTTGTGAATGCAAATTGTACGCTTTGAATGTTCTCAATAATAACTCCAAACGATCAGTCAAGAAGGAGTTTTCAACATCATGACCAACTATTCCATCAAAAATTTCTCGGTCATTTGTTTCAACAAGAGCTTTCAATATCATGACAACTGGTACCAAATATTCGTTTTTCTTCCACGAAAACCTAAATGTGACGTTACCATCATTAAGATAGTGTAATACATTTGTTTGTGAAGTTTGGTCTGGTCTGACCGATCTGATTTGGATACCATATTTCGTGTACGAGGCACCTCTATTACCAAAGGAAGGTCGAATGATTGCCATGGGATGATTTCTTCGCTGGACAATCAACATACGAATCAATTTTTCGATACCATTAACGATAAAGTATCCTCCTAACTCGTCACTTTCCTCTTTTGCCTCAACCAATTGATTTGGGGACATCTTTTGTAAATGGCATCTATTCGATTTCAACATGATGGGAATCTGCCCTGCTTCTCTAATTTCACTTTGCTCTTCGCCGTCATTTACACACCAAGTGACATTCAACATCAATCTCGCTTTGTACGTGGTCATTCTCTCACGACACTCACTTGGGAATGTCTTTCTATTTATGGATAGTTTGTCTGTTGATGGAACGCTTGGCTTCGCTATTGATACCGATTCCACCCTAATGTTCAACTTGTTGCCCAATCTATCAGTCTCTTTGGAATCAAAGATGGTCTTTGATCCAATGTCTTTGACTGCCATATTTAACAACCCATCATCTTCGCCCTCGGTCAATGCATTGAAGGATCCGATATGGGGTGCCACCGCATTCTCTAATAGCGGGTAGGCTGATTTATCTTTGGGAGGATTTTGAAACCTCTTTTCTCTTTCTAGAGTACGAAACTGTGCTTGCGTCATGTAGTGGTCTGTGAAGTAGAAGGGGTGGTATGTAGATTGGTTTTAATTTTTTTTTTTTCATTTTTTTCTTCAGAAATGAGTTGAGATGACTTTTTTTTTGTTTGTTTAAGGTTGCACAAAAGAATAATGCCAATATCTTTTCACCAAGCATGGCTAATTCCAAGTATGAATACGTGAAAGCGTTTGAAAGGGAGAATTATCTACTACCGGAGACATACATTGTGATACGTGTAGATGGCAAAGGATTCCACAAGTTTTCCCAGTATTATGGCTTTGAAAAGCCAAATGATATACGAGCATTGAGGGTTATGAACAAGACCGCTTTGAAAGTAATGGAGAGATATAGCGATGTTTGCATGGCCTATGGAGACTCGGACGAATACAGTTTTTTGTTACGAAGAAAATGTGAATTGTATGAGAGGAGAGAAATGAAATTGTGTACCCTCTTTGCTAGCTTGATGTCAACCTATTATATGTTCTATTGGAACTTGGAATTTGGTGAAAACCCAATTCTGGAGGAAATGATACCAACGTTTGATGCAAGGGCAGTGGTCTACCCCCACTTTGAAGTTGTAAGGGACTATTTCAGCTGGAGACAAGTGGATTGTCACATCAACAATCTATACAATACTGCCTTCTGGAGTTTAGTGAAACTTGGCCTAACCCCACAAGAATCCGAACAAAGACTAATGGGTACTGTATCGTCCGATAAGAATGAAATATTATTCAAAGAGTGTGGCATTAACTATAATAATGAATTGGAGATATTCAAAAAGGGGACAATCTTGGTACGAGAGCTTGTTAATTATGCTCCCAAAAGTGATCTTAGTTCCAGACAGAAACAAAGAGAAGACAAAGTTAGAAGAAAAGCAGAGATAAAGCTGTATCATGTAGATATTATTAATGATGACTCATGGTGGGAGTCACGTCCGTGGTTAAGTGAATAGAAAAGTGATGTGCGCATAAATTCTTTTAGTAAAGGCAAATTAATTTAAATTAAAGTAAAGCAGAATAGAATTTTTTTTTTTTTGCTACTTCCATTTCCTCTAGTAAGGTCTCCAATCAGCCATGTCGTCAGAAGAAGAATTGATTGTATTGTTTAGTAACGTTGGGTTTGATGAGAAAAAGTCAAAGGATATTGCCAAGAACAAGAAAGTAGCTGGATTGTTACAATCGGTGTTGACAAAGTCATCGGTTGACACATACACTGACGAGAAAAAATTGACATTGTTACACCAGTTGGCAGTATTGGAAAATAAGAATGGGAAGCCAATCCCTAATGTCGAGTATTTAATCAGTGGAATCAATAATGACGAAATAAAGACTAATTTGCAAATCACGGAGGGGATTAAACACTTGCAATCTGAAGCATCACCAAATCAAAATGACTTTAATGAAGCAACTGGTGTAGGTGTTGAAATTGGGGAACCACAAGTCAGAGAAGAGATTGGTAAATATCTTGACACAATCAGTTACAAATTGGAAACCGAAAGATATTCCGTCTTGCCTAAAGTCATGTCTGAAGTGAAAGCGCAACCATCTTTGAAGTGGGCGCCACCTAATTTATTTAAACCAGTACTTGATGACTTGTTTTTGGCTCGGTTGGGCCCTAAGGATGAAAGAGATGTGAAAAAGAAAGAGAAAAAGAAGCCAGTGGCTGCCGCAGCTGCAACAGTCGCGACTGCCAAACCAGAGCCGGAAAAGGAAAGATCCATGTTTTCGGAGGGTTTTCTCGGCGACTTGCATAAGGCAGGGGAAGAGCCACAAAAATACCCCGAATTATTAAAAGCCCATCGTGAATTCATCAAGGGACAGGTATACACTCGTTTCCCCCCTGAACCAAATGGATTTTTGCACATTGGACATTCAAAGGCCATCATGGTAAATTTTGGATTTGCTCAGTATCACAAAGGTAATTGTTATTTAAGGTTTGACGATACTAATCCTGAAGCGGAGGAAGCAAAATATTTCGAATCTATAAAGGAGATGGTGGCTTGGTTGGGCTATGAACCGTGGAAGATCACCTACTCCTCCGATTATTTCGATGAATTGTTTCAATTGGCAGTTGAACTTATCAAATTAGATAAAGCTTATATTTGTCATTGCACACCTGAACAGGTTAAATTAGGTCGTGGTCAGCGTGAAGATGGTTCGATGGGTGGTGAAAGATTTGCTTGTGAACATAGATCTCAATCAATTGAACACAACTTGGCTGAATTCTTAGCCATGAAGGAAGGAAAATATGCAACTGGTGAGGCCACCTTACGTATGAAGCAAGATTTGACTAGTCCTTCACCACAAATGTGGGACTTAGTTGCTTACAGAGTATTGAATAAGCCACATCACCGTACCGGTTCCAAATGGAAGATATACCCTACTTATGACTTCACTCATTGTTTAGTGGATTCTTTGGAAAACATTACCCACTCGTTATGTACCACTGAGTTTGTCTTATCCAGGGAATCTTACGAGTGGTTGTGCGACAGTTTACATGTATATAGACCAGCCCAACGTGAATATGGAAGGTTGAACATGACTGGTACAATTATGTCAAAGAGGAAAATTGCCAAACTAGTAAACGAAGGATACGTTAGAGGGTGGGATGATCCTAGAATTTATACCTTGGAAGCGATCAAGAGAAGAGGTATACCACCGGGTGCCATTTTGTCGTTTATAAATACATTGGGGGTCACTACATCAACTACGAACATCCAAACTACCAGGTTTGAAAGTGCCGTACGTCAATTCCTCGATCAAACCACCCCTCGGTTGTTTTTAGTCTTGAATCCAGTTGAAGTTCATATTGATAATTTAGCAGATGACTTTGAATTGGAGGTGGAAATTCCTTACAAGCCAGGTAAAGACGTCAACTCATTAGGCAATAGAAAATTGAAATTTACTAATCGTGTTTACATCGACCGTGGTGATGTTAGAGATGAACCTGCTGATAAAGAGTACTATCGTTTAGCCCCAGGACAGCCAGTTGGGTTGTTGAAAGTTCCATTCAATATCATTTTTAAATCTGTCGAAACTGTCCATGGCAAGACTATTGTTCATGTTGATTACGATAGCGCCCAAGCAACAAAAAAACCAAAAACGTATATTCAATGGGTGCCTGTCAACAATTGCATCCTGGTTAAGGAGGTCCGTATTTATAACCAACTCTTCAATTCTGAAAACCCTGCCGGTCATCCTGATGGTTATCTTGCTGATATCAATCCTGCTAGTGAGGATGTTTTGACCAATGCTGTAATTGAATCCAATTTTGAAGAAATAGTTGTCAAGTCTCCCATGAATTTGACTATTCCAGATTCACAATTTAATATTAAAGAGGATAAGGGTAATCATACCATTCGATTCCAGGCTTTAAGAGAAGGGTATTTCTGTGTCGACAAGGACTCGAAAGATGATGCTTTGGTTTTGAATAGAATTGTAACTTTGAAAGAAGATGCTAATAAGTAGACTTTGTTTAGATGTATATGAAGTATTCGGCTTTTGTGAAATTGCGCAAAACAATAGAGCGGCACCAAAAAAGAAAACACAGAAACTGTCAAAAGATAACAGCATTGGCGACCTGGTTTCTTCACCCCAAGATGAAGTTGTTTCATATACACATCCATCCGGGTTACAACTGAATACCTCACTTAGAAATCAATGGATACGACTCTCTTGAGAAGCAAATTGAACTAGGTAACATTATTCGCAAGAAGAGACCAAGAAAGGATACTGAGTACTTGTCATTTCCGGGATGCAAAGTCTGTGAAGGACGTAGATGTGTTGATGTTGTCAAGAAATAGGCCCTGATAGGGGAGTACCAGGAAGAAGCAGGAGCATGTCAAAGTAAGATTTCACTTTGAAAGAAAAGGGTCACTACAGAGTTGATGTGGAGGAAAGGCAAACCCACTTCAAAATACGGCACCAGTAAGTAGAGCCATCTACAAGGCATCTCTAGATAACTCGATATATATATTCTAAATACTACTCTAATACAACGTACGTGTTCAACCCCATAACAAAGCGACCCAGTCCCATCCCTTTAACTTCGCAAATGCAGGCTCGGGTCTACTCTCAACGTCGTAAAACAACGGCTTCAACTTAACCTCAGTCGGTGTCAACAACTTGGTCTTGAAATATAGTTTGCCGAAAACAAAAACCACCAAAGCCAATGGGATGACAAAGTAGGCACTGAAGAACTGGGCAAAATCCCAATAGCCGTGAATGAAAACAGGAAAGCCTCCAGTTAGTAAGAACAAAGTCGAAAAGAACAACGAATAGTAGCCGGAATACGCGCCGACGGCAAAGGTGTAAGGCAAGTCCTTCCTGGAGTAGCCCTGTGCTTTCAAAGCTCTCAACATGGCAATGTAGTTCACCGAAATCACAATCCAGTCACATAACAAAACGGAAGAGGTAATACTTTGAAACCAACTAAATACGTTTGCCGAAGTATTACTCACCGTTAAATATGCTAAGGGTAAAAAGGACGAACAAAATATAACAGCAACGTAGGGTAAACCATTCTTGTTCACTTTTAAGAACACCTTTGGTAATTGTTCCTTTATAGCAAGGGCATAAATCGTTCTGCTCCCCTTTATGATCCCCAAGTTTGCCGCAGACAATGCCGATGTTAGGACGATAGCATTTATAATATGCGGCAACACCTTTATACCCGCCAACGAGATTGCCCTAACCCATGGCGACCCCGAAGCAGTACCACTAGGCTTGGCAATAACAGGGTCATCAAACGGCACAATCAACGACAATATAAACACCATCACGAGGTAGATAATTAACACTCTGAAAAACACCCTCTTTGCAGCACGATGTATTGCCCTTCTTGGGTATTTGGTTTCACCAGCTAACATCGCAATAGACTGCACACCACCGAAAGCGTAAACGATGGAATTAACAGCTTTCCAGAAGCCCAAAAACTTACCCAAGGATCCAGTAGCATATTTGGCAGCAAATGGTCCAGGTGTCTTCCAATAATGGAAGCCCAACCTCTCTTGGCCTGGTACACCGCCCAAGTCGATGATCAACCCAGTTAATATTAATCCAGCGCACAACAAGAGCTTCAATACCCCGAAAAAGAATTCAATCTCGCCATACCATTTGACGTTGTAGCAATTTGTGGCTATGATGACAATCCCGAAGATGGATATCCACAACGCAGGGTTGATATCTGTCCAGTAGGTGACGATAACGGATACGGCTGCTAACTCGCCAGGCACTATTGCTGAATATGTGCTGACTATGCCTATGGCAAATCCAAGGGCTTTATCGACAAAGTGCTCGGCATGGGCCACATATGATGACGTGGCTGGGTACAAACATGCAACTTCAGTCGATGCAACCTGAGACGCCCCAACAACACTACCAACTAGAATGTAACCAAGAAGCATACCTACCGGGCCGGTAGTATGCAATGTACCACCACTGGAAAGAAATCTATGAAACGTTAGTCAGTATACAAGACACTCCCATTAAACAATCGAATTCGTTTTTACATACAATCCAGTGCCAAACACTCCAACCAAGGCAATCATACCGATTAATCTGGCATTCAATTTTGAACTTAACCGGTTCTCGTGGTGGAAAATTCCGTTGGCATCCTCTATATCTTGTTTAGAGTATTTTGAATTCAAAGACTCAGTATCAGAAGCGTCAGCAACGACATCGACTTGAAACTTTTGGTCTTTCTGATCTTTGGACATGTTTGGTTTTATGGCTAAGTTGTAGGGGAAAACTCAGCAGAACTAGTCTCTATATATAGATAAACACTAAAGAGCTGGAGTATCTAGGGCGTCAACCGTTTCATTGTGTACAAATCGTGGCATTACTGTCTGCCAGGCTAAAACTGTGACAGAGTTTGAGCACACCATTTGCAAAACAAAGGCTGTATTCACCGCCAAGAATTAAAAAAGTGTAAATTGGCTTTTCGCAATAAAAGCACTTTTTAATCGAATTACCACAATGTCTGGGGGAAGGGGCGATCCTTGTCCCCCAATCTGTTTCAGTGGAATAAAGCTCAATTATATAGTTAAAAATCCAGCGCCAAATATTGTGCTACTTGCCAGACTATGCCCTCTGCCAACTTTTTCATTGGATGCATACAGCCCTCAATCCAATAAAGCCAATCATAGATTCCATACCGAGCTCGTGGCTCTAATACGGTTGATTATTTGCACTAACTGAAAAACCGCAAAAAGCATATTAGAGTCTCTGCGTGAAGGCGAATACTGTGGTTTGTTGAAATCCTTTTCAAAGTGTGGCTCCAGAACATTTCAGCTTTGTGCCATACACCGGCCAAATCAATTTGCAGTTTACAATGGAAGTTTGTTTAAAATCTGTCAAAAATCGAAATAAAACTATAAAATCTGCAAAAGAGTAAAACTGAGCCAAAGCTTTCTAACCCCACAACAACGTAAACAACCGCCAACCTCTCAACTTTGGGAAGTCTGGCTCCGGTTTGTTCTGTACATCATACAACAACGGCTTCAACTTGACTTCGCTTGGTCTGATGTAGTGCGTTTTGAAGAATATCTTTGCAAACACAAGCAACACCAATCCCAACGGAATGACAAAGTAGGAGCTAAAAAATGTGGCAAAGTCCCAGTACCCGTGAATAAACACCGGGAAACCGCCTGTTAATAAGAAAATGATGGAGAAAAACAACGAGTAGAAACCAGCGTATCTGCCTCCAATGAATGTATAGGGGAGGTTTTTTCTTGAAAAGCCTTGTGCGTCTAAAGCTCTGTGGAGTGCGATGTGGTTAGCAGCTATGACGATCCAGTTGTATAATATCGCTGAACTAGAAATATTTTGAAACCAACTGAACACATTGGCAGAGGTGTTGCTTACACTTAGGTAAGCCAAGGGTAAGAAACAAGATGCGAAGGTGACTCCTACATAAGGCAAACCATGACGGTTCACCTTCAAGAAGACCTTCGGTAATTGCCTCTTTCCTGCCAAAGCATACAACGTCCGACTGGCTTTGATTATCCCCAAGTTAGCAGCAGACAAAGCAGACGTCAAAACAACAGCGTTGATAATATGGGGCAACACCTTGATACCGGCCAATGAGATTGCCCTCACAAAGGGCGAAGCCGAAGCGGTACCACTAGGTTTAGCAATTACTGGATCGTCATATGGAACAATCATGGTCAAGATAAACACCATCATGATGTACAATGAAAACACTCTGTAGAATACCCTCTTGGCAGCGCGGTATATAGCTCTTCTGGGGTGCTCCGTCTCGCCCGCCAACATCGAGATGGACTGGATGCTGCCAAAAGCATACACAACTGAGTTGACTGACTTCCAAAAGCCCAAGAACTTGCCCAACGAACCAGTAGCATATTTAGCTGCAAACGGACCGGGGTGTTTCCAGTAGTGAAATCCAAGTCGTTGTTGTCCTGACACTCCACCCAAGTCAATAATCAACCCCGTCAAAATCAAACCAGCACACAATAAGATCTTCAACAACCCAAAGAAGAACTCAACCTCCCCATACCACTTGACGTTGTAACAGTTGACAGAAACAATCACTAGCCCAAAAATTGATATCCAAAGCGCCGGATTGATATCTGACCAGTACGTCATGATGACAGCGACAGCAGCCAACTCGCTCGGAATCACAGCCGAGTAAATGTCAATCACACCCATGGAGAAACCTAACGACTTGTCGACGAAATGCTCGGCGTGGGCAACAAAGGAGGATGTAGCCGGGTACAAACAAGACACCTCGGCTATGCAAATTTGCGAGGCTGCAACAACCGTTCCCACAAAGACGTAGGAGATAAGCATACCCACCGGACCAGTAGTGTGAAGTGTACCTCCACTCGAAAGGAACAACCCTGTTCCAATGACGGCAACCAAAGCGATCATGGAGATCAATCGAGCATTCAACTTCGAGCTCAATCTGTTTTCGTGGTGAAAGATGTGGTTAGCATCCTCGATATCTTCCTTTGAGAACTGGGAAAAGTTTAACGACTCAACGTCGGATTGTTCGGTGACAACGTCGACTGTAGAGTTTGGATCTTTTACTTCTTTAAACATATTGGCGGTGGATGAGCGGTGAGAGGAGACTAGTTTAGACATTTGTGGAAAGTGTGCTACATTTATAGAGCTTTCACTAAAGCCTGACATTGTTCTGTCAACAATAATGCAATGTGTCCCATAGATCAGGGCAAAGCTTCCTGCAAATTAATTCATTTTGCAGAGGCTCATTGTTATATATACAAACCTTAATTATTGTTTTTTGCAATTTAAGTAGTGCGAGGTGGAGATACGAGGTGAAACCAAACTGACTGGATAATAATACAAGAAAGATTTGGTGTTGACATACCCAGCTGCTGAGCTCAGTTTACACCACGTATACTCTTCATTTGCGCATGCCAAGCTTCTTTCTGTCAGACTTGTCTTTGACAGCTGACAAAAGTTGCCTTCTATAATCACCTCCACATGTTTGCGCAGCTTTGTGGCCAGTCGTGCAGGAAACAAACACATCCACAGATTTACAACTTCCTTAGCCACTTATTAAGGCGGTTTTGAATTTACCTATTCGATGTAAATAATTTGCTTGCTTTTGCTATTGTCTTAAACTGTGGTGTTTTGTTGCATCAATCAATAAATTGGCTAAATTTGCACAAACTGTGGCTCACCACCGTCATTTTAAACACCTTATCTCAGATTTACATTTAAGCGACGACAGCAAATTAAAACCGAGAGATATGAAAGCGACCAAAACTGGTGCAGACTTGCTTAAATCAAACTTCCAGAGGGAGCTTTTCACTTGTTGAAAATCGCCGTTCAGAACCAATACCTGTACCGGGGAGGTCATATTTCTGATGCAGCCAATATCTTTGACGTATTGAAGTGTGGTTCACCATCGTAGATGTCGTAGAATCGATCCTCAGAGCTGTTATTTTGATCATCACATGGCAAGGTTCACTCCTTGAGTAGTCGATTTGTTGAGTTGTCCACACAGTCCTGATGCTTTTCTGATATCACACCTTTTGATCCACATGTGAGTGCTTGGAACAGCAGCTCCTGGTATGAATCCAAGACTGTTTGATCTTGAGATCCCCTTTCATTACCCTTGCATATATGATTCGTAGATCACATACTGTTCAATACAATAATGCTTTGCAAAGGTGTTTTGATAAACATTTTTCCAGTCAACACCAGAAAACACTCGCCACATCATTCTACATCTCCAGCTCTTCTTTTACAAAGATATAAATTACAACATTCAATATACATGTATCTAGCAAATGCAAATGGTTTCAAAAAGAAATACAAAGTGTACAGTACCAACGGGTAATGTCAGAAGCTCAAAAAACGGATTGACCCCGCAAAATTTTTGAACAATGCAATAAAAATTTTAGTCTTCAAATTCCCCCCCCGATCGATTTACTACTGCCATTGGCTAATAAACTCCAATACGTCAGGATCATCATCTAATCCTTCATCATCCATCTGATTAATATCATTACTGTCTAGTTTGTTGTCCTTCTTGTATCCTACGTGCGAGTCTCGATAATGACGAAGATAATGTCCCAAAATAGATGACCTTGACGTGCAATTGACTTCTAAAATCTGCCAACAATCGGTGCACAATACCCCCTCACGTTCCAACATGTGGGCATTGGTCTTGCGCTTCTTTTTCTCGGGCTCGTCGTATTCGCCCTTTTTGAACTGGTAGAGTCCATAATATTTGGGATCGGGCACTGATTTCCCATTGGTGAGAATGCCATGTTTATAAGCCAAATGATTACCATATGATGAGTTTTTCAAGCCAAAGAATTCAATTGATTCGCAATATGGGCAGAGTCCAGCACGCGTGGTGTTGTCCGGTTTGCCATTTTTAGGGTCGACTCTCGTCAAGATGAATTGGGCTTCATAAGATGTTTTTTTGAAATTGGTATTGTATGAGAGGTCGTATTCACCTTGGAGTCCTTGTTTGGCAAAAATCACATCAAAGTTGTTGCGGAGGTACAATGTGCGTTGAATCAGGCATGTGTGGGTATCGAAAAGTGGAGCAATTAATTTTTCAATCAATTGAGAACAATGGAATGGACTGGGGACCTTTGCTGATACAGATGACAACAGCTTTGAATATTCAACGTCGGGAGTGGATTCAACTGCAATTTGACTAAAATCAATCTTGGGCACGCTCGATGGATTCTTGAACAAGTTCTTTTGAAGACTTTTTTGACTGTTGGAGCTGTTTATACATTTGATCCTATTTTTGCCACGACGTCTGCTGCCTGGAGTTGAAGTGCCTGATGAATTGTTTGACTTTTCCAAAGGTGAACTTGATGTTGAGCTGATGTTTAGTTGTGCTTGATTGAATGACAAGTGCGATTGGTCTGATTTCAATGAGCTGACTGATGATGATCGTTTAGTTGGGCTGAGGATTGTAGTGGCACTATTAGCTCCTTTGACAAATGCAGGTAGTGATGCCTTGTGGGTATAATCGGAGTCCTTATTGGCCTGACCATCGTCATCTTCATCTTCTTCATCTTGATCTTCATAGTCATCAAAGGAATCATTGTGGAAAATCAATGGTGGGGGCTGACCATCGCTTTCAGCAGGATTAAATTTAACGACTGGATTATTCCCATTATCAAGGAATGAGGTTTTCGGACTGGCCTTTAATGTTTCATCAACTGGAGAGAGCCCTTCACCTGAATTTGTTTCATACTTGCCATTAGTAATGGTGTTGAATCCGCTGGAATACCCATTAATGGTTCTAATAGGGTGCAATCTCACTCTATTGTAGCAAGAATCAAATTCCGAATTCAGCTTCCATTCATCAATCTCTTTACAAGTTTCTTCAAATAAACGAATCACTTGATCATGCGTCAATTCTTGTTTGGGACTGGGCACACTAACAAGGTCATCAACCCTGCTTGATGTTGAGTTGGATTTTGATGCTTCAAAAGGTTCGTTGAAATCAAATGTTGTTGGTGCTTGAGACGAGTCAATTATAAACTTCATATACCCATTCATGCAAGATTCGGGAGATATTGTATCAGATGAAGTAGCGTCAAACCCATGGTCGTAGTAATCATAATACAAATCATCCTCGTCATCAACATTGTGAGGAGTTTTAATATCGTTGTTTTTATCTTGGTCAACGTCTTGGAATATCTTTAACAAATCATCACGTACTGGAGATGAAGTGATGGCGGTAAACGATTGGTCTGATTCGCCCACTTTTGCAATAGGTTGAGTATTGTACAACTCACTCAACTCGTGATCGTCACCATCATAATCAACAATAAAGTCGTTCCGTTTGTACTTACTGGTGTATTCTTTTGAAATTGGCTGCGACTCATCTTGTTCATGCAGCATACTCTGATAAAATGACGATTTTTTGTGCATTTGCTGAGTGTATCTTGCTTTAGTTTGTTGGTGATCTTGCTCCACAGCGGCTTGGATATCATAGTTCAATATATCAGACAACAACAAACGGGAGTAACTGATTCCATGACGAGACCTTTGTCTTGGTAGATGATGATTTGAATTCGGTCTCAGGTCAGGTTGATGTTGATTAAAGTAACCATTTCCATTAGTGTATCCCTGAGCTCCGCTATTATACATGTTGTTGTTGTTACTTCCACTATGATGATTATTGTTATGGCTGAAATTGGTCAAGGTTTGCTGGTGTTGGGAATGTAATTGGGGGAATAGATCGTCATGGAATTGGAAATCAAGCATGTTTTCGGTATCAAAAGACGACATGGTTTTGGAGGATATGGAATCACCCTCTGTAAAATGAATACACAGGTCAAGTTCGTTATGCAGTGGATAGTTGGCTTGTTGATGATTCTGGAGGTAAATAGAGAAAAAAAATATGGGATTATTGAAATCTATATTTGTGTATGGGAAATATCCTACTCACCAGAGTTGCAAAAACAAAATCAAAAAGAGACAAAGGCATTACCTCTCGTTCTTTTACATCTCTACATGAAAAGCTTCATTTTATTGAGCTAGAATGATCCCACTGGCCGATTCCACGTACTATTCTCTTTTCTTCCCTTGACGATTACGGTGCTTTCCATTGAGAGCGTCAAAAGACGTCTTTTTTGCCAAAATGTTTGTATGTGTTTGTGGCGATAAAGAACAAACAGAAAAAAATAAAAGAAATAAAATCTATATAATGAAATGCGCTTTGCTTAATCCTGTAGAAACAGACAATCTTCGAGAGCTACGCAAGGGGGTCTCAGTCCAATATGAGAGGAAAGAAAATATTAAGGAAACAACAATAAGGTTTATGCTTTTTGTGGTTAATGAGTCTGCTTCTTTTGTTTTAATCTTTTTTTGCGCTTTTCGCATAACAAACTAAAATCTTTTACGACTGGTTTTACGAGAGAAACAGAAAATACCGAGAAACCCTCCTCTCCGCACCCCCACCCCCAGCCACAAAATATATACAAACTCTATGTTTTAAAGAAGACGCACAAAGCATGGTACTGGTTAGTAAAGTGTCTAGAACCTTTTTTTTCTGATATGCCACTGTCAATTTATCTTTTTCGGCCCCTTTGTAGTTTCTGTTACCCCTCAGTTACAGCTTTGAAGATTGAAGATTTATGTTTGCTTTTTGTTATATAACTCTGGTAGAGTCAGAGTCATAAACAGGTAGAGATGACAAGGTAGAGCGGGCCGCAATTGGGGTTCTTAAAAGAAGTTCACAACTGTGGATTACTTGACATTTTTTAACGGGTTAAATAATCATTCTTTATCTCAATGCGTTAAACTAAACCTGTAAAACTAGTGAAAGCTAATTGGATATTACTTTCAACACTGACAAAGTACTGTGTATTACTCTAAATATTTGTGTCGCTCTTTTCTGAACATAGTAGTCTGCTCTTGCATTTCTATTGGTAAAATTAACCCCCTTTCTCGAGATATTTTCCTTCGCCAGTAGAGTGACCCCAATTGCGCAGTTCAATCGGCTAAGATACATTAACAAACTACCCCTATAGGGATAGTAATATGTAAAACGGGATGGATGGTTTATTTATTAATTAAATTAAGAAAAGGTATAAAAAATTAAAGCACTAAAATGAAAAAGTATGAAAATAAAAATAAAATTATTATTATTATTATTATTATTATCAATACTGTCAACGGTGAAAGGTGGGGTAAATAATAAAAAAAGATAACGGGGAAAGATATAAACTTCGGTATGAGTGGTACTTGGTGATTAACTTGGGGGAGGTTGTTGTGGTATAAGAATATGAATGTTTTCGAGCTTTACGGAAACTGAATCTCAAAGCTTTGCTTGATAATGAAATGCTTCAAACATGGATAAGACGTTGCTCACAAATAACGATCAAAATTTCAATCTCTCGAATCCACATGGAAAAAGAACGACGAGTCATATATGATTCTAAATCTCTTCAGGTTTAGCTCTCTTGACTCTGAAGAATCTAAATTTAGAAGCATCCGAAATAGGTTCATCATGCACACCGGGTCCTGCTACACCTGGAGTGACACCAACACCAGAAACGCCTCTATTGGCCGATTCATCATAATTGGCTTGTGCATAATCGCCATCACTTTCCTTGGCATATACATTCGAGTCTCTGGCACCATAAGCACCTCCTGCACCTCCTGCCTCGACTCCTGAACCTGATCTTCTTCTATTGCTTCTTCTCGTGCCAAGAGCGGACAAAATTGAAGTGATAAAAGTAATCAATAAACAAGCAACAGCGGCCCACAAGATACCAAATGCCTTGGCTCCCAAACGCGACTTGTGACCAGCGTTATTAAATGCATTTCTTCCCTTGACGTGAGCAGCAGTGATTAAACAAGCGGCAGTAATGGTGAATAAAAACGCAAGGAATGTCGAAATGGCAGCCAAAGCTCCGCCAATGGCAAAGCAAAAATTCAAAGGAACGACAACTAATGCAACAACAGTGAAAAACAAAGCCACAAGAATGAATGCCCATCCAATACGAGTCAAAAAGTAATAAGTATCTCTTGAACTAACAAAAGTGTTGGGTAATCCCAGTTCAGAGCCAAAGTTATCCTTGGGAGAATATGGATAAGCTGGTTTAGATTTAGTACAGTTGTAATTGTGGCCATCTTTAACGTCACATGACCGATAGAAAGTCCATCTAGTGGTTTGAAATTGGGCCCCTGGTATATTTGAAGTATCAGTTTGTGACCAGTAGAACTTACCAAGAATGGATGAAGTTCCTGCACCATTAATGGCAGTGAGAATCAACAACAAGGCTGAACCTAAAAGGAAAAATATGGGAACGATAGTAAATGCTCTCATTGTAGTAGTAGTGGTAGTGGTAGTGGTATGAAGGTAATGTAATTCTTTGTAGCGATTAGCCTGTATTTCAGTTCAGTTCAATTGATATTTTGTTGTGTATCCAAAATGGAAATGATAGATTAAGGAAGGGGGTAATTATCTGTTGTTGTACTGTTATCTTTATAGTAAAGTGTTTACGATAGGTGGTAGATTCAATTGAAGAAGTGTAGTTGGCTGTAGTTGTTATTGATGATGTATATATATATATATATATATATGTATATATAGGGACTAAAATAGAATGAAATTTTGATGATGCTGTTGCATATATATATATACAATATACAATTGTGTATTAATGTACGATGATATTGTTTTTGTTTTTGTTACTGCAATAGCAAAAATAAAAAAATTTAAATTTTATTTTTTATTTTTTAATTTTTTTTATTTTCGATTTAGACAAACAAAGTAATAATTAATTATATTTAATACTATAGACACATCATCACCACCATGCCACTACTACTAACAACAACAATCAGTGACAAGTTTAGAGAACAATAAGAATAGTGGCTTTGGAATAGATGCCTACTGACCTTCTATATGCAAGTACTTTAAAGAAAAAAAGAAAGAGAACCCTTATACAGTAGTGTAATCAAAATTTTGTGTGGTTGTTCTAGACAATAGAGAAAAAAAAAAAACCTATAAATAGACTGTGTGACCTTTTCTTAGACCATAAGCCATGCGACAATAAGCTACTAGAGCTACCACTTAGACATATTCTATTTCACACACACACATACGCATATTTGTATCGCATAAACCCCATTCCTATAGCAATCAAATGATCAGCCGTTGTGTAAAACCTCCTTGCTTCAAAAAGAATTGACTGTATTTTACTTTTCTTTGTCTAGAAACCAACCAGTCTATATTCTTTGCGTAAATGTTCCAATTGTCTGTTCCTTTTTTGCAGTTAAAAAAATAAAAAACTTCTTGATCCGTATTTCGATCAAGCCCTCAAGAGGTCTAGGCAGAGATGGAGAACCTAGAAATAACAAGACAAAGTGAATTCTCCGACTGTCTCAACTTTGCTGAAAGAGGGGGGAGGCAATGTTACAGTCTGTTGCCTCGAAGTACATGATGCAAAAGAGCAAAAAAAAATAGCAAAAATAGCAAGGCTGAGAAAGCATCACACATCGAAGATTACTCCGTCACTACTAAATGTGTATTGCTGTAAAAATATGTCATTACTATTAACTTTTACATCCCAGTCATATGTGTGTATGAGATAATTGAAGGGGCCTTATCACTTCTTCTTCTTCTCTCTGTGTCGTTGTTTGGTCTTCCCTATCGCATATAAACTTCTGTATATCCGGGTGAATCAAGAATGCTGATTCTATTACTCGATTAGGATTATATTGCGCTCTATACATTTGAAATATATACGAACTGAATGGTATATAGCAAATGACCCCTCTTCAAACTTTATGACGTAATATATCACATGACTTTATTCTTTATTCGTTTTTCTTTTGTATTGCTACGATAGTAGTAACAGTACAGTAAATAATAGAAAAAGAATGTGTTGTTTTTTGTGTCTATAAACATAATTGTGTAATTAACTCCTTCCTAATTAGGAAAGACAATTGACAAATTAAGTAAAACACCTCTTCCACTTTTCCACAACCATACACACATACATATAACCACACTCCACCTTTCCTCATAAAAAATGCGCATTCAATCACATAGCATATGCCACATCTAAAAGCTTCCAACACTCATGTGAAATGACACATTTATAAGCACAAACACGGGCACAACCCTGGTATCTACTAGCTCGCCTTCTTTCTCTATACCGTTACCTGTCAAAAATGTAATAGAAAACAAAAGCAGAGTTTCTGTGTTTTCTGTGTAAACAATCAATCCTCTTGTACCGCTATATAGTTTATAACGAAAACTGCCTACAACCAGATTCACCTGGTATGTGGGATATTTGATGAATTTCAAACCTAATATGACCTTATCAATGGGACAACATTGTTTGAAATTATTAAAATTTGTCTCAAAATGAGTGCCAAAAGTACCAAAAACTTTCATGCATTCACAAACTGTTTCCCCTTTTAGCTTCAGACTCAACAAGCTACTTAGTATAAGGTTATCACACCAAAGTGGTATATCCTTTAGAAACGTGTTTTCTGCTATATATTTTCTCTCTTCGGACTTAACCCTTCCAGTCTAAATCCGATAATATTTTCTACCAAATGGAGAATGATGCCTGAAAGAAAAAAAAAAAGAAATAATCACACATGCATTAATCTCCCCACCATCATTCGAGATCACTCGCTGTGCTTTTTTTATAATCCCTTTCATAAACTAACTCATGTGAACAACACGGTGATGACGGAGAGAACTTATATGCTCCTGTATAGTAGCCAATTTTCAAAAGATTATTTTCGCCCAAACCTATAACCTATTAATGATCTTTTAGTTTCCCAATTTAAGGACAAATGGAGGATTGAATCGGGAATCTCGATCCGAATAAACATACGATACTTTTCTGTAAGTTCTTATTTTTTTAAGGAGGGAGGAAGAGTAGGGGTTTACGGGTTTTAAATTTAACGCACGTTTCGCGGGGGTTTCAACATCAGATCTCTGTTTATTCTAACCAACAACTCTCCAAAAAAAAAAAAAAAAACACATGTACCATCAAGGATATACATAGTAATGACATCTTTTATCAAGCCAAAGGGCAAGTGTAAATAGTTAATCTATAGAATGGCTTAACTCCAAATCATTCTTCGTTTCTTTTTTTTTTTCATTTACATTGGCGCTTAACTTTAAATTAAATTAACAAAAAAAGAAATAGAAAAACCCAACAGAGCAAAAGTAATTTAAGAAGAGAAGATCTCCCAATCTTGATATCTTTTAGCAAACACCACCGATTACACGGTTTTTCTATTTCTTTTTGTTATTACCAATGATGGATGCTAGGAGGTAGCAAACACTACATCTTACAATAACAACAACAACAACAACAAGTACTAAATCAGCACTTAATTTATAAACAATGTTGGGCCATTTGAACATGAAGTCATCTAATGAGACCACCACCACCACCAACAACAACAACCCCACCCCACAACCCACATCATCATCAATTGATGCAACCTCAAACAACTTCCCTGACCTATCGACCCTCCCCCTAATCGGCCGCGACTATTTTAAAGCCTCATCCAAACCAATCTACGAAGGAGCCAATGGGATAATTTTCAAGGGCACCGACTCGCACCATGCAAAACTAGTGGTACTCAAACGAATAAAACAGAAATCCGACGAAGAGCATGCCAACTATCTTAATACCGTGTGGCGAGAATATCGCAATGTCAAATCATCAGCAGCTTGCAAGAATATCATTCCTATTTTGGATGTTGCTGCTATATTGAAGAATGCCAGTAGGAGCAGAAGCAGTAGTCAGCAACTGGATGAGCCAGGGGAAGATGAAAGGCGGAAGCAGCATGAACAACAAGAAGAGGAACAACAAGAAGATCCTAATCTACTTTTGGAAAATGAAGTTTCACTAATACTACCATTCTACCCACGGGGCGACTTGCTCGATTTTCTATCCAAATCAAGACGGTTCCAAATCGAAATCTCACCCAATTTGCGTGATACCTTATTCAAACAAATTGTCCGCGGTGTAAATTTCCTTCATAAACACAACATCGTGCATCGTGATTTAAAACCGGAAAATATTCTTATCGATGATGACGGTGTGTTGAAGATTAGTGATTTCGGATACAGTTTCAACCTCAATGATACCGATGCCATTACTGCCAGTTTTAAAACTAATCCGCATTTTCTCATTTCCGGTACCCCCAGTTTCAAAGCGCCCGAGTTGTTTGATATTGAAGTACAATTACAACTGGATGAATTTAGCATTAATCAATATAGTGTGTCTTCCCATAGTTATCAGAGTTTAAAGTACCTTGATTTGTGGAGTTTGGGCATATGTTATTTTGTCATTTATTTGATGAAGTCGCCGTGGTCGTCGGCCAATTCACAAGACCCAAAAAATGTCGTATTTCTCAAATACATTCAAAATTATCCTCATAAGCAGGAGCAAATCAAGTCATTGTTGGCAGAGTTGAATCGATGTGGTGGTGGTAATGGTGGTGGTAATGGTGGAGTTAGTGGTGGGACTAGTCCAGGTGCATCAGGCGGCGGTGGTGGCATCAATACATCACCAAATCAACGACCTCAACTTTCAACCCTCACTGGCTCGCTGTACAATCATCGCCACACGCCAAGCTACAACTATAACAATAATAATAATAACAACAACAACAACAACAATCGAATTAGAAGTTCAAGTCATTCTCAAATAAACCCATCAGGACTCAGCCTACACCATCATCACGCAAACGAATCAAACTCAAACAACAATAACAACACCACAAGCTCATCGCAATCTTCATCTTCATCAGCCATTCCCTCACATTCAATCACTGGATCCAACTCAGCACTCAATTTATTCAAGAGCTTGCACTACGACTCGCGTGAATATATTTTGAAACTCCTTAATCCTCAACCTAATGCCAGAATCAATACCGCTGATTTATTAGACAGCAAATGGTTGAGTCAAGCTTATGCTAATCCCAAAGATTTAATTAAATTAATGAAGTAAGATGAAGTACAGAATACCTTTGCTCAGCTTGCGATTAAGTTTTAATTGCTATAGTTTCAGTTAATCAATCTCGAATTCTCGTGTTATCTACATAGTTTCTATCTCTCGATATTAGTTTTAATACAAGTCACAATAACATAATACATAATACACAAAGTTTATACAAAATAATAATAATAAAAATAATAGTAGCTTTAAAAAAATGACACGAATAATAAGAATGGGGAAGCATGTACAAACGGATACCAAAGCCAAAAGGTAACCGCCATATCAACTCTCCACCTCCCACTTCCAATCTCTAAATTCAATAAATTGGAAAAAAAATAAAATAATCATAAGTTCAACATAAATGCAAAATAAAACAACAATAAAACGAAATTTAAAGAAATGTGAAAAAAAAAAACAAAACACGGCGTGCATTGACAACGACGAAGCAGCATTGGATGTTCAAAGACTACCCATATGGTTGTCTCAAATCAGGCAGGAATAATCCACTTGGTCTAATTCTGCTTTGCTCCACTTGGTCTAATTCCACTTTGCTCCACTTGATCCATTAGTACCATTCATAGCGGCACCAGAACCCAGTTGCTGTGCTGAAGATGAAGTTGAAGATGGTTGTTTCTGTGAAGCATCTTGCGAGGAAGTTGCGCCGGCACCTTGCGCTTGATTTCCACCGGCCAACTGATTAGTTGATGTCCTCCTCACATTTCCTGGACCTCGAACTCCCAATGGATTTTTAGAAAACGATAACCGAATTCCTCCTTTACCATTGCTTCCTGCATGTGGTCTTGGCAATGTCCGTCCATACAATTCAGCCAATGCTCTCGTCGCATGAGCAACATCTTCAAACTCAACAAAACACATTGGTCCATGATTATGACCACTTGAGTTGGACGTTCCGGTAGTTGTTGCTGTAGCTGAAGAAGAAGAAGATCCAGCTGACCCACTGGTATTATTACTGGATTGGTTCTTTGTCCTAAATGATAACCGTCTAAATCCCTTTTGTGGAGCAAACAACGTACGCAATTCAGCTTCAGTTGCATCAGGTGGTAAATTACCAACATACAATGTATTACAAGGTGGGTTCTGATCAGCTGGATTGGCTGGAGGTGGCACTTTGGCTAATAATGAAAGCTCAGGTATATCTTTTGCAGTTGGAATCTTGTTACCCGTTTGTGACGAGGCAGCAGCAGTCGAGGGACTAGCGTTTATTAAAGCTGCCGGCGACGTTCGAGGTTTAATCCCTTGTGCATTCAGTTGCTGTTGCTGCGGGTAAGCTTGGGAAGATGACTGTGACCCTTTGCCGGATTGGTAATCTTGGCGTTGACTCATTCCACCTGGCTGTTGCAACGACGACCTTAACCCCGATGCTGTTGGACCATGTGGGGGAGTTTGGTTAGGAGCTGTTGCAAGATGTGGCGGCGACGTCAATTGTTGTTGTAGTTGATCCTGTGGCAACTGTGGATTAAAAAATGAAGATGAAGTTCTTCGGCGGTCGGGTGGTTGCTGTAAGATAATATTCGATGTGCCATTGGTAGCACCTGCCGAGGCGTTCCACTCGGGGTTTGAATATACTGTAGGACTATGTGCTGAGGATCCATTATTCGGATTCGAGCTCCAAGGATCTCTAACCAATTGTTCGTAATCCCTAGCATCATTTTGAGACTCCATAAGTAGTATTGATTTCCCAGTCACTTCGGAGAAATCACCCACTCCAGTATTCGCTCTTGACCCGTTTGCCGATCCCGAACCTAAACCAGCTGGTTGGGGTAGATCATCGGATAGACTACGAGAGGGAAAATTAAACTTGGAACCTGACTGTGTTTGTGGTTGAATGGAGCTACTGGGGGGACCAGATTGGACACCAGAACCGGATAGCCTTTGTTGAGGGGGTTGAAAATGACTCTGCTGATGCGATTGTGGTTGAGGTTGGTTCTGCTGATGTTGCTGTTGTTCATGCGAAAATGGGTCACTAAAGGCAAACCTAGATCTCTGATTACCCACAGACAGTCTCTTTTGCAATACATCAAATGGGGCAACCGGATGCTGTGCACTGGATGAATGAGTAGATGGTGCATTGTTCAAAAGTTGATGTGATCCCATTTGTGTCTGTGACAACGGCGTTGGCCCATGTGATGGAGTTGCTGCATTGCTGAATGTATTTGGTGGTGAAATGTTGTTAGATGAAGATAATGACAACGAGTTAAATGCTGATTGTGTTTGGGCCAATACTTGCGGAGATCCCAATGTATGCTGAAGACTACTGTTATCAAATTCAACCTTGATTGGGGGATAATCGGGCCCAAAAATTTGTTGTCCATCCAATAATTTACCTGTTGTTATGCAAGTATTGAAATTCTTAAACAAGGCAAATATTTGGCAATCACTAACATCAATACTTAAAACTTCATCAATAACTAGGGCAAATAATAAAGTTGCTTCTCTTCTTGTGAGGTCGTGTGGTAAGTTGGAGATTTTCAATAAACCGGTAATGGGTGGAGATTGCCCATGCGATGGTTGTTGTAGTTGGTATTGTTGTTGATATTGAGGTTGATTAAATTGTTCTTGATGCGAGTAAGAGTGCTGCTGCTGCTGCTGCTGCTGTTGTTGTTGTTGTTGTTGTTGTTGTTGTTGTTGCTGCTGCTGTTGTTGATGTTGTTGCTGCTGAAGTGGGTATTGTGTATGATTCCCATATACTGAAGGGTTATTGATCAACCCCGGAGGTCCATTGGTGGCACCTATGGTGTTATCTGGCGCCATAAGTGATGACGATGATGCTCCTGTGGATGACAATGGAATATGATTAAAAGGTCCGTTTTGATTGGATGAGGTATTATTATACCCTATAGCTGCTTCAGATGACATTGTTCTTATTTGGATTTAATGCGGGATATATGCTTGATTCCTGGATTATGGAAATATAAAATTTTTAATGATTAATACAAAATATGAATGAAAGTAAACTTGGGCGAATGGTGGTGTAATTGAGTGGTTTCAAAAAAACGTTAAATTCTGCTTCTATTCTTTGATGTTTTGTGGATAATGGATACAAAGAAATTGATGGGATGTATCCCCTTCAATTTAAACGGCAAGACTGGGTAGTCTATAGCTGAGAATAGATCTCTTTCTCTTTGTTGGTGTTAAAAAAAACACACACACACACACACTAAAGTAAGGGAGAGCTAGCTTAGATTATTCTTTCAGTAGTTCAGTACCCTTCGATTGAACAGAAGTAGGGTGTACAGATGTTATATCAGTTTTTCTCCTTCGATTGATTGTCAGCAAGCTTAATAGTCCTGGGCTTGGAATTGAATAGTTTTGGTTTGTAAAAAAATTTGCGTGGGGTTTTTAATAGTGGTAGATGTCGTTTGCCCCTCACACTTCTCTGCTTTGTCTAATCTCTCAATCTACGTGGTGTTGTTGTGATAGGAACAGTAGTGGTAGTTAGATGATTGTATAGTAGGTAGATTGTAAGCTGTAAGTTGTGAGTTGTATAGTTTGTATGCTAAAAGAAGATAGTTGTATATGTATATATGGTGTGTGTGTTTGTTGCAAGATTACAAAAATTTTTTATCTTGTGTTTTTTTATTTTTTATTTTTTATTTTTTTTTATTTATGTCTTTCTTCTTCTTCTTCTGTCTCTGTTGTCTCTGTTGTCTTTTGTCTTTTGTCTTTTGTCTTTTGTCTTGTTCTTCTTTTTATTAAAAATTAAAAATAAAATAAAAGAAACAATGGAAAACAAATAAATAAATAAATAAATAAATATAAGTAAATAATTTTTACGTGTCTTTATGTAAGTAATATATATATATATGCTAACGTTAACAAAGGGAGTGTAAAGTGCTACAAAACTCATACATCTACCTCCATACACACGTACTAAAACAGCTTATATATCACACAAAAATAAATCACAATTTTATATTCGTCTAACAATAAAGGAAAAGAAAAAAAAACATAACAAAATAACAAAATATAAAATCTTATAACAGTTAGCATTGTAAATAGTACACGACCCACTCTAAAAAAGTTAATTAAACAGTGTTATATCTATATACCAAAGCCTACATATCACACACACACACACACACACACACACACACACTTCATATACACATGGGGTATATGATATGCATATCAATTGAGCTGTTGGGTTATTGTCTTTTCTTTTCTTCTTTTAATGTACAAGTTGTGTTTGAAAGCAACACACAAAAGCCCTTTAAACTTTTGCCAGTTATATTAACCACAACTAGTTTGACCATAACAAAGAAAACTAAAAGACGCGATAGAATATAGAGGTGTTTCTTTGCTTAAAGTTTATCCCAACATTCTCGAACCTTAGAGCTTTGACTAGAAGGAGGAAGATAATAAACACCTTTGGCAAAGTAGAGTTAGCAAGGCTATCATAAATGCATTACTGGAAAGACCAGTAGGAGAAGCTGCAGACATAACGTATTCTTATTGTGATTCTCATAAACACCTCTTTCCTCTTTTACACTCATCAACTGGCCATTTTTAGTTCTATTTGCTTAGCCCTTTAAAAACTTTAATGGTCCTTTTTGAATAGTGAGTTTTATACTTTAACCGGAGTCGTGTACTTTTGCTGCCATATTTTTTAGTCACGCATTTTCTGTCAACAAAACAAAACAATCTTGAAATATGTACACGACGTTATTCTTACAGCTTTGTCTTATAGGCTAACAAAGTAATCAATCTCCAAAAGGATATATAAGATACAATCGTTAGCCAGAAGAGAGAAATCAGACTTCCAAATGGAGGCGTCTCTTGTCTAGAAACTTGCTATTGAAGTTCTTAGTGTTATCTTTCTTCTCATCTGCATTCACATTGGAATGATAATGAGAAAATGCTGCAAATTTATACAACTTTGAGTTCTCATGAACAGCAATAGGAGTATCATTACATGCTTATTGCAAACAATGAGATCAAACTCAATCCTTCAAAGACGATACCACCTCTTGATTAAACCCAACTTTTGCGTTTTCCTATTCTCTCTTGCTTTACTACAACGCGCTTTGCCAAAAAAGAAAATTATTTCCTTACTACGAAAGCTCAACCTGATCAAATACAGGAAATCAGTTTGCCACACACACACACACTGCCTCCCAATTCTCCTACAGTCTACCATGATGACAGAAGACATACATCAATCTCAGATAAGCTACTCCAGTTTTGAATTTCTTCTACAAGAAATTGTTCCCACATCAATCCGCGTATCAAAACAACTATCAACTCAATCAGCCCAACCTTCAATAACACCACCACCACCAACAACAACAACAGACTCAACCGAAGCCAAACAACAGGATCAGCAAACTCGAATTGATACTCAATTATCCTCCATCAACAATGATTTTCCGGGCACTGTCAATATACTAGACTCTAGTCTACTCCCCACGGATGATGTCACGATACGAATTGAAACCATGGGTTACAACCTTGGTCTTAAAATTGCTGAATTACTACTTTATCAGAATTCGACAACGAAAATCATTGATATTTTGGATATCATGAAATTTGTTTGTCGTGATGTTTGGAAATGCCTTTATAATAAGCAAATTGACAATTTGCGAACTAATCATCGAGGAACTTTTGTTTTAATAGATAACAGCTACAAATTGATAAGTGAATTTAGTAGTGGCAATAGCAATAGCAATAGCAATGAAGGGGCAGGTGGTGAAGGTGGAATCAGTTCTAATCAAGATACGTTAAAAAAATCACGCGTATATCTTTGGTTTCCCTGTGGTGTGATTAGAGGAATATTGATGAGTTTTGGGGTTGAGAGTAACGTGTCGGCGGAGATTACTCAATTTCCTGCCGTTATGTTTAATATTCATACGAGCATTAATAACTAGACGAAATAGATATACATAGTCCCCCTTTGCATCGCTGTAGAGAAATCTGGCAAACTTTAGTATAGAGTCGGAATTGGCTAGCCAATGTAGGCGATTCCAAGTAGAAGGGCTGTCATGGTCTCACTAATTTACACTCATGATGTGTGTTACAGCTGCTTGTACTCCCCACCCCCTCTTTGCTCATGACTTGGTGCATTTTTTTTTTAAAAAGGAAATCGAGAATTGCAGTTGCACGAAAACAATCTTGACCACGCAAAGCTTATCATGTATACCGAAAATGCGCCTCACACACCATCACCACAGCAACCTACTCCACAACCGCCTCAGATCCTAAGAATCAAGAGGAAAAGAGGTCAAGATCCTCTCCAGGCTTTGATATTGGAAGATACTCGTAATGTTAAGCGATCGAAGCCATCAACTCCAATCACATCACCTATTGCCACACCTCGTAGTCAAACACCACTGCATCAACGTCAATTGAATGAGGAGAGTAGTGGTACCAATAATGACAAGCTTAATTACATGTTTAAGTTGGCCAAGACGGAGATTAGCAATGGTGCTGAATTTGATGAATCTTTATTACACACAATCTTGGCTGAAGCAGCAGCACCTACAGAAGCTAAAGCAGAAGGGTCTACAAGTGGAGGACACAATCAACTGGAAATTAAACGACGGTTTATAATCCAACCAGACGAGTCACGACGTCAAAGTGGCATTGATTATAATGATATAGACAATCCAATCCCTGATCAATTGTCCAATATGGTTGAAGATTTAGTGTCAAGGGGAAATGAAAAACCTAAACTGAAGCGGAAAAGAAGAGGCCGGGTAGCAAATATTAAGGACGAGAGTGCTACTGTCGCCGATGAAAAACTACTAGAATTGCGAGATTCAATATCTCAAGACACATTACATACGGATACAATCCAAACCCCTACTGGAATTGATGACGAGAATCAATATGTATACGACGTGTACCAGCTAACCGATGCCGAACCTCTAACCACGGCAAACCACCCACTGGCTCAAATAGGCTACATTCGATTCTTTGATGATGATGACAACAATAACGACTCCATACTTGATTCGACACAACAAGATCTCGATGAAACGAAAAAGCCTAGTGTCTTGACTGATGATGAGGATTCCAACGCTGAAAGCTTTTACCAAAATGATTATCCTAGCGATGAAGATGCTGGAGGGTTACAAGAATTGAATTCATTTGAAGACGAGTTTGATAAGTTGAATCTTGGAGATGGCAGCAATAATGGTGAATGTCGGGGTGGCCATGGTGAAGGTAATCACGATGGAGATGATGACGCGTATGTACCTCATGATGGAATTGGTTGGGATGGTGAAGAGTATTTCGATTATGGCGATGTTGAGAGATATATGGGACTAGATGAAGTTGACGACGACGATGACGATGATGAAGACGATGAAGATGACGAGATACACAGGAATCAATTTTTCAAGTCTGATGCTGATGATCCACTAGCTTTGCATAGAGACAAGATTTTTGGAAAATTAGAGAAAATGATCAATAAACAGTAAAAATCACAATAACGTCTATAATTTATATTTAAGAGAAGAAATATTTACTTTGTAAAACTTGTCTAATATCCAAATTACCATTCTTTGGAAGGCTCAAAATTTGTACAGGAACGAAAACAGGAACCAAATGTTTTCGTTGTGGATTGGTAATCACTGTTGCAACATCATTCACATTTGAAGAGTATTCACGAATAGTGTTACCGACAATATGATACAATTTCGGGCTGTACTGCTTGATTAATTGGCTCACTGGATGGTCATTTTCCTCATTGTGCAATTGCTTCAACTCGTGATTCAATAAATATGCCATCCTCCTTCCCTCATTATCACTATACCCATTTCGAATAGTTGTCACTTGTGCATATAAATCCGGATACTCCAACTTGTCGAAATAAACCAATTGAAAGGAATGCGAACGTTTGACTTGATTTATAAAGTCGTTTCGAACATGAGCCATATATTCAAATGAATGTAGCTTAACAAATGTCTGACGTAAGATTTGTGATAATGTGTCAACTTGATTTGGATGCGTCCAGTACGAATCATGTATTGATGCAAATGTCAAACTTTTAGCTCTATCCCCTGCACTTGCTTTCTTTTTCTCTTCACAAGCACACGCATCACATGTCATAAACATATGACTAGCATCCAAAGAATGAATGAAATTAGGAGCAATGGCCAACTCATGTTTACGTCTATCCATCGGTGCATACTTACTCAGAGCCAGTTGCATAATTGATCCCAAGGCTCCGGAAACACTGTGAGGTTGTAGTTTTCTATACGTTTGAATCACAGGGAACCCTCCGGCAGATACCCAACTTATGGGACTATAACTTATCGGAATTCTGTACCAATTGTTCAACGCTTCACTCGCTGATGTTAATGTGAGTGAAGATGATGCGAAAGTCTTCAATTGGAGATAGTCCAACGTTTTCACATTATAACTAGTCAAGATGCGTCTCGTGTTTTCCACGAGCCACCCCTCCATTTGTTTAGCATTGAAGAACAATTCATCAATTGACGACAAAATCTGTCTTGCCAAGTATATAGTCGACTTCAAATTGAATTGACGTAGCTTATCAATGGTTGGTTCATCATATATCCCACGTTTGGATGGATTTTCATCGTGATCCGATACAATCTTCTCAATATTCTCTAAAATTTGTCTACTTGCACCAGCCAATGTAACGCCATACACAGTAGTCATGACTGGTCGTTTAATCAATTTACGATCCAATATCTTCAACATGAATTCCGCTTCTTGACGAGCTTCCCCTTTGAGTTTATTTTCAACATCGTCAATAATTTTACATTCAACAATATCTCGCACCGTTGAGTATACATCTTGCTTGGTATCCATGGGGACTAAATTAACTGCTTTTCCACCCAGTTCATCAGCAGCTAAAGCTGCATAGTGTTGTAGTCCATTGCATGAACCATCTTGGTGTATAGGTAACCGACACAAGTACTCTTCAATTTCGCCACCATCCTGTTCAACAAAGTGTAAAATCTTTTTAATTTCAATGCACACCGATAGTGCAGAGAATGGTTCATCGGCCTTCATCCACCATTGATTGCTCAAAGGATCTGTTGCTGATTCAAGAATGTGGCCCTTATTTTGACTGAAAAATTCCTCACAATTGATTGCACCGCTGCCACCAAACACGGACATTAATTGATACTTTATCCAGTAAAATCCATTAGCACCTAATGGTCGACTGTGCCAGAATTGAAACAATGATCGAGTCAAGTCGCCGCCATAGTGGGTCAATGGCGACAATGGATATACTCTACCTCTGAAATCAAATACATAACAATGATACAACATGTCTCCATTACGGCCAAAAGCGTTGGCCAACTTGTTGACAGTTTCGAAATTCAGTCGCAATCCTTTAATATCGATAACCTCTTGCTTGGACTTTGTCAAAGAGTCCACCCTTTGCGGTGGAATGTCAAGAAACCCATCAGATAACTGCATCAACTTGTTGAAAATCACCAACATATCTCGATTGATTGACCAAGCAGTTTTACCCATTTGATCAAGACATTTAAATGCGGAATCAAGTTTACCTTGATGATGGGCATTTTGTAATATTGTTTGTTGTAACTGGTCAAATCCACTCAAGAACGGAGTATTTCTTTCCAAATAGGCACCTTTGTTGACACCAAGCCATGGTTCAGGAGGGCACAATAATGGGAAATGATGTGAATCTGATCCAATAGGAATTGAAGTCAAGCTTTGTGACAAGATAGGATTGATGCTAATTACAGCTCGTGATTTGATCGGTGATGTATAGATTGTACTTTGGGTAAACGCAAATTGCTCTTTGGTATCGCCAACCGTAAAACTAGGACCGACTTCAGCTTCACTGTTGAGTTGACGAGTTGTATATTCACTAGGTAACACACATGATTCTATCACAGCTTTGACCAATATGCTTGAAAACTTATCGAAATCATCATCAGATATAAACTTGAAAAGTTGTGGCTTATTGTCACCCGTTTTCATTAATGATATATCTTGTCTAAAGGCCATTCTCATGCCACTTAAGACTTCTAAAACACCAACTTTCTCCTTATACGCCGAAGAAATCAATTTGTAAACAACGTTACCAACTATTGACCTTATGGGGAAACTTTGAATAAATTGTTGAAAATGATAAAGTATCTTTTCATTGTCAGAAGCTGGCGAGTTCACAACTAGCTTGTCGACTGTTTTACAGCTGTGATAAATCCAGGTATTCAACATTTCTTGCTCATTAGCGATAAACTTTGCACTCTGTTCAGATGTTGTGTTGGATTTTGATGGACTTTTAACCAATTTATGAGTATATTGTTCCAAAGTTGATTGTTTAATCTTGTTGAAAGCAAGATAATCCTTCAAGAACGTTTCTTTTTCATTGCTGGGTAAAGAGTCGTAATAGTCATATATTCCATATATGGTTTCTCCATTCCATTGAAATTTATTGTCTTCGATATATTGACAGGCTTTTTCGAAATGTAAGTTACCAAAATCATCCAAGTAGGACTCAATGGGTAGAGTAGTGGGGGGAGAATTAACAGGATGTTCACTTGATTGCTCCGACTTTATACTGGGGTAGAGCTCTTTCAAGGTTTTTATTAGATCCTCTTCAGTCAATCGTGTCGAAAATATTGACAAATCTGCCTGGAAACTTTCCACCACTTGCTTAAATGAATTCTTGATTGGAAGTGCATATATTTTACTCTTTCCAGATGCTTTTTCCAAGTCATATGCATGTAGCAAAGTCTTTAAAATAGTGTTAATATGTGGCTGTGTTGTATTGTGGTCAACTCCTGAACACTGCACTTGTTTGATCAACGTTGCATATGCTTGAATAATGCCATTGAGAATCTTGAAATTGAATCTCTGATCCTGTTCTATGTACAAGCAAAGTCCCGCTTGAAAGAATTCAAGCATTTGCTTCTGATTCAATGCAATCGGGTGATCCAAGGATGTATAGTGTTTTTTTAACTCAATTAAATGCTTTAAGGCAAGTGAAGCATTGTTGCTAAATACTGCACGTATGTACGTCTTCGATAGCGAGTTCCACCTTTCTTGATCATGATCGGGAAAGGTGAATCTCTGTGGGTCAAAGATTGATTTATCAGACACATTTTCGTATGCAGCCGTTGCAAGGGATCGACCGAGAAAACGCAAGCGTCGACAAGGACTAACATGCCATCTTTGTTTTATTATTGTGTTTCTTATCATAGTAGCATCTTGAGTATTTTGATATAAGTAATCATGAAAAGAAGTCCTGCTTAGAGTATTGCAGCTCGATGATGTGAATTTTTTTCATTTCTCAAGAACTCCCGATTGGGAAATTCAATTCAACGCGCTTAGCTATTACATAAAAATTTTGACCGAAAAAAAAAGTCAGCAATAGTGTCATCCGTCATAAAAGAAGCTCAATGAATAGAGTAACTAAAGTACCCTTCAGATTCCTATCATCCAAGGCTGATAGATTTGTGCCTAAGAGTGGGGTCTATCCAAAAGGTTACATTGTGGGCGGAATCCATAGTGGTGTCAAAAAGGATGGTAAATCATTGGACTTGGCCATAGTTCACAACACCCAGGGCAACAATGCGGCCGCGGCGGCTGTGTTTACCACTAACAAGTTCAAAGCAGCGCCTGTCCAAGTATCTCAAAGAATCATTAAGGAAACTAAAGGTGCAGGCATCAACTCGATTGTGGTGAATAGTGGTAACGCAAATGCCGTCACTGGAACCCAAGGAATGAGAGACGCCGAAGATATGGCATTGGTCACAGACTCAGTACTTGGAAATGAGCCAAACTCAACGTTAGTAATGTCAACTGGTGTTATTGGAAACAACTTGCCCATCGATAAAATCTTGTCTGGAATACCGAAGCTAGCATTGAACCATTTGGGCAATACCCATCAAGATTGGATCAACTGTGCCACAGCAATATGTACGACGGATACTTTTCCAAAGCTTGTCAGCAAGCAGTTTACAATTGGTAAAGATACTTATACATTAGCTGGATTATGCAAAGGTGCCGGTATGATTTGTCCTAATATGGCAACCTTACTAGGCTTTTTTGTCACTGATGCACCTGTTTCACCTTCTGCATTACAACTGATTGTCAAATTTTCTGTTGACCGATCATTCAACAGTATTACTGTAGATGGAGATATGTCAACAAACGATACAATCGTAGCAATTGCTAATGGTGCAGCAGGTGGTGAGTTGATTGATCTTGATGCTTCTTCTGGGGAGAGGTTCTTGACTATACAAACGGAAGTCACCGAGTTTGCTCAACAATTGGCACAGTTGGTTGTTAGAGATGGAGAAGGCGCAACTAAATTCATCACCATTAAAGTTAAGGACAGTTTATCATACGACGATGCCAAATCAATTGCTTCGAGTGTGGCAAACTCCTCTCTTTTCAAAACTGCCATGTACGGTAAGGACGCTAATTGGGGTCGTATACTTTGTGCAATTGGGTATGCTGAAGTATCTAGTGGAGATTCAGTAATACCTTCAAGGACAAGCGTCAAGTTTGTACCAGTGGATGGTAGTGAGAGCTTGAACTTACTTGTTAACGGAGAGCCGGAAAAAGTTGATGAAACCAGAGCATCTCAAATTTTGGAGAATGAAGATCTTGTAATTGAAATTGATTTGGGAACTGGTGGTGGTCAGAGCGCTGATTTCTGGACATGTGATTTGTCTCACGAGTACGTCACAATAAATGGTGATTACAGATCATAAACCTGGTAGTATTCGTAATCGAGTAACAGGTAACAGTTTCAATAAGTATCTAGCAAGTAGTAGTATAACAAGTGCAGTAAAGTACAAAAGCATATACGAGCACGTTGAATTTACTAAATGATTCCTATACAGCTTAACATTTTGTTGAAAAATAGTTGCAAAATGTAGAATCTTTATCAGTAATTCCATTCTAAGATAGCGCTTACTTATAGCAAATGTGCACACCTTCACCGATCCAATCCTAGTTATAGCCCAGATCAATCGATGCCACCTACTTTTCAGCGAACTTCTCTTCCCCGATGTTCATTGAAATCGATGCCTGTGGTGATACTGTTAACGACTCCCTTAATACTGCGGGGGAATTATCATTGGTGCAATTTCTGGACCTACTGATGATTGAGGACACACTACTAGCAACTCTGGAAACTTTTGCTTTGAAATTTGTCATGCTTTCATCGATCCCCGACAATTTTCGAGCTAGTGCAACAATCGGCCACGGAAATGCTCTAAATAAGGGAAGGAACTTGCCGTAAAAGGGCAATTTAATCTCACCCCTTCTTCCTTGCGCGATGGCCAGCACAACATATGAAGCAACAAATTTTGGATCTAGTTCGGGAGCAAAGATTTGTGTCGGTGTTCTAACTCCTTTAAACATGGTCGTACTTATTTGGCCAGGGCATACAAGCAACGTTTTAATCCCATTTGATCTGAAAGTAGGTGAAGCAAGTTCGTATGTGAGTGATTCGTGTAATGCAATGAGACCTGATTTCGACGCCCCATATGCGCTCAATCTAGCCGGAGACATGTATCCCAAAACAGACGCAATTGTGATGATATAGCCACGTTCGAGCAGGATCATACTGGGCAAATATGCCTTGATTGTATAGAAGCTGGCCATGAGGTTTGTTTGAACAGTTCTTTCAATCTCTTGAAATGATAGATCAAGCAATGGTTTGCCGGTTGCAACTGCAGCATTATTTATTAAAATTGTCACCGTTCCCATCAACAGCTGCACCTCTTTTTGAATATCCAAAACTTGCTCTCTATTGCTCACATCACATTGAAAGTATGTGACTCCGGGTAATCGAAGTTCCTCTTGTGGAATTGTGATGTCGAGTACAACCACTTTGACTTTCTTGTTGACAAGTTGCAGCACAAGTTCTTTTCCCAATCCCGAGCAGCCACCAGTAACCAACGCTATATCAAACTTGGGTTCAAGTACAGTCCCAATGACAAAGTCAGATAACAGTCTGAAAATAAAATTTATCCAGTGTATGAGGCGTATGAGTAGATACGTGGTAAAGAACATGTTGGTGGAAAGATTTTTTGCAACAAAGTTTTGCTGTCCAAAAAAATGTGTCTTTATATAGGGAAAATTTGGAGAAGAGTTAAGTTCAGCTTTCACTTGTTATCGAAAACATTACTGGCGCATTTTGCTGATTAAACCTTTTGAATCTAGCACTGTGTGATCTTCTATAACCTACTGCGCGACGGTCTCTATTTATCAACAGATCGAACAAAGCGCTTGAAAAATTTTTTTCTCGAACCAACCGTTATTCCAAGTCAAGTACAACACAACTCCACTAAGATGTCTATGCAGATGCTAATAACGCCCAAGAACAAGTACAATCCAAACCTTCTTAAACAGATCAAGAAGATAAACAATTTAAGAGGCAAGCCAGAAAATAGCTATAAATTCGATGCATCAAAATACAAAGAGCTTGAGTTGTTTGTATATCAACAGCGTCCCTTTGTTTATAAACCAGCACATGGAATTAGATATTTCTGGAAAGAGTCTTTACCCACATTGAGGTACCACAATCCAGACGTTCAATTTACCGTGACTAACGTAACTGTTGAAAATGAAGAAGATTTACCTAAATTACCATTGAAATTGCAAATTCATGGTCAAACAGAAGAAAACAGTTCAGTGATTGACTGCGCCAGTAAGCCACCACATCAGATATTTACTGAACTAATCAAACTTACAAATGCTAGACAGTTGACAGAGGAGGAGATCCCAAAGATCCCTCTTAGACCATCAAAAAAATAGACGTCTAATGATACTTTGAATAAATGCATTATCGATCCCATGTACATAAGAAATATACACTTTTATCGTTTAGTTTGCCTTCAAGAAGCTGAGCAATGCGTCTTGACCTTTAGCTTCCATTAATTTTTTAATCTTTACCAACTCGTCTATTTCTTCAGCTTTCAATTTTGGCGATTCTGTAGTGTGATCTTCCTCCAAGTTTACTATTTTCAAGAGGGCATCCAAGTTCAACTGTTTTTGCCGCTCTTTTATCAATTTTAGTCCATCTACAACTTCCAACTCTGCCGGACTACTTTCTTCCAACCTTTGCACATAATCGTACTCCTCATTCTGGGTCAAAATATCCTTTTTACCTTGAACCTTTTGTGCAAAGTCAAGAAGTATCAGCCTCTCTGGTATTCGATATGTGGTCAAGTTTGAGGATGTTGATTTTGGTATACCCACTACTTTATTAGTCATTTTCGCTAACACACCATCAGAAGTAGATTCTGTTTTGAAATAGGCAGGGATTTTATAGTTTGGGTGAATTGCTTCCATGTCGCTGCCCCACGAGGAAAGAGCATTCAATTTGCCAAGCTCATCGGGATATATTTCAAATTCGTCTAGAGTGTGCTTTGAGTTGTCTTTGAAGTATTCATCGGTGTCGAACTTAACAACGAAGCTATCCATAGCCAATATGTTTAGAAAATTACTATGCAACGATCCTTCAACCACTTCAGTCTCCTTAAACTGCCTCATTTCTGGAAACCCCTTGGGCAATAAATCCCTGATATGGTTGGGACATCTCCATTTATCTCCAATTGTTTTGGGTCCAAACATTGGGTATGGGAGGCAATCCACATGATAAATGAGAGGACAATAGTCACATTTGATCAACGTCCTATGGTTTTGGCCAGATTCGCCGCACTTGTGACACAAGAACGGATTGCCTTTTTCATCATACAACTTTTCAACCTCGAGATCTTCGTTTCTATTAAAGCCCGGTATTTGCAGCCCGTTTCTTTTACTGGCAGGCATGTCTGGCTTTTCTGAGTCATCGGCATAATCACCATTTTCTCCCGTGTAGACACCAATAAAGGTATCATCTCTAAAATTCCGCGGAAGCTGAAATACTTTTGGATTTCGTACTTCCAAATCATTCAACAACTTTCCAAATATACCTACATCTTTCCAATTTGGTATCAATTGCGGATATCTCTTTGCAAAACATTCGTGACAGTACCAGTCATCCTCCGGTGGCTCCTCTATTGGCGGATCACAACAAGTAAAGTGGAATGATTTAGGGCAGGTCTCACAGCAGATGAAAATACCGGGACGTCCACAAGCAAAACAAAAGTCATCGTTGTCTTTGTGAGTGTCTTCTTCATGGTGAGTCTCATGTTTAACCTTTGTATCAGGAGCTAATAGTTTGGTACTAGGTGATTTCTTTGGTGATGAGAACTTTAATTTTTTGAGTGCATTTTTTGGAGTGCTTTTGCTGGTTTTTCTATTGGTTATTGGCTGTTTCGGGGTCTTTACCGTTAATTTTAACCTCGCTGGTCTTGTCGCTCGTGGTATAGCCGACGGCGGCGTTCTGATCTCACTCTCATTGGTGATGTCTCGTGTAACGGGTGTTTTCAATTGGGACCTATAGCGTGCTTCCAATTTTTGCTCTTTGATTCCGTCGGTTTCAGGGGTTTGAGAAACTTCTCGCGAAGAATCCAGATCCTTGCCCTTGGCTCGTTTTAGTTTCTGAGGCCAAAGCGACTCCTTCTTTATCTTTGCAGAAGGAAACTCTTCCAACGGTAGTCCTGTGTAGCTAGGCGTTGGTGGCGCAAGCTCTGGCTCGGTAAATTTAGTCTCCTGACCCAAAGAAATCAGCGATGCGTCGCTATCTGAAATCACATCCACTAGACCAGTTTCCTTAATGTTTGGACTCGCCGATAGCTTGGGGGTCGTGTTGACTTCGAGTTGTGCCAATCGACTTGACTTTCGTTTACTTGACCCGTTACTTTCAGTTGAATCAGTAGATTTTCGTTTCTTATTCTGCGTTTTGCCAGTCCCATTGTTTGTAGATGAAATTACCAGCAGCATCGGCGAGGTTCCATTGAGTGAATTACCAGAATTGCTCCGACTTCTATCCCTTGACCTCATTCAAACTATTTAGCATACACCAATAATATGATATTCCGTAGCCGATTTTGTTGTTGGATACTGATATTCCACGGAAGAAAACTAGAAAAGAAAAGGAAGAAAAAAAAAAAAGAAAATCAAATTTAGAATTCCTGGTTTCAAATTTTACGAGGAAAGGCTCGTGAAGCAAAGTAATTCTAAGGGTGATTACGGAGTATATTGAATGGTGGTTATAAATTGCTCAACTGTCTTATATACCAAGAAGGGAATGAGTTGGATTGAGCGTGTTGAATTTAGACCAATGTTATTGGTTTCAGCAATCTCTATAACAGTTTAGCATTTGTGACTACATTAACCAGCCTTGATCCATAGCAGGTCACATTAGAGAGCCACTGCTTCTTGTAGTGGAATTTGTGTAAGGCTCAACTAATGTTGATACTCAGATTCACGATCAGCATAATCGAAAAGTCAGTGATCCACAGCACATATTTGTCTGTCGTTGACCGTCTGAACTTGCAAATATGGCGGCTTTGAATAGCTGACTCTCGCCTTAACATATTAAATGCATCCTCTGGCGTGCTGTTTTGCTGTCGATAAATTTAGTTGTAGACAACTTCTTGGCGGAAAACAGGTGCAGCAACAAAGCATGCTGATAATCTAAACACTAGTCGCAAGAAGTGAACTCATTCAGCATTTGATACCAGCAAATAGTCCTAAGTGTGGAAGACATTGGAGGCGTTGAGCAGCGTAAGATACACCTAGTCGTCATCGATGGTAAATTGAAGGGCGATGCTACATGACCACGTACCAATAAACCACAACAGACACAAGAACAAAACCAAAAACATAGCTAATCCGAATTAAGCAATAAGTAAATTAATTGAGCAAGCAATTACACTTCGTTGTTGGTTCAACTTGCTCGCTCCTCTTCTGCAAACCAAGATGCACAAAATTTTGATTAAAAACAAGCTGCCAAAAACAAAAATATCAATATGAACATTTTAGGAAATTATGGGCTGGAGCCTTGAAAGGTCTTTGTTTGAGTTCGGATAACGTCGCAATGGTAAAAGGATTGCCTGTGGTAATCCATAGGTCGCCCCTATATGAAGTAAATGGAACAGCAATTATCCCCCTTTGATTGAATAAATCTGATACACCTTTTAACCATGATTTGATATGACCTTCAAACCCACTCACTGGCCCCTATCTGAATTCACACATTGGGTATGCACACTAACATCATTGCAAAGAACAGTGAGGTGAGATCCAAAAAAATTTCCGACTTCATTTCTGAGGGGAAGAAAAGAAAAAAAACAACTGGTCCTATTACTCCACGCCATTTTCATCAGATCGTTTATGAGCCACGTTTCCATTTAATGACTCGATGCCAAATTTTATACTATGCTTGAGTCATTTTTGTGAATTGCATGGGCCCCAAATCATTGTTTGCACGCAAGTGACAACTAATGATAAGAAACAGGATTATCTTGCATCAAATTCAAATCAAGGCGTTTGTGCGTCGTGTCAATTGATCTTGCCTGACAATGCTGCTAGTCTAGTAACAAATTGCGATTCAACCGTGTTTATATCAACCGCGTATCCAAGCTCACAGAGACGATATGCAGCGTTGAAGAAATTGATGATGAAGTCTTTATCAGTGGAAACAGTATCGGATATAACCAAGCCAATGTTTTTTGGTGATGCCATTCATGGATATTGTTTAAATAAAATATTCAAAATAGATGATATCAACGCTAGGGGCCAAGAAAGGAAGTACAGTTTGATGATGGTTTGTGATTCAGAAGCCGACTTGTTACAGAATTGGGATATTCTAACATTGTACATGTGTGAGTTTATTGATTTGATTCAGCAAAGAGTTCTTCAGTATACAAATGAAAAGATGCATAGATTGAGTGGCGGTTCAGTTGTTGATAATGAAAAGTATTTGCGTCGATCAATGACGCGTCCGAAATCACTAATTGAGCTAACAGATGATCCACGGATATTTGTAAAGTTCCATATTTGGGCAGTGGAGGCATTGAAAGATACGCTCCAGTGAGGAAATAGTCATTTCTTTACGTATGTGGTGAACTCTAGAGACACCTCCGAAAAAGAGTACAGGTTTAAATAGTTTGTCTAATTAATATAATTTCTACCATCTTCGAACTGTAACCTATCTGTCTCCTCGTACAAGCTTACAACTTTGCAAGCAAACCTGTCAACTCGCCTTTGCTCTCCAAAGCCTGTAAATCGGAATCACCACCGATATGCTTACCATTGAAAAAAATATTTGGCACAGTTCTTTGCCCCGTAATTTCTTTCAAAGCACGTTGAATATTTCCACCATCAGGCAATGTGTTCAACTCAATCAATTTGTAGTCAACACCATGCTTATTCAATAAATTCTTGGTTGCGGTACAGTACGGGCAATAAGTCTTTGAATACACCAAAAGCTTGTTTGATTCAATGGTTGATTCGACAGATTTTTTCAACTGAGGTGAAACTTCACCTGGCAACCATGCGACAATGTAGGCCTTGATAGATTCAAACATGATAAGGGTGGTGCTTGTAGGGAAATAATGCGTGAAATGAGATAAAGGGTACTTGGGAAAGGGTTAATTTTTTTTTTCTACTTTTGCGGATAAGAAATTGTATCCGTCAGTGGAGAAATTGTGCAAGAATAAAAGATAAGACACGACACTGTCATTCTCTATAAACTCTAGTAAAACGCAAATATCTTCTGATCCGCCAACTCAACCAGCAGCGCCTCAAGATTTTTCACCTCAATCACATCTTCGCCAACTTCATAAACACCGTCTTTCTTGACCTCATGAGGATCATCATTATATAACTCCTCCAACGTTGCATTTGAATCAACTGCTTTTGCAGGTGGGAAACAGCCAACAGTAATGTGAATGTGTCTATTTACAGGTTCGATATCAACCACTTGGTTATTCTTGTTGTCGTGAATTGATATGATTTCACACTTGATGCAAATTAACTTACCTCTGTTCATAACAAACTGGATAAGTTTCACTTTAGCGTGAAATTCGAGAAAATTCTTTTCATTTCTGACACCTTTGCCTTTGCCCAAGATCCTTTTCATGTCTTTCCATTTGCGTTTGTTTTCAGGACCCTTGGCTTGGGCAACATGGGCCAATGTCACGTGGAATGACTCTTGCACCAACTTTGCCTCATTCAATCGATTGTATTCATGGTTATTACGAAGCTCATCAAGTAAATCTAATATGTTTTGACGGTGAATTGAGATTGCGTAGTACGTTGGGTCATAGTTTTTGTTGCTTTTTGACATATCCTTTGTAAATGATGGCTTATACGCCAAACTCTCTCTAAATTTGGCTTCAATTTCTTCACCTGATGGTTTATTCTTGACCAATTGAGGATATACTTTCGACAACTCATCAATGATAATCTTTACATTCTCCAACGACGAATCCTGTTCACTCAACTTTAAGTTGATGACAAGATCAAATTGAGAGTCCGGAAGACGTTCGGTATTTACTGGTTGAAATCGCGACATAAATCCCTTCATTACTTTCGTAGTCAATTCCTCGTCCGACTCCGCCTTCAACAGCTGATGGTTGTCACCTCGTTTCTTGATCCTGTCAAACGTGATATTCCAGAGTTGTTCTTGATTCACTTCATGAACAAAATTAATACCGATATACTTGATATCCGTCTTTTCGTCCAAGTACAAGTGTCTTTTTTCGGCAATAGTGGTGAAAATCTGCTTCCTTTCTCTATATTCAGAATTGTTCCTATCAAATATCACCACTGGGTAGTTATCCAAGGCCTGTAGCGCCAAGTCGGTAATTTTCAATTTTGCCTTTCTGGCCACGTTATCATTCTGTATATGGATCCAATCGGGGAATAGTGAGTGTAGCGTATTGAATACGGTTGTCTTGCCACAGCCCAATGTAGATATGGACACAAGTAAGAACTTTGTCGTTTCTTCATCAGTATCCACATTCAACTTTTTCATTTCTTCGGTGAGCTTGGCATCTAGGGAGAGTAAATTCATACCATTCGTCTCGTGCAAGTCCTGCAAGAACAACTGCCGCACGTGAATAATTCCATGGCCTTGCTCAAAATCCAGCTTCAATTCTGGCTTCTCGGTAAACAACTTGTCGACAAATTCAAGATACTTTCTAGTGATGTACTTGTTCTTTTTAATCTTTACCGATGTTACTGGAGTCCCACTCAATATTTGTCTTGTAACTTCTCGGAATTGACGATACAACAAATATGGTTCTTCAAATTTGTACTTGAAAAAGAAATCATCGCCATCACGCTTACAGCGAATGACAAACCCTTCAACTTCACGGCCATTGTAAGTACCTGTCTCACTACACTTGTGTAAGAAGTCAAAGAGCTTATTGACATGGTCAAACTGGAGGTATTCAATAGTTTTGAATCCCCACTCTTGGGCAAACTTCACCACATCTCCAATAGGGACAGTTTGGAATTTGATTGTGTTATAGTTTAACCCGTGCAAGTACAACCCCGACTTGTCCTTGGGATATGGCAACACATGTTCCTCAAATTCGTCATCACATAACTCGGTAACCGCTGTTAAGTTGTGCTCATACAAATAACGAGCCAATTGCGCCACACGTTCGTCTCCCAATTGTTTACGCAACTGAGTTTCTCCTTCTAGTGCATGGTTTCTCGTGTTATCCTCTCCTCTTAATCCCGTTGAATGTTTCGAACACACGAGTATATCCCCCGTTGACAATCCACTGATGAATATAATGCATCCATTTTCCTTCAAAGTGACGTCGTAAGGGCCCGATGTTTTTTTCAACTCATCTTCCTTTGTAAAGCTCTTTTCGCCCACGTTGAAAAACTTGTCATAACCTCTTACTACTATTGATTCGTTGTTTGTAGTGAATAGACCTCTAGCTTGGATTGGTAGTTGTACTTTCTCCTTTCCGTAGTCGAAATCAAGAAATTTCCACGAATCTATGGCAATCGTGGTATTGTGGGCATTATTGGTAAACTTGATGCATTTACCATTGCGTTTGAGTTTAGTTGATTCTTGTAGTTTCAAACAGAGCTGCTCAACGTCTCCCTTGGAATCACGCATTTACTCAGATGTGGAATCTGTGTGTGTAGAGAAGATCTTTCTGTAATAAATTTTTCGTTTTTCAATGGAAAGCGCATTGTAAATTTGTCAACAAAAAGTGTAAGTTGTGTTGACACAGTGAGTCACTTTTTACTACAAACAAACACAGAGCTACAACAATGACGTACAAGGTGGATGTGGATGAGGCTGACGTGGCTGTCCTCAATCAAAACTTGGTCAAATCTAAAGCTCTTTTCGAAAGTATAAACCAATCGCTCACCAAAATCTCCACCAAATCACAAGCAGCCCACACGACGATTAAACCAGTATTGGGACAAGTCAATAAACTCACATCGGCCAAACGAGAAGTTGATGGTGGATTGAATCTCTTGTCTGAAGTGAGTCAAAGTGTTTCCCAAATCAACAATTTTGAAAATGCCTTAAATAATAATATCGAAGTTATTGGGTTGTTGAAATATGTCAACACTTTAAATCAATCACAAGAGTTGTATGGTCGTATCAAACCGAAATTCAAACAATTTAAAGGGATATTGTACAATTTCCAAAATGTGATCGAAAGAAGTGAATTAAAAGTACAAAATTACGTTGATGCCGTGCTCAATTTAGAAACGAATAAAATGACGGATAAAAAACATGAAGTTAAGGTAATTTTCGAATACTTTAATCAGCAGGGTAAGGAGCAACACATTGTTAATAAATATGTTGACAAGCGCGGTAATAAAATCATTCAGCATTTGAAAATTGTTGAACATAATCTCAAGCCAACGAGGATTTTTGATGGTCCTTATGAAAAGGGCACTAAGACGTACAACAAATTCACCGAGGTGGTGCTTGACACATTGAAAGATGAAGTGCTTGTATTGAAACAGTGTTCATTGCCACTGGGTCTAATTGGACAAATTCTGGAGTATGCTATACGAGAATATAATCAAGTTGTGCAATCATTAGCCACGCAATTGAGTACGTCACTAGGTTCCAACACTGACAATTTTCTCATTCTCTTGGAGGTTATCGACAACTTGATGCGAGTCGATTATCAGTTGCAAAATCGATATGTGATTAAAAACAGTTCATTTGGCAAGATTCTTGATCAATTTATTTTGATTGGTGGATCGATATTTCCTACATGTATTCGATCAACCGAAGCACAATTTGCACACATTACTCAATTCAATAACGCTACAACGCTTGCTGTTACCAGCACTTCAATAACTCTTGCAAGAAAAATGTGTGAGTTTAGACAGTCACTTTTGAAATTGATTCAAACGCGCAAACCAGGCGATTGGATCCTGGAGTCGCCGCCATTGCAGTACATCTCGGTGTTCAACTCAATCATCACAAACACTACATTTGATGACAAGTCACCCGAGTTTTTATTATCGTCGTATTTCGCCGATATCATTGACTGTATTTTGATTAACATTGAAATCGGATTAAAAAAGCCGACCGGAGAGCACCCCATGAAGAAGTCATCGCAAGGGTTTATCCTTTTACGAAGCTTGTACATTGGTGAACAAATCATTAATCGATCTAACGACTTGTTTCAAGTTCTTGGCTCAAATGGACAAGAACGAATTAACAAGTTGAGAAACCGATTCCTTAAATTATTCCTTGAAGATTGGAGCTATGCTTCATATATCATTATTGAACGAATGACCCTTATTGCCACGCAATCAGGTCAAGCCACCGGTGGTTCTGGTGGCGGTGCCAATCCCAACATGTCAATTGGTACTGGTGGCGGCCAAGCAACCAATTTGACCAACAAGGAACGAGAGCAAGTGAAGGAGTTGTTTAAAAAGTTTAACGAATCGTTTGAAGAAGCATTGACAAATTATCGTGCTCTAGAGTTTGGCGATTCGAGTCTTCAAAACATGCTTGGTAATGAAGTCAAGAAGATGATTTTGAATGCGTATTTCAAATTGTATGACAAGTACGGTAATTCAGACTTTACCAAGAATAGACTGAAGTATATCAAGTGGGATAAGTTGCAATTTGAAAGGTTGCTCAATGAAAAGTTGTAATAAAGGGGAGGTACGAAGGGTGAAGATTATAGGAATGGCATACATAGGATTGTGGAATGAGACCTAGTTACTTTTGAAGGAGCAATGGCGGGTGTTACCTTCTCATGACTGTGACTACAACGTTTACAGGATCGTAGGTAAAATCAAGTCTCCACGCAAGAAACACCCCTTGCTTTTGTAATTTAGTTTTACAGTTTCAGCCATCAATCAATGTTTCATGTGTCAAAACGTTTTTGGGCTTTTATTTGTGTTTTTGTTTAAATACGAAGATTAAACTTTCAAAGATGAGGGAAATAAGACAAAGGCAGAGATATCCATAATTGAAAGTTTATTGTGTTTGTTTTTTGCAGTTATACAAGACTACTTGAAAAAGGCAACAGTAAAATATTGACGCCCTGTACATTTTGCTTTGTGGATCAAAAGGTCACTAGTTTTTAAGTTTACACTGTGCTTGTGGTGCAGTTGATGAGTAATCATGAGGCAGTGGAGTACGCCATTACTTTTGTGGGAAGGCAACTATTGACGATGTTACATACACCGCGTAGATGAAAGTGAAGTAAGTTGAATAGTTTGTGTTGACATGATTGACTCAAACTTGTGATTGGAGTTACACGCTGTTACATAGAGTCTTATAATAAGTTCAACTCTTGTAGAGAATGCATACCTGTTTCAAATAAGAAGAAACAAACCAATTTGAGACAGTGTAGTTGAGTTTGAGAATGGGGAAAGAGATAGGGGAAAAGATGGGGGATGTTCTTCTAACATCTGCCAAAGGTTCTCTTTTAACCAATTGCTTCTTATTCTGCACCCTTTTCTGCAGCATCACTTTGTAGGGCAAATTTGGCCACAAACAATCAAACGAGGGTTAAAATCCCGAAAGAACGAAGAAACTGGATCTTGTTGATTGTGTTAATTGTAACAATAAATTACATATAGAGCAAATGGGAGACTTTTTAAAAAAACGTTTGCTTCTCCTTCTTTCCCTCTATTAAAAGCCGAATACCTCAAGATACATTGTTGTTGCATGCAAAATAATGCATATACGTTCCCTATTCTGTAACATATTGAAAGATAAGGCGGGAGAGTATTGAGGACAAAAGTCAAAACAAAAATCGAACAAAAAAGGCGATTCTTTTGTTCATCTCGTCTAAAGATCCATTCAATTCAACTCTACCCCCTTGCCAAAAGCATTAATTTAGTCGTATAACTTAGAGGATTTACAGTGGCTGTGAACAATCTTGTTTGTTTGTCTGTTTATGGAGAGTTTAGTTTAGTCTATAAACTAAAAATAAACGATAGTTTAAACTGTAAGAACAACAACTACAGCCTATCACTACATACGACAGTCACAGTCAGTTTAGTTGTAACTAGATGTAGTAGTAGTTAGGATTCTATGAAAGCGAATATAGACAGGAGAAGTGAGGGGGTGTAAAATGACTGAAATGGAGAAAAAATGAACAACTGTTGTTTTAGAGGGAAGTGTATCATATGGAATGCGTGCAAGTGTGTATGGGGTGTAAGTGCGGAGACATGTGTGATTATAACTTAAAGTTTTAGTTTGATTGACTGCTTAGTAGTAGAAGTTGAAGTGCAATGGAAGGATTTAGTAAGTTCCTAACGCCGTACGAAAATTCGGGGTTTGACATAAACAAAAAGCAAAGACAATAGACAAAACAATATGAAAGAAAAATAATTTTAATTATATGCAGTATTTCAGATCTTCTGTTTTTTATTTTAGTTTCTTTTTTTCCTGTATCCTTAAAGAGGGTGAGAGATACGATACGATAGACTTCTACCGTATGATATAAATCAAAAACTACAATTATAAACGACAACGTAAAAGCTCAAACGCCTTCATAAAAAGAAAAGAGAAAAGAAAGAGAGTATTGTTTGGTGTTGTTGTAGCTGTTGCTCTAGCTGTTATGATAGTTGTACGGAAATGTGACCTACTTCACTCCCCCTACACAAAGGAAAGAAAGGGGGTGTCTATTGTCCATTAACTATTATCTATTGTCTCTGTTGTATTCTTTTCTCTGTCCATGTGATTGCTTTTTCTTAGGTGAAGATGATGACGACGATGATGGCGTGGTAGGTGTTTGTGTCGGTTGAAAGCCAAAGCACCAATTTAGTCCCTAGAACAAGACTAGAACAAAAACTAAAACAAGAGACAATAAGGTTAAAACAAAGACAAAGTTAAAGACAGAATTGACTGACACACTGACGACAGAAGAAACGAAATAAGTAAAAAAAATTGTCGTATCTGCCAGTCAACTTAAATTATATCTTCACGCATATTTACACAAAACTCAAAAACAAGAAAATAAAACAATTCATTAAGTAATCAATGTCTGCATGAACATAAAGGGATCTCAGACAAAAAAAATGATCAACTGACAATAATTAGCTGACATTTCAGACAAACCAGATCTTATTGATAGAGAAACTAACTAACTTAGCTCAACTTAACGCAAACGAATACATTCCCAAGCCAATTGGTAGACCGTCTCTCTCAACCTCTCGATTTCCCACATTTTTTGACTGTTGTGTGCTTTTACTTTTGGTATAATTCAGACAAGAAAAAACAAAGAGAACATACTTTTTTAGTTTAAATTTTTTTGCTTCTCTGTCAGTCAAAGCCAAAAGTCAAAATCAAAATCAATCAGTCAGTCAAGATCTTATTCATGTCATTCGTTTTATTTCAAATGCAAAAAAGCCCGTACCCACACTCACCCCATCAAATCCGATTTTACAAACTTCTTTGGTAGACGACGACATTTTCTCCCACCCCTTCACCCCGCTGTTATTTCTGTTTTCTCTTGACTTTATTATTCTTAGTTATTATTATTTACCTGTTTGCTTGCGTGTACAGATTAGAAGACAGTGGGGTGAAGGAGAGGGGTGTAGCGGGAACGGAAGCGGCAGCGGTAACGGGGTTAGGGTTGTAACAAGAGAATATGTGATTAGGGAAGCAAAATAGCCATCTATTAGTTATGTAGTTAGTAACAGCAATAGTAAAATATTAGACGTATTACTATCAATAAGTGGCTATGCAGATTGGTAGATCTCTTAAATGTGTCTGTTAATTGCAATTTTGGTACAAAAAAATGCCGTTTAGCTTCCTTTCATTCGAGTCAGTCAGACACAGTTGAATCTATGTCTGACTCACCCTCAAATGTGTTTGTGTTGCGTTTGATTGAAATTTTATATCTTGTGTAACATAAGAAATATTATATTTCTTAAAATAAAAAATAAAAATAAATAAAATATATGCTACACAATAACTAAAATAATAATTAGTAATAATAGTAATATTCTATTACTACTATAGGGGAAAGATCCACAATCATCACAATAACAACAAACTAACTGACTGCTTTGTTGTTATTTTTTTTTATTTTTGTTTTTATTTTGGCTTGGCTTAGCTTACCTTACCTTTAGCTCAACTTAGCCCTATTACAACTATTGTACCATTGTAAGTATGTAAGTATGTATGTATGTATGTATGTATGTAGGTACGTTTTATTTGAATATAAATATATTCATCAATCTCTGTGATTTTGATTAACTTACAAATATATACCAACCCTTTATTTTGTCAATTTTTGGTTATTTTATTCACATATGGTATTTAACCACTGGCAATAATCAATTTTACAAACATTGGGACACTACAAACTAATAGCTATTATCAGAAAGTTACTACTATTACTAGACTATACTTCACCATACCAAAACTACAACCACATTAAACTATAATGCAACTTACCGAATTGATTCATCATAGTAGATCATCTACATTACCATCTATATCAGCCACCAACAGTTATGAAAAAAACACCTTACCTTTACCTTCTTACAATAGTACTGCTAGACAGGAACAATTGCACTCACAATCACATTCCAAAGAGGCTGTTCCACAAGTGGCCAAGAGGATAAGTTTACCACCAATTAGTGATCTTTTATCTACTCCTCCTTCTCAACAACAATTACCATCTGTTGTTCACTTGCAACAACAATCACAACCACAACAGCAGCAACAGCATTATCAAAATGGATCCCAATCTCACTACAATTACTACACTGCTACTTCCACCACCGCCAACAACAACAATGAGTATTTGAATAGGTCTCCAAACCCAGGTTACAATAGTACATCATCATCAATTTCTTCACCTTCTTCAGTACAATATCAAAATCAACAACTGCATTATTTCCACAACCTACCCCAACAACAGCAACAATTGCCTTCAATAATTCGTTCAAACTCATACCCACAATCGTCCCTCAACCAAGAGCCAAACTATCGTCAACACTATACATCTACACACGAGTATCATCCTCGCCACCAACACAGCAACAACCATAGCCATTACACAACAACTTCAAACTCATCATCCACTACTAATCCTACAGATTCCAACGGCAACTCATCCAAAAGGAAAACCAGAAACAACTTGCCTAAAGAAATCACCTATGTATTGTTGCGTTGGCTCAATGACCACTTGAACCATCCTTACCCAAATTCATTTGAAAAGAATCAATTGATGATGGCAACGGGGTTGAACCAACAACAATTGAGTAATTGGTTTATTAATGCCAGAAGAAGAAAGATTAAAACTTTGAAAGAACAAAAGAGAATGATGCATTTGATTTAATCTGTGAAGATGTCCTTTGTCAGTCTGGAATGCTGTTTAGAGTGAGCTGTCTGTCGATACCAACAGGGATCTCGGGTCATTGGGTAATGTTTACTTTCTTCTTCTTCTTCTTCTGCCTTTAGTTCTTCAACAGACCGAACAAAATCATCAAAACAACTACGATGATTATATTATTATTATTACTGATTCAGAGTGTCTGGTTTTTACTATTTGTTTATTTTACTTGGGATGCTATGTTTTTTTTTTCTTTATGTGTGTTTTTATATCTTTTTATATGAAATGTGAATGAATGAAATACATAAATAAATGTGTCAATTATATATCTTTTGAAAGAAGCTATAAAATGTAGTTGCGAAATGCAGAAGGGTTGAGTCTCTTAAACACAACAAATAACTACCTTCTTTGGGAATGCATAACTGGATGGTAATGTTTTGCATTTTTGGAAGTTAGATTTACCCAATGGTTTACTCATTTTGTGATTCGGCGATGCCGGGTCTCAAAACGTCAAATGCCAATGTCAATGTCAAAGAAGACATCACAACTCCCCCCTACATTAAACACGAGCGCCATATTCTCCAAAAAGAAGAAGGATTAACTTTGTTAAATGAAGAGATAGAATCATGCCATGTATTATATATTTGTTTGGTTTCAATAGTTAAAGTTAAAGTTTTTGAATCGTAGATAGCAAATAAGAATAAAAAAAGCTTAATCTAATTTGACGTGAGTGTTAGTATTCCCATATATGCCGAAAAGAAAACAAACACGGGGATAGTTTATCAGGTAAATTGAATTTTAATGAAAAGCTAGGAGGAATCAGTATCTTACACCCCTGTGAAGACAGAAGTGGTGTGGGTAAGTGAGTATTATTTTCCTTTGCCTTATTGCGGTTTCATAACCAAAAAGGAAACCCTTATGTCAATGATATAACTGAAATAACTTCCTGTCTCCGTGGAAGTGAATGAGGTAGATTTTGTTACACTTTTGGAATAATTCATTATGATGATAAATTGAATGTGGCATCTTCGTTTTACGAATAAAAAGCTTTTATACCCCGTATTTACGTATTGTGGAAACTCTTATTACCCCCTCATCTCCAAAAATAAACTTTTCGAGTGCTGAGTTTGTTTTATTTCTATTGAAAGAGCTTTAATACTCCCAAATGATGGAAAACCAGAAGAAGATTATCTTTTTAATAAAGCGCAGAAAGAGAATTCAGTCTTCAAAGATTAGAGATTGAAAATTTTGGCAATAGGAGAGTGGGGGGGGTCAAAGTATGGGTGTATTTCAATTAAGACAAATGGAGAGGTAGCTGAATCTGCGTATCCATATTCAAAGATTTTCTTTAATTGTCTCCACTCGTAACCAGCTTCTTACACTTTCCATCCTCATATTTTTTTATGCTAATGACTACCCCCTCTCATTGTCTCTCTTAACTGTCATAACCAAGAAAAAAAAAAAAAAAAAGAGAAAACGAAAATCGAGGAAATTGGACGATATTCCCGAATACGACAAGGGAAAGATGATGTATCCTGAGTTTATGTCATTTTGATGGTTTTGGTTTTGTTTGATTGTTTTTTCTTGACATAAGACAAAACCTTGGCGGAGAATTTTTTTAATTTTATTTTTTTTTTGTCATTATAAATATAAGAGCATTCAACATTATAATATTATTAAGAGATTAAGATTAAGTAAACAACGCTAATAGATGAAAGGAAAAGTAAATAGTTTAAATGGGGTCTATGAAAAAGAGTCAAAAGTGAGATAGAAGTCAGACACCAGACACCAGAAAACGTTAATTAACCATTATACCAGTTAAATAGTGCTTTCCATTTTCAAACGTACACAAAAGACAAAGGGTTGTGAATATCCTATTTAGTTTCGCAACCGGAAATGTGTTGCCGTAAGGTGGGCAGGATTATGTGTAGTTACAATTTTGTTTTTCTTCCTTTGGGAGGTGTAGATTTAAGATTTTTAGAGTTTTAGATTTTTAGATTTTTAGATTTCGATTGTGTATGTGTAGTACGAAAACAGGCACTTTGTGTAAACTCTAGTATTCATTACTTTCTTGGCAAAGATATAATTACTTAACCTAACATGACATGACATGACATGACATGAAAAGAGAAAGCATACGAGATAGAGACACAGCTCTATCTTCCTCATCTCATACGTTACGAGACTGATGAGTTCACAGCGATGGCTTTTAGCTGAACATAAATCATTTCCTTCATCCATTCCTGGTCTTTTCATGAGCAAAATAAAGAAAAAAAAGCAGATATGAACGCACAAGACGCACGTCAATGCGCTATGATGTCAAATCCTTTTATCAAAATCTGTCTATTAGAAAGCCATTGTCCGTATCTCTCATTACTTGACAGCCAGTGTCTGACAGAATACACATGTGGCCCAAGGCATAGCCCAAAAAGGGAAAAACAAGAAGAAAATATGTGCCAATAGTTCGTGCTGAAGCATATAAAATACACAATACTACACATATGTGATACTATTTTTGCTCAAAGTCAACCCTATGCACCGTAAAGAGACTAAATGCAGACATCAAAAATCTAAATATTAAACAAGGCTGAACTTTTAGTGTTGTGTGACAAAAGTGACCAGCACCTTTGTTGTGCTGACAAGATAGAACCATTACGTCCTATTCTAATATTCCATGACGATCATATGATAACAGAGTTCGCAGTTGTTCCCATTGTTCAAGACTGTTACGTATCGACTTCCAATATAAAGTATCCCCTTGAAAGAAGAGACAGAATTACCCTAGGCTGTTTTCGGGGGTAATTAAGTGGGGGATCCTGTGGAGGCGCACTCAGGGCGTCAAAATAGAATCTCGCATCACAAATGTCAACACTGATGTCTACACACCATTGACACACACTCTTCTTCTCGCTTATGTAAGCTTTACTCACTGCAATTTCTTTTGCATTTTGTGACAAAGCCTATATAATCTTTCCGTAGGGTATTACAAAGACAAAAAAAACAGAAGTTAACTAAAAAAGCCACCTTTTCTTCAAGTTTTTAGTCTTCTGATACTGAATGAGGAAAGTCAAAAAGTGCTCTAATTTCCCAACCACTAGCGTTGCGAAATAGAAACTGTGCAGCAAGCGTCGTTTGACGTATAGTGCATTGCTTGGAAAAGTTTACGAGTAAAAAGGATAATGATGACCTTTAAGATTGGCTATGTGTAACAATTCAACCAAGTTGTTGCTTTTTTTGAAGACAGCTGTCACGAAATAGTCGGAGCAATCCGAATGTGAAGCAAAAAGAAGGTAAAACAATGTAGCCAAAAAACACAAGTATGGAAATGTGATATAATGATAATGACAAAAGGTCAGATGTCAAAGTGTCACCTCGTCAAAAGTGTCATAACGTCATAGCATGTAAACTTTTTATTTTTCTCTTTGTTTACAAAGGCTTTTCTTTGTAACAGGTTCTTTTTCTCTTCATTTTCTTGGCATGTACCTATCTGGTTTGCGTGGAGGTGTTGTTTCAATCTCGGATGCCCACATGTGCATATACGTATACATACGCATGAAATTCATTTTACAGGCAGAGAGATTCTTTTTGTTGGGCACCTCTGTTATTTGCTCTTTGTACGTTCTCTTCTTGAGCGTCATCAAACGCCCATTGCGTACATATTAAAATTTTTAAAGTAAAGCCTCTTCCTATTGTTCTAACGATTCTTTTTACTTTTGGTGCCTTACATTTTTCGTAACTATTGTTTGTTTTTTCAATCTTTATTGAAAATAGAGAGAAAAAAATTTCTTTTTTTTGGTATGTTTTGTTTTTCTTTTGCAAATGAAATTTATCGTAATTCATTCCTGATTCGATTTTATTAACACTCACACAACACTACGCACCCATTACGTGTGTGCACACACAAAAACTCAAATTCTTTTCCATTTGGAGAAATTAATTTACTTCAATCAGAGGGAATTTCCATATTTCTCGTTATGGCCAATTTTCGTAGCAACTCATTACTTTACAATTTCCCTACTAATGCCAATTGATTTTAAATGTCTTGTGGTTTGAGCATTTGTATGACAGTACATAATTACTCCCCACCTTCAAAGAAAAAAAAAGAATTATCGTAACCGTTGAGGTCAAAAGACAACAAAAGAAAGAAAGAAACAGTGAAACATTGAAACGCTAATACAATGTTGTACCCCTTTTGTCTAGACATAGGTTTCCTGTAGAGATAAACAAGATAGAGTAACGAAGAAATCGTCAACGATTGGCCAATTGTATAAAAAAGATGACGATGACTCTCTCCCTATGTTTTTGTAACCATTTTTTGAAAGATATTTTTGTCTTTGTCTTTGTTTTTTGTTTTTATGTTGATGAATTCTACTAGTAAATGCACCAAGGCCTAATTTTAGATTAATTACACGGAGGAGGATATATCGGTCGGTCCGTAAAGACCTAACCACCCGACCAGCGTCACTATCCGCTTATAGGCGTGATTGGCAGTTTGCATTTACGAAAAAAAAGAAGATGAACAAGAACAAGAAAAAAACAAACAAGAATAAAATGAGGTGGACAGCTGCAGGACAAGAACATTAGAAGGTGGTTAGAAGCACACCTCTCAAAACACAATTGACCTGACGAACGATAACAAAACATTTGTTCCACGGAATTCCCCAATGGCTTCAAGACACTTAAGGTGCTGTCCTAAAATGTCTTTGGAGAAGAAAACAACAAGGCTATGGGTTTGTAAAGGACGGGTGAAATACAAATGGGGTTATGATAAATCCGTCTTATACCCGTATGCACAAGATTTTCTTACTGTTGTGTTTATTTTTCCTTGACGTATAAATTGTTTAATTGTTTTATTGTTATAACCCGATTGTTCTTTTCAATCTCTTGAGTCATCATAAATTATTTAGTATATTTTTTTTGTGTCTGTGTGTTAATAATAGAAATGTGTAAACAAAAACAAAAGAATAATGTCTGACTAAAGAATGAAAAAGAACAAAAGAAAAGGGGGGGGCACTAGATGGAAGTATGTCAACTTAACAATCAATATACCTTTTACAATAGACCTTAGACGGAAATAATAGATGAAGAAGAGAGATATTCAAAAACGCCGTAATAGCTTATACAATGCGCAGTCTCACTACTTTCTTCAAGGTTCAGTTTAGCAACATATACACCAATTGCCCAATAGAAACTTTATCTGTGTATGTGTGTAAATAAAGATCTATATACACTAACACAAAATCTTAGAAGTCAAAATAAGAAAAATAAAAAAAGAAGAATTTATTTCATATTACGTGTGTCTGTCTGACACTTTTGGTACTGCATGAACCAAAAGAAAATAGTGTCTGATATTTTTTCTCCTTGGTATCATTATGTTGGTTTTGCGTATCGGACAATTTTCCTCCTCATTCGGTTTTTGAGATTTCTGATTCCACTTTTGTGGTACTTATCTAATTAATTAATTAAAATTGAAATCTACTCCACAGGTACACTACCTGCATCTATTATACATTTTGTGTAATGTCACTATCCCTAAGTTTACTTTTCTCCAAAAAAATATGAAATTCATAAGAACTGAAACCAAACAACAACCACAAAGGTTCAGCACAAATTCAATTGAATAGGAGAGAGCAACAATCAGAACAAGTAGCAACCTATTAGTGATCTATGAGAAATCCTCCCTTTGGATTCTCTTTGTTTTAAATAAAGCCTCTTCAATGGTATTTTGCAGTATTGACGTATGGCCTTATTCTTCGTTAACAATACCACAATAAGAGAAACATTGTTCAGAAATATAAGCCTTGCTGTTACTTCTACCCTTTTAACCTCAAGTGGGAAAATAAAGGGGGAGGGAGAGGGAAAAAGGTTGATACCAGTCCGGTTGACAAAAGACATATGTGTGTTTAAACGTTTTATTTGGTAGTAAGGCAATTTTTCTTCCTTGGCATATTGAGGAGTTGACAATTCTCGTAATCTAAAAGAGGTAACCATGGCTTAAATAGACAGGGCAACAAAATTTAGTATAAAATTCATTCCATCTTCTCTTCAGCCTTGTCTCTTGACAGAAAAGAAATTGTGTGACACATTTGACAATTTCCTACCAAATAGGGAGGCTTTTGTTTTAATGCATTTATATTATTAGGAAAACTTCAATCGTGGCTTACTTTGATAGACATAGACTGTTTTTGTTAAAATTCAGGCCAAACACTTGAAGTATTAATTATTAAAAATCTTTTTCTACTGCCCTGATATTCTTTTTTAATGGTTGTTACGTGGGTTTGAAGTTGTGATTGAATCAGCTTCTTTTCAATATAACACAAGAGGGCTCATAACCACTTGTTTAGTACACTAAACTTTTTTAAATTTCTTCAATGAAAAAAGATTGGCGAAAAAAAAAAAAATATGTATACGAAATTCAACGTTTCTTCCACACAGCTAAGGCGTCTCCTTATTGTATTTACTAATTTTAGACTAATTTTACCCAAATATTTGTGTTCTTTTCAATCACTCGTTTTCTTGGTAACTTTTAGCAATTGGTTTAGTAGATTGATTACCAATGGTTATCTCTACTCCACTTTCGTCAATACAACCACAGACATTTCCAAGAATACGTGGTAACTTTTTGTAATTTTTTTTTTTTTGTTATTGTCTCTCCCCTTTTTTTTATTTTAATTTTTAAAAGAAAAAAAAATAAAAAGGAAAACAGCTGTCAAAATGTGTATTGTATGCAGGAGTGAAAATAAATTAATTAATAGAGATTTACTCAAAAGATGCCAAGCAATGTTTATTCACAATTGACAGAAAAGAAGAGAACAATAAAAGAGCAAAAACTGAAGTACCCAACACGGACCCCAATTCCCTGCTTTCGGTCCGACTCCGAAAATATTTTCGACTAGGACTAGGTAGAGTATTGAGTGGATATGGGCGTCTTTGCATGTGATCTGTATCCACAAGAAGTTTACTAAAAGCATTACATACACCCTATTGAGAAAGATGAAGTAAATAGATGATTACAACGAGGAACTATTTCAGGATTTCTAAACACCGTATCTCAAGGTGGCTTTTTTGTTTGTCGCTTGGACCCAAATTTCATTTTTCAGTTTTACACCAAACGGAATGTTGCTATTCTTTTCTGACTGAGTGACTGACTGGAAATATTGCTCAGTTGTTGTTTGTATCAAAGCCTAATTGTTCTTCTGCCAAGTGTGTATCCTTATTGTTCGGCATTTGTAATGGATTATCAATTTTGAAAAAAGAGAAGAAATTGATAAATAAATTTGCTCATTGTCTGTTGAACTCTTTTGACACCTGTCAAAATAATTACAAACAAAAATCAAAACCATTAAAACAGAAAAACAACCAATGTGGAATGTGATAAAGCAAACAACAAAAAGAATTGACAAGAGTTTGAGTGATAAGTTGAAAATGTAGGTGGTGTTAAAAATACAAGACCAAATGATTGGCACACAGTGTTGGTCAAAGGTTAAAAATTTCATGTCTGCATCAACCCTTTCTTCTCTTTTTCTTATGTTTCTTTTATAACAGTGTGCATTAATAAGAATTCTCATAACCATATTAAATACGTTTTCGTTAGAGGCGCAAGGGCCTAAAATAAGAAAAGAAAACAATACATTACATTTTCGTTTAATGCTGATCATTTACTCATGAGGTACAAAGTATTTACTTAATCAAGAAAAAACTGAATTTCAAATCTCTCTCTTGTGGGTCTCTCTCTTTCCTTTCGATCGAGTGGCACCGATTTGGTTGGTAAGACCACAATGCTCAATTGGTTAAAAGAAATTTTTCTTTTCCTTTTTTGTGTTCATTTTTGCCCAGTCTATCTACCTTGTAACTTGTAAGAGGACGAGGGGGGAAGGTGATCAATTCTTAAAACCATTCTTTCATTGTAGTAGTAGCCTGTCTTAGGTCTCTCAATATAAGCAAAAAGTATGGAATCTGTAAGTGTATTTTGAAGGATAATAAAGTGTGTAGAGTCTAGTTACTGTTCCTATGAATTTGGCGCTAGTTTGTTATGAATTTTCGATGAAGCATGCAAAACAAGAATTTTCAAAACTTTCTCCTACCTATTAAATCAACCTATACCCCCTTATATAGACCAAGCATGATACTCAAACATAGTACGAGCTTGTAAACGATAGCATCATGGCGACACATATACCCTATTTGCACCAAATTACATTGATTTTGCTTTAACTCAGTCTCTTGATCCTTGCAGAAAGCCACCTAAACGTACGATACCACTGCTAACATCCCAGAGAGTTAATATATTTCCTACCCAAAGGGGTTCTACCAAATCCATACACTTCTAGCTACTCCCAGCTCCATACACATCTACTGTCCCACTTCATTGATTCTGCGTTGTTGCAAAAATTGTCGCGACAACAGACAAACAGAAAAAAAAGGTAAACAAATAAACATCAACAAAAACACCATTTTAGACGAGCACCAATTACTTTACCGCCATGACCACTGCTGCTGCTCCCACCATGTTGATAGATACCTCAATCCCCGTCTCCACGTCAGATGCCCTTATATACTACGCAGACCACATTCTTGACGAGATTGACGACCTCTCCAAAGTCGAATACAATAAAAAGGGCCGCAAATATCGATTCGTCAACAACTCGTTCCAACGTATACGACAAGAAGATAAGCATTTGGTTATATGTCCCGAAAACCTCGATTTGAAACTCTCCTTCTACTCGGCATTCTCGATATTGATGAATATTGGTGATATCCTCACGACTTATCCACAATTTTGTTGCACGATTCTTGGTTTGGCGCAAGAATTAGAAAAGCATCATTGGTATGAAGAGGAGAATTCGAGCATCATTCATTTCAAAAATGCCAAATATGACCCCAGGGTTGTCCAACATGAAGCTGATGCCTTTGTTAAGAAATTTCCCATTACGCAACAACATATTGATTGGGGAATCAATCTATTGACGTGTGCCAAATTGAATTTCTTACATACGGATCATCATATCGGCACCAAATTGGAAGGTGTTTATATGATCCAGTACGTTGAACAGTACTTTGGCCAGGATGCAGTAACTTCACTCGACGTTTTGGTGGCATTAAAGAGTTGTGTTCATTGGGGCAACATCAAGGGCATATTGTATAAATTAAACGTTCCCAATATTGACATTTCACCACAATTGCAAAATGACTTTGCCAATTTCCCTCAACCCAATGAGGAATTACGCTTGAATGTGTATGAAAGGTTCCCTAGTGGCACGTCTAAATACGCCTTACTTTATAAATCATTGGATTTGCTTGCATTAAATTTCCAATATTCACCGTTAATCACCATTGACCCCAAAGAATTCCAGTTTGAGTGGTTGTACACCTTGTGCCATGATATCGAAACTGATCCTATCAAGTATCACCTTCGAGCTAAAACCAAACAACTTTGCCCTAACCCGATCAACTTGTCGGAATTAGCCATGAAGCACAATTTCCAAATGAATAAACTTTTCGATCTTGTTGCTTTAATCATCAATATATTCCCAAGCACGGGAGGCGAATACTTACTCCAGAATTCGAAAATCCCCAAATTGGACCAGTCTTTGATTGATCGATATAGTAGCGTATATCACCGGTTTGTTAATGTTGTTAAACAGATCGATGCATATGAGGCTAAAAATTGGGCACCAGATGATATCATTGCTCGTTTGCAACAAGATGATTTCAGTAAAGTCAACAAGAGCTTGCACTCGATAGTAATCCAATTGAAGTAAGAAGCTGATACATTTATAGCATTAGCATTTATATATATATATATATATAAGTATATATTATCAACCTCTATACTTTATACACCGTAATTGTAATTATTAGTAGTTACTGTCCTCCGTCTAACGAAAAATTTCCTTACTTCATCAGCTATAAACACCGTGCTTGTCAACATCAACAAATGCAATATATCACCCAAAGTCAATGCTTCAGTTTGGAATATGCCCTGGAAAAATGGCACATACACAGCACAAAGCTGGCCAATGAGGGACCCAATCACGGCAAAATTAAACATTTGATTATGTAAACCCATATCAAACACCGATTTGGAATAATGACGACACGACAATGCGTTAAACATATCAAACAAAACAAAACAGGTGAATGTCATTGTTGTGTCCCTGGCAGTAATCTGTTCGTCCTTCATTTCCTTGACAAAGATGTACAAGGTGCCAATAATGATGATTGACGCCGACTGCAAAACACGCTTGATTAAATGTGTCGTAAGGATCTTATCATTCCGCTTCCTGGGTGGCTTATTCATAACCTCATGGTCAACTGGTTCAACTCCCAACGATTGCGCTGGGGGACCATCCATCAATATATTGATCCACAAAATCTGCATGGCATTTAATGGGTTGGGTAATCCGAAAAAAGTACTCAATGCAATCAACGTCAATGCAGCAATACTGGTACTCAATTGGAAGGTGATGAAATTTTGAATATTGTTGAATATTCCTTTACCTTCTTCGATGGCACTCAATATTGTGCTGAAGTCATCATCAGTCAATACCATATCTGCCGCCTCTTTAGCAACATCAGTTCCATTTTTTCCCATAGCAATACCTATATCAGCCAACTTCAAAGCAGGGGCATCATTAACACCATCTCCTGTCATGGCAACAATATCGCCTCTTCGCTGCAACGCCTTAACGATTTTGACCTTGTGTTCGGGAGTAGTCCTTGCAAAAACAGACACATCGTGAATAGCTTCAGATAGCGTGCCTTCCTTGAGCTGGTCAATTTGGTCACCAATCATTACTGAACGGTCACCGGTTATAGGCATGCCAATTTGTTTGGCAATGTTGACCGCAGTGGATGGGGAATCACCAGTAATCATAATGACGTGAACACCTCCCTTCATCAACATTGAAATCGATTTGCCCACATTAGGCCTTGGTGGATCTTTCATACCAATCAATCCACAAAATACCAACTCCTCTGGCTCTCTATGTTCATCCTTTTCATTAATATACTTTTTGTTATTTTGAGCAAAAGCCAACACTCTCAACCCATCATGCGCCAACAGTTTTGATTTTTCGTGAATGAGCTCTTTTATCGCACCCGAGATTGGCTTGGCTTCACCATTCTCGTCATAGTATTTCGTACAATGAGCCAAGATCTTTTCCGTTGCTCCCTTTGCCAATGTCTCCGGTTTATCCATATCTCCTTTATGCACACACACAGCCATGTATTTTTTAGCAGACGAAAAGGGCAACTCATACACCCTCTCCCATTGTCCACGGATATCCTCAAGACCAAAATGGGGCAAACATTCAACCAAAGCTATATCACTAGCATTTCCAACATATTTCTCATTTTCAGTGGAATATCGCGCATTGTTACATATATTCCCACACTCCAACACTTTTCTCATGTTATCGGTCAATTGATGGTGTAAGGCGTTGTCATCGAGTCTCTCAACAACAAGGAATGGCGTATTAAAGCTACCTTTGAAATCAGCTGTCCATATTTTAGTCACGGTCATATGATTTTGGGTCAATGTACCTGTCTTGTCTGAGCAAATCACATTAACCGAGCCCAACGTTTCAACACTAGGCAATCTCTTTACTATAGCCTTTTGCTTTGCCATTCTCAACACTCCTAATGCCAAGGTGACTGTGACTATAATAGGTAGACCTTCAGGAATTGCTGCTACAGCCAAAGATACGGAGATTTGAAACATGTCGAGCCACGATCTACCTTGAAAGATTCCAATGAGGCAAATAACACCAATTACAATGAAGCTGAAAATACTCAAGTCTTTTCCCAACTTGTCCATTGCTTGTTGCAATGGAGTCTTTGGTTTTTCAATTTCGCTCATCATCTCAAACACGGTACCGAATACGGTTTGGGCTCCGACACCAACGACAATACCACTTCCGTGTCCATCTCTCACTAATGTGCCCATAAATGCAATATCTGTTCTTTCATTCACGGGTGGGTCCCTCATGGTTACCTCATCGGTGGTCTTTTTCACTGGCCTATTTTCTCCCGTCAAGTTACTCTCATCAATACTCAAATAAACAGCCTCTGTTAATCTTACATCGGCTGGTATTCTATCACCTTGAGAGAAATGAACCAAGTCTCCTGGAACGACGGTTGATGCTAGCACGTGTGACGTATTACCGTTTCTTGTGAGTTTTGCCTCTGCTGGGACCAATTTGTTCAACGCCTCCAATGACTTTTCCGATCTGTATTCCTGGACAAAACCTACAGTAACAACAATCGTGATGGCCAATGTTATACTTATGGCGTCATCTCTATTGCCCATCCAAAAACTAATGATCGCCGATCCAATCAACAACAAAATCAATGGATCTTGATAAAACGACGAAATAAACTTCCATACTAAACTGTCATCATCATCACTATTCAATTCGTTTGCCCCGTATATCGACCTACGATTCAACACATCTTGGTTGTTAACCAACCCTAGCTTTACATCAGTAGCTAGTTCCGATGCTGTTTCTTCGATAGATTTTGAGCAAAACTTTAGTGATGGAGTGTTTGCCTTGTGCGGGAGTTTCACTTGCTCTGGATCTATGTCAAAGGGGTTACTCATGTTTTTCACACAGACTGTAGTATTGTCAATGTACAACTATGTCAACGAAAGGTTTTGGATGAGAAGTGGGTGGGTATTAAAAGCGTGTTGCAAAAGTTTTGATTCTGTTATGAGAATTAAAGACGTGGAACTTTTAATGCCGTTGGGTTTTGAAAAAAAAAAAAGATAAAAAAGAAATTGAACGAAAAATTTCAATGCTGACTGGGCATGTTGAAGATAACACTACTTGGCTAGAGACAGATTCCGTCGAAGGGGGAATATAGTTGAGACGTGTGTATACGTTGGATCTTCTATTCTGACTACACGAAAGAAAACATGTCCCAAGTGTAACACATAACACGTTCGTGTGTGGAAGGGGACGTGGCGAAGTATTTTTATGACTTTTGCTTAATAATTCATTCCATCCTGATTGATACAATTTGGGTCTACTTCGCGCTTTGAGACAGAGAGAAACTGATGAGTTTGGCCCGCTGTAATCCGCGCGAAAAAGGAAAAAATAAAATAAAAAAGATTCTCTCTAATTCCCCTTTGAGACAGAGGAAAGATGGCTCAGATACATACAGAAGACCAATAGAAGAGCGCCACTTCATCTCATCCTCCAACTTACTAATATAATTGTTATTACTCTATAAAGGAAATTGACTTCACCCCTCAATAACTTCAACAGCCGCCTTGTTCAACCTATTCATTATAGCCAATCCCTCGTTGGTCTCATCCACGCCCTCTACAAATATGATATCAACTTTGTCTTCCTCATCAACCTCTCTCAAAAGTTTAAACAAATTCCTGGAAATATCTTCTCCACTTTTACCCAAGTCTCTAACGACACCAACGCCATTAAAGTCATTGAAATACTTTGATTTCAACAATGCAACTCTAGTCTTGCTCAAATCGATGCTGTTTGACTTCATATACTGTGTAATCTGCTCCTTTCCATCTCCACAGTTAATAAATAATATAACCTTTGCATTTGGTGAATAATGTTTATATTTCATGCCAGGGGTCTTTACCGCCTCGTTGCTCTCTGCTGTGCGCTTTGCTATTTGTACATTTTCCCAATCTTTTCCTCCAACTCGTTTCAAATCCTCTAATGAAATCCCACCTGGACGTAACAACATTGGTGGCGAACATAACCCATTGACCACTGTTGATTCAACACCAACCTTGCTCGACCCGCCGTCTAGAACAATAGGTATTTTACCCAGCAAGTCATGCATTACATGCTGTGCCATAGTGGGACTGGGCTTGGTTGATGAGTTGGCCGAGGGAGCGGCCAATGGCAAATCACTAATGGCAATCAATGCTCTGGCAACTGGGTGCAGTGGCATCCTTACGGCAAAAGTATCCTGATTGGCAGTTACGTATTTGGAAATGGGCGACTTTTCATGCACTGGTAGTAGGATAGTCAACGGTCCTGGCCAAAACTCATTCATCAACTTTTGGTATGATTGTGGAATCTGGTAATCTGGAGGTAGAAGTTGCCTCTGCAACTGTTCAAGCGAAGAAATATGGACAATCAATGGGTTATCAGCTGGTCTGTTTTTTGCTTTGTAAATAGATTTGACGGACTCGTCAGACAATGCCGACCCTCCAAGACCATAGACTGTTTCAGTGGGAAACCCAATCACATTATTTGTTGTTTGCAACTCTTTTGCTGCAATTTTGAGGTTTTCCTCTGTTTCTTTGTCACCGATGTGAGGTAGAAATTGATCCTTGGAAAATGTTATCGACTCCGGCTTGACTCTGAGTAATTTGGTGGTGAAGGACATTGCTCTTTGAAGTCTTTTCATTAATTCCTTGAGAGTGTCTTCAGAAGACCTAGAATTGTGAGATGCGATGACAAAGACAAATCTTTTTGTGTCGTAATTGAATGCGACATTAAAACTAGACATAGAAAGCTATACAAACCATTTCGTACCAGATCAGTCTCACCTCTTATTAAAATATAAGACACTCGCTAACGATTTTCTTTTCGTTGTCATCCAACTTTTCGTAATAGTGACTGAAATTGCCTAGGTTCTTACTAGTACATTCTCGGAAAAACTCCACCAACAATGCCTTCAAACTATCATCGTCTGCTCTATCCTTGTGGTCATCGTCAACATACGACTTCAATTTTGTAAAATTTGGTACCCCAATATCGTCCATATCCTCCCAACCATCATCCTCCCCACCTTCAGCTTCAACTTCAACTTCAACTTCGTTACCCCCCTCTTGATTAAACTCGTCAGCACTTGGTTGTTGGCATTGAAACTGCAATTCGCCAACCAAAAGTTTCAAAATCTTTAACGCTGCTGAAATTTGGGTGTATCTATCAGGCATTGATTTGGCCATGGACCTTGTAATAATCAAATCGCCATCGTATGGAATTATTTCCCCATTTACAGTCAAGTTGGATATTCTTGGGTCGCCCAAGGTGAATATCCTACCCAACGCCAAGGAGTTTTGCTTGATCGGATCGAACCCTCGGGTAACTTCATACGACTCAAACCAAATAGGCAAAACTGTCTCTAATCCCGATTTATGATTGACAACCATGTTGCTCAAAAAGTTTATCGTGTCCCCGGGGGATTTGAGCACTAGCTGACAAAAGACCATAACCAAGTTTTCAATTGTGATCGATTCTTTTGCAATAACGAGTCGATTGACAGTTGCCTCAAGTATCTGCGTCAAAAGTTGTGGAGATAAGTAGGTTTGGAACTGGCTTACTAGTGATGCTACTATTAATCCACATTTATTGGCTGCACCATCAGACAATTGAGGTGACAAAAACTTGGACACAATCTGCATCATTGAGTCAAGTCCTGAAACGCCGCTCAATGGGTCCTTGTAGTTTACAAACAAGTTGGATGCCTTTTGGATCAACTCGTCAAAGACTTCTCCTCCACTTTGAAGTACCTGGTCGTCCGATGATCTGAGTAAAACACTTTGCAATATAGGGTACGTGTATTCAAATATCCGAGGTGGCAAATCGCCAGGAGATGACTTTAATATGATGCTTAGGAGCTCCAAACTTAAATACAATTGCGGGGTATATTCGCCATTACTTTTCTCCATAATTTCAAATATAAACGGCAATGACTTCTCACATGCATTGAGGTAATCTTGCATGTCGATGTTTTGCAACAATGTTGTTAAGCAATCAGAAGAATCTGATATCAATTGTATATTTGCTGCGTCCTTGAATGCAATTTTGAAAATCAAGTCAACCACACTGATACCTGTCCCGATTTGTTGCTCTGTTGCACGCGCCGGGTTTATTGAAATTCCCAGAGTGATGGCTTCCAACAACACGGGAAGGCCATCCTCTTCGCAATCATCCACCAATGCATACGCAAGTTTAAAGATAGTCAATTGTAACGAGCTGTCTAAGGTGGAAAATTCAATAACATGTTGAAAATAGCTGCAACTGACAAGTGTTGAAACTTGAATAATAGCATCGCCTTTTTCTGCAAATGAGATCAAATCAGTAAAGACCCTTCTTGCTTCTTTCTCCATAAAATTTTCAAAATATTTTGGCAACAACAAGATACATCTTGATGTGACTATAGAGCTGTCGTACTTTACCAATGATAGCATCGAGTTTAGTGAGACCTCGGGCAATTGCGCGTCATTTGCTAATAACCCTTCGAAAGTGTAGAGCTCAGCTTCCAATAGCCTACTGTCACTGGAAAACAGTTCCGCAATGATACTGCATAGGCCACGCGCGTCTGTTTCGTTCAACTCACCCCACAAGTCGATTATGGCGTCACGGGGATTTATAGCCACTGATAAACCGGTGATATCACTCACGTACAGACCAAGGTCATTCTCATACTCTTCGATTATCTCCTTTGGCAATGCTGTGCAGATAATTGCATCCTTGTAAAACTCGGCAATAGATGCCACTTCTGAAATCAGCACATCGTGTTGAATGCTAGCTATGGCATTAAACAAGTTGTAAATCAATGCGTTGAGCACTTCCTGGGCATCCAACTCAGAAAACTTAGGTACATCATAAGTGTCCAAAGCAACGTCATTAAATACCAGTGCTAATAAATGCAAATTTTGTAGGGTGGCTATCAAAAGGTTACGTTTTATTTCCGTAGCAATACGCAGATGAAAGTGACCAATGACTGACCCAATCACTTTGAAAAGGCTACTCTTGAAATCCAATTGTATCAAATTAACACCATCAGACTTTATCAAGCTGAGCAAAATCTCCAAAGTAACATTAATTTGTCCTACTATAGCTTGTTTCCTATTTGCATTGGCAAATGCTTCGGGGCTTTGCAAAACAGCCAACACGTTCTCATACAACTTTAATGCCTGACTCTTTACCAGAATATCGACTCTGGTGTTCTGAAGGACTTGGTTTATATGGTTATTGATTCCAATGCCTACTCCCTCGTCCCAAAACTGCTCTTCAGTGATTAAATCATCAACCAAGTCGGTCAAAACTTGTAATCCACCTAGCATCGCCTCCTCGTTGTCCAAGTTGGAAGCGGCATTATACAACTGATTTACCAAGTCGGGCCATTCATCGGGGTAATCGACGGAAGCTATTTGCACGATTGCATAAGCTGCCCCATTTCTGAGTTTGGAATTGTTAGTACCTAAGACTAGCTCCAACAATTTTGTTCTAATGGCTGCTTTCAATTCCTGAGCAATTGGTGGCCCAATGAATGAGGAAAACCCTATTGACCAGAATTTAGGCACTAATCTTTTCAAATGGAGTAAGCACGACTGGCGGACATCGATAGGAAGTGAGCTGTTTAATGCAGCTTCCAATATCAAATACGTTGTCTCTGATGGGTTGCTTTGCACGGCTTCGTTAAACTCTAGTTCCGAGAGCTTACGAACATTATTGTCGGGAGAAGTCTGGTTGACTATCAATTGAAGTATATTTGCCATTGCTGTTGGGTATAGGAATGGTGATGGGATCGGAAATGTGAAAGATCTAGAAAAAAAGTAAAATTGTAACAACAAATACTTTGACGCGCAAAACAAAATTGTCGCAATGTAAGACGCGACTAAGTTTCTCCTGTTTGAAACTTCATAGCTATGGTCTTTGCGGACGAGTTACCCAATTTAAATTTCAATCAAGGCTAGTGCTTTACACAGATGAGCCTTCTTTTATCAAGGCTAGTGTTCTACACCAGTAAATACAATATACTAACGCTTCATTATATCACATATACACTCAACTAGCAAGTAAACTTTCCGAATCGACTTCATCGATATGCTCAGTAGTGGGTTTTTCCAAATCATTTTCTGCATGGCGTCTCCTTGGAGTATTTTTCTCAATTTGAACAACTTTCCAGGGCTCTTTTGTAGGGCATTGATTGAAAATATAGTCCATTTCTTCCAAAGTACGGCCTGAAGTTTCGGGATAAAAGAAGTAAATTGCTGGCGCCATTAAAATATTGATAACAGCAAATATGGTGTACGTGTAGTACTGGATGTTTTTGAAACAGACTGGCGTTATCATCACAACAAGGAAGTTGAATGCCCAATTACTTGCTGTAGACAATGCAGCTGTTGGAGCCCGCAACTGAAGTGCCGAGATTTCGGGTGGGTACAACCAAGTTCCGCCAAGATACGTCATACCAAAAACCGAATTAAACACAAAAAGGAACACAGCGGCTGCAACTCCAGCTGGTGTACTATTCCCCCCAGCATCATATGTTGTTTGAGATTTCCATCCTGCAACAGTCAAAGCTACCATGGAAAGAGATTGGCCAATAGCACCAAAGAACAACAATCTCCTCCTTCCGACTCTCTCAATAAACAATATACCCAATAAGGAAGCTAAAAAGTACTCGGTTCCGTTACAAGCAGCCAAGATTCTTGAGTTGAACGGAGACATGTGAATGTATTGCTGAAAAATTGTACCCGCATAGTATGTGATCAAGTTGATTCCCGATATTTGTTGCATAATCTGTGACCAACAAGCTAAACTTAATCTATGGAAGTTCCGTGTTGGTCCTTGGGCGGTTAATGCTCTGAGACTAAACCCCTCGGCGTTGGATACTTCCAATTCAATGGCACTTTGAATTTCAGTTAGTTGGTCAGTGATTTTTTCATCTCCTTCAGGAACGTTATACAAGGCACTAAAGACGATTCTTGCTTCTCTCACCCTACCCTTTGCCATTAGCCAACGTGGGGATTCGGGGAATTTGAAAACAAACATGAGCAAAAAAATTGGAAAAATGGCTTGAAGCACCACGGGGATTCTCCATGAAATGGCTTTACTATCATTTCCATCCCTGTCGATGAAATAAAATCCAAAATCAACCCAATACGAAATGGTAATACCCAAAGTGATTAAACTACCTTCCATCATGATCAATTTTCCTCTTGATTTAGCCTTGCTCATTTCAGATTGCCAGACAGGGACCGTGGATGTCAAGTAGCCGGTGCCGAATCCAGTGAAAACTCTGGCTATAGCTAAATGAGTAACAGTGAATGCTGAAGCTTGCAAAGCAGCTCCAATCACAACAATAACACAACCTAGAAACATACACTTTAGTCTCCCCAACCTGTCACCAAGATAAACCGTAGACAATGCGGCAAATCCACAGCCTAGTTCATAAACAGCAATAACAGCACCCTGCAACGTCGAATTAGCCGATGATTTTATCGAGGGGAATGTGCGTTCAAATGAATCAAGGCTTAGTAAACTTCCATAGACTCCTTGGTCATACCCAAATAATAAGAATCCAACTCCGGCAAATATTGAGACTGCGTAGTTTAGTTTGGGTCCAGACATCCCCATAAACGAATGTATTCTGTCGGGATCTTCACAATCATTTAAGTCAACATTGAGGAATTGTTTGGACTTTTCGGACTTTTCGCTATAAGATGCTGTCGGTTTAACTTCGTCAGAATCCATGATGCACTAGGGAAATACAGAGAGAGCGAGTATGTTAAAACATATTTGCTGAAGCTCATGCTATTTATATCACTCCACATGATGATTCCCCACCAGCGTCCTTGCTTGCATGTCTTTTCACTTTTAGACTTGCTGCGTCACATTTGTCACGTTTATTGGTTACAAACTGTACACAAAGGGGGGAGGTCGGAGCTATTGTTTTGATAGATAATTTTAGCCATGTTTAGCTTCCATGCATATACAACAATTTCGTGTTTCACAAGTGGCGAACGTGTCAGCACCACTGCGACAGTAAATAATTGTGGGGATTTGTACAACTGAGCACGCACTAAACTCCAGTAAGACCGGCAAAGCGATAGTATTTGTGACAAAGCCGATTCGAGCCACCCCCAACTATTTGTGATTTTAGTTTGCATATTTGTGAGTTGGTGTTTCTATTGTGGCAAAACCTAATGGTGGGGAAGATAAATTTAGTTACAGTAAACAAAGCATCTTATTGTTTTCAATATTGAAGTTTTTCTATACAGGATTCACGGAAATGGCATTGTGGGTCGTTGTTATACGCTTTGTATAGTTTCCCCAAGAAAATTCCATTGTTTTAAAAGGTTTATATGTTTATTGTTTTCCAATTATTATCACGAGAGGATTATCTGGTTATATAGTTGCTATCCAGAATAGTCCAGTTTTATAAGACGTGTCTTCTCTCATTTTTTTGTCTTTAATGCAACATGGTTACAGATTCAACAAAGTTCTGGCAAAACACGCACTTTCTTTTTTTTTCTTCTTGACATATGTCAAGTATGTACACCAGCTAAAACTGTTCAGTTTGAAAAGTGCTTCCAAGCATAGCCCAGGAAGAGTGGCAGTTACGAAAAAGTTATGAGTCTTGCAAGTTGTTGCCAAGTTCGGAAGAATCGTATTTTTGGCTCCCAGCTCCCGTGTGAATACACGGCAATTTCAACACGTATTAATCTAATTACACAAAAAACATTTAAATTAGGGTCTAAAATATAAGCGGCACCAACTAAAGCTCACCCAAGTGGACTATTACGTCATAAGCTGACTTGTGTCGCGTACTAGAGTATCTAACAGAATAGGACATTATCGTCACTTATATCGTCGCTTGTTACAGCTAAAACTGTTTGGGATAAAAGCAAGGCTGATATATGTCTTGGGTAATTCGTATTGTCCTCGCCCCAGACCAATTCTATTGTCTCTTCCAACATCCTCTGCTACCTAAACATTGTTCGAGATTGAGGGCACAAACACTACATAGTCGCGTGTTTATGGCCCAGATTTTACTTCACTTCCAACCACAAAAGTTTGTTGTTCTTAAAAATAATGAAATTCGCCACAAAAGTGCAAACGGAAACCCGTCGGAGAAGTTCCGAGGTACATCTACGCTTCCTCAATTCAAAACTCTTTGTATACACTTTATTACTTAGCCTACTTCACTCTATACTCCCAGGCGTCTTTTCCTGAAACATGTATCCTCAAAGGTAATCTAGATGTTAGATGGTTCGATATTCCAGATATTCTCAGCATACTCGTCAATACATCTATCACTGGAAAAGAATCCCATGTTTGCAACACTCCACACTGACTTCCTAACCCATCTCTTCAAGTGGTCCTCATCTTCAGCATCAGCACCGTGGTGGCCAAACACATTCTCAACTTTCCTTTGGGCATCCAAGTACAAGTCAAAATCATCAGTAACAAGATAATTATCACCATGATCTCTAATACTTTCAATCAAAGGCTTAAAGTCGTCAGGGTTACCAAATTTTCCGTTTTGGATTGCATCAAACACTTTTTGTAAGGTTTCAGGAACTTTGACACCATCGACAAAATGTTTGTGTCTGATTTCATCAACCGACTCGGCCAAGTTACCAAAAAGGAAAATATTCTCTTCACCAATTTCACGAGTGATTTCAACATTGGCTCCGTCAACAGTACCAATGATTAACCCACCATTCAAGGCAAATTTCATATTGGATGTTCCTGAAGCTTCGGTACCGGCAGTGGAGATGTGGTTTGACAAGTCGGATCCAGGACAAATGATTTCAGCCTTGGACACATTGTAGTCAGGAATGAATACCACCTTCAAAAGATTGCCAATTTCAGTGTCGTTATTGACAACCTCACCAACCTTACAGATCAAATGGATAATGGTCTTGGCCATGTAATAACCCGGCGCAGCTTTACCGCCAAAAATCGATGCTTTTGAAATGTAGTACTTTTCCTTGATTTCGTCAATTGAAACACCCTTAGCAATCAATTCCTTGATGTGCAAATATCTATAAATGACCGAAAAGATATTCATTTGTTGTCTTTTGTATTCGTGTATTCTTTTCACTTGAACATCAAAAAGCAATGTGGGGTCAACGTCGACATTAGTTTCTTGCTTGATCAAGGCAGCCAACCTGCGCTTATTATTAAACTTGATAGCGTCCCATTGTCTCAAAAACTTTTCATCGTCGATAAATTGCTCCAATTTTTTCAACCGGCCCAAGTTTGTCAAGTATTCGTAGTTTGGATCGTCCAATTTTTGGGCAATCAACGCAGCCAACTCAGGGTTGGCTTGTCTTAACCAACGTCTAGGAGTAATACCATTGGTAACATTGGTAAACTTGTCAGGACCAAACACCTTGACAAAATCTTTGAAGATGGTGGTTTTAATCAACTCTGAGTGCAATTCAGCGACACCATTAACTTTGTGAGAGCCAATAATAGCCAAGTAAGCCATTCTCACCGATTTAGGGTATCCTTCCTCAATAACAGAGACTCTTCTCAACAAGTCACGGTCGTCTGGGAACCTATGCTCGACTGATTTCAAAAAGAAATAGTTGATGTCGTATATGATTTCCAAATGTCTTGGAAGTAAATGACCAATTACATCAACTGGCCATTTCTCCAAAGCTTCAGCCAACACAGTGTGGTTGGTATAAGCAAAGACTTTAGTAACAATAGACCAAGCATAGTCCCACTCCAACCCTTCTAAATCAACCAAAATTCTTTGCAATTCAACAATTGCCAATGTTGGATGGGTATCGTTCAATTGAATAGCAACCTGTTCAGGGAACTTTTTCCAGTTGGTCTTGTGATTCTTTTTGAATCTACGAACAATATCGTGCAACGAAGCGGCAACCCAAAAGTATTGTTGCTTCAATCTCAACTCTTTACCTTGTTCAAAGTTGTCATTAGGGTAAAGCACAGCAGTAATTGCTTCTGCTCTTTGTTGGGCAGCTACTGACTGTTGGTAGTCACCAGCATTGAACTTGGTAAAGTCGAATTCGTGTGTTGGTTTAGCATTCCATAATCTCAAATTGTTGGTGTTCTCGGTATTGTATCCTGGAACGGGGAAGTCTGCAGGAACAGCCAAGATTCTTTCACCGCCACTCCAGCTCTTTTTAACCTTGCCGGTGTTGGGGTCTTGCTCTTGATAAACGTATCCGTAAAAGTCAACAGGGATACGAATTTCGTGCCTGTCTAAAACCCATGGATTGGTGTATCTTAACCAATAATCAGGTGTTTCAACTTGAAAACTGTCAATAATCTTTTGCTTAAAAATACCGTACTGATAGTTAAGACCATATCCCCAACCAGAGTAGTTTTTCGATGACAAGGAATCGACAAAACAAGCAGCCAATCTACCTAACCCACCATTACCTAAACCAGCATCTGGCTCTTGATCTAAAACGTCTTCCAAGTTGAACCCCAAGTCATTCAATGCGTCTTTGGTGTTTTTCTCACATTTCAAGTTGATCAATGCATTGTCCATAGCTCTTCCCATTAAAAACTCCAATGATAAGTAGTAGACTCTTTTCCCGTCTTGAACTGTTTGTCTTTGTTGAGTGTTGGACCAATCAATAACCAATGCATCCCTTACAGTGTTTGCAGAAGCTTGGTAAGCTGCCAAGTCATCACAATTGTACATGGACCTTCCCAACGACGTTTCAACATGATTGACAAATTCCTTTTCAAACTTGTCAGTGTCGTCAACAATGGTGTGAACGGTGTCCGTCTTGTTACGTGGACCTCTATAATTCGAGTCTAAAATATCCAATTGAGAGTACCTGAACCAGGTATTCTTGGCAGACTCAGGGATTTCAGCATCCAAGGCAATAATTTGGTTAGGGGTGAACCCGGTGTTGGTCCTCTTCAAGGGGGGGTGGGGCAATGTTGAAGGAGTAAGATAATCTTGAGACATTGTAAACCAATTGAATTATATAAAGCTCTAGTCTCTCTGTATCTAATAAAGAAAAGAAATATGTAATTGGCAATTTGCTAAATTTAAATAAAAGCAAAATGTGTTGACTTTTCTTTTTTTTGGCAAATCTCGCAGGGGAGTTAACGATTAATTTAAATTTCGGAGCTATGATAGAATAACCGATTAAAGTAGATCTTGTATTTATCGGAACAATGCTGTACATAAAGTTGCAGCTCCAGGAATTTATTGCTTTAGGAACCATTGTTTAATACATTGTATAATCCTTTTGAATCAGCTGATAGATTAGAGATGAGTGGGTCTCGGTGCTGGTTCAATCTCCATAAGGGCGGTTACAAATTGTGGTTCGATAATTTGTTTACAAAGAGCAAAGATAAAAACCTAATTGTCTCTGACAGATAAGTCTTGTCGAACAATTTACAGACGAGATGATAGGATTGAGTCTATTCGTCATTGTTACCAAAGCTCCTTTTACACTGAACCTAGACGCAAGAAGGGATTGTGCCCAACAGAAAATTTGTCTAACTTCCCCCCCCCCCCCCCCTTTGTGTTTCGGAGAACGTGGGGAGTTCGGAATGGAGAGAACAATTTGTGTTCATTATTTTTTTTGCGCACTGTAACAAACTAAAAAGTAAGTTCTAATCTTTTATTGTTGAGCTATAGCCTATAGTTCGTGGAAAGTTGGAAACAACCAGCAGGCTATCTGGCAGTCCTACCAGCAGTACCTTCATAAGACACGACACTGGATGTTAAGGAGAATCTCGCCAAGAAGGGTAGTCCTTGGTCTAATTTCGTCATACGCTCCTACTACAGTCATTGTCGTGAAAGCAGCATGACGCATAATTTTTCCCGACAGAAGAGAAGAGAAAAATGAAAAGTCGAAACATTGGAAAATCCATCAGAAGACGAGCTGTTCAAGAAAGTCTAATCATTGTTCGCCATGTCAGAAGAATATCCTCCGAAAAGCATTGTTCTCGCTAAGGTGAAAGGATACCCTGCATGGCCAGCTATGGTTTTGGATGTTGACTTGTTGCCGCCACATATTCTCAATAAACGACCCAAAAATAAACAACACGAACCAACGCCAAATATCTTGCCCATAAAATTTTTCAGTGATGATACGTATATATGGATCAAAACAGGTGACATCAAGCCATTGAGTAAGGACGATATAGCTGCACACTTTGTTCAAAGTTCTCAAAAGAGGAGGAAAGATACTGTGTTAGATCGAGCATTTGAGCTAGCTAATGATCCGTTAGATATGGAGATATTTATCAAGTACGGATCGAAAGGAGAGCCAGAATTTACAGAACTAGACGAGGAGCAAGAGCAAGAAGATGATGATCTTGTAGTCAAGGTTCCCGCTCGCAAGAAGCAAAAAGTTGCTACTCCCAAACAGGCTAAAGTGGTTGACAAGAAAACGCTTGCTGAAGAAAAGAAAGAAGCTGAGAGGAAGTTGTTAGCACAATATGATTCTGACTGGGGCTTACAAGATTTCAACAAGTACAGTGTCACTCAGGGCAATTACATTTTTGACAGCCTAGAAGAGCAAAAAAGTGTTTTTGCAAGCATACCAGACATTGGTGGATTTTCGTCTCTTTTTGACAAAGCCATCGACAAGTTTAGAAAAATCGAGGAAGAAGTTCTTGAACAGTTACTATCTGAGGATGTGTCAAACACTGATGAGCTTTGCCAATTATTGACTCTGTTTCTGAATTTGGTTAGCAAAGTGCCAAGGTCTGTGATAACCAAGAGTAGGCTAATCAGAGCACTAATTGTGGACCAAAGGAAACACTCCCCTGGCGATCATGGCCAGCTTGATTTTAAGGAAAAGACCAGCAAGATTTTGAAGAGATTGGGCATTGAAGTTAGGGAGAATACCGAAGAGGAGCTTGAAGTCAAGAGCGAGGTGAGTACAGCACAGTCTACTCCAGAAGTAATCGAGTCTATCCAGGAAGAAGAAGTCGAAGTAAAAGTGGAACCAGACACTGTCAACTTTGTAAACTCGCCCTTGAAGCATGAAGTTCAGACTAACGGCAATTAAGCAAATTCGAAAAAAAACACATCTGTGTATATTAATGAAAACATTTAAACCATCCAAGCAGTTTCCCTCGTCTTTTGGAATCTTGTAGATATTGCGCTTCCTTAGCAGTATATTCTCACACTCTCTGCCTATGTTATGCAAAATTATAGTCTCGTACACGACCTCTAGTGAGGGTTAATAAGTGCATCCATACACACAATAAAATTTTATCCACTCAAAATCCAAATTGGGCAGTAAAACAACAACAAAGGGAGACAGAAAAAAAAAAAAAAGAGAGCATATTACTAACTAGGAAACCATCAAACATATACACAAGATTATATACTTTTCACAACAATAGACTCGTTAGCATATATCTACTGTGGCCGTATGTATATTAAACATTTTGCAATAGAGCGTAATATATGACAAAAAAAGGGAGGCAGTTGACTACACCAAAGCCAGCCATCTCCCAAAAACTTTATTTTGTTATGGCACTTTTTTTTGTTTTTGATTCGCTCAGACATATACCGATTGGGGAAGGAGTGTGTGTTTACATATATTTTATTGCACAAACTGTGCATCCAATTGAGGTTCTAGAGGCTGTGAATAAGTCAAATACTAACTTTTGTCTAGATGTCAACCAAGATTGAAGAAAATACCGAGTTTGAAACTGGCGCCAATGGTGTCCCCATCAACAACACCACACAAGCCAATCCACCCGATGATGATGATGACGACGATGTTCCGTCATCAGGAAAGACCCAGAAGGAGAGAAGAAAGATTGAAATCAAGTTTATTCAAGACAAGAGTAGACGCCATATTACTTTTAGTAAGAGAAAAGCTGGTATTATGAAGAAAGCCTATGAGTTGAGTGTCTTGACAGGTACACAAGTTCTTTTGTTGGTTGTTTCTGAAACTGGGTTGGTTTATACTTTTACTACACCTAAATTACAACCATTGGTGACCAAGCCAGAGGGTAAGAATTTGATTCAAGCTTGTTTGAATGCACCAGAAGAGGGCCTTGGTGGTGATCAAGATCAAAGTGATGGTGAACAAGCTGACTCACCTGAACAAAGTCCAGCTCCTGGTCAACAGCAACAACAGCAGCAGCAAGCACAAGCGCAACAGCAACAGCAACATGCCCAATTGCAGCAACAACAACAAGCTGCCGCTGCCGCTGCTGCTGCCCAACATCATCAGCAACAGCCACAACAAATGCAGCCAATACCTGGTGGTGGTCCTCATGGTATTCCACAATATGGTAACCCTGGTGCACAAGGACAACAGCCAGGACAACCTGGACAGCCGGGTAATATACCATATGGTGACTACGCATATTTTTCAAATATGCAAAATAGTAACATTCCTAATCAACAACAATATCAATAGATGATGATAATAAAGTTGTGAATTGGAAGCCTCGTTTTATTATGAGTCCTTTTCTTAATTTCACGGCGACATTTTGTTCATTGATATTTCAATTCCCAAGGACCACCTCTACGTTATACTGATTCTACAATTGTGGTGTTTTTTTTTCTCTCATTGTATAGTCTATCTTCTGACTTTATATAAACTTTTTTGGCTATAAAAAAATATATTCTCTGTCCATCTCTTACATATGACTCTGCCTGACTCTGACTTACTATATTTTAGTGTTCTGAAATGATTGCTGACGTTAGAATCACTATGTCTCACCCCATTATGCACTGGTAATTTTTTTGCAACCAAGTTACCCAATTAAGAATTAGTTTATTTTGTGAAACGTGTGACCTTTTTCTGAAAAGAGTTGGTCGAGTGGCTCGGTATCCTAATCAAGTAGTTGCAATTACTTGAAATGAACATTGGTGAGAAAAATTAAAAAAAAAAAATAGGAAGGGAAAGAGAAAAAAAAAAGATAAACAATACGTGTGACAAACATACGTTTGCTCTTTGTTGCGAAAGTAAATTGTCTGTAACAATTCCTACTACTATTATTATCATTACTATTATGACATTAACAAAAGTCCTCACTTCAAACCAGATACAAACGACAGCAACAAATTCCTTGTTGAGATGTGTGACGTTGAAGATAAGGTTGTGGATACGTTAGGCTGATTAAATGCTACTGTTGATGCTGGTGCGTGGTTGAATAAGATAGTGGAACATATCAATGCTGAAGTTGAACAACTAAAACAACAGCAACAACAGAAACAACAGGAACAACAGGAACAACAGGAAAGTGATGTCAACAACCAGTGAGTGGTGGACAGTTAAAGTAGTGACGTTGGGTTTTGCTGAGACTATTAATACAGTTACTACTGGCACTGACACTTGCCAGTACTCATGCTGGTGCTGCTGATGGTGCCGCTGGTGAGGGATAATGGAGATGCCGCATATAGAGAGTTTTGCAATTAACAAAGACTCATTGTACTACTTATTGCCTTAAAGCTGGAACACTCAGACAGTTGAGGTATTTATCAATTGAAATGAATTTTTGTTACCAAATAAGGTATGGGACAGATGTGCGGTATATTATCAGATTTTAACAATGCACCACACTTTCCCCTCTTTATAGCTTGCTTTAATGTACAGGTGGTAAAAAAATGGCAAGGAAAGAACGATTGAATTATCCCCTCACATTATCCCATATTGAAGATTCGAAAGGGATGCATAAATTGACATTACATATATATGTGTGTGTTTTTGTCTAGAACTAACTGATTGTTTTTGCACAGACACTGTGACACAGCTCCCCTAAAAATAGGAATTTCTTTTCTGGTAGCAAGTTGAACTAATTTGACGTATTATTACCAAAATTATTGCCCCTCATGTTTAAAGCATCTTGGGTTGTCGGTTGATGCAAGAAAAAGAAAAAGAAAAAGAAAAAGAAAATGATCTGGTACTTTCTGTGTCTGTTATCTCAACATAAATTACGCTGGTTGGTGAAGGGGGTGGTATGGGTGACCCAAGCGTCTTCTTTCAAGCAGTGTGAAGTATTAGCACAATAGAGTCATTATAATGTGTAGCAATAGAGTTTTCCTCCAAAGGCTTGATGTCACATAGAATTCCTTTCCTGTGCAAATATGTAATACCTGGAGAATATTGTTGCCCACATAAACTCGCTTTTAAATTCGAAGGACTTTTGCTGCCTCCCTTTCATAAAACCTTAACTATATATATATATATAAGGATCACGGTGCTGTGAGGTGATGAATTATTCAAAAGACAGATTCATTTAGTTATCAGCTCATTAGTACATACAAATCTGTCAAAAATAAAATAGAAGACATATTTTACAATCAACTACAACTACAACTACTAATACTACAAACTTCAAAGAGGATTGTGTCTAACAAAGGAGAGCTTTGTCCCTTTTACCATTGGCAGCATACACACTTGGAAACACACAATAGAGTCTTGGTAGACAACAAAAGCATAGTCTGTGTTTAACTTTCAAGGAGTCAACTAAAACGCCGCCCTGCAGAGTAATCTCGTCGGCTAGAATCGTGTATTGAACTTTGCCAATTTAGGTATTGCTTGCGGCTTTTCTTCAAACAATAGGATTAAAAAACAAAAAAATAAAAAATAAAATATAAAAAGAAAATATTGCGTGAGGTTTTTTTCTTAGACAAATAATACACTTTACACTCACTATATACACACACACATATACACACTAATTATAATACTATACTTAGTACACAACAAAAATCCATAATTCAAAAATAAAAACACCTTTCTTTCAAAAAAAGATCACCAACCATTTTTTTTTAAAATTTTAAGAAATTTTTCATCAGTCTTTTTTTTTAATTTATATCCTTTCTATTTTATCCCTTTTTTTATCTTGAACCAAAAGGACTCCAGGGTTTCTTCATTGTCAGTCTTCTGCCACCATTTTGACACTCATTTGAAAAAGGAACGGCCACAAATCATATACACGCACACACGCACACACGCACGCACATATATATATATATACGAGACTACGAACAACACCAATTGCAAGGAAGAATAACAAGCTCAATTCTAGGAGCACATAGAGGACACACTATACGCCTCTCCAAATTTATTTTCACTCACCGATTGTGACTTATCTCGAGTGCAGTTTATATTCATTGCAGTGACATAATCGATTCAAATCGCTGCAACTTGCATCTATAGTGATTCAAGCGAAGAAAGGTCTTAGAAGGCAAACCGAGCCGATCATTTACTAGATTTGATCACTTGAACAGTATAGTACTACAACCCCACTCACCTTGAACACAAATAATACAAGGGGAGAACTACATCGAATCCATTTCTACATCACAGTTACTACACTGGCCATATTATTTGACTCCATCTTTACAACAGGAAACACAGAAGGTTGCATCACTTCATCTAGCTCATCTATTCTTCATACTTTGTTCTTGATTAAGCTACCTCATTAGATCATCCAATTATTCAAAATTTAAGCGGAGGCGCATCAACACAAAACCAATCAGCAGATCCTCTTTGTTCCAAACCCGGAAAACGCAAGTTTATAAAGGATCAAACGTTTTGACTATAACAAAAAGATCATCATCAGGCTGTTTAAGTAGTACGGAGTTTTAAACCCCACCAAAAAAAAAACACACAGCCCAAAACATATTAAATCCAAGGTTTAAGTGAGTGCAAGCTTTACGTGTAGAGTTTCCTTTAATTTACTTGGAAGTCGGATTACAGTTTGCGCACGCCGATATTTTTTTAAAAAATTCATCTACTTTTGCCAGATTCCCACAATTTCATATCGTGTGATCAACTTGCAGTACAGCACAGCCATCATTAAAGATAAGTTGAATAGAACGGTTGGCTTAATTTAATCTAAGATATAGTAGAAGAGAAAAAGAAACACACATTAGACGTCATCATCATAGGCTACAAATACGAAGGCAACAATAGCAAAGAGGGTAGACAAAAGAAAGGAGAAAAAAGTTATTAATCAGGGAATACAAGCCACATCTACGTTGATCCCAGAAACAACATCACTATTTTACATCTAAGATCATAAGAATATACCTGTTTCACTTTATCCACAGGAGAGGGGTCACACCGAAATTTTTCCTTTTTTTTTATTTTGATATTTGAATAATTGCCGTTTATTGTTTTTTTATTTTTCCCTTTGCGTGGATATTCTCAAATTTAAATACAAGACATGGCGCATAACTACGGAGTAGCGGCAACAACAAGACCCAGCAAGGAGAATGGGTCTCAACCAGATGAATATAAATATCCACCACAACTGCATTACCCTAATCACAATTTGAGCACTGAAGATAGTCATAGTAAGCCCGACGACTCTCATCGTTTTTTTCATATGCCAAACTTAGAACCGCAATTTCACATTCCAAACATAGATCAACTTTCTTCCCCTTCATTTCAGCCGTTGAGTAATGCATCGTCATTGCCACCATCTAGTTCAACTATCAGCAAGTTTGCATCAAATGGATCAAATACATTTTGGAATACACCAGTGTCATGCATGTCTGAAACAAAGGCAGGAACTGAGCTTCCATCACACCCACAATATCGCGGATTGTCAATTGATTCAAGTATATGGACACTGCCAAACTCTTTAGCATCGGGTGGTGGACCAGCTCCTATGCCATCAAGCATATGGTCTCCTACAAGATTGAATGGACAGGATCAGCCGCAGCAGCAGCAGCAACCACCGCAACAACTGAGTTTCACTACACAATACTTTCCACCACAAAAACAACCAACTATTCCCATACAGAATACACCATTGGATGCATCAAACGCAGAAAATTATACGGCAGTCGTTCAGGCTGAGAATAGGTCTTCATCCATAAGTGGGTTTACCCCACCAGCAGCAGTGGAAGATGTGGCTGTCGGCACTGGATTGCTCAACAATGATACAGCAAGTACATCACCATCGGTTGGTTATGAATCTATGAGACGTCATTCGTACGCAGATGGATCACTTGATCGTGCAATTTCAAATGAAGTATCTCCACCATTGACCAAGCGACAATCATCAAAGACTGACATTGCCACAATGCAAATGGTGAATGACTACTTTGAGTCGGATCCACATGAACGAGTAAAGGTTACAATGAAACTACTTAATGATCGGTTTTTCGATGAGGAAAAGTATTTGAATGATGCATACCAACTTCCCAAGTTTCCAATTGAATCATCGTTGCGCAACTATCAATTGGTTTTGGTTGGTTTCAAAGCGGGCAGAATTGATGTTTTCTATCTTCCTTCATCTAATGGAATTTGCTCGTCTACGGTATCTGACCCCATGGTGTCGCCCGCAACTGGCTCCTTGGGTCAGAATTCGTTTGAAATAAAGGTTGGTGATTTGGTTATTGTGGAGGCTGATCGTGGCCGCGATTTGGGAAAGGTTTTCAAGTTGAACGTTTCCATTGATGAGGCACGATTGTTGAAGTTGTTGCAATTTCAGGAGCAGCAAGCAGCATTGAATGAGCATATTGAGAATAATTTATTGGATGACGTTTCAGTAAAAGTTTCATCTTCTGGTCAGCGTGGCTTGTCATCACAATTCCCCGCTGGAGCACAACAACACCATGGTCAGCAAAGTTCGGTTGTGCCACCAACTTTGCAATTTCCTAAATCGATATTGGCACTTGCTCAACCAAATGAAATATTTCAAATTTTGAACAAGAAGCAAGATGAAGAAAAGGCTTGCCGATTGTGTCTTGCCAAGATTTCGACTGCAACAAGTGGATGCTTGTTGAGCGGTGCACCCATATCTCCAGCAACGCAAGATTTGTTGCAAATGAAGTTAATTGACGCTGAGTATCAATTTGATCGCAAGAAGTTAATTTTTTATTATTCAACTTCAAAGCGAATTGATTTTAGGGATTTGGTTCGTGAATTGTTTAGAATTTACAAGACGAGGATTTGGATGTGTGCTGTGACTGGTGTACCTTTTAAAGCTTCAAGGACAAATTTGAGTCCATTGAGTACCGGTGTCAATACATTACCTGGCCAAGCCCACCAAATGCAACCACAAGCACAAACCCAAACTCAAGCACAGACCCCGCCACTGCATCTACCATCTAGTCAACGTCCTTTGCAATTTCTGCAACGTCCACAATTGGCTGAACAACAAGTGGTGTCACTTCTGGCCATGTCTAGTTTTCCCACTTCAATGCAAAATATTCAACAAAAACAGCAGCAGCAACAACAACAACAGCAGCAGCAACAGAAACAACAGCAGCAACAACAACAAGGGCTAACTAGAAGACAAAGTTTCCAACAACCTTCTACTTTTCAAAATCGAAATCAGCCAATGCAGAAGCTGATGCAATTTACGCAACCATGGACATCTTCAGCTCAGTCTCAACTTAGAGCACTGCACCAACCAGCAATGAATTACAATGATTACCAATTTGATGCAGTGCCTCGACAAATTTCTGATTCCGAACAACAACAACTTTACTCGCAACCTTGGTCGCTGCAGCAGCTGTTACTGCCATCTCAACAGCATCTTTGGACCCGACAACAGCAACAGCAACAGCCTATCTCATCAGCACCATCATTGACTCCGCAACAACAACAAGCTCAACAAGTGCAGCAACAAGCACAACGACAAGTTCAAGAGCAGTTTAGGAGGCGTAATAATCAAGGCGCTGATGGCATTGATATTTCCATGATGCAAAATCCATCGGATGAGAAGTTGGTGTTGAAGAGTTTAGTTGATTCCATAAACCATTGATAATAGGGGGTTGTATGAGAGGGGGATGTTTGCATTTTCTTTTTGCTTGAAAATTTTTTAGATTTTAATTATGAATTAAGGGACAGATTTTATAAAACATATATATATATACATATATACAGATAAAGGACAACAATAATATTGATGATGAAATACGATATAGAGATTTTAATATATATTTTACTACAAATGGTGCTATGAAAATAGAAGGGTTTTATTTATTATATTCCTACACTCGCTTTTTTTGGTAGTTGTGTTTAATATTTACCCCATTTCCACAACGATTCATTTGGATTGACCAATTCATTATCCAACTTGCTAAAGTATAATCCCTTGTCTGTTCCTTGAGCGATAATCACTTGCAAGTAAAACAAAAAGTCATTGGGGTTAAAACCAGCCTTCAACTTGTCAACAAATTCCTTCTTACCTTCTTCAGCAGACTTCTTTGATACAATATCCAATTTGGTACCCTTTGTCTTTGTATACTTATCAATAACATCTTGAACGGTAATTGTATCACTGGCAACATGAATAACATCAGGTAAATCCGAGTATGGTTGATGAGTGGCAACTGCCAACACAACGTTTCCCACATCTTCCAATTTGGATATGTTAAATTTCTGATTGGCATCACCAATCAAGTTGACTCCTTGTTCCGTAATACCAACGGCTCCAACCCAGTCATAAAGGAATGCTCCGGGAACAGCAAATAACGCAGTAATGATATCGACAACCTTAACTCCCAATTTACGCACAGCTTCGGAATGCTGAGACTTTAAAGCCAAAAACCCAGGGGCATAAGTGTCAACTTGAGGAATATCAGTACCAAACTGTGATGGAATAAACAATTTGGGCTTGACTTGAGCAACAATCTTTTCAATATTGGAAAACAACTCAGGGTTAGGTCCCGTCAATTCAATAATAACGTCAACTCCCTTGATTGAATTGATCAAATTGGCGTCGTTAGGTGATGTTTCTGGTGAAACGATATACTCAATCTTGTCAGTTGATTTGGACCCTTCTTTACGAGTAATTGCTTTAATGGGGAATTGGATCTTGGAGTCAAATGTACCCGAGTTGATGGCACTCAAAACGTGCTTTCCAATAAACCCATTGAGACCGATAATGGCAATTGAAGCTTTTGACATGGTGTTTTAGTGATTATCTTTGTAAGAAGCTTAAATATAATTGTGTATTAAGGTTTGGGTTAAAAATTTGTGTGTCGCAATTGAAATGATGATGAGAATAAAAGGGGGAATCGAGTGATCCTTTTATACACTTTTGGTTATATTGCTTACGTTGTCATTTCATTGAGAGAAATGAAATTGTGGTTATGTGAATAATGTTGTGGCTGACTCTCCCTTCTCTCTGTAACAAGGAGTACTCGTATGCAACAAACATTCTCCTCTTCTTCCACAGTTGATTGTTATTTTTGTGTAAACTTTGAGTAAGCAAAACAGTGCTACCAATTTTGTCCTTAGTAATATTACTAAAAGACGATCTGTAAGCCACACTAACTACTATGATTTACTTTATTATTGGTTATGATTTCACAGGGTGAAACAGTTTTGACAACTTACAGCAAATACAATGAATAAAAAATTAGTAATACTTTGGAATAAAAGGAGATGTGACAAGAAACGGACTACGAAAGTCCTAAAAGCATCAATTTAGATAACTTTGCTTTCATGTTAAAACGTAGAAAGAGCTGCTAATCCCAAATGCAGTTTTACTTGAGCTTATTAACTAATGTCAAGCTTCGTTAGTTTTCAAGCATGCTGTAGGTTACAGATGTATTTCCATGGGAAGGAGACTTCATAAATGAACATGTTTACAAAAATACTTACCTCGTATTTTGCAGAAACAGGTGACGGCATTATAGAAAAGGAAATACTTACCTTCCGCAACAAAGTAGGCGTGGCTAATGCAATTTGGTTTTCGACGATGTATCTTTTACTACACAAATAGAGTTGCATTCTATATGGGAAACAATAAGGTACGGTGCTGTTCTGCATTAGAGGAACTTTATAGAGGGGGATCATTTAGCTGTACTGTTAAGTTTTCTAATGTGCTTTGTTCCACAGAATAAAAATATTGTTTATTCTTCTCTATGTTTGCTTCATTTTGTTGCCAAATTCAAACGTCAGTTGACAAAATTGTTTCATCATTAAACAAGTTGTCTTTTGTAGTTAATACATAGATTGTAGATCTGAATAGCAAAGACTTGCGCTCTTCTCTTGAATACATTCGCTTGATTACTACTCGTGACTGGTGTATTTTTGAAAACCGGAACCTCCGTGGGAACAACAGGGTCCACTCACTAGAAAAAGAAAAAACAAACATATACATCGACAGCAGATAAGAGGCATTTAGCAAACAAATTTTACATAAATACCCACCAAAAAGCAGCACCCACCTTCTTCTGCCTTTCAACTACCTTTTTTTTTTTCAGAATATTCACTCTATGAGACAAAGTATGCCATCAAAGACTACAGATATATCGATCAAAGCCATTGCACCAATACTGTACACGTTATACTATGGAACATTCATCCACACACCAACATTAACCAATTTGGAGATTTCTTTCAACACTATAGTTGGTGTTAATTCACAAGGAGTAATTGATTATATTTATAAGGAGTACCATCCTATTGATCACAATAGTCAGTCGCCCATTGAATTTTTTTGCAAACAACAGGGGACATATACTGATGAAGATGTAAACTTTATTGACATATCTCGAGATTACACCAAATTCTTCTTTCCTGGATTCATAGATACCCATATACACGCATCGCAGTTCCCCAATGTTGGTATTGGGTTGGATACACCTTTGTTGGATTGGCTCAACAAGTATACGTTCCCACTTGAAAGTCAATTTTGTGGAGATGGTGATAAAAAGATGGAGTTTGCTAAATTGGTCTACACCAGAGTTATCCAACGCACGCTACTTAATGGAACTACATGCGCATCATATTTTACCACTATTGATCCTGAAACCTCAAATTATTTTGCTGAATTGTTGTTAAAGTTGGGCCAGAGGGGGTTTGTTGGCAAAGTATGCATGGATTGCAACGAACCTTATCCTAAATACGAAGAAAGTTTAGAGGACTGTATCAAGTCAATGAACAAGATAATTGACCATTTGGATGATATAAATCCTGAGTTTGACACCTTGGTGAAACCGATAATTACTCCCAGGTTTGCTCCTGTTTGTACACGGGAAATGTTGACATATTTGGGCAATTTAAGCAAAAGAAAGAGTTTACCTATACAAACCCACATTAGTGAGAATAAACTGGAGATTGAGTTGGTGGCTAAGATGTTTCCTGATTGTGGCAGCTATGCCGAAGTCTACAACAGGTATAACTTATTGAATGAGGCTACTATTTTGGCCCACTGTATTCATTTCTCACCCGAGGAATGTCAGCTAATTGCTGATAAAAATTGTTCAGTATCGCATTGCCCTACTTCAAACACATTTATCTCGAGTGGAGAAGCTCCCATACGCAAATATCTATACGATTACCACATAAACGTTTCGTTGGGTACTGATATAAGTGGCGGATTTGATTCAAGCATATTACATATCATAAAGCACGCAATTTTGGTTAGTCATCACTTGTCAATGAAGCCTGTGGAAGAGACAGCTATTGATTGCAAATTATCCATGACTGAAGGGTTGTACATGTCAACTATGGGAGGTGCAAGAGCAGTTGGGTTGGAAGACCAAATTGGGTCGTTTACCAAGGGCAAGAAGTTTGACTGCCAATTGATTGATTTGTCAACTACTACTACTACTACTACTGCAACTGATGTTTTTGCATGGCAAGTACCTCAAGCTAGTGAGTCAGCGGATGTTAAATACGCCAAGATGGTTGATTTATTAGGCAAATGGGTGTTTAGTGGTGACGACCGGAATTGTGTTGCTGTATGGTGTAATGGGAGGCAAGTTGTTGATAAAACAACAACGACTGGAGTTGATGCAAAGTCGAATGGGGTAGAGTAACTCATAGAAACTATAGAAACAAAACTAGAAAGACGAAATTGTTCCTTTGAGCTTTTGTACTACTGTCTTCTGTCTCTCCCCCTCACAAAATAACTTTTAGTCTTTACATGTGGACAAAATCAAAGTAACTAGCCTCAAGAAAAAGTTGGTCCTCTATTATATTACTAAAAGAGTGACTGGCAATAGTAAGACCAAGAAAAGAAAAGAAGAAGGAGAAAAGTGGTATGACGTAGTGTGGGTTAAATTATAATCCATCTAAAGAGAAACATAAGCGCATAACTTAAACCAAAGTCTCATAGATGTTATAAGCACATGCAAAGTATCTTCCACCCACCTGAAGAACAAGGTTTCATTCCTTCATCGTTTAAGGCCACTAGTTCCTTTTTGGCTCGCCAAGTCCTCCATTGTAAATCTCAAAAACCCAAGGGAGAAATATCACAACTAACACACATCTTATATTGTCCGCTACCCCTGCAAGGCACAATAGACTTGTGGTTAAGTAATTTTACTCTTATTTTGTTCAGAGCTCAACCATGAATGGAAAGAAAGGGCAGTAGAAGGATGATGCATCGATATTGTCTGCCTCAGCTGTTTGTTTTACCTCTTCGGTTAAATTAATTTCAATTTTGTTTCTTTTTTTTTTTTTTCTTTTTTTCTTCCTTTTTTGCGTTTTGTTCCCCATACCTCCGGATTTTTACGAAGAAAAATAAATTGAAAAAAATAAATAGACGCCTCTAACCTAATCCTAACTCATTAACTTTGCTTCTCAGACAAAAAAACAAACATAATGTGTACTTTTGTTAAATGCAGACTAAAGTTGCAATAAATTAATCTCTCTTCTTTCACTCAGTCTGTCTCTATTGTTCAAAATAAATAAAAAATTTTCTTTTCTAAGTAGTTACACAAACAAACTCTACACACACAATAAGAATTTTATAAAATTAAAAGATCCACCGCGCTACCAGTTTAGGAAAGAAAATTTTTTCCTTCTTAGACCTCTCTCAAAAAAAAAAAATTAATTATATTTAATTTAAATACAAATAACCCACCCCATAGAAAAAGGTTATATACCAACCATTCATTATTCTTTAGATTTACACACTTTTGTATATATCCAGACCAATCAAACTTTACTACACTCATTACTCCAGTAGGACACTTGCCATATACTAGAGAGCCATCCCGCCACCATACTGCTTTGTTGTGTTTAACTAAATAATTTTTCCTTTTCCTTTCCTTTATTTTTTTTTTTCTAATTTTTTTGTGATCAAATATGTCAGATAAAGAAACTAAAGCTCAAGAGCAGGAAGTCTTGACGAGAATATCACCTAACCGGTCTAAAGATGAAGAAGATGGAGAATTGGGAGGTGGCTTACGAGACGAAGAAAAGTACTTTGAAGACTCCACTTCACTGGAGTTTGACATGGTTGATTTAGAAGCCAATGATGAAATATTACATGCCAAAATGAAATTAATCAATGATGCCATTGATGAAATTGGTTTCACTCCGTACCATTTGAAGTTGTTTTTCTTGAATGGTATGGGATACTGGACTGATAATCAGTTGAATTTCTTGGAGAGTACTGTACGTCAATTTATCAATTATCAATTTGGATACAAGTTCCCCGTCACTGCTGAAACTTATGCTGGTGGTATGATTTTAGGAGCATTGGTGTGGGGGTTTGGTGCTGATTTAATTGGGAGGAAGTTGGCTTTCAATTTGTCCCTTTTATTGAGTGCTATTTTTGCAATTATGGCTGGTATGATGGGTAACATGGCCAGTTACGCTTTATTCGTTTTGTTATCAGCTTTCGCTGCTGGAGGTAATTTGGTTTTGGATACTTGTGTGTTTCTTGAATTTTTGCCTCATAAGGATCAATGGTTATTAACTTTTTTTGCTTTGTTTTGGGGTATTGGTCAAACTATAGCTACTGCGTTGGGCTATGCCTTTTTGCCCAACAACACATGTGATTCAGCCGATTATTGTCCCTCGCATATAAACAAAGGTTGGAGATATGTGTGGTACACCAATGGATCCATCGTTTTGGCTATGGCTATTTTGCGTGTCACTGTCATTAGATTGAAAGAAACCCCCAAATTCTTGGTTGCCAACAACCGTGATGCCGAAGCCGTTGCAGTTTTGCAACATATCGCTATAAAATACAACCGTCCTTGCTCATTGACGTTGGAACAATTGTTGGAATGCGGCGAAATCAAGAGTAATTCCGATTATAGAAATCATTTCAATGTTAAAGGTACATTTGAGCTCATGTTTAAACATTTGAAAGTACTATTTGCCACTGCCAAGGCAACAAGATCAACCATTTTGTTATTCATTTCATGGGCATTCCTCGGAATTTCGTACCCGCTTTACTCATCCTTCTTGCCACAATACTTGGCCACAAGAGGTGCCAACATTTCAGCTTCCACTACTGGAGGAGTCTATCGTGACAACCTTATTGCCAATGCATGTTCTGTTGGTGGTCCAATTATAGCTGGTCTTATGTTGAAATTCATCCCCAAGCTCGGAAGAAGAGGAGTGATGTTCATTGGAGGTATAGCAACCATGGCGCTTTTGTTTGGATATACGCAAGTTAGAACTAGAGCACAAAATGTCGGGTTCACCTCAAGTGTTTACGTGGCATTGTATATCTACTATGGTGTCATTTTTGCATACACGCCTGAGGTCATGCCCAGTGCAGCAAGGGCCACGGGAAATTGTTTGTGTTTATTTGCTACGAGAATATGTACCGCCATGGTGCCCATCATTGCCTATTACTCAGATACATCTTCTGCTGTACCAATTTGGATCTGTGGTGCTTTCGTCGGTGTCATTGGTGTCATTGCATTGTTCCTACCATTTGAGCCAAGTAAACAAAGAGTGGTCTAAGAAGATATCAACTTATTGCATTTTTTTTTAATTTAAACCTGGAAAAAAGACACTTTGCATGCAAAAAAAAGAATAAAAAAGCAAGGAGATTACTATTATTCAACATTATATTAAATCGTTCATTTCATCTTTTCGTTAAAATGGCAATCTCGACTTGTCATTAGTCGTCGATTTGTCATTAAGTTATTTATGTACATTATATATGTACTATTGTATATTAAATATCATTCAACATAGGTAATTCCAACTGTAGAATGTAGAATGTGTATACTCCCGCTCCTCGCTGCTCCTTTCCCCACCTCGGTAGAAGGAGAAAAGAGTTAAAGTTAGTTCTAATGGATCCAATGCGAGGGGAAATTAAAGCCCTTCAATAGGGAGGCTTTGCATCGGAGAACGGATGAGTGATAGTAATTTAACAATCTAATGGCTGTTTAATCCCTTCTTTGACAGTGTGATAGCTTCCCCTCTTTCTATTGCAAAAGTAGAAAGTGTATTAGAGAGGTTGTATGTTCGTATGTTTGTGTCTTTTGAGGGAACGTGCACGTGGCCCTTAGACCTTTTTTGAGTAACTAGTCACATATGTACAAGATTTAATGCGTTAGCGAACAATTTACACCTTGTTAGTTTCTGTCATATGACTATTACTGTGGTGTCTGTAGATAACCAATGCAGATTTGTAAATTCGTAATTGGATTGCGTTGCGAATTGTGAATTATGAAAAACGTGGGCTGGGCTGGTGCTTTATCTCTCTCAAAAATTTAAAAGTTTTTCAAATTATCTGCAACACTTCTTTTATTTGAATAAATCATCTCTTTTAATATTACTCAAAACGGCAATGCTTTTCTAATCTAAAATAAAAGCTCGATTTTCATTGATCTGGCGTCACATTGTTTAAAACTCAGTCACAAGAGCTTCTCATGGGTTATATATAAGGGTACTTGAAAAACGCCGGTTTTGTCAAGACTCCAAAAATGTAATCTACGAATATTATTTTTTCCCCTTGCATTAGCCTAATTTTGCATTTGCAGTAATTCGAGTCAGATCCAAATATCAATCGGTCATGTCTGACATTGAAAAACAACAACAAGAACAAATAACACCCACGCTGACAATCGAATCGGGTACCTTAAACGAAGAAACAGAGATATACCAATTAAAGGATGAAGTATTAACGAAAAAGATGAAATTGATCAATGATGCCATTGATGAAATTGGTTTCACTCCCTATCACTTGAAACTATTCTTTTTGAATGGAATGGGATACTGGACCGATACCCAGTTGACATATTTGGAAAGTTCGGTGCGGACGTTTATCAACTACCAATTTGGCTACAAGTTCCCTGTGAGTAATGAAATGTTGGCAGCAGGATTATTAGTTGGGGCACTCTTTTGGGGCTTCTCTGCTGATTTGATTGGGAGGAAACTTGCATTCAATATCTCGTTGTTGTTGAGTGGATTATTCACCATAATTACCGGTACCATGTCGTCCATGGCCAGTTATTGTATCTTTGTGTTTTTGAGTAGTTTTGCCGCGGGTGGGAATTTGGTTTTGGACACTTGTGTCTTTCTTGAGTACTTGCCTCACAAGAACCAATGGTTGTTGACTTTTTTTGCCTTCTTTTGGGGTATCGGACAAGTTATTGCTGTGGCATTGGCTTTTGCGTTCTTGCCTAATAATTCTTGTGACTCGGCTGATAATTGCCCGTCTCATATCAATCGTGGTTGGAGATACGTCTACTATACTAATGGGTCAATCGTGTTGTTTATGTCGATTTTGCGATTGACAGTGGTGAGTTTGAAAGAGACGCCAAAATTTCTTGTGTCGAATAATAGAGACGCCGAGGCGGTGGAGATTTTGCACCACATTGCCACAAAGTACAATCGCAAATGTTCCTTAACGTTGGACGATTTGGAACTGTTGGGATCAATACAAATCAACGACGATTTTAGAAAACACGTCGATTTGAAAGGATTGTTAACCTTGGTCAAACACCATGTATCCATTTTGTTTAGTAACAAGAAAATGACGAGGTCGACTGTATTGGTCTTTCTTTCATGGTTCTTATTAGGAATTGCGTATCCATTATATTCGTCGTTTTTACCACAGTATCTAGCAACTAGAGGTGACAATATTTCTGCATCAACAACCCACGGAGTATACCGGGACAACTTGATTTCAAACACAACATCTATGGGAGGACCATTAATAGCTGGTGCTCTCCTCTACTTTTTTCCCATAATTGGAAGAAGAGGGGTCTTGTTTATTGGTGGTGTGACATCTATGGCTTTCCTTTTTGGATACACTCAGGTCAAGAATAGAGCCCAGAATGTTGCACTTTCATCAATTTCATTTGCAACTATTTACATCTACTACGCTGTATTGTATGCCTATACGCCAGAAGTGTTTCCCAGTGCCGCAAGAGGTACGGGGAATGCATTGGCAATTGCATGCACAAGGGTGGCGACTGTTATAGTCCCCTTAATTGCATACTACTCAGATACTGCTAGTGCTGCCCCTATTTGGATTTGCGGTGCTTTTGTAGGTGTTGTTGGACTCCTCGCTTTGTTGTTTCCATATGAGCCAAGCAAGCATAGAGTCGCTTAATGGAGTTTAGACTTCTTTTTATTATTTATCATCTGTTTTAATGTAATTCTATAATGGATAACGATAATTGATGAACTAGCTCTCCTTACTGCGCTTTCAAGCAGTACATTCTAACAGGGTATAACTCCTTTGGTAATCCTTTTTGTACATCGCTGGCAATTAATTTCAACCCTGCTTCAGTAAACAATTCTCTGAATTTTTTATCTGTTCTTGTTACCGAACTATCAGTTTCATCAAAAATGTCCTCTACTGGAGCAATGTTTTCCTTGACGATAATTGTACCATTCTCAATCAATGCACCTCGGCACGTTTTCCAAAATTCAACTAATACATCATCAGGTAATTGTCCTACACACCATTGGCACCAAACCAACCAATAACTCTTGTCAGGCACCCAGTCCTGCATACCAATATCATAAATCTGTCCCAATTTCCCAAGAGACTCAACCTGCTGTAATTCAACCGGCATTTGCTCAACAAATGGTTTCACAGGTTCAAGTAAATCAACTTTATCACTAACTTTCCAAAGGAGGTCACGAGTTATTCTACCAATACCTGCACCCATATCAATTGTGTACTTGGGATGGTCACCGCTATTCATTCGAGATGACAATTTACGCAAAAAGGTAAGTGATCCAACTATATCGGCTTTGGGCACTGGTGTCTGTTCACCAAATCCACCAAGAACCCCATTGACAGAAGCAGGCACTGAAGACCAGTAGGTGATGGCATCATCGTAATTGATCTGGGTATCTGGGACAACGCTATTGTCGACTTCGATATCTTCGGAATATTGTTTGACTGGCATTACTTGGCAAGTTGATGATGCTAGAGATGAGATGAACTCCGTTGATGAAATTTGTGTCGTAAAAAAATCGGTGAGAATACACAATTGCGACAGTGCTGTACAACACAAACAACAAGTTGCAAAGAGAGAGGGGAGCTGGGAGGGGGAAGAAATAAAAGTTACCAGATTTGCATCCAATCACGCCTTTGCTTGGACCGAACAAAGTCGATCCCTTTACAAAGACTATAATGCCTCTTTACCGCCGCACCCATCTTTTTATACTGTAGAACTTGTCTGCATTGACCTTCCTCATTTGTACATTCATAATTTGCTCACCCAAAAAAATACAAAAGAAAAGAGAAATAAAATGTCGTAAAAACGTTAACTGCATCTAAATTTGCAATAAAAAAAGTAGCTTCATATGAACTGACGAAACACTGTATTCAACCATGGATAGAAGAGTTACTCACATATAGTATAAATAATAAATTTACAATGATATTGATAAACGATGTGAAATATTCATGTATGGAGTGTATAAGAGGTCACAGGTCATCCACATGCAAACATCACGACCGACCTCTACTACAAGTCAGATCCAAAGGTAGGCCTGGTGTCTACGCTAATGGAAACCCAAACCATCGAGTGGCTGTATTTGCTGAAGAGATTGCTCCACCACCCAAAGAAGCTACAGATTCAGAAGACGGGTCCATCGAAACACCACCTTTATCGGAGCCATGGAAATCATGCAAGTCCCAGCCAATAGTTATACTAAAAGCTTCGTCGAAGCAGGTGATAGACTTGAGCAATGGAGAAATAGTGGGGCCATACGACGAGTCGAAAGCTACAAAAAGCACAGTTGAAAAACCGCCTCCACAACAACCAGTCATTAACGACGAAAGCTTTATCATATCGTCGGGATGCTGTGCACCAAAAGTGTCAAAACGCACGGGCTGTGGTTGCTGTGGCAACAAAAAGAAAGACATAAACAAGTCAAAAATATTACAAAAGTATATCGAAAAGAGGCTCAATAAGGAGGTGGCGCTGCCGCTTCCAAAACAAGTGAAATTCATTTCTGAATCACCTTACCAACAGGTCAACAACAATGGAACGAACCGAGCCCAAACCCCCGTGTTTGATGTTGTTCCAATCTCATCTTGCTCAATACCCGGTACATGCTGCTGTGGTAGCGACTGTAAGTGCGCTGGATGCGTGGTGCATGGGAATGCTCCTGAAATGCCAGAACAGCCACCACCACTACTTTCATCTCAAGCAAATAATTTGTCTACAAGTCCCTTGGTAAAAGCCAAAACGCTTGTTTTCAGCTCATATCCAAATAATGTTACAGTCCACAAGGCTTTGCCTATTGAACTGAATCAGGAGACAACGATGTTCAGTCAGCAGCAATCCGAGTTTGCTCCACAACCTTCTCCGGGTGCATGTTTATGTCCTCCTGATGCCTGTGATTGCACAAACTGTGAAGTGCATGGTATAATTGATGGCCACAAGTTGGATGAATATTTTGTCGACCAAGAAAAATTATTGAATGCATTAGTGTCAGATTTTGACTTCAATACGCTCATGTCGCTAGATTCTAATAGAGCACCTGAGCCTAAGCTTGAGTCTATGGCTGCATCAAATATCTCAACCGGTGGCTGTTGCGGGGAAAAATCCTCGTCAAGCTCACTACAGTATCCAGAGATGCTGCTGCAGACATTGTGCAACAGTAATTGGACGGAGTTGCTGAGCTATCCTAACTACATCGATTCTAATCACAACACCAAGTAGCTACTGATACCACAAGTTGCTGCCCCAACCGTGATAGCTAATGAGGATAACTATGTAAATATATATATATATAGAAGATTGCGTAAGTGACTGTATTTTATAGTTAGTTCACGTGACCATTTCCCACCCTTTTGTTTTGTTCCGTCGATTTTTTATATTGAAAAAAAAAAAAAAACGAAAAGAAAAGGAAAAATGAGCTTGAGCACTTTGAGGGGAGCTTGAAATAACCAACTACGACTACACGCTCCAAAGCAACTTCAGCAAAACCAATCTGGGATATGGAAGAACCTACTGATATATCTTTCTACATTGGGCAAGATGGGGTGGAGACGTTAAGAGCATTAGATGTCCCTTTAGAAGAAGGTGATGTAGTTTCCATCAATCTAGCAAATATCGATGAACAGAATCCTGATGAAATTATCCTGTTTCTCGCTGATACCAAGAGTGGGAAACATTATTGGATAATCGTGGCTCGAGCTTATTCCCAATTGGGAAAATTGGACGAAGCAGTTCAAATCATCAAGTCGGCGTTGGGTTCCGACAACTTTGGCAACGAAGATAAAAAGACCCTTCAATCGTTTTTAATATGGTTACATTTCAAATTTGCTTACTTGGGGATTAACAAAAGTTCCAACTTGGTGGAAGCAGGTACAGGGATTGCCGAATTAGCATCGAAGATCCAAAGCGATGCTCAAACTTCACCAGTCAACAGTACAAGTAACTTGTTGTCACAGGCTGTGTTGGCATTGTACCAAGGCCATGATGACGATGCATTGCAAATATTTGAAAAGATATTAAAGAGAGATCAAAATAATACATTTGCTTTGCTGGGTAAGGCGCAAGTGTTGTTGAATAAGTCGAAAAGCTATGCAATGGCTTTGAAATTGTTTCAACAAGTTTTGATACTAAACCCCACCACTAAGCCCGATCCTAGGTTGGGTATTGGATTATGTTGTTGGTTTTTAAAGGACGAGAAAATGGCAATCCAGGCATGGGAACGAGCACTTGAACTAGATCCAAGCAATGTAAAAGCAAGAATATTTTTAAATTTGGCCCATTTCCACAATGCGTTTAATAACTCGTGGAGTGACGAGGAGTTTGTCAATAACTATAAAGCTTGTTTGGTTGAGTTGTCACAGATCCACAAGAGCAATGTCAATGATACGACGGTCTTGTTGGTGCTCGTGTCGTACTATTATTCCAAGAATGAGTTTGACACTGTCGAAAGATTGTTGAGAAAAGTGGTCAAAGACATAACAGGAGACGAAAACTTGACTAAGCTCGCCACCCATTCCAAAGTTTCAAAATACGAGTCCAATGCATTGTCTGAATGTGGTACCTGGTTAGGAAGAATCAGATTTGCCGATGGTGATTTCACACAGGCGTCAAAATATTTCCAAGAAGCAATCAAGTTGAACGATTTGAACATAGTGGCCAAATTGGGATTGGGTCAATCGCAATACAGCCGTGGCTCGGTTGAGGAAGCCACATTGACATTTGAATCCATCTTACGCAGCAATGCCAATTGTTTGGAGGCAAATTACTCACTAGGTGTCATATATGCGAAACAGAGTTCAAAGAAGAAGAAGGAACTTGCAATTCAAGTATTGGAGCGATATATTCGACTTTCGAATAATAGAGGGTTATCATCGGCCAAAAATGATGCTGACTTTTTGTTGAACAAAGAGCCAGTTGCGTTGAATGCGTATTTGACATTGAGCAGTTTGTATGAGAGTATTGATTTATCGCAAGCACTTTTGTATTTAAACAAGGCGGTTGAAGCTAGAAAGCTGGTGGACAAAGACGTGCCCTTGGAGGTTTATAATAATATTGGAGTGTTTCAGTTTACCAAACAAAATTTCAAAGGCGCCTTGGAAAACTTTCTGTTGGCCATTGATAAGTTGGATGGGGCGGAATTTTTAAGTCCCGACGGCGATGTATTGGTCGATTTACCCGCAGATTTGAGAGTTAGTTTGACATTCAATTCAGCCAGGACAAAAGAACTTTCAGATGATAAAGAGGCCTTGGAGGCGTATCATTCATTGTTGTCGGAATGCCCCCACTATTTTTCAGCAAAGTTGCGTATTTTGTTCTTGTCATGTATACTGGAGACTAATTTGACACCAAGAGAGATTCAAACCGAAATTGATGAGCTATTGACGTTGAATGCATCTGACTTGGAAATTAGATCGTTTTACGGGTGGTTTGCCAAAAATTTTGGTAAAAAGTTGGGCATGAAGCCAGATGCAGATACGGCATTCCAAAAAGAGACTCTAGTTGAATATGACAAACACGATTGTTACGCTTTACTTTCATTGGCCAATATTTATTGTGTCTTGGCTAGAGATTTGAAAGGATCAAGTGTGGACGAAAAAAAGAGAACATACTATGTGAGGGCAACTGAGTTGTATACTAAAGTGTTGACCGTTGATAGAAAGAATGTTTACGCGGCACAAGGGTTGGCAATAGTCTATATTGAAAATAAGGAATCAACAAAAGGGTTAAATATTTTGAGGAAAATCAGGGATTCGCTTAATGATATCTCGGTTTATTTGAATCTTGGACATGTTTTATGTGATGTTAAGCAATACGGTAAGGCTATTGAAAACTACGAGCTTGCTTTGACCAGGTTTACCGATGGTAAGGATGTGAAAATTTTGACATTCTTGGGTAGAGCCTGGACACTTCGAGGATCAAATGAACAAAATTTGAGCTATTTTAAGACGGCTTTGGATTACACTAGACAAGCATTTGACTTGACCAAGGGTTTGAAATCGGCCTTGCGTTTCAATATATCATACATTCAATTCCAGATTGCTGACTTTATTACCAAACAGCCAGTTCAACAGAGACAACCACAGGATATAAGCGATGCAATTACTGGTTTGAATGAGGCTATAGAAACATTGGTGCAATTATCGTCTGATGAAGAAAAACACCCACCATATCCAAAGGATGAGTTGCGAGGTAGAGCCAATTTAGGTTCGAGTACATTATTGAACAGACTAACTAGTGCTCTTGATGAAACAAAGGAAAACATCGCCGAAGTGGAACATAGGCTTGAAACAGCAAAACAATTGCGAGAACAAGAAAAGGAGGCTGAACTTCAAAAAGAACAAGAGAGAATCAATGCCATGAAGGAGAAGGAGGCTGAATTGGCCAAACAAAGAGCAGCTTTGCAAGAACAAGCGCAACAATGGGCTGAAGAGTCGAGAATTGATGTGACGGCTAATGACGAGGAGGAGAATGATGACAAGTTATTTGAACAGGAATTAGAAGGGGGAGATAAAAAGAAAGGTAAAGGCTCATCAGCGTCAAGGAGTAAAGGTAAAGGGGGTAAATCAAAGAAGGGCAAAAATGCTAGGAAAATTGTGTCTGACAGTGAAGAAGAGCCAGAAGCTGAGTTTTCGGAGAACGAAACTAAATCGAATGGTAAACGACAATTTGTTTCTGATGACGATGAAGATGGTGATGAGGAGACGGTTTCTAATGGATCTAAGAGAAAGAAAACACTGCATTTGTCTAAAGAGTTTATTAAAGATAGTGATGAGGAATTAGAAGATGATGATCTCTTTGGAAATGATGACGAAGAGGAAAAGAGTGAAGAAGAAAAGGGTGAGGAAGGTAAAGGTGATGGCGATGAAGCAGAGAGCGAGAAAGAGTAGAGGAAGAGAAGAGTATTGAACTTCTTGTACTATTAAATATATATGTATATATATGCTCCCAATATAAATCATTAAATTCGTATGTATGTATGTATGTATGTATTACCGTTTCTACTCTTTCAACCATTGTCTCATCAACTTGTTACTTTCACTGGTATCTTTAAACAATTTTTTTTCAAATTCATCCAAAGTATAAATAAATTCAGTATTGAAATGTTTTGAATGGATATTACTAGCATAATTGTTGATTTCATAGCTTCGTATTTTAACCATTTCCATAATTTGGTCAACCAATTTCGGTTCATAAAACAATTTCCCCCATTTTTCAATCATTTTATAGTATTGTGATGATAATTTATGTAGATCTAATGATTTGGCATCGGATTTAATGGCATTCAACACTTTATCATTGATGAAATCGGGGTCGATTAAGGATATGAATGATGAGTCAGAGTTTGTCACTTCGAGAACGGCAAGGATTTCAGCGAGCCAGAATGGTAGTTCGAGTTTGGTGCCCAGTTGGATGGGTTTGCCGGGGTTGCCTTCAAGGTAGCCTAGGCCGGGGATTGTATGGTTAAATTGACAGGGTAATTTTTCTGCATCAGCTAGAATATCATCGATATCGTAGTATGACATTGTGAAAAGGGAGTTGTTGTATTGGTGACTATGGGGTTAGGACCGTAATGGTGATGTTTTGGTTTGCTTGATTTGGTTTGGTTTTTTTTTCTGACGCGTTGTGTTATTTCATTTGCAGTTTGTACGTATACCACAGACAGAAAGATCATAGTGTAAGATCAATTACTCTAATGGATGAAAGGGGTGCTGCGTTTACTAAATTTGGTGAAGCAGGAATTGAAGAGGCATACTTATTTACTGGCATGTATACCAATGGATCTTACTTAAACTATCACAACACACGCTCTTCATTGGCAACTTATTCCATTCACTTCAATATTGATGTGCCTATAGCTCTGTGGTATGGTGAACTTATTCACTGACTCAAGGTACAACCAACAGTTTATCCTATTCTACGGAACTTTAATATTGATGTTAGATGTTAGATGTAAATGGTATGGAATGCAAGTAATTTAAATATTACACAAACTCATAAAAAAATAAGAATCTTAATTTTAATTTTATTAGAAAATCTCTTTCCCCATCTCTCCCTTCATCCCCCCACATTCATCGGAGCTATTCTTTCCACAGTTGTACATAACTTGGATATGTGAAAACAATGACAGACTCAAACTCAACCAATACCAACCAGCTAGAGAGAAATACTACCTCCCCCAACGAACAAGCAAATGCTGAGGAGATATCGCCTTTAGTGCAACAAGAGCAACCACCTTCGCCCCACGTGAGCAATACCTATACCACTGAGCAAGACAGTACCACTACAATGAGCCAATGTAGTTCCCAGTCGGATGAACTAACTCCTCTACTAAGCACGTCTGAAATCCCGCACCACTCATTTCTACGGAGAATTTTTGATCCTAACTGGCTTCACGTTGCCTTTATTGGTGTCATCATCTTGATTGGACTACTCGTTATCACATTCAATAATATACAATCAGTTGTTAACGATGCCATTGATTTACAAGTTTATAATGCTACTTTTGCTAATTTCACGAGTCGCGGGGTAAATGTGCATGTACAAGGTTCAGTCGAGATGAAATACCATTTAATGCACACAAACTTTATCCAAATTGCCATGATTAAATTGGGTGCTTTTGTACTAGGAGCGTTGAAGCTCCTGCTGTTGAAGCCTGTACAGTTGCATGCACAATTGGTTGACCTCAAAAGCCCCTTTCTTTATTTGGCAGATGCAAATCCACCGATGATTACAATCGAGATTGGCAATAGAGCCAAGACGCAATTAAATTTTTTAACTGAATGTACATTTGGCAACACTGAGTTTTTGCAATTTTTGAAATACTATTACCAATTATCGGGTGACGATATAAATTTACGAGTAAAAATGATTGCCGAGGAAGTCAATGTCAATACATTGAAATTGGTCAATTTGAGACTACACAATGTTGAAGTAAGTGATTATTTGACGATAAACAAGAATGATTTAAAGACCGGATTAAAGATTAATAGGTTTGGTGTGACTTCGCCTGGAGTGAATATCATAAACTTGTCGGCCCAATTGGAGGTACCTAACCAGTTGGGTATTTCATTGAATGTTCCACCTTTGCAATGGGACTTGTTGTTTGATGATTGTGATGCACATTTAGTCAAAGTTGGGTCTTGGCGTACGTTGCCAACTAGGGTTGATGCCAGTAAAGGGATTACAGTTGATGTTGAAGGTGTAGTTGAGGATGTGCCTGGGCGCTTAATGGACGAATGTGAGAATAGCCTGCTAAGTCCCATTAATTCATTGGTTCAACAGTATTTAAGAGAAGAGCCAATCAAGTTTTACCTACATTTGAATGAGAAACAAAGTGTTGATGGTGTGAGTCAGGACTTGCACTGGTTATTTGATACGTTGAAGCGCATGCCACCGGCCGAACTTGCTGTGACGTTGCCAAGGATACATATCATGTCCAACAATTTCAGTATCAATTCGTGTGATTTGGCCATGAATCATACCGATGCGAGGCTGGAAAAAGAAGACAGTCATCGTGTGCTTCCTGGTAACATTAAAAGCAACTGCTCGATTGAAGCAGTCAATCCGACATCTTTAAATGTTGATATCGATCGATTCAAATGTAATGTCAGTTTGGGAATGAAGGATAAAACGTTAATGCAAGCTTGGTCAAGAGATTTTGTTTTATTGCACAGCACACAGTCAAAAGAACTTGTTCATGTTGATGTGAATGTTTCAGATTTAGATGTGGATGTTATTGACCCAGTTTACTTTGGCAAGGTTTTCAATAATGTCATCAACAAAGAAGAAACTGGTCTTGTTACAAACAGTGATATTTATGTAAATATAAGTTTGGCAAATGTGGAAATAAGCCTACCAGTTATTGGAAATGCAACGTTGCAAAAGTTGGAAATTCCATTTGTTAAGCTACCTCAAGCTTTTGATGTATTGCAAGAAGTGAATCCTGTACAATTTGGATCACTTGTACCGCAACTAGACGTTGAAGTTGAAGAAGTGTATTTCTTAGGATCCAATGACCATGAAGTTGAGTTTCAGGTTTTGGTATCGTTGTACAATCCGTTAAATATATCGTTGGAAATCCCTAAGTTGCAAGGCCAAGCAATACTGATTCAATTTGGACAAAATAAATCCAAATTTGGGTATGCTAGTTTGAAAGAAGTTTCATTGGCTAAACTCCAACGATCAAAAGTGGAAGCCACAGTTAAATTCAGTTATGACACATATTCAGATAAAGTGTTCCTACAAGATTTTATCAGTGTTTACATCTCTTCGTTTACCAAAGATTTGACTATTGATTTAACAAACAATTCTGTTGCCGGCAACCTGGGACTTGATGCATTTATGAGCCAAATCAAGCTACATGATGTCGTTATGCCTAATGTATCCTTCACCATACCGGAATACAATATAATCAATATCAATAATGAAAACGACGATGATGATGATGCGGTACCAACAATACCCAACCAAATAGCTAAACAGGATGCAGGAGTATTCATCATTGAAACAACAATCCATGTATTTACATCCGATATTGAGTTGAAAATCTACAATCCAATATCCAATGCCGAAGTCAGATTAGAAGTGTTTCAAGCATTTGCCAAACATGAAGATGTCGTACTTGGATACATGAGTCGCCGTGAAGTTATTGATCTACAACCAGGGTTTTACGTAACTCCCAGAATCCCCATCAAGATTGAAAATGGAGCTGCTTCCGAGATTTTGAAACGAGCAATTAATGGCGATCTAAGTATTGATGTTATGGCGGATGTTAATGTCGGATTTGGCTTGTTTGGTTTACGATTGATTTACAAGGGGAAGCAATTGGTGTCAAGGATTAGGTTGTAGGAGGAGATTGAAGCCAAATACTATTTTATATAGAGATTAATTAGTTTAAATGAAAGAGATGTTAAAAGGAAACGGGACATCCATTGGTGATTGTTTTAATGTATGAGTTACATAGTAGAACCTTTCTGGTGGTAGCGTTTGAGTCTAGATTCTCCCTGGTTAGCAGATCAGGCGGTGTTTTTATTTTGTTGTTTTCTTTGGGTAGCGTCTAATTGTAATATGCAGAATCTATTAATAGCATAACCTCCAAACCGCAGTACTACATGTTTGTTTGTTGTGATATTAATTTCCCAATTGGGACATACAACTGTCAAAAGAAGAAATGTATGTACAAATTGAGCAGCATGCACGACTAGTAGCAAAAAGAAGAAAAACCGAAAAGTGAATCTAGCACCAGTGGTAGTAATGGTGCTACTACTATTACCACCATTACACATTACTACCACTTGAGGTAGTAGTACCTCTACTAATTGCTCTTTGCATAACATAAACTTAATACTGAACAAATCAAAACAGAAAGATACTAGAAGTAGTGAAGAAAATAAATCAGGCAAGTCTCTGTCTATATGCAGTACATACACCCTTCCTCTAAGAAATTTTTTTTTTTTTCTTCTTTCTTTCTCTTTCTCTCAGTCTCTCTTTGATTTGTTTCAATTTTGTTTATTTTGTTCATATTTTTGGGAATTTAAACAAAATTGGCCGATCTGTTTTATTCTGATTTTCATCCAGTTGATCAGTAACTTTCTTTCTACACATCCACCCACTCGCTATATTACCCATCTACAAATCTTTATTTGATACCCCTCCCACCATTAATATCCACTTCATTACACTCCACAATCGTTAGTAGACCAAATAGCAAACAAATAATAATGGCTTCCTTCACTAAAGTTTCCACTTTCCTCGCAATCATTGCTTCATTACAACAATTGACTGTTGCTACTCCACCAGCTTGTTTATTAGCTTGTGTAGCCCAAGTCCAGAAATCATCATCTCAATGTTCTGGATTGAACGACTTGTCATGCATCTGTTCCGACAAGGGAGACGATGTCAAGTCTTGTTTGGATAACATTTGTCCAAATGGTGATGCTGATGCTGCCAAGTCAGCTTTTGAAAGTTCTTGTTCAGGACACAGCGATGATAGCAGCAGCAGCAGTTCTTCGTCATCCGCTTCACCATCATCTTCATCTGAAGCTCAATCAAGCTCGAGCCAAGTTGAATCATCTTCAACTCAAGCTTCATCAAGTGAAGAACAGCAACAATCATCTTCATCTTCTGCTGCCGCTCCATCTGGTTCATCATCAGTCGAAGCTCAATCTACATCTGAAGCTGCTTCAGCTGCCCCATCTTCATCATCAGTCGAAGCTCAACCTTCTTCATCTGCTGCTGGTGGTAACGGTGGTTCCGGCCAAGAATCCACTTCATCTCAAGAGCATGCATCATCTACTTTGCAAACTTCTTCAGTTGCTGCAGAATCTACCTCTTCTTCAGCTGTCGCTTCTGTTGCTACTCAAACTGAAGGCTCAGGCGCCAACAAGGTTGGTTTGGGAGCTTTAGTTGGTTTAGTTGGTGCTGCTTTATTATAAGTTTAATAGACATAAGCAGTGATGGGATGAACAGAACACAGAAAGACTGTGTTTTTAAAAAGAAAAAGAAGGGTGACAGACATACAGAGAGATGGAAAAGCTGACTTAGTTCTGTGTCTGATCGTATTTTATTTGGTTTCTTTGACACGTTGGTTCATCTTTATGAACTAACGTTCGTTGTGCTTGTTTTTCAATTTTTAAGTAGATTTTTATTATATAGTGAATACTCAAAAGAAAAGTTTGATACTTACGTATTTTGTAAGAGTTTTGAACAATGTTAGCCAATTTTGTAATCTATCAGATCTTTAATATATGCTCTAGTTTATTTGGTTGGCGTTGAATCGTCTAAATACAAGTTGACATTTCTATCCTAAATCTATATTCACTCTATTAAAATTCGTTTCACATGTTCATAAACAACAAAAGTAATACAAGTGGCAGGAACAACTCTAATGATATTGGCACTCAATCCTTTATAGAATGCCGTTATTCCACCTTCATTGAAATACAAAGTTTGAATCACCTGCATTATAGATGTATGAGACTTTTGACTATTTTGTAATCGTGATTTGACAACTTGGGTAGGGTACATTACCAAAGTACTGATTATTTTCGATAATGCTGAAGTGTATAAGTATTGTGTTGTTGATAAATGTCGAGGAGCAGTCGCAGTCGCAGTCGCAGTTGCAGTTGCCGCTGTAGTTGTTGTTGTGGTGGTGGTGGTGGTGTTGGTGGTGTTAGTAGGTGTAGTTTGCTCACCATTTACTACACGATGCTTGAAAATATAATTCTTTAGATGATCATAAATGGTAATTTGTAAACTAGCCTGTAATACCTGAAACATACTAGGTATGGATCCTTTCCAAAAACTGCCAATGCCTTCGTTATGAACCATGGTTCGTATCCCATCAAACAATGACTTATATGCACCTTGTTCATTTGTCGGCTTGGCTATTATACGTGTCTTTAGAACCCAAATGGGGTTAGTCAAAATTGACGTCACGACCCCTGCCAATGACGAACTAGCAAAGTAATTTAGGGTTAAATTCGGAGTATGTATGTGATTTTTGAATTCGGCGTAAAGAGCAAAATAACAACCCCATGCCGATATATTACCAATCAAATTAGGCAGCAACCCACGGTAATACTGAACCAAATAATTGATGCCAAGGGGGAAATGCTTGCGTGTACCTAATTTTAAATAGTATGGCATCGACAGCAACGTTGCGTCTTGATTAATCTGTCGTATGACATTGAATACCGATTGGAATGGTCTCTTATTTGTTTGTATTGTCTTGTTACTGTGGCTTTCTTTAGAAGCATGTGATAATTGGAGTCGTATTTTGATTATGTCGAGGGGGTGAGTAATGATTGTGGTTGTGAACCCAGCACAAAGTCCCGCTATTGATTCAATTTGTCGTGATGATAATCTTGAAGAAGTAGCTACTGAGGAGAGACTTTGGTGGTGGTGGTGGTGGTGGGAGTGGGGGTAATGTGGTTCATTGCCGGCATCTTGTTTATTCATTTATGAGATTTTCGAAGTGAGACTTCTTGACACATATGTAGATGATGTGATAGATCTGGGGAATCGCAAAGAGTTGCAAAGAATTTTTCATGATTAATCATCATCAGCAACTGTTTTAGTATTAATGTCGCGGAATAACAGTTTGTCCTTATCAAATCGCGACATTGAAAATTTGCATTACGCTAAAAATCGCTATATCTATCTTTTCCTATAGAACATTATTCGATCATAAAGTGGGTAAGAGGGTTTAGGAGAAAGAGTCAACTCTTTCAAAGTTCTTTGATTGTTTATGTTATTATATTTATGTACAAGATCAAAATAAAAAAAAAAAAGACAAGACATCTTCACTGACAGAAATAATGAAAGCTTTCGTTTTATGATCATTTCCATTATCTTCTTCAATAGTCAATATCTCTCATTCTAATTCACAATTGAAACCATTTCAACCTCTCTCCTCCGCCTTCGCCTTCACCCCACTCCAATAGGGTTTAAAATAAAATCTCATCAATTAAAGGCCACACACACACACTCTCTCTCTCTCTTTTTCTTTCCACGTCAAACTGCAAGGTAATCTACCTTTTGTTTAAGCAGATGGAAAAGGAGACAATAGATTCAAGATCGATGGCTTGTTAGGTGAAGCAGCCCAACCTAAATACAAGACAAATGGAATGAATCCATAATGAGCAATCGTCTTTGAGTAATCTAAAAGCTTGATGATTCTTTCTTTTGATTCATCGGATAAGGTTAATTGGTAGGTATTTCCTCTTGATGGGATAGATTCAGCGGCCATGGTTGGATAAAAATAATTAGATATTGTTTGATTTTTAGGTAATGAACAGCTTTTCCTTTCTGATGATTATGATTCTGCCGAGTTTTCTTTGAAAGATTTTACATTTAATTTTTTTTTTTCTCGCCCTGGGATAAGTTTTGTTTTGTTGCGCACGACTTTCATGGTGTGTTTTAACGGTTGCAAATGGGGGTATACATCGAGTGGTGGTATTGGTAATGTAGTTGGTGAGTATATGAAGTAGAAAAGTATATTGCTAATGGGTTGTAATACTTTGAGGCTTTTAATTGTTTGTTGGTTTTTGGATTCCATTTTGACATAATCTTTTACAACCAAATATAACTAGTAAAACAGGATCGAGATACGTAGTGGTCGTATATATGCAAGTGCTGAATGTAATAAAGTATTGTTAGAGTTTGAATTTAGAAATAGTCTCAATCGTCTTTTTGGTTATTGAGGTGTATTGCAATTGATTCAGATTGATATATTGTTGACTAGAATTCTAGAGGTGATTAATTGGGATACATCAGTTCCTTTTCACGAAAAAGAATGCAATATATTTCAATGGGAAGAGGTGAACCCAAGAAAGAAGTTTGAAGACGCTTCTCCGTGATAGTCTTGGTACAAATATGAAAATTCAACCTCGAATATAAGGATAACAGCGTCTAGAAGAATAGTGTGGTTCACTCAATTTTGATCACTGGGTTAGTGTCATCTCAATTCGAGAGGAGCAAGGGTAATTATTCCTCATTACACTCAAGGCTACGCTCAGCAGTCGGTTCCAAAAGCCAAAGTGAGAAATTGTTAATGATTTACATAAGAGGTAGTGACACTTTGCTGGTGAAAAAAGAAACAGGAAAACAAAAAATAGGGACTAAAATTAACCAAAAGGAATACACCCCCCCCCCCCCCCCCCAAAAAAAACAAAAAAAAGTTTGACACTTGAGTTGAACTCACTCTATTCTCTATTTAAACAAATAGGATTGACTTTCCATTGGGTTGCAAAAATAGGAGAAGAAAGAATAGTTGGATATAATAAAAAGTGTTACAATGACGTCATGTGTAAGGGACCATCATATATTCGCACACCCTGCATATATAAAATATAAAGTATAGTTTGTGTACTTAAAAGGACAAGATATAACAAATAAAAGTGGTATCAATCTTTTCCTTCCATTCAGTAAGAGTCTGTCTAAGTCTACATTCCTGAGAAGATGGATATTGCTTTGTAAACAAATAGAATATTGGCAAAGTTTGTATGTTAGCCTCTATCTTTTATATTCTTGTCTAACAGAGACTAAAAGAAAACCTCATTTTTCATTTGCATTCATCAATAGCAAAGTTCTCTCATCTTATGAACCTTTCTATATATCTATATCTACCTACTGAGCTATCTGAATAAAGGGAGTCTCTTCTTATGTAAAGATAGTTTAATGGTGTGGCTACTCCTTTAACTACATGTACATGAGATATATTTTTAGTTTAGTCTTCAACTAAAACAAAAACAAACAAACAAACAAACAAAGAGTATATGAAACACACAAATCTTAATTTCATTAAAGAAGAAGAAAACGAAGAGGAAGCAGAAAAAAAAAAAAAGAGAAAATTTTAAGGAGAGAGAGAGAGAGAGAAAGAGAGACAGACAGAGGAGACCCAAATCGACGCACACAGGACTTTCACACACACACACACACACACACACACACAGGCTGAGCTTTTTAGATATCACAGCATTACAACAAACACACTTACACACTTACACACTCACACACACACTACAAAGATAGTATCAACTAATCTATCTAGCTGTCTATCTGTTTATCTTAACCAATCTATCTACAGTCAAAAGTAGACAACAACCAATAGACAACAGACAACAGACAACAGACAACCAACAGTTAGTCTACCAACCACGCACCCCCCCTCCCCCCCTTTTCAACTTTTACAACCCATCCATCACTAAATATCAACGTTTCCAAAATTTCTCCACCAATCAAAAAACCAAAGTTAGCAGCTTCAACAACATCAACATCAACATCACCATCACCATCATTATCCACGTCGCCACACCACACTTCAAGAACTACGTCACCAATAGAGAGCAGCTTTTTAACAAACTTAAATTTAAACTCTCCTATATCTCCCAAATCATCGTCATCACAACAACTGAACCAGTTGAACAATAGCATCGCTACTGAAACTATACCTGAAGTCACTACAGACTCAGAATCTACAACAATAGATACCTTAAACAATAGTTCATCCCCGCCAATGTTAGTTTCATCCTACTCACAACAAGATCTTCTCAAAATACTTCAAGATCCTGTCTTGTATCAGCAGAAACATATGGAAATCAGAAATGACTTAATTAAACAAATTAGACAGCAAGATCTAGTCATAAATGACTACAATAATGAATTGGAAGTTTGCAAAACTGCCAACAAAGCTTTCAAACAAGCATTGTCCGAGATTGGAACTGTGGTTATATCTGTAGCCATGGGTGATTTATCAAAAAAAGTCGAGATCCACACTGTTGAAAGCGATCCTGAAATTTTAAAGGTTAAAATCACCATTAATACCATGATGGACCAGTTGCAAACATTTGCCAATGAAGTGACTAAAGTTGCCACTGAAGTCGCCAATGGTGAATTGGGAGGCCAAGCGAAAAACGAAGGATCAGTTGGAATATGGCGGTCATTAACCGATAATGTCAATATTATGGCTCTTAATTTGACTAATCAAGTGAGAGAAATTGCTGATGTGACTCGAGCTGTTGCTAGAGGAGACTTGTCACGTAAAATTAACGTTCATGCCCAGGGTGAAATATTGCAATTACAAATGACAATAAATACAATGGTGGATCAATTGAGAACTTTTGCATTTGAAGTGTCGAAGGTAGCACGAGATGTCGGTGTTTTAGGTATTTTGGGTGGACAAGCTTTAATTGAAAATGTCGAAGGTATTTGGAAAGAGTTGACGGACAATGTAAATGCCATGGCTTTGAATTTGACCACTCAAGTGAGAAATATTGCCAATGTCACTACTGCTGTTGCCAAGGGAGACCTATCGAAAAAAGTCACGGCTGATTGTAAAGGAGAAATTTTGAATTTGAAATTAACCATCAATCAGATGGTGGATCGATTGTTGAAATTTGCCTCGGAAGTGACCACGTTGTCACGAGAAGTCGGAACTTTGGGTATATTGGGTGGCCAAGCTAATGTCCAGGATGTCGAAGGTGCCTGGAAAGCAGTAACGGAAAACGTTAATCTAATGGCCACAAATTTGACTAACCAAGTGAGATCGATTGCTACTGTGACGACTGCTGTTGCTCATGGTGATTTATCGCAAAAAATTGATGTTCATGCTCAAGGAGAAATTTTGCAATTGAAAAACACCATCAACAAAATGGTGGACTCTTTGCAATTGTTTGCTTCAGAAGTGTCGAAAGTGGCTCGAGATGTCGGTATAAATGGTAAATTAGGTATCCAAGCACAAGTCAGCGATGTTGATGGATTGTGGAAGGAAATTACTTCGAATGTCAATACTATGGCTTCCAACTTGACATCACAAGTGAGAGCATTTGCTCAAATTACTGCTGCTGCAACCGATGGTGACTTCACTCGATTCATCACTGTTGAAGCGTCAGGTGAAATGGATGCGTTGAAGACAAAGATTAACCAGATGGTGTTGAATTTAAGAGAATCGATTCAAAGAAACACAGCAGCTAGAGAAGCGGCTGAATTGGCAAACAGTGCCAAGTCGGAATTCTTGGCCAATATGTCTCATGAAATTAGAACTCCATTGAATGGTATAATTGGTATGACACAATTATCTTTGGATACTGAGTTGACGCAATACCAAAGAGAAATGTTGTCTATCGTGCACAATTTGGCTAATTCGTTATTGACCATTATTGATGACATTTTGGATATTTCCAAGATTGAGGCCAATAGAATGACGGTTGAACAAATTGATTTTTCATTAAGAGGTACAGTATTTGGAGCATTGAAAACATTGGCGGTTAAAGCGATTGAAAAGAACTTGGATTTAACGTATCAGTGTGATTCGTCATTCCCGGATAATTTGATTGGTGACTCGTTCAGATTGAGACAAGTTATTTTGAACCTTGCTGGAAATGCCATCAAGTTCACCAAGGAAGGTAAAGTTAGTGTTAGCGTAAAGAAATCAGACAAGACAGTTCCTGATTCGGGTCGATTATTATTGGAGGTTTGTGTCTCTGATACTGGAATTGGTATTGAAAAGGATAAATTGGGCTTAATTTTTGATACATTTTGTCAAGCTGATGGATCAACTACTAGAAAGTTTGGTGGTACTGGATTGGGTTTATCAATTTCCAAGCAATTGATTCATTTGATGGGTGGTGAAATTTGGGTTACTTCGGAATACGGATCGGGGTCGAATTTTTACTTTACAGTGTCGGTATCACCCTCAAATATTAGATATACAAGGCAAACTGAACAATTGTTACCATTTAGTAACCACTATGTGTTGTTTGTTTCTACAGAACACAGTCAGGAAGAATTGGCTGAGATTGAACATGCCATCGTTGAATTAGGGTTGAATCCAATTATTGTCAACAATATAGAGGAGGCTAATTTGTCAGAGCCAATTAGATATGATATCATTATGATTGATTCAATAGACATCGCCAAGAAACTACGCTTGTTATCCGAGGTGAAATACATCCCATTGGTCCTAGTTCATCATTCCATTCCCGAATTAAACATGCGCGTATGCATTGATTTGGGTATCTCCTCCTATGGAAATACGCCATGTTCAATGACTGATTTAGCCAGTGCATTAATCCCGGCATTAGAATCACGCTCGATATCACAAAACACCGATGAATCAGTCAAATACAACATCTTACTTGCTGAAGATAACTTGGTGAATCAAAAATTGGCAGTGCGTATATTGGAAAAGCATGGCCACCATGTTGAAGTTGTTGAAAATGGATTAGAAGCATTCGAAGCCATACAAAAGAACAAGTACGATGTTGTTTTAATGGATGTACAAATGCCAGTGATGGGAGGGTTTGAATCGGTTGAAAAGATAAGACAATGGGAAAAGAAGTCGAATCCAATTGACTCATTAACTTTCAGAACTCCGATCATTGCCCTCACGGCACATGCAATGTTGGGAGATCGTGAAAAATCGTTGGCTAAAGGAATGGATGATTATGTGTCGAAGCCATTGAAACCGAAGTTGTTGATGCAAACTATAAATAAATGTATTCATAATATCAACCAATTGAAGGAACTATCGAAACAGAATAACAATACCGATTTTGCCAAAAAGTTGAAGAAGGGAGTTATTCAATCATCATCTGCCAATAATGGGGCTGCTGGTGGCGGTGGTGGTGGTAGATCAAGAACCGATTCCAATACATCTACGTCCCCCCATGCCTCAAATGCAAGTTCACCTTCAAGATCGTCGCCTGGTGGAGGCAGCACTACTAGTTTTGCCAACACTAATGGAAACAACGGACCATATTCTGCATACCAGCAATATCAACAACAGCAACAACAGCAGCAGCAGCAGCAATACCCACCCGCTTTTAATCAATCGAGATCATCACCGGCATTGAATGTGGCATCGAGTGCATCGTCCAATACCCAATTCCAATCAGCCAGCAATAATAATAATAATATCAATAATATCAATAATGCTAGCGCCACACACACTAGTCCCGATGACTATTCTCGTGGTGGTGAGAATGGATTATTTGCCACATTGGCAGCAAGTTTACGACCAGGTCAATTGAATTTGAATAATCGATCGGTAACTACCGATAGTGTATTGACTTTTACTTCGAATAAGATTACGGAGTTGGGTGATGTTGATGTTAATAGTGAGCAGAACGCTAGTGGTGATGGTCACAGTGGTGGCGGCGATGATAATGGTGACGATGCGATGGATATCGATGTGGCGAGAAATTAGACCTCCTAATTTCAACATTTTATAAAGTAAAGAATTTTAGTATAGAAAGTAAGTAAAATAAGAACAACAAAGAAAGACTTAACACATGGTTTTGTATTTCCAGAAAGAGGGGACAAAGATGTATATTACAATCCTAAAACAAACTAATTTACCGCCGTATTATTTTTGTGATTATCTCCCACAAACGATAAATTGATCTCGTTTGACCCGTTTCTTTTTACCATATTTCAAAATTGTCGTATCAATCTTCTTACCTGGTTCAATTACAGGGGCCAAACATGCAATAAATTCGTCGTATTTCCATTGCGATTGGATTGCAAGTAGTTGCTTGAATCGAGTGGCTACATCTCGACTTAGACTCGACTGGTCAATGAATTTAACCACTAAGGAGTTGGCTGTGGAGAAGCTACTGGAGCTTGTGGTTGTGGGTGAGGTTGTGTAGTAGTGGCCACGGAGGTGGATGATTTCAAGCGGGACGTTGTAAAAAGAAGGCAAGGCCGTTTTCCAATTCAACAAGAAATCAGCCACTGTGGTGGTGCTAGAGCCAAATGAGGCATCCAATTTCGATAATTCTTGAATACCAAACCAATGGGCAATGGACTCATCATTCAAACGTAGTGGCCTGTGTAATGGATCTACTGTCGATAGGTCTTGCCCTTGATCTGGGGTTGGGGTAGTGAATTTATAAATGACGGCATGAATCATTGATGGTTGCCAGTTATCAAATACACCCTGATGAGCGTGAGCACTACCAGTGGCCAAATCCAACTCCGAAATGCTAAAGCTGTGGTTTAATCTGTTTTCACTTATTAAGTACGTGATTAGAGTATGCAAGATTTGTGAAATTGATTCGTGCGATAATTTGTAAACATACATATCTCCAGTGTTGCTGGTGGTGTCGATGATGTCGGTGGCGATTTCACAAAGGCATGATTCAGTGTAAATCTTTTCAAATTCAGCTAGTGAACATGGACTCGATGCAATTAGTTGATCTCTTGTCACTTGAGAACTCTTCACTTTGTTGCCGTATTCAGGAACGATATCTAATATTGACCCGGGGATAGTTGTCAATTCATAGACATAATTGCATTTAGCGAATCCCATCAATACATCATCATCGTCGTCATCATCATTGTATCCATTTTCATTTTCATGCTTTTCGTGATGGCCGATTCTACATTGATTCATAAGCAACACACAATTGGAATGGTTATTCTGGCGTAATTTAAAGGTTGCATCTCGCGTACATACAACAACAGTGGCATCATTATCGTCATCATCACCGTTGTTGTTAGTGACAGATGCTGTGCCCTTATTATTGACTCTCTTCGTTTTCAAGTCGAGGTGAGGGCTAGGTGATGTCGATAAGTGAGTTAAAAGATTGGGTGGGAGTTGGATCAATTTGTAGGTATAGTTGTTGTTGGCGTCAGACCGTAGTTGTTGATAGACGCGAATCGAAGTCATGACTTGTTTTCCTTTCTGCAGTGGAGGATCACTTATTTCAATTTAATTTTGAATTCGGTTCCTTCTTTGGGTGCTGGTTCAATGGTCCTTTCTTTCAAATGTTTGAACTGTCTATCTATAATTTTTCATTATTATCTGTTTTTGGCGCACGCGTTACGGAAAAATAACAAATGCGGCTCTGCCCGCTTGTGGGACTTTTGCGATACACGCGTATCGAGGTGCATTTTTTCAGATCTTCCGATCTCATTCATTCATTCTCCTCCTCCCCTTCAGTGTGTCAACTGTAGGATTCTTTACGGATGATAGACGATGATTATGTCTCCATATGTGTACGTGAAATTTATATTATTGTAAAGTACTATTAATACGATTAAAACTATAACAAAGTCTTCTCTTGCTCTATCAAAATACTCAACTCGAAAGGAAATGAAAAACCTTTCTGATTTCCATTTATTGAAATGAGCCACACCTGTTAAAAGGAATAACTAAAAGTTTGATCCTTGATTAATATTCCTATCTCTAACTCCCAACTCACCATTGAAGAATTCATCACTGCCCAATTTTTCATTCTTTCTCCAGAAAGTCCATCCTGCTTCTGGGTCACGGTTATTTCTTCTCTTGAGATAAAAGAGGACTCCAATAATACCAAGTAAAATCGACCCACCGACTCCAACAACTACACCAACGACAATCTTGTTTGTTTGTGATAATCCGCCACCATTGTTGTTTGAGTTACGGCTGTTGGCATTTTCTGTTTCCAGGGCTTGAGAAGAAATTAATGATGTTTGGGTAACAACAACTGTTTTACCATTTTCAACTGAACTCAAAGTTGTCAAACTACGCGAACTTGCTGATGTATCCGAGGAATCACTGTCCTCAGTTGACGAGGAAGACGAAGAAGTGGTACTGGATTGCGATGTCGTTTCCGGGGCTTCACTTGAGGAGGAAGATGATGAACTTGTTGATGAAGATGACGAGCTAGGTTCGCCAGTTTCTGAAGCAAATGAAGATGAGGAAGAAGATGAACTGGTTGTGGTTGATGATGAGGATGATGAGCTTGAGGAACTCGAACTATCAGACAGGGTATCAAACGAGGAACTAGAATCGAAGAAAGTGAATGAAGATGTCGAAAATGGATTACCATAGGAAGTTGTTGAAGGCGATGAATTTGAACTCGAACTTGAGCTTCTCGATGATGATGATGAACTGGATGAAGACGACGACAGGAACGAAGTTGAACTTGATGAAGATTGTCCAAATCCAAATGAGGTACTACTACTAGTACCAAACCCATCACCTGATGTAGATGAGAAAAAACCATCACTTGTTGAGTTATCAGCCCGTTTCTTTTGGTTACGATTCTTTTGTTTCTTTTGTTTCTTTTGCTTTTTTGCTCCTGTGTTTCTTTTTCTATGGAATCCCATAGTTTGGTCAAGATTATCACTGTTGTCTATTGAAGTGAATGTAGTTGTAGTTGCAGTAGCAGTAGCAGTTGCTAAAACTGTATTATCAGGTGAAACGCCACCATCAGTCGAATTAGAGACGATGGTTAGGTTGTTTTTGGTGGTACTGATGCTGCTCTTAAATACTGAACATGGATGTGACACAATTGATGAAAATGATGGTGATGTGGAGTACAAATAGGCCACTGAAATCAAAATTGTGAGGAAACAGAAACTCTTCAATATAGTTCCATAAAGATATAGTTTTTTCGACCGCTGGTTGTGCTTGCTAGAGTTATAGCTATTGTGGAGATGTTGCTGTTGTTGTTTCTCTGGTATTGATCCTTGCATTGTTATTCTATGGTTTTCGTGTAAATGTAAATCTAAGATCTAGGTGTGTGTATCTATCTAATATGTAATTGGCTCTAAAAACAATGATGATGTGTTATGTTGAATATGTATGTATTTGTTTGTTTATTTGTTGTAGGGATGGCGATATGTTCAAACGAATGTAAAACTGTGGAATTAATAGTGTAATTAATATGAGATCAGGTGTGTGTGTTTGTAGTTGTAGTTGTAGTTGTAGTTGTAGTTGTAGTTGTAGTTGTATGATATACCTCCCTCTTAGATGAAACTAGCGTTATATAGCCGAAGAAGTTGTAGAGAGGGGTGAATGTCTCCTTGGTTTCGATGTTGGTCTTTTGGCTTGTCAGTCTTTTGGTTTTATAAAAAATTTTCCTTGTTGTTTTCTGTCGTCAGTTTTTTTTTATTTTTTATTTTTTATTTTTAATTTTTAATTTTTAATTTTTTTATTTTTTTATTTTTTTATTTTTTTAATTTATTTTTTTTTTAATTTTTATTTTTCGTTTGTTTATTTATTTTATTATTTTTAGATTTCGGAAGGGGGGAGGGGGTTTTGAAGAGAAATACAGATTCAGATCAGAACAACCTACACTTCTAGTTTACGTAAAATAAGAAGAGTATATGATACTTCCGAAGAGTAGTAGCTATAGTGAAGACACTTCTTTGTATACATACGAGCATCAGACGGCCCCTTCTAGAAGAGGTAAAGTAAAACAAGAAAAAAAAAGAAAAGGGAGAGATATGAAAAACCGTTTATTTTTCAAAGAGATCTGATGTTTTTTAGTTTCAGTGTCGAATTTTTAAAACATGTCTTTTTTTCTCTTTTCTACGTCTATGCCTATGTCTATGTCTATGTCGTATTATATTCTCTCACGACAAACTTCTAACAATAACAAATGAAAGAATGAATGGCTAAGCCTAAAGTTACACGATAAATCCAACAATTTTACCCATTTAGTAACAACTACTATTATACGACGACCCCAACTTTTATATAGTGGAGATGCATTAAAACTACAAACCATACTGTACTGTAAGAACAAAAAACTATTGAAGAACCTCTTTAAGCCCTATGGCTTAGATGGAAAGAAAAAGATGGCACTGCCTCTTCTCTCTCTCTCTTCTATTAATGACTACTAACATATACTTTAAATCCACACACTTTAATTGTGCAGCACGTGCAGATATATAGCTTAATCCATATTAAATTAAATTAATTGTCTGTCTGTCTGTCTGCCTTTAAGTCAAAACTAAAGGTTATGAGAATTTGCTAAATATCTACATTTTAATTCAGGAACAACGACATGTACAGTTGGAATATTCTACTTGTTATATTACCAAAGTAAGCCTGCCTATTCTTGTCACTATGGTCTAGAGAAAAATAATCTATCATCTTCTAAGCCCAAGACATCAACGACACGACAATCATTAAGAATTGAAAATCTTTTTTTTGACGCGTTTTTATAATATTATTACACAAATATGACTCTCATTTGTTTGTTTTGATTTTTTTTTTTGTCTGTCTGTCCGTAAGACTGTTCTGTTTGTTTTGTTTCATGTTTTGTGTTTCATACATCATTCTCGGACCGTTTGGTTCTAACTAGCGATTCTGGACTTTGTATATCTTCTATATAGAGGAAGTCCAACAAGACGAGGAGACATCAAGAATAAATAACAACGAATGATTAGACAGAATTCCACGAGCTAGTAGTTGCCTCTCCATTTCATCAATAACTCAAAACTAAACTGTGATTCTACGGATTTTCTTTTTTGGCTGTTTTAATAGAATTAGCTCATATTTTGTTGCAAAATTTTCTTTTGTAAAAAAGTTACAAATTACTTATGCCAATATTAAAAGAAACATTAAAAAACAATATATGTCTAATAAACCAGACAAAAGCATGAGATCACTAGAAGGTAGTATAAGCTGATACCTTTTGGTTTGCTTCAGTATAGAATCTAAGGTGTAATACTCCATTTAGTGTTATTACACGACCTTTTAGTTCACAGCCGAATATATTGAATGCTATTCATTCAACAAAATAGAAAGTTATCTAAAGGATGTCACACATCAAAGTTTAAAATGACTATATAACCAGTATTGAGGTCATCATACCCCACACACTTTAATCACAACAAAGATTAAATTGTAGCCTGTGTCCGTTATTGGTCAATTAAGCGTGTTTGCAGTTGCTAGCGTTCTTGTAAAATTGTATTACGACCCTATATCTGAGTCTTATGTAATTCTGAGCAGGTTGAAAGACAGTAAAATACTGTTAATATATAGTATCGTATTATTATAAGGTGAATAGCATTCAATATATTTGACTGTGAACTAAAAGGTCGTGTAATAACAGAAACATCAATCGGTAGCAGTTCATAACATGTCGCGAGTTTTAACTTCTTGACACATAATATATTGTTACGACATATAAGAAGCTTTCTTTCCTTTTCTTTTGTTTCTAGAATAATCTGGAACAAACGGAATTAGGCGCAACCAATTATTTACTATGACTGCAAAATTATAACTGTGGTATTCTTTAACATTCTTTAACATTCCCTACTACATAGCAAATAGTCTATATATAGAGCACTATGAATCTTGCCATTTTCCAAATATCCTTCATTCTCTCCAAACATAACACAACTTACAATCTTATAACTATAGTACAGCTGCTTTTCTGAATCATGTCTTATTATTACACTGCTCAACCATACGCTAATCCAGTTGATTTAGATTCATTGTTATCTTTATTACATCAACAACAATTTAGACCACAGCAACCACAACAACAGCCACCACAGCCACCATCACGCGTACTACAAACTTATCCACACCACTACAACCCAGCTCAACAACAACCAAAACCAATAAACTCTCGACCAAGGGTGGTTCAAAAATTGGAAACTGAAGATGAATATCAAATTCAAATTTACAAACCATATGGCAATTTCAACAATTATGAAGTCAAGGTTAAAAAATTAACCCCACCTTTGATTAAAGTCATTATCTTTTCCCACCAAGATGATTTTCAAATCGATTTCAATTTCAATTTAAACTATATTGATTTGGAAAATATCAATTGGAGATGGTATAAACAGGATAATATCTTGAGTTTGAACATTCCTAAGAAGTTGCATTATATTCATTCCAATTTAAATGATGTTATCAATTGTTTATTAGGTGGAAGCTCTGATCCTCAACGCCAGTTGTATTTAGAACACGATTCTCCTGAATTTGAAGATGAAGAACAGGAGTTGGAACATGGTAATGGTGATGATTATGATGATTATGATGATTATGAATTGGGTGATTCAGATGATTCTTCACTTGATGAACACGAAAGATTGGTTCAAGAAGCTATTGATGCTTTGATTGAGAAGAAAAAGAACAAGAAGCAAAGCAAAAAGAAGAAGAACAATCAAGAAGTCGAGAAAGCTGATGGTGAGACTAAACAACATCAGCAACAACAATTACAACAAGAAGAAGCCAAGCAGGAAGCTTTCGAGAAGCAAAGACAGTTAGCACAGGATGCTATCGATGCTGTTATTGAAAAGAAAAAGAAGAAGGCAGAGGAAGAAGAAAAGAAGGCACAAGAGGAGGCTAGAGCTAAAGCGGAAGAAGAGGCTAAGAAGAAGGCAGAGGAAGAAGCTAAAGCTAAAAAGGAAGCTGAATTGGCAGCAGAAGCCAGAAGAAAAGCTGCTGAAATTGAAGCCCAAAGAAAAGTTCAACTCGAAAAAACCAGAAAGGAATTTGCTCTTAAACAAGAACAAGAACGTCAAAAGATTTTACAAGCACAGCAGGAATTGGAAAAATTGGTTAAAGAGCAAGAAGAGTTGGAACGTCAACACAAGTCTCAGCAAGAAGAGGACAACAATTCCATCAAATCAAAAGAGTCTCAATTGAAACTGGAAATTCTTAATGAAGAGGATGAGTACAATCAAAACTCGAATGATTATGAACAATACTTGAGGCAACAACAAGATTTACTTGATCAATTTTTTGGTTTCAATTTGGGTCCAGTATTGACTTCGAATTTGCCTTCTCAGGCTACAGACGATGGAACTAGCACCTCAAATACTACGAAAAAGACAAACAGTGCTAAACCAAATGATTTTGCCGGTGCTGCTAGAGCTAAAAAGTCAGAGCCAACCAAAAAGAAACAAGTTGACTCAGGTTCAAAGCCAAGCAAAGTTGAAGCATCATCATCAAGATCCGATGAGGCTAACCAACTACACCATTACTGAAGGTGATTAATGGGTCCAGTTCCAAACCATTACGTAGACTTCATTCACCATCTTTGGAAGATGTTGAAGATGAAGAATCAATTTTGTTTAGAAAACGATTTGATCATTAATCTGAAAATAGTAACTTCTTTTTTTAATAGATAATATATGATATAACCTGAAGCAAACTACTATCACATGCTAAAGTGTATACCTTTGATCTCCCTCTATTAAACTCAAGCGAAGGAGCTTTGACTTTAGAAGTCACTGGGTAGCGTTTTCCCGCAACTCAAAAGATCTCCATGACTTTGGAAAAAACTCACCGGTTTCACCCAACTAAAGCAACTTAGTATATTGAAACACTCCTTCACAAAGAATGTCCAAATCAATTGCAGTATTTGGAGGTAACGGGTTCCTAGGCCGGAAAATATGTGAAGTCGGAATCAATCGAGGATACAATATAACGTCGTATTCGCGATCAGGCCAACCACCCAAACTCCATACTCAACAACCACCATCGTGGATTAAACAAGTATCGTGGCAAAAATGCGATATATTCCATCCGCATCAATCCATATCACCTGCACAATTGAGTCAATTCGACACCATAATCCATTCAATTGGAATTTTATTTGAAGATGCCTCGTACAAGAAACTGATGAATTCAAATTTTGGCATATTACAAGATGTACAACGATTGGCTAATAGGGCAATGGGGTCTAACCCAATGCAAAAGGATAAATCGAATCAGAGTTATGAGGCAATCCAACGTGATTCTGCTGTATTGATTGCTGATGAATATATCAATGCTAGAGTAGATGCATTAAAGAAGACTAAAAATAGTGATAGTGCTTCTACTACCACCGGAAATGATGACAAAGATTTGAATTCAGTAGTGGGCAACTATGTTTACATCTCAGCTGACCAAAACCCACCGATTGTTCCTCAACGCTATATAATCACCAAACGAGAAGCCGAGTTCGAATTGAGCAATAAACCCCATTTGCGTAGTATACTAATGAGACCAGGAATCATGTATGAAGAAGATCATTTTCCACAACACGATAATACTGGAGTTACGAATAGAGACGTGTTGGTGAAAGGGTTGAAGTTGGGTGTCAATTTGAAAAACACCGTTTTGGGACAGCATTTCCTAAGTAATGTGATTAGACCCGTGGTTAGTACCACTCAAGTTGCCAATGCTATATTTGATAAATTAGAAGACGATGAGTTCAGAGGAGGGGTGGTGCCTGTTGAGGAGATTGAACAAGAGCCAAACTTTTTTTGAAAATTAAAAAAAGCGAAATTGAACTATTGAGAATGAATGTACATATGTATAAACTTGCATATATATATATATATATATATATATATATATGTAATGACTCTAAAGAGGTTTATCTAAATGTAAATACTGTAAACTGTGGAGATCCCATCATACAAGATTATCTGGTTTCGAATTGACATTAGCAGTTGACGAAGTTGAAGTTGAGTGGGCTTCAAGACTCATTAGTTTTTGTTGCAAAGATTTAAGTAAATCAGCTTCAACTTCACCTAAATCGAGATTTTCCGGCACGGCAATTGATGATGCAGTAATGGTTATGTTTTTCATACTGGCAACTTCATCTATCCCTGCTCCAGTTAACGTGAATCGCAGTTGCGTTTTAATTAAACTGTGGGTATCCCTATCAAAGCCACCACTAGGCCGCTTATTTGAAATCGATGGAGGCGGATGATGGTGCTCCCCCTCTTTCCCCTTGGCTGGTTCTGTTTGAATTGGTTGCTTTTCTTGATGCTTTTGTTGTACTATTTTCCCAGCACCTGGACTCCACCAATACACCGGATACGTTCGCACTATATTACCCGTGATTAAAGCAACAGTAATAATCAACACCGAGCTAACCAACTGCACCGGCAAGAACCACCAACTCATTTGTCGCACTTGTTCATCAATACTAGGCAACAATGCACTTGCTCCTGCGGGCGGATGTATAGTATTGGTGATCGCCATAACCACTGAGCTTATTGCAACACTCAATGCTCCACTAGCCCAATAATTCAGTCTTCCGCCATGACTCAAACTAAACAATTTTTGTATACTCATGCCAATCACGGAACTGATGAAATGGCCGAAAAAGATATTACGTGGTTGTGCCAAGGGTACCTGTGATGCATTGAAACATAAAATGGCAGTAGCTCCATACGATGCCAAGATCATGGGGGCATGATGATGATCAGTAAACACATTATGATGGATAAATATACCCATAATGAGTGAAAGCCCCGCAAATGTAGCAATGAAAATCTCGAGCCATATGAAGTAATCAGGGGCGGGTTTGTGCGGGTGTTTGTGGTGACCTAGAAAATGGGCTATGAAGCGAGGTAGTTTGGATATCTGATTGCGGGGAATATATGGGTCGAGCACAGTATCAATAGTGAACTTAAACACCATGGTTGAACGGACAACAAGAAAAGGCTGGGGTGATCAGTGCGATGGCGGAGGTTTATGCACAACAGCAGGAGTGTTCTGCCGTGGACTGAAATGTCGATGGAGACTGGGGACTGGGGACTAGAACCTGGGCTTTTGCTTCTGCGTAAGGCTGAAAAAAAAGTGCTTCTAGAAAATGCAGGAATTTGTCTCTCTCTTATTATAATTGTATTTGTTTTTGTATTTGTAATAATTCCGCGCGAATTGTTTTTACTAGACCAAGGTGAAATTAAATTGACTCTTTTAGTAAAATGATGAATATTTTTGGGGAAGCTGTACTAGTGTATCACTTTACTTGAGATCAATGGAAAATAACCCATGTCTTAGCGCTGAGTCTTCCTCTTTCATCATGGCCTGTTTCCGTTTTTCTTTTCCTTTTTGTATTGTGGTTTTGCCAAGGCTTTTCTTTATAAATCATTTGCGGGTTCGGAGCAGATTAATTTACTTTTAAATTCTGTAGGGGGGTTCAATTTTGGCAACTTGACTTTGAAATAGCGACAAGGAATAAAGCAAATATGTGAAGTAAGGTTTTGACGGGTAATGATAGAAGTGTAGAATGATCAGAGGAGAAAATTATTTCGTTTGGTGGGTATTTTCTTCTTCTCAACCTGAATTGTATGCGAAGTAAGCGGTTGTGGTTCCATGGAACGAAGCTGCTTTCTTTACAATCAAAGTATTGTCTCCTATATCTCCTATATCTCCTTTTCTTTCCTGTTAGCAATTCTTGAGTTCAGAATAGTAATCTCTCATGATCTTATTAGAATTTCTATTCGTTTGGACTTTTAAAAAAATAGTAAGGAGACCTATTGAAATTTGATACCTCTTACTGGCACTAAATTGTTCAACTTGGACTCCTTAAAATGACATAAATTACAAAGATGCTACGAACGTATTCATTTTGTGGAGTCAAAATGCTGCAAAAAAATCGTTAGTAAGTTGCTGGAATGCTAGCTTAAACTCTAGATAAGTTGACATGATGACTATAGTAATGTCGTAGCTGATCATTGCGTCAATGCAACAAATGGCACCAGAAACAGTTATATAAAACAACAGAATTGTAAACAACTAAACAAGTTCTTCTCCAATTGCTTGGCTGAACAGTCAACATTGGCAAATTTAAACCCCAACATTGATGTACATTTATGGAAAAGTGGGATTGGTCAAGGAATGCTATCGTGATGTTTGAAATTTTCAATTTGCAATTAGACGCGTTTTGCCTTTTGTTTGTACTTCACATCCCACTTTTGTTTACACTTTTTACTTTCGAAAAAGTTATTATCCCACCCCCACCAGTAACAAGAAGATATAACAACCACTGATGTCACTCGCAGCAGTAGAGCCTACGTTAGCTACAGAAACTAGAGACGCCAATTTTAAAAGAGATATATCTCAAGTCGAACAAGAGCAAACTCTAGAAGAGGGGCAACTGGATGCAAATACTCCGAATAAGGAGGATCAGGGTATTACACCATCTGCCAAAAGAGCAAAACTAGATACATCCAAATGGACCCCACCATCTATCACCAGCATATCCAATTTTCAAGACTTTAAAACATCAACTTATATCTCCCAGATCCCAACTGAAATATCGCAAGTACCAACAAAGCCAGTGGTGATCGGTATTGATGAAGCAGGTAGAGGTCCAGTCTTGGGCCCCATGGTGTATGGCCTTGCGTACTCTCTAAAAGAGTTTCTGAGTAAACTTCAAAAGACATATGGATTTGCAGACTCGAAACAATTAACTGATGATAAACGACAACAATTATTTCAAATGATTGAAGATGCTGAACTGCATGAGTTGAATAAACATATTGGATGGGCCACCACGACAATGACAGCAAAAGACATATCACTGGGGATGTTGCGTTCTGTACATGGAATCGGAGCATATAATTTGAATGAGCAAGCACATGATGCCACTATCAATTTAATTAAACTGATTATTGCTCAGGGGGTGAATGTCACTGAAATATATGTTGATACAGTTGGGCCACCAGTTTCATACCAAGCTAAATTGAAAACCCACTTCCCCACAATTGATATCACGGTAGCCAAGAAAGCTGATAGTATATACCCCATAGTATCAACTGCGTCAGTGGTGGCTAAAGTGACAAGAGATTTAAACATTCGTCATTACAATACGCATTTACCTATCTTGCTAAATCATAAATTGGGCTCAGGGTATCCTAGTGATCCAAACACTAGCTATTGGTTAAATCATAATGTTGACCCCATATTTGGTTGGTGTTTTGGATTTATACGGTTTTCATGGCAAACGGCAAAAGATGCTCTTGTAAGACATGGAGCTGCTGAGGTAATTTATCAAGATGATTGTGTTAAAGAAAAGGGGTACAAGGATGTGTCGGAGATGTTTGTTGATGCGAATAAGAGTAGTGTGGGACGCATAACCAAGAGTGTGTTTAGTAGTGACGATGTGAACTTGTTGTAATGAGAGAAGGCAAAAGATAGACGATAAAGCAGGGGATTAGGTGCTGATAATGAGGTGGGTATGATCCATATGGGCTATCGTTAAGGATAAACACCTAGGAATCCAGTACATCCCAGACTTAAATCGAGACTTTGAACCAAGCTTTATTACTAGCTAGTATCTTTGGTAAATAATAATAGATAGTAATATAATTTGATTACTTGCGCTCCTGTTACTTTATTACGACAAAAGGGTATCTCAGACAGCAGTGTCGTGAACTCTCTTTCTTGTGTCGTAAATGAATCGTACATCTTCCTCAAGAGTACTCATGGACATATAGTTCCGAAATTGAAACGGAAAACATTGATGCGCAATTTAACCAACAAACCAAAAAAAAAGAAAAAGATTTTGTCTCGGAGTACAGTTGCGGACTTTTACTTCCGAATAAGAAGTGAAGGGATGATATGGGGTTAGTAAGAGATAGCCTCTTCTGTGACTGGTGTATAGACTATCAAGATTGAGTATAGTATATGTATAACATGTAAAGATTACTTTCCATTAGTTTGATGCATTGCACAACTTAACCAACAAAAAACTCAATTTTAAAAACTTTACACACCCTTACCAAGGTAACACAAAATAAGAAAGAAATTGAATGAAGTGAATGAGAGAGAGCAAAAGACGAAAACAAAAATTTGATTTTTGAAAATATCATCCATCCATCATCATCATCAGACACACATCAATTGGTCCCTTCAAATAGTTTTTTTTCTTTCACCTTACCTATTCATATTTACCAACAAACCATGTCTGCTTTATTTGCTGTATCTAGGTCAGCAATGGCCTTACGTTCTGTGGCCCCAGTATCAGTCAAAACTACGTCGTTTTTAACCTTGGCAAGACTTTATTCTTCAGGCAAATTCCCACCACACACAGTCATTCATATGCCTGCATTGTCCCCAACCATGACACAGGGTGGTATTTTGGAATGGAGCAAAAAAGTTGGTGATGAATTGACTCCAGGTGAACCAATTGCTGAGATTGAAACTGATAAAGCATCGATGGATTTTGAATTCCAAGAAGAAGGTTATTTAGCCAAAATCTTGAAAGAAGCTGGATCCAAGGATGTTCCAGTTGGAGAACCTATTGCTGTTTACGTAGAAGATGCTAATGAAGTTTCGGCATTTGATAATTTCACTGCCGCTGATGCCGGTGAAACTCCAAAACAACCAACACCAGAAAAGGAAGAAGAAAAGCCAAAGGAAGAGGAGTCCAAGCCAAAGGGAGAATCTACAAAAACCGAATCTAAATCTTCGTCTGCTTCAAAATCTTCTTCGTCTGCTGCCTCATCAGGAAGAATTTTTGCAACCCCATTGGCCAAAACCATTGCTTTGGATAAAGGTATTTCGTTAAGACTGGTTAAAGGTTCAGGTCCACACGGTAGAATCGTTGCCAAGGATATTGAAGGTCTTGAACCAGCACAAGCAGCTGCAGCTCCTTCCGCCACTACTACTGTTGCCCCATCTGGTGCTACTTATGAAGATATTCCATTAACCAACATGAGAAAGACCATTGCCACTAGATTATTACAATCAACTCAACAATCACCAACTTATATCATCCAATCACAAATTTCAGTTTCAAAGTTGTTGAAATTACGTGCATCGTTGAATGCTACTGCTGAAGAAAGATATAGATTGTCTGTTAATGATCTTTTGATCAAAGCTATTGCCATTGCGTCAGTTAGAGTCCCACAAATAAATGCAGCTTGGTTGGGTGACCAAGGTGTTATTAGACAATACAAGAATGTTGATGTATCAGTTGCTGTTGCTACTCCAACTGGTTTGATCACCCCAATTATCAAAAATGCTCACAACAAGAGATTGACCGCTATTTCAAACGAGATTAAGGACTTGGGTAAGAGAGCCAAGATTGGTAAATTGAACCCAGAAGAATACCAAGGAGGTACCATTTGTATTTCCAACTTGGGTATGAACCATGCTGTTACTGCTTTTACCTCGATCATCAACCCACCACAATCAGCAATTGTTGCTATTGGTACTACAGAAAAGAAGGCAGTACCTAGCGATGTCAATGAGCAAGGCTTCATCTTTGATGATGTATTGACCATCACCGGTACTTTTGATCATAGAGTTGTTGATGGTGCTCTTGGAGGTGAATGGATTAAAGAATTAAAGAGAATTGTTGAAAATCCATTGGAAATGTTGGTCTAAGACTTTTCAAATTTACAGTTTAAGTATTTTCAAAACACAGTTGACCTTTACTGTATAAAGTATGTAAACGTCTCAACTAAGTAAGCCAGTCCTCAATTTCTCTCAGTGTTTTTGTATTTTGTTGAGTGCGCCCACCAAATAAATTGGATAAAAGAAATTTTTGTTTTCCCATTTATCAGAACTAGATCCCATACATCTCTTTAACCCACCGACCCCTACTCCCCTACTCCCCTACCCCCCAAACCCCTCAAACAATGACAATCAAGGAAATATATATCGCTAGACATGGCTACCGTATGAACTGGTTGCCACCCCCACATCCACCTAATCCTACAGGCGTGCCTAGTGACCCTCCATTGGCACCACATGGTGTTGACCAAGCAAAACAATTGGCAGCATACTTGACTTCATTGCCAACAAAAGACCAACCACAATTCATCCTAACTTCACCCTTTTATAGATGTGTCCAAACTGCCGAGCCAGTTGCACAATTATTAGATTTGAAAGTCCACTTGGAGAGAGGTGTTGGAGAATGGTTTAAAAAGGGCAGGAAAATCGTTCCTGAACCAGCTGATTATCCCGATTTAAACAACTTCTTCGCCAACGTTTTGGATAAGGAAGACGTATGGCCAAGAGATGGATTAGGCATTATTCCAAACCTCGAAGGTGAAACTGGCGAAGAAATTTATGCTAGAGCTCAACAATTTTGGCACAAGTTTATCCCCGTTTTTGAAAAACAGTATCCTGAAATTGAAAATATCTTGATCATCACTCACGCAGCAACAAAGATTGCCTTGGGCAGTGTGTTATTGAAGTTAGATTCTGTCACCAGTACCATAGATGGAGACAAGACTATGTTGAGGGCTGGTGCTTGCTCAATCTCGAAATATGTACGTACCAGTTTATCAAATGATTTCGATTGGAAGATTGTCATGAATGGTAACTGTGAGTTTTTGACGAAGGGAGAAGAAATGAATTGGGATTTCACTACTGGCGTTGAAGCCGGGTCAGCTGAGGATATTGCTAGAAGAAAGAAAGAGGCGGAACAGGCTGAAGGGAAAAATGGTGGATCTTCTAGTGGAGTTGATCCAGGTGCTGCTAATTCTGAAGGTGAGGTGCCTGTCACTGACATTGCCACAGGTGCAGATGAAACTACAAATGAGGATGAATTTGAGGTACGTAAGAATTCAAAGAGTGTTTTTTAGAGTGAAGATCGGGTCAAGAGGATTTAGAGAGTTTAGACAATTTAAGGAGCCAATTTTTAACTTCATTTTTAGAGTCAATTAATTTTAATAGATATTTCAATTTTCCAAATAGAGACGCTTTCATTTTGCCATTTCCAGCCGTTCATACTAACCACCTTCGAGTAGACATTTTACATAACTGTCGATTTACCAAATGTACCGAAAAGGCTAGACGATGAAGACTTTACCATTGATAGAACCAAGACTAGAAAGACACCGAGATTCAAAACCAATATCCTAAAACCATCTGCTCGTCTCCAAATGACGAGTCTAAGTGATCAGTCACCGTTAGTTAAAGTATCGAATAATACGACAGCTCGAGATACGGCTCATTCGGCTGCACCAACACTTGGAAGCAGTCACAAGGGGAGAAATAATTCTATAATTGACGCGTCCACATTAATAAATGGTCGAATTTTTGAAACTAATTGGCATGAATTGACGGGGTCTGAGTTGATATTTGATGACTATGGGGAATTAATCGGACAAGTTAAAGAACATTTGACATGTAATGATAAGCTCAAGTTTATACCTAAAAAGAACCACAACGAGGGGAAAGTTGCTGATTATATCGATTTGGACGATGAGGACCTCGTCGATGAATCTATCAAGATGGAAGCGGGGAATTCAAATCTGAAGCCAAGTCCATTTTTGCGAAACGCAATCAAAGTTGCAAAGAGGAGAGAATATTCTTAAACTTTGTAAATCTATTAATAATCTATGTGAATTAAAAACATGCTTGTTCTATTTTACAAAGCACACACCTCTGATTTTAATTACTTTCTTGACGTCACGACACGCTGGACATGATCCATAAACAGTTGCAAACTGACGTCATCAGTAAACACATCGGAACGATCACCAAATCCGTAAAAATGATTGACATTTGTGGCATAACTGGTACTTGGATTCAATTTGGCCATCAAGAACCGTGCTTGCGACCCACCTTCATCACAATCGATAAATCGCGGTAAGGGGAATCGATCAACTAATAACAGCATGGCCTCTCTTTTAGGAGCTCCCAAAAAGTCTTTGAAATATGCGTATTCTTCTTGTTCATGATATCCAGCTTTTCTCCATTGGGCAATTTGTGAACCGTGGTGAATTAAAATTTGGAAAAACGTATCAAGAAGAAGAATCTTTGTTTTACCCAAACTTGCAGAGTCAAGTAATACCGGTTCCGGTTCGTTGATTATCTCTTCACCGGTATCTTCATCCGTGGTAGAGCCCCAACTATTGATATCATAGGAAAGCAACGTAGGTTGGATCATAAGCAATGAATTGGCTAAATCCTCATGCATAAACACATGTCGTACAAAACTCGTTTCATCGGGTGAACTATTAAAAACATTGATAAAGGGCGATCTCCGCAAATGAAACATAAACTGCGGGAAAAGTGAATAGGTAGTTGATAATCTAAATGAATCCATCATTCCAATATTGTACACCGCAAATCGAGTACAAAAATCAATCAAGACTTGATCCAATTGTTTACTCAATGCAGTGCCACTAACAAATTTCTTGTGTAAATCAGTTTGCAATTTCTTGACTGCTTCACGAGCAACAAGAACTAATGCTGCCTCTTGATCAAAACTTGCCTCTAATTGGGCATTTTCCGAGTCGAGGATAATATTGACGGGTATTGTGGTAACACGAAGTCTCATTTCACCATTGGGATGCTGATAATGAAACAAAAACTGGATAAATGTAGCCGCGTTATTGGTATGCAAGTTGTCCATTTTCTCGAAATAAATTGCATATGTCGATCTAGGGTCAACACTGCATAATTTCCAACTATTGGTCTTGCCTTCTCCAACTTCGCGTTCGCTAACCATTCTTTCATTGGCAGCAACCGTTTTATTAAATGGTAGTGAACTTGCATTACCAATCAATCCTTCAATTTTCAAATCCTGGCATACTTTAACTTCCAAAGTCGAATTAAATCCCATATCGAGCCATTCGTTATTTAATTCTTGCTTCTTGAAAAATCTGGCAAAACTTTGTCGGAAAATTGCTGTACTTACCGAATCTGTCATGACTATAACCCCGCCGGTCTTTGTACAAACTTCGTCCATTTCAAATAGTCCCACTTGGTCATAACTTCCAATGAAGAGATCACAACTAAGTCCCAATGAAACTAATACTTTGGCAATTTTGGCATAAAATGCTTTGGCTTCTTTGTACAACGATGTATCTGTTTTGGTCTTTGATGATGTTGTTGGTGCCTTGATTAGGCTAGACTGTTCCTTTAAAATATCGTGATGCGATCTCATTGGTATTTTTAACGGGGTGTCAACAATTTTACCTGGTCCTAAAGTACATACACCGGCAATGAAAACCATCATATGTCCACCAGTTAAATGATTATCCCCAAGTATACTCTTTAACAACAACGTCGAAACGTTGATCGCTGACCCAGTGGCCCTCGCTGGTCGTTCACTATATTCACTATGAGGAAACGAATTAGGGACGAGGTTCTCAATAATGTTTGTCAATTCATATTCGACTAGACTGAGTGGTTGCAAGAATCGTCTTGCTGTAGGTCCAATCAAATGTTCAAAATCAGCAGCTTGTGCGTGCAACAACCCGGCACTACTGAGCCCACTTCCCAGTAATCCTAATGTTTGTTGCACCTGCTCCAAGTTGTACGTCTTGTTTCCATTAAATGTATAGCTCAAATCATCATTTGACGTCAAATCATGTACTTTGACATGTTTACCAAAAGAGACAAATCCAACCAATGCATTTTCCGGTAACAAGCTTAGCGATAGAACTAAGCTTTCTTTTAATTTGGCAAATTCAGCCTCAACATCATCACCTTCAAACCCAGTATCAACAACATAAAAAAATACCGGTGGCAACGAACTTTTCCTCCCTGTCTCGTATTCAACAGTTGTGAATTGTCCTTCTAATGCTGGTTGTAAATACGGGGTGCCATCCTCAGCAAACACCGCTGGCAATTGATTAGGCACACTGCAAAATTGACATGACCAAGTGCCATTATTAACCACCACATATGGGTTCAATATCGAACGACAAGATCGACAACTTATTAAATTCAGTTTATCCAAAACAGTTACTTCACTTTTATCATTTAGTGGCGTATATAGTGCTCCCATGGGTATGACATTTCGTTGATGTTGCAATTTCGATTTCGGCACCGAGGACCACGATAATCGTACACCATCTCTATCTTCCCTACTTTCAAAATCCATAGCTTCTGTGTGTGTGTGTGGTAGTGTATATCTTTATTGAAAGTATAGTAAATGCGTATACGTTATCCTTTTGGAAAAACGTTAGTGAAAGTTTGTTGTATGCGTGTTTTGGTTGTTGGCTCTGGCTGTAGATGGATGATTTGGTTGCGATGAAAGCAGCCATTGCTTTTTTTTTATTTTTTTTATTTTTTCCTCACCAACACTCGTGAGACCACAAACAAAATAAACAGTCAAATCTTTTGTGGTATGCGCGACTAACAAAAATCTTTCTTCCTCGGGAAAAGAGATTTCAACCAAATCTGATATCTCTCATCTGGGTTAAGATGAGCGGTGTAACAATCATGCACCGACACGCGCAATTGCTAAGAAGATGCGCTGGCAATATTAAACTAAGGCAGCTTGCTACTGCTCCTTTACATCCCGATTCAGACCTAACGTACGAGACCAGAGCAAAGGAGATTGAGTCGGGCTCTACACTGGGCGGCGCTGGCACTTACTATCCACGCATCTCATCCATACGACAGAGAAATAACCGATCTGTCATACGTATACCAACATTTCGCCAACAATTTGAACAGACTGACTTTAGCACATACGTAAACAACCGATTGGATGAAAGCTATGTCGTTGAAGGACGCATACTCAGCATTCGGAAAGCAGGAAAGGGTATGTTCTTTTTCGATCTTGAGCAGGACAACACCCGATTGCAGGTCATGGCTACAAACAAATTAATGGGGACGGATATAGACAGATTCAACAAAGTGCACACCTGGTTCAAGCCGGGAGACTACATTAGTTGCATCGGGTACGCTTCAAGAACCAAAACTGGTGAGCTTACATTAAAAGCCAACAGCCCCATTGAACTATTAACCCCTTGCTTACTCAAGATGCCTAACAAATTGACTGATAAGGGTATAATCAACAACAACCGTGTTCTCAACTACTTGGTCAACCCGGATTCGAAACAACCAATCATTATAAAGTCACGGATCATCCAATGCATACGACAGTTTTTGCTTCAACGTGATTTTTTGGAAGTGCAAACACCCATATTAAGTAATGAAGGGACGGGGGCTAATGCCAATCCATTCAAGACAAAATTCAAAGACACCGAGGTTCAATTGAGAGTGGCGCCTGAATTGTGGTTAAAGAAATTGGTGATTGGTGGGTTTGATAAAGTGTTTGAAATTGGCAACAATTTTCGTAATGAGGGAATTGACCAGACTCATAATCCTGAATTCACATCGTGTGAATTTTATCAAGCATATACTAGTTTAGAAGAGTTGATGCAAATGACTGAAGAGTTATTAACAGAGATTTTCAAAACATTCAATATGACTTCCATTTTAGAAAAAGCAAAGTTTCCCCGATATGAGTTTTTGCCAACTTTGGAACAAGTCACGGGCGTACCGCTCAATGATTTATCGTTTGATGGTCTTTTGCAGTACTACAAGCGTCTTGATCTACAAGTACCGCCCAACCCCAACCCCACCAGCTTACTTAACAACTTGAGTGAAGTATACTTAGAATCATTGAGCGTTTCAAAACACCCAAATACTCCCGTGTTTATCTACAACCAGCCCGAACTCTTATCACCATTGGCGAAATCATCCTTAGTCAATGGTACTACTCGCGTGTCATCACGATTTGAATTGTTCATCAATGGTAAAGAATTCATCAATGCCTATGAAGAAGAAAATGACCCGTATCAACAATTTGCCAAGTTTAAACAGCAACAAGAAAGTAAACGGGAATTCAACGATGATGAAATGCTTATTCCTGATTGGCAATATGTTCAAACAATGAAATTGGGATTACCGCCTACTGGAGGATGGGGGATTGGAATTGATCGATTGGCTATGTTTATAAGTGGAGTCGAGAGGATTGATAACGTGTTGCCATTTGGTAACTTGAGAGATGTTTTAAAACAATAGATTTCTTTTGTAAATAGATGAAAAAAAGAAAAGTTGTACACTTGTAATATTACACTCTGATTAAAAGACACATACAAAGGGGGATCATTTTAATCTTTCATTTCAACATCCTTTGACAGCGAAACCTCTTCACCATCTTCTTCATCTTTAGGGGATTTGCCAGCATCGGCATCAGGACTCTTTTCCTTCTCCTCTTGTGCTGTTTTCTCTTTCTCCTGTTCTTCGTCGCCAGCATTCTTTTGTTCTTGTCCCTCTTCCTTCTCCTCTTCTTTCTGCTCTTCTTCCTCTTCCTGCTCCTCGTCCACCTCTTCTTCTTCTACTGGTAATGTTTTTGGTTTCCAAATCTCCAACAATCGGTCATCACCAACACTGGCAAACAAATGGGGGATCTTGGGATGTATGGCAAAATCATTGATTCTACCCACATGTCCACCATGGACATACTTCAAACACGGATCTGGCTTATTAGCCTGTTGGTTTTTCCGTTTCGAGGTCTCACTACTATTGGCATTGGCATCAGGATACGAATAATCTTCTTCCAAATTTTCCAAATTCCAGAATATAACTCTTGAATCCAACCCGCACGACACAAGAGTCGATGGATTTGACCAATCCCATTCCAATTGTCTTATGGCATCATTATGGCCAAACAATTTCCTAAATGGTTGTTTATAATTTCTTACATCGTACAACGACACAACATTATCTTTACCAGCAGTTGCATAAAGGGTGTTAATTTGGGGATGAAACTTGATACAATTTTGAATAAATTTGTTGTCAACTTTGATAGCAGGGTTGGCATAGTCTCCCACACCACCACTGGCTATGGATGATGCTCTTAAGTCATGGATTTGTGTGGTTGAATCGTCACTCACCGAACCAAAGATATTAGCGTCACTAGTTGAAATATCATTGATTGCGCCATGGTGAGATTTGAATAGTTGAATAGGAGTAGATGGTTTGTCAAGTTGCCACAAGGCAATTTGCGAATCATTAGCCCCCGATAAGAATCGCTCACTATTATTATCGTTGTCCTTGATCCACTCTAAAGCAAATCCTGATTGTTTATGATACTTGTAGTCGACAACTATATCACTGGTCAAATTGTACCCATGGATAATGCCATCGCCATTAAACGACAAAGCAGTAGATCCATCGGGAGATAATTTCAATGCATTAGCTACTGAATTTTGTTTCCATTTGGTTATTCTCTTGAAGTTTGAAGTGTCTACCCCATCAGCTGGGACTGAAATGGCGTCATGGCCAATTAAAGTAGAAGACAAAGTAATTGAAGCTAGTTCCAATGAGTTCTCCATTGCATTGATTGTGTTTGAGCTTAGTAGGAACTGGACTTCAACCTTGTCATCATCAACGTTTTCAACTTTAGGTAACCATTCGACAATTGTTGACGGGTGGTCCAATGCAAATGTGTGGATCAAATCGTACAATAAGGGCACTGTCTTTTTCCATATTTTGAACTCCTCGTTGGTGACTTTCTCTTGAAGTTGCTGATCTTGGACTATTTCCTTTTCTGCTTTGGCCCATTCGTTCGTCGAAGAAGGCATGGCTGTTTTTTTCTGCTGTTGTTGTTTTTATTGAAGCTGGGGATGTACGTGATGGGAAGATACTTTTGGGGTAAGGTTTTACCGTTTTGGAATGTGGACACGAATAGTTGTATTTTCTTGGAGAAGTTAGCTTTATCTGTGGTGTCTACTCCCTCTGGTACTACTATTAGAGAAGTGAATTTTATTTTTGATGTCGTTTTTTTGTTTTTGCTTTTCTTCTTTTTTTCTTTTCGCCAAATCCAAATTTGCGACAAAGTCTTTTGACGCAAGTTTAGTCAGTTATAAGTGAACAAGGGACATTTGAGTTCAAGTGATAAGCTGCTCTCGTAGATAATTATGCTTCAAGCAGGCACGACTAACTTTCACAAACAGTGGCTGTAAGTGAAGGATAAGAAGCAACCCACAGTCTTCTTTTGGGAACAGCAACAAAAAGCTTCTGAATATTACTGTTAGAATAGTCAACTCAGGTTATGTCACATTCTTGGTAGACTTTACTAATCATCCTATCTTCATTTATATACCCATTAAGCAGAATCAAGCAACAAAACAAGAAAAAATTATACTTTATGAACCTCTTTATACTATAATTATATAATGAGGATTGGCAGCATTGGGTTATTGTCGTGTCGTGATAAAACAAAACGACACAATGGTATAAATATTCAATGGCAACTCCGATTAAGTGTCTATGTAGTTGTTGGTTCTGTAATTAAATATAAAAACAATACACATGGATTGTAGAAGGAGGGGGGAGGGTGGCAGATGAATTGTGACTCTTTTGAACAGATGCGACAACGACGGTGTCATTTTTTATTTTAAACTTTTGCAACAGTGATGATATCTTACGATTAAATTGCCAGTCATACAAGGTTGACTGTATTCTGTGTTGCATTTCATGGTGTTTGTGTTTTCTGCTATTGACACACAAAAGATAGCCACTCTTCCTTTCTGTTCATCTTCTTTCATTGTTACATTTGGCTCTTGGCTACGAGTGCATATGGTCTAATCTAACAATGGATTGCTCTCTGTTAAGTTTTTAGCCTAATTGCAAGCAAGATAGACAGGTAAACTTTAGCTATAAGGCTTAGTGTCGACATGCTTAGTGTCGACATGCTTTGTGTATAGTATTATTCTAATCGGGGTTTGTTAATCGGTCTTTGCAGTCTCTCGGGAAAGACACTGTTAATCGGTGATCGAAAGATTCCACCCCCAAGAGGAAAAAAAAAAATAAAAGCAACACAGTCGTACGTTACAAACACAGTTGCTTAATGGTAATACAATATACTTTTTATATGTGTAGCATTTATGAATTTTACTGCATTAGGCAATGTACATAATTTGGAAAGTTAATTTCTGTTTTTTTCTGTTTTCGGGATTTGTGATTTTCTATTTCTTTCTTTAATTCGGCATTTGAAATGACCCCCTTCCCCCAAATTTTATATGCAGTATGTAAATACGGCCTTAACTGAATTTGGTGCATGCCAAGAAAAAAAATATTCTGTGTCTTCATTTATGGGTACTTTTATAGTAAATGTGGAAGAGGGGACTATTGCTAAAGTTGGACTACTCCTTACCATAAATTCCAGGTCTAAGCCATGGTTCGTCACTGCCGAGGAATATGACATCATCTATAACAAACAAGGGGGAAAACAGTATGAAAACTTCCTTAAGCCATTTCTCCACATTTCTTGTTCTTCCTTTGTTTGAAACTCGGGCTGAAGAATAAAGTAGTTAGCCTGAGACGGAGTTTGAAATGTTTCAAACAATAAAGCAAGAACCCCCTCCTGCAGATGAGATATTATAGATATTACCCCATATTGAGCGGGGAATGGAGGAACGGGGAATGAAATAAAAATAAATGAATATAAAGTAAGAAAGTAAAAGACCATTAAGCAATAAACTTTGTGTTAAACAGATAGTTAAATGGGTTGGAACGGTGGTGTTTTATATGTTGTGTCACCAGATAGTGTTTGTTCACACACCCTAGAATGTTTCTAAATGCACATACAAAATGTACTACAACGGAAAATACGGATTTTAATATTCCCCATTACCATTGTGATGGCTGGTGTTTCGATATCTCCTTAGTGTCAAACGTACATTTTTTCTTTTTAGGTTTTGTAAAGGAAAAAGTGTGTAGTATTTATGCTGAACGGTAATTGGTTTATTATTCGGTGTTTTCCCTTTTTCATCCATTCCCAAAAAGACCGAAAATATCCAACTCTCGCCGTTTCCTTTTTTTTTTTAGTCTGGCTTTTGTATTTAATGTCGTGTGACAGTGTCCATAATTTCAAATGAATTTCATGTTACACCAAACAACGGCAATATTTTCTCCCTTTTGAGTGAAGAAAAGAGAAAAATGACTGGTTATGTTCTATACCATGTGTCATAAACTGCTATATCAAGAGCATATAGCTGTCAGAAGGAAGATTTAAAGACAAAAGTATAAAATGACATAAAATGACATAAAATAAAATAAAAAGATTAAACAAGAAAATAGAAAATAGAAATACAATTGGTAGAGAGAGAGAGAGAGAGAGAGAGAGAAGGAGGCTTAGGCGTAAGTGTGTGTGTGTGTTTTACTTAACTTGGTAATGTATAAAAGAGGGGGGCAGGTAGGAGTGATGGTATGGTTATATCTTGTTCAAAGAAAAAAACAGTTAAAAGCGCTATGACACACACTCAAATGTGTAAGTTGAAATCATATCTTAAACCAAACCCCGACCGAAGTGAAGGCGGAGATGAGGGATTTGGTGGCTTTTGAGTGGGATAATAGGTAAATTGTGTAAAAGAAGAATGGCCATCCTCAATATGTAATTAGCTTCTTCTGACTTTGAAGAAGATGATTATGATTATGATTATGTTGTTGTACACTGGTGATAAGAGAGTATTTTTATTATATCTTTTTGTTATCTCTCTTATTTGTTGTTGTTGTTTTGTTTTGTTTTGTTTTATTTTGTTTTGTTTGTTCTTATCTTTTTCCTGTAAGAAGATTTTGCCCCACTATTGTTTTATTTCTGTTTTATTTTATTTTAATTTTATTTTATTTTAATTTTTTAATTTTTTAATTTTTTAATTTTTTAATTTTTTATTTTTTAATTTAATTTCTTCTACCAATAGAAGAAATATTCATCCATCGCCTTTATTAACAGAGAGAGAGAGAGAGAGAGAGAAAAAAAATCACTAAAAAAATTAAAACTCAAAACAATAATATCCAAAACTATCAAAACAACCAAAACAACCAAATCATCAAAAGTATTTAACTGATAAGAAATCCACTTCAACTTATTTCACTATCCTAATTTTACTTTTCTTTTCTTCTTTTCTTTTTTTTTTTCCTGGATGTTATTGAAGCATCATCATAAATTTCTACTATCTTCATCATCATCAGTAGCATCACTAATCATACTCAAACAACAACTTAAAACAGGAGGTTCATATACTACTACAACCACTACTACAACTACTACTACAACTACAACTACAACTACAAAACACAGCTATTCGACAGCAACAGCAAGAACTAGACCACCACTTACTGCTGGGTTTCCAATGTTTTCATCAGTTTACAACTACTTTTTCAACAACAACTCATCTTCAACTTCATTAGACGCTTCACAACATCAACAACAACAACAGCTGAGATCATATTCCACAAATAACCCTAATGTATCTTTAGACTACATCAGCACTTTCCACCCTAGATTATCCACCATTTTCCACCAACTAGATGCTATTGCTCCTAGATTCTTGTTAAATAAAGGTGATATTGAAATATTATCAGAACCAGCCCATTTTTACTCAACATTGAAAACCAAAATATCACAAGCTAAAAAAAGAGTATATTTATCTTCATTATACATTGGTAAATCTCAATATGAACTAGTACAATGTCTTGATGACGCTTTAGCCAATAATCCCGATTTGAAGATTTATTTATTAACTGACGTGTTGCGAGCTACTAGAGAGGCTCCTCATGATGTTTGCTCAGCATCGTTATTAGCACCATTGGAACAAAAGTATGGTAAGCATCGAGTAGATATCAGAATGTATCACACTCCTAATTTAACTGGATTAACTAAAAAATTGGCACCAAAACGATTAGATGAAGGTTGGGGAGTCCAACATATGAAATTGTATGGGTTTGACGATGAAATTATTCTTTCAGGGGCTAATTTATCGCAAGATTATTTCACCAACAGACAAGATCGCTATTATTTATTCAAAAGCAAACCCATCACTGACTACTATTTCCGTCTTCATCAAGCAATTGCATCGATCTCGTATCAAATACGCCACACGACTCAATTAACACAAGGTTTCAAATTGATTTGGCCAACTACTAATGCATCTTGTGAACCACATATAAACACCCATCGGTTTCTCAGTGATGCGTCTCATTTGTTACTGCCCATTTTAAAACAACATGAACTAACGTCATTTGATGAATTTAAAGATCATGAAAATTTTGATACAATTGTGTATCCTGTATCACAATTCACGCCACTTTTTTTACCCAACCAAGATTTATCGACTGAAAAACCAGCCATTTTACGATTATTATCCTATATTGATTCACCCAAGATTAAATGGTGGTTTACTGCTGGTTATTTCAATATGTTGCCGCAAATTCAGGATAGATTATTAAACAGTAGTGCTCAAGGATCAGTCATTACTGCGTCCCCAAAAGCCAATTCATTTTATAAATCATCCGGATTATCCTATTACTTGCCCGAAGCGTATCTTTTATTCGCCAAGAGGTTCCTCGAACTGGTGAAGAAACTAGGTAAAGAAACATTGATCACGGTGTATGAATGGCAGAATGGAGTAGTCAATACTCCTGGTGGCTGGACATACCATGCCAAAGGGTTATGGATTAGTGTACCCGAGGAACAAGAACCTAGTATAACTGTAATTGGATCGTCAAATTACACCAAACGGGCATACAGTTCCGATTTGGAAAGTAATGCCATTATCATCACTAAAGATGCTGACTTGAAACGACAAATGAGACAGGAAATTGACCATTTGATGGAACATGTATCAGAATTGACCTTGGACGATTTCCAGCCAAAACCAATCTTGATGGGAGATCCAACAAAGAGTGGCATTGTGATTCAGGATATAAATGATGAGAAATTACTGGGTAATGGAAATGAGAAACAAAATGGTCAACAACAACAACAACAACAACAACAACAACATCCAAAATATGCTGTTGATGAAGATAGAAGGATCAGTTATAGAGTTCATTTGGCGGTTAAGCTACTTGGTGAAAAGTTGTAAATCATGTAAGTAGGTAAAAAAAGGGGGTTAAATTTAGAGCTTATAATAAAAAAATAGAGAATTTGTAACTATAACCAACCACCCATATTAGCTCCCATAAATTGTATTGCACTTTACACTTCTTTATAATGGATATCTGGTTGCTTGGTTCTGTATGTGTAATATTGTACAGCTATGATGCCAAGCGACACAATCTTGAAAGGAACCAATAGCCAACTGGGCAATAACAACGATGATACATCAGCCCATGGCGTCCACATCAACGCAACTCTAGCAATAATTTCAACTAACATAGACAACAATTGTAAATGTAACCAATAAGGATGTAACCCACTAGTGGAATCCTCCATCCAATTGACCATCACTTGAGGATATAATTTCACGGCATCAAATATTTTGTATATGACAAGCACGTAATCAGCTAGATCCAACTCATTGATAGTGGCTTGTTTGAAGTGCCGTAGCTTAACCAAGTATATAAATGGAGCAAACACAACTATGGTAAACCCAAGGAAATATCGACTTATACCACCACCACCACCACCACCCCCCCCTTGTTGTCGTCCTCTTGTTGGTTTATACATGGCTAATTGCACTAGTACGCCTATTGACATCATGAATGAAAGCGCATCGAAGATTAAAATGAGACGTGGCACAGGTGGCGGGTCCAGTGACCATCGAATCCGGTATTGTGATGTGACTGTTGTTGTTGTTGTGGAGGAGGAGGAGGAGGAGGAGTCGAAACTAAAGTAACCTATAATTAGTGTCAAGTGGGCGAGGAATTGTAGGTGTGAGTAGTCATATGATAGACCGTGGGTCGATTTATTTGATTTGTTGTATTTGCATTGTAGGCAGATGGATAGTAGATGGATACATGATGTTGATGCGGAGACCAAGTCAGTTAAGTGCATTCCTTCTCTTTTTTGGCTTCTATTTTGTATTAACACACGATTGAATTGTGGACTTAACAAGAAGTTGGTTTTCGCGACAAAGTATAATCAAAAGCATTTGACATCAACAAAATTACACAACCCAAATACTACAACTAGCTACCAGGCCCACAGAACAATACAACGATAAGTCATGAGCTCAGAAGTTGAAGGAAACTGGGATATAATAATAACATCACTACAAGATATATGCACCTCCAATGAAAGTCTACCATTTGATTCAATCCATGATATCAACCAGAATCAAGACGAACAACAAGAAGAATACTACAAGTCCCTCACACTGCAAGAATTAACCAAGTTGAAACAAGATATCATTGACCACAAATCAAATATCGGTACAGCCAAGAGACTTATCGATACGTCAATGGAAAATATATCTCGATTGATTGAGTATTTACAGAAGGATGAGTTGAAGAAGAAACAACAACGCGAGAAGGAAAAAGAGCATCAACAGCAGGGTGCAAAAGGTACTGGTGCGGGTGCGGGTGCGGGTGCGGGTGCCGATGATGGAGACGAGGATGGTGAAAATGAAGATGAGGTACCTATCGCATCAACTACGAAACGAAGGAGAGCATCTTCGGCGTCGTCAACATCGTCCAAACCCGGTTCACCAATGGCCTCAGCTTCAACGGCCCATCACAGACGAGGTGAATCAGCAAAGCCAATCACTGCATCACAAGCAACTACATCATCAAAGATTTCCGGCAAAGGGGGTAAATCCAGCGGCGGCAAAGCCAGCGCAAGTAAAGCTAGTGGAGGTAAAGCCAGCGGTGCAACAAATAGTGGCACTGGAGCTATAGGCAAGGGCAAAAAATTGAAAAAAGTGGGCCGATCATACTGGACCTCAAAATACAATCCATCGGAACCTATATACATTGGCAGCGAAGTAGCGTTCAAACTACGTAATCGAATCAACGAATGGATCCAGTGCGAAGTTGTTAAAATCATTGGCGATGGAATCAAATTTGAAATCAGAGACCCTGAACCTGATGAAAATAATAACCCGGGACATACATTCCGCGCCAATTATAAGGAAGTTTTACTTATCCCCACGGAAGACATGCGATACGATTTGATTAATTATGCTTATGGGACCAGAGTTCTTGCTCGGTATCCTGATACAACGACTTATTATGCTGCTATTGTTGTGGGGCATAAGAAGGATGGCAATGTGCGGTTAAAGTTTGATGGAGAGGAGGAAGTGAATAAGGAATGTGAAGTGGAGCGCCGGTTTGTGTTGCCGTTGCCGCTGAAGTAAACCAGCAAAGGGCTTCTGAGGAAATGATGTATAGGTATAGTAGGTGACGTTGTGTAGATAGAGTAATACTACGTTGGGAGCAAACCTCTAATCAGGTCGTGTACTTTAGGAGCGAGTGGCTTTATTGGAAAAAATTGATGTTGAAATTTCGAATGCGTCAATCAATTTCGAAAAAAACAAACAAAAGGACTCACATCCATAAATAGAAACGAACAATACAATCTAAAAACATGGATGGAATGGACATTGATGATTACTCAAGGGTACGTTATACTTTACAGAAGTAAAGAGAGGGAAGCTTTTTTTTATTCACTTTTGGTGACAACAAAAAAAAAATCAGAAAACGAGAAAAGAGGAGCATGATGCCGATATCTATGCTCGAGTCGTTGCTGATGCCGACACCATTACCATTACCGATGACGAAACAAAGAGACGAAATTCAGCCGTTCTGGCACATGTTCAATCTCCACACCAGTCGATTACCGATGATTTTGAGAACTTCCATTACTTGGTAACGAAGAGTAGAGACCATGTATACGAGATGAAAAAAAGAAATTGGGACGGGGTTGTGTGTTTTTGTTCGGCTTGTTTTGGTCACTGATTATAATGTTTTGTGGTTGTGGTTGGAATAATGACGAGGGCTTCATGGATGGAACAATTGAGCAATAAACGCTGGTTGAATAAAAGAAATAAACCATTACTTGGGTGCTTTTTGTTGAGTTTATCGGATAATGGCAGAAATAAGAAACATGGTGCTGTGTTGGAAATAATTACGTTGATGTGTGGCCACATTTGATGAAGCTGCTTAAAAGGTTCCCTTAATTTCACTTTTTGGGATCGCTGTCGGTGTTGATGCGTTATTTAACTCGTTTTTCTTTTGCTTTTATTTTTGTTGTTCATTAGCTGCTTGTTTGCTTGTTTGCTTGTTTGCTTGTATGCTTGGTATGCTTGGTATGCTAGTTTGCTTGCTTTGTCGTTTGTGCTTTTTGCTTCATTTTGCTTACTTGCCGCTTGCTGCTTGCTACTTGCTGCTTTTGATAAAATTCACTTCTAATTTTCTTTGCCGTTAAAACCAAAGCAGAATCTGTGGTGCTAACTTAAACTATTATAGGATCGGTCCCCTGTAAGAGACAGAGAAAGATCGCCAATCAGAGATAGGTCTAGTAGAGATGGTGGATCTTCGTCAAATGATAGAGACTCGTATGGTAGAAGAGATTATGGCGGATCGAGTTATTCAAGATCCTCATATGGTGATAGAAGAGGAGGAGGTGGTGGTAGAGGATCATCATCTTATGGTACATCTAGAGGATCATCATCGCATGGTGGTAGTGGATACCGTGGAGGTAGCAGTAGAGACTATTCCTCAAGAAATTACGGTTCCAGAAGTAGTGAAGTTGAAGGTGATGCAGGATATCGCTCAAAAACTGAAAGGAACTATGATAATTCAATTTTCATTGGTAATATACCATTTGATTCGCTGTCGAGAGATATTGAGGATATTTTCAGAAATGACTTTGATATAGTTCGTGCTGATATCGTCACTAATAGAGGTAGGTCAAGAGGTATGGCCACTGTTGAATTTAAAACCAAACAAGATGTTACCAAAGCAATCAGTAAATATGATAGATTTGCCTACCATGGAAGAGAGATTTTTGTTAGGCAAGATTACCCACCACCAGACAAGAAAGATTTCGGATCAGGAAGATCTTTTGATAGGGGTGGTAGTAGGTATGGTGGTAATGACTCCCATTATGGTAGGGATAGCTCAAGAGGTGGATATAGCTCTGGTAGAAGTGACTATAGACCTCCGTTGCCACCAACGACTCCAGGAACAGAAGTGTTTGTTGGTAACTTGCCGTTTTCAATCACTTGGCAAGCACTTAAGGATATAATGAGAAAAGCTGGACAAGTAGCTAGAGCTGATGTCAGGTTGGATGAATGGGGAAGATCAAGAGGTTTTGGTACAGTTGTGTTTGAAACCCCCGAGGCAGCCAATGCTGCAGTGGAGATGTTCCAAGGGTATGAAATTGAAGGCAGGAAATTGGATACAAGACATGGACGTACTGCTAATCCACCTGCATCTGGAGAAGCATCCGCGGCTGCGTCATCAGTCGGAGGCAAAAAGAACACTGAATTCACTGAAGGAGTCACTGGTGATGGAGAAGAAGCCAACGACACCATATATGTGGAGAATTTACCTTTTAGTACCCAAAATGATGATTTGTTTGACTTGTTTGAAACTATTGGTAGAGTAACCCAAGCAGAAATCCAGTATCAAGAAGATGGTAGAGCTAGTGGTAATGCTGTTGTTCAATTTGAGATAGTTGAATCTGCTACTACTTCAATTAATGAATTGAATGGATATGAATATGGTGGAAGAAGATTAAAGATTTCTTACAAGAAATTATGAGTTATAAGGAGTTAGGAAGAGTAAAAATTGTTGATGTTGTTGTGTTTTAGATTATGTTCTGTTTGTTTGTAATGCATATTACTGAAAATTATAGTTGACTCTATTTATTTTTGCTATTTGCAGAGTTAATCAATATGCAACAGCATGCGGATTTAAAAGGAAGCGTATCAATAGATCGTATTTGGGAGTTAAAGAAAAAAAAACGTGACGTCAAAATACAGATGGTAGCGCCAAAGGTCTAGTTCCTCTTTTCTTTTTTGTCTTAATTCCTATATATAAACCATAAGAACTGTGGGTATTACTAAGAAAGGAACTAAAAAAAAAAAAGGAAAAAAAAAAAAAAGATTTGAAATTTCGGAGCCGTTCCGATCTTCAATGTGAACGTGGACGTACTGTGGCAATAAAGTAGGGTATGAAGAAGGTAAGTGGGGTTCATAGAGGAAGTATAGCAATTGATCAATGTATGTGTAACTATATGACTACTCTTATGATCTTCCGACATACTACAGTTCTATATCTATATATCTATATATATCTTACATATGCATATTGTAATTTTGTATTTCTGGAAATTAAAAAAATTAAAAAATTAAAAAACTAAAAAAATTAAAAAACTAAAAAAATTAAAAAACTAAAAAAAAAAATTATAAAATATTTTATAAACTTTACTTTTTCTCCTCATCATCAATCAATCAATCAATCAATCAATCCTTAAATTCTTCTTCTTCTTTCAAGTTCAATTTAATCAACCACAGTTGAAGAGATATATATCTATTCATCATTATAACCACTGTTACTACTAATATCACCACTACTACAACTAATAGCGAATAAAGAAAGAAACAGGGGACAATGTATAAACATATATTCAGAGTTAATAATCCTACTAGACTGCTTAGGCAGCTGCAGAATCTCAAATCATATGCAACTAGGTGTCTAGCCACTACATCCACGCCACCACCACCATCACCAACCAAAACAGATGCTACTGCTTCCACTGCCGCTCCTTCTGTTAACAGGCATGTGTCGACGCCTTTGGATATCCCTGCTGACGTACAACCACCAGCAGGTTCAGCACTCAGTTTGAAATCCGCCACTCGTGATCCATCCAAATTTGGTACTCGTCCCATCTACTTAGATGTGCAGGCAACAACACCAACTGATCCACGTGTCTTGGACAAGATGTTGGAATTTTACACAGGTTTATATGGTAACCCCCATTCCTCCACTCATGCTTATGGTTGGGAAACCGACAAGGAGGTGGAAAAGGCAAGAGCACATGTGGCTAGTGTAATAAATGCCGATCCGAAAGAAATCATTTTCACTAGTGGTGCTACTGAAACCAACAACATGGCCATTAAAGGTGTACCACGTTTCTACAGAAAAACCAAAAAACACATTATCACCACTCAAACTGAGCACAAGTGTGTTTTGGATTCAGCTAGACATATGCAAGATGAAGGATTTGAAGTTACTTACTTGCCAGTGGACTCTCAGGGGCTTATCAACTTGGATGATTTGAAAAAGGCCATTAGAAAAGACACTTGTCTCGTTTCAATTATGGCCGTCAATAATGAAATCGGTGTTATACAGCCATTGAAGGAAATTGGAGAGATTTGTCGTGCAAACAAAGTATTTTTCCACACCGATGCAGCCCAAGCCTATGGTAAAATTCCTATTGATGTTAATGAAATGAAGATTGATATCTTGTCTATTTCTTCCCACAAGATTTATGGACCAAAAGGTATTGGTGCTTGTTACATAAGAAGAAGACCTAGAGTTAGATTGGATCCAATCATCACTGGTGGTGGACAAGAAAGAGGTTTAAGATCAGGTACTTTGGCTCCACCATTGGTTGCTGGTTTTGGTGAAGCAGCTAGATTGATCAAAGAAGAAGGTGCTTACGACAAGAAACATATTGAAAAGTTATCTACCAAGTTGAGAGAGGGTTTGTTATCGATTCCATCAACCATCCTCAATGGTTCCTCTGACCCCAAGTCACAATACTCTGGTTGTGTCAATGTCTCGTTTGCTTACATTGAAGGTGAGTCATTGTTAATGGCATTGAAAGATATCGCATTGAGTTCAGGTTCTGCCTGTACATCAGCTTCATTGGAACCATCATATGTTCTTCACGCTTTGGGTGCTGATGACGCTTTAGCACATTCATCAATCAGATTTGGTATTGGTAGATTTACCACTGAAAGTGAAGTTGATTACGTGATACAGGCAATTCATGAACGTGTTGAATTCTTGAGGAAAATGTCGCCCTTGTGGGAAATGGTGCAAGAGGGTATTGACTTGAACTCAATCGAATGGAGTGGACATTGAGTTTTGCGAATGGGTTATAGAGAGAGATGAGGTGACGATGGTGTTTTGTTTGTGGGGTGGAGTTTATTAGTTGTATATTTAGGAGTTTGCTATCGTGTATAGTTCGTGAGAGAACATTTAACATCATATATAGAGGATATATACTAGTGTAGTCTTGAAACAGTCTGAGTGCAATAGGCTATTCCTCTAGGGTGTCGAGTCTGATTGTGTACCGAGGAGTAGGAAAGAAAAAAGTTATCTTTGCCTATTTCGCTCTCCTGTACCGGTTGTATTTTATTTTCGGCTCCCTGAAAAGTTTTGGAAAAACTAAACTTTGTCTCCTCGATTCAATTTTTCAACCCAAACCATTTAACAACTGCTTTTGTCAAATCAACACTATACATCAACGAACAATGTCTGGATCCACAATTACAAAAACGATTACTGTCTTACCAGGTGACCATGTTGGTACCGAAATTTGTAACGAAGCAATCAAGGTTCTCAAAGCCATTGAAGAATCAACGCCTTATCAAAAAATCCACTTTGATTTCAAACACCACTTAATCGGTGGTGCTGCCATTGACGCTACTGGATCACCGCTCCCTGATGAATCATTACAACTGGCCAAGACATCTGATGCAGTCTTGTTGGGAGCAGTAGGTGGGCCCAAATGGGGTACTGGCTCAGTTCGTCCTGAACAAGGATTATTAAAGATCCGTAAAGAATTGAACCTTTATGCTAACATTCGTCCTTGTAATTTCGCTAGTGAATCACTTTTGGAATTGAGTCCATTACGTCCCGATATTGTCCGCGGTACTAATTTAATCATTGTTCGAGAATTAGTTGGTGGGATTTACTTTGGTGAGCGTCAAGAACAAGGTGAAAGTGCAGATGGCGAGACGGCATGGGATACTGAGAAGTACACCGTGGCTGAAGTGACGAGAATCACGCGCATGGCGGCATTTATGGCATTGCAACACAATCCTCCATTGCCTATTTGGTCATTGGATAAAGCTAATGTATTGGCATCATCAAGATTATGGAGATCAACGGTTGATAAAGTCATTTCAACTGAATTCCCACAATTAAAAGTCCAACACCAGTTGATTGATTCGGCCGCCATGATTTTAATCCAAAACCCCACCAAATTGAATGGTATCATAATCACATCAAACATGTTTGGTGATATCATTTCCGATGAAGCTAGTGTCATTCCGGGATCTTTGGGTCTTTTACCTAGTGCGTCATTGGCTTCATTGCCCGATACAAACAAGGCCTTTGGTCTTTATGAACCTTGTCATGGTTCAGCACCCGATTTGGCCGAAAATAAAGTCAACCCCATCGCCACTATCTTGTCGGCTAGTTCCATGTTGAGGTTGAGTTTGGACTGTGTTAAAGAGGCCGAGGCTTTGGAAGAGGCAGTTAAACAGGTATTGGATCAAGGTATTAGAACTGGTGATTTGAAGGGAAATAACAGTACTACTGAAGTTGGAGATGCTGTTGCCGAAGCGGTTCAAAAGATTTTAAAATCAAAAGCGTAATTTAGGATGATTTTGGAGAAACATGGGAAGGTGTGAACTAGTTTATTATAAAAATACACATATGCTAATAAGACGATATCTCTCTTTATCGAATCATTTCAACGTTGAAATCACTAAATTTGATCGAGTTGCGCAAGAGGTTCGTGAGTTGGACAATGGAATCATCTCTCATAAACTCATTCAATGGTTTAGTTTTAGTTTCACTCGAGCGCATGGTTTTTGCAATGGTGACCCTATTCTTGGCAACCAACTTCTGTGGCAACGCATCTTTCGACTCAGGGATGTTGACCACTGGTTGAACTTGTGTTTTATTATCTTGGTCTTCTGTTGATGAATGGAAATCTTCATCCGATGGCTCAAAATTATTTGATGAATTGCTAACAAGCGTAACTACACTTGAATTAGTATGAAATGGAGTCAAGGTCATCAGAGGACTGTTATTGGTTGTCTTTATTGTAGGTAACGATTCTGTACCTATAGCTGTTTCCATTGGTGGTTTGCTGAATTCCTCATCGATCAATTTACTAAATTCAATTGCATATTCATGGGCACTAATGGACCTGACGGAACTTTCCCGGGGAATTCGACGGGGAACTGAGTTGGACCCAAGATGCTCAGAGCTAAAGTCGTTGGGGCCTGTAAACGCACCATTCATGCTGCTTTTTAAAGGTGGTGTGGCCAACGTATTACTGGACTTGGGCGTCTCGCTAACATGCGAAAATATCAGTGATTCATTCGACAGTTTGCGGGAATTAGCCGGTTGTTTGACAAATAATGGCATAGGGGGCTCGAGTTCATGCAACTTATTGCTAACAGCGCCTGGAGAATTGTTCATTGATTTCTCATTAAACTCAATCAAATCACCAGAATATCCCAACTGCAGAGACAATCTTCTCACTTCTCGATTCAACCTGTTACAAGAATCCACATTCTTGGCGTTGATACACTCCCAATTGGGTGTTTGGTCATAATCATCACTAAAGTAATCGCCCATAAAAGATGATGCCAGTGACATTTTCAAAACCATGGAGATATCATCCATAGTTGAAAGTCGCTTGATAGTGCTGGCTTCATGATCAACGATGGAAACACTATGATCAATTTCAATTTCATCCAATTTATCCATTTGTGGGAACTTGAAATTGGGTGATACATCAATCGACGATATAGACTCGCATCGTTTATTCTTCTTGTCAGCTGTTGATAAATCTGGCTTACTCTCCACGACTGTGCTTTTTGGTGACACATTTCTTTTCTGGAGCGTGGGCACCGGCTTGTATATCTCTTTGTATTCGAGTTTGGTTCCTTGAGGAATAAATGTATTGGATACCTTCTTTTTTGGTTTTTTGGGCTCATGAATTGGAAAATTGGTCTTTTTTGCTCTTTTCAAGTGGAGCTTGCTCAAGATAGAGCTTGTTGAAGACAAAGGATTATTCGAAGGAGTTTTTGCGAGGTTTACCTCTGGTTCACTTTTGGATGTACCAACATGGGTGGACTTTGCATTTGTCAGATCTCGTTTCTCCGGTGCTTCAGCATCATGTAGAAAGCAGTCAACCAAGTATCTTAGATGTGATGAATTTCCTTCAATTTCATTATGGGTTACCACATTATATGACGAAAACAAATTATGGAATGTCTGTTCCACCATAAGCTCAACATAGTTGGAAAACTGATCACTTTCAACAATGTCATTAATCTGCTGCTGAGTGCATTTGTCATATCCAGTAACCTTAACTTCATTATAGTTGACCATTGTTGCCTGTAGTAATAAAAGTAATTGAGGATGGTCATCAAAGTAACACGGCACATCTACATCCATATTCAAAATCAAGGCAAACGGCAGCTTGAATGTCTCTGTTTGGTAGTCAGATGTTGATTGAGCAGTATAGCAAATATGCATGTTGCTGTTTGTTGACTTGAATAAATGAAACGACGACGATTTATGAAGTATTTTTGACTTCTCAACTGCGACTATGATATCCTCAGCTGGGATACGACTCCCCGTAACTCGATAGTTACGAATAAATGACTTTGGTCCATTCTTGGACGATTTAAACCCATCTGCATGCATAGAAAGAAACCGAAGACATTCTATTTCTGTATTCATTTCATCCAATGCCATGTACTTGCTAACCAATACATCTTCAATACGACTCCAAGCAGATACTTGCATCGAGGGGAATGCATCTAAATCAGGCATGGGTTTTTCATTGATTAATGAATGCATCAAGGCATCAGCCACTGACAATTGCTTCCTGTGCTCTTTACTCATGTCGTCAACATCGTCATCGTCAACGGTAAAGAACAATAAATAATCTGAAAAAACAACCAAAATCTCCAAGCTTGTCATATTTGTAGGTGCAACATTGTGTAATTGGAAAATCCCTACAACTTTCCTCGAATTCCAGTCAAATTGGAGCTCTGATGGCCAATTCCCTGCCAATTCTGTCAACATTCTGCCGGTGGGCGTAAACACTCGACGTCTTGCTTCAACTTTATGCTCATCTGCTCCCGAAAACGCGTAAATAACATCCATTGCTGAAGTGAAATGCAGGTCTATCAAATGCAAAGTGTTGCTGGTAGTGTCACTGTCGTTGTCATTGTCAAAATTCCGCAATTGTATCTCCTCAAACTCAATTGCATCATGTAGCCTCTGCAACAAAAGCTTAAACTTGGGTAATTCCAATAACGCACCAGTGACAATTGAATCGATCTCGCGCACAGTATATTGCGATGAATTTATCTTCAAGTTTTCAAACACACCCAGCTTATAGTTTTGAGAAAATTTGGTCAAATTTTCGTTAAAGTGCTTCACATTGGCTTCGTGGCGTATAAAAGGTTTGTAGAAATATGGCAAGACTTTTCCCATAGCAACAATGACTTCGATATCATCCACTTTGCGAGCCTTCAATAACGCATCATTTAAAAGGCAATTGACCCGTGTTATTTCATCAATAGTTGGTGGGAAAATCTGGTTAATTTTTTGTATAGCACCACTTGACTTTTCGTTATCATTTTTCGTCACACTTATCCGCAAAGGTATTATAAAAGTTTGTAGTAAATTCACCAATCGAGCCGTGTAATTGGTCTGTACATTTATAAGCTCATCTAAGATGGATTGTATTTTGGGGTTCAGAAAATGCACAAGTTTCCTGTCTGGGGATGGTGTGTATGCTGCTTTTATTTCCTCGGGAGCATATTCCAATAACAGATCAAAAATTTGATCCAATTGCTGTCCCAACAAAGAAACCAACGTATTATTCTCCTCTACTACTTCTTCTTTAGCATGATCGTTATCATAGATTACATCTATTGTGAAGGAGCACAATTGCTGATGTTGCACCAATCCAAGTTCAAGAATCTTTTTCCCCACTTCATCTGGTGATTTACTCTGTATCAACGACATTGCACTCGCTAGACCACCGGCATTAGTTTCATCCCACATGGGTAAATTTATCAGATGATGGTGATTATTCAACATTCTATTGGAATTCTTCAAATTCAGAATGGCCAATGCTTGTCGTACATGTGACTTTTGATATTGTGGTAAAAGGTTTTCACAACTAGGCCAGAATCGAGAATTCGAATCCAATCTCAAGTCAGGAAACGAAGCTAATCCAAATTTGGTAATTGTTTGAGTAGAGAGCTTGTTCTTTCTCGCGCTTTTATATACTATTGTTATAACTTGATTAAACATGACATCATCGTGGCCAGTAAATATTGCGGCACGTTGAAGAATATCTAACCAATGTAGAAGCAGTCCATTGTTTTGGTCAGGGCACTCGTTTGTATCATTGTCATGATTATCACCATTGAAGAAAGGAAGCCGAATACCGTCCCTGGCTACTATGCTGTCAATGGAGTTTGGTGTCTTGTTGCCAATGGTGCTGGTTTGTGTTTGTTTTGATTTGAAGTGTTCTTTGTCGTGTTCACCCGAAACGTAACGCGTGTAAAGACTCATCCGTGCTCCATGTACAAAATTCAGTTTGATATAGTAATCTCTTTAGCTTTAAGTTCAAGATATAAGTAGCCCAACGATAATCTAGCAAATGAATAGTGTATTTGAGTAAAGCTATAAATTACAGGATATAAAAATTATGTATGAGAGACCAAATATAAGAAAAAGAACATCTATGGTAGCGTTTTGAATGTTTTGGTTTTATCCCTTTCTGGGAAAAAATAAAAACGTTAATTATCGTATAGTACAATCTTTTGAGTTTTTCTTCATACAAATGCGACACAACGATCAAAACCACATAGCTTCCCAAAACGATTTCCGTATATTTATCATGATTGATGAGCTGGATCCTGTTAAATTAAAGTGATGAGCTTAAGAACATCAAACAGTGACAATCCATGTTTCCAACTGTAGGCTTTTTGAAGTTAGTTTTTTCTACTTTCATTTCTCAAAGGTTTTGCAGTCATTTTCTCCAATTAAAAGTAGCCCCCTTCCCATTCATTAATTTAGGAAAAAGAATTCATATTCTAGAAAGATTTCACTTACAAGCAATAGTGGATATGGCCACTGGCGTGTTTACAGAAGCCTTGATAACTTGCTAAGGTTATCTTTGCTGTCGCTTCTCTTACTCTTGGTGTTAGTTGTTCTTTTCTAGATAAATTTGACCGCTCAACCTTGGCCATATACGCTGACCAGAACTCTTCAATTGCGTTTAGTCCGGGTGAATAAGCTGGTAAAAGCACTAGTTCCATTCCACTCAGTGCTATCAATAGTTCGAGATCGCAGGGTTTATAGATGTCTGCGTTATCAAGTATCAAATACTTAATTTCCTCAAGTGCCTGGTTTGCTTCAATTTCTCTAAGCACAGACTTGACAAATGCACAGAAATTATTGGCCGTGGTGCCAATTTTTGTCTTCTTTCCCGAAACTGTGGTATTGGAATCTATTTTTCTCTTCTTGATAGGGGCAGTTTCGGCTGGAAGTCGAACCTTCAGTTAAATTGTTAATTGGAGTAGCAGAAGACATGGTTTTAATAATAACCTTTAAACTATATATAATCGTTAGAGACTCTATAACAACAACACACAACTTCAAGGGAATTTGCATCCTCATTTATAATCTACATTAATGTATGTTTAGCCTTATGAACTCCCTCAGAACGTTTAGTTAACACGCGCTCAAACACATTAAACTCATTAATAATGACTTCCTGTCCGTCACGAATGACCAATATCCACAAAGACAAACAAGAAATCCCTTAATCATATGAATGTACTTATGAGACCATTCATTTCACTCTTAGATTATTAATCAATTAAATTCACAAAACACTCTAGATGATTCTAAACTGGTTGCAAATTCTTTATTTTGCCACTCCATAAACAAGTCGTGTTCTTTGACCACGAAGTTAGAGCCTTGGATTACATACATCAACATCTTCTTTTTCCAATTTGTATAACCCCTTTCATATCCTATTTCACGTTGGAAACTTTAACATCCTAGT